ATTGGCTTGCCCCATACTGAGGCAGAGTCGAAGTGGTTACCGATCAGTGAAGACCAAGTCCGTCTCTGCTGTTCTGTAGTTGCAGCCCAGGTAGAAGAGCTTGGGAAAGAGGCTGCGGAGTATATGCCTAAACTTGTGGATTCATATCGCGCAATCCAAGCGACCCCTCGGCCAGCTAAGAAGACACTTTCACTGCTGTTCCCGACCAGTTATCCATTCCAATCCCGAGCGGCAAGTGCCGAAGCCCCCTTTGATGAGGCAATGGCTGAGATATCGGCTGTAATCGCGGCCATGTCTAGTCTACCCACACTGTTACTTCCGGAACTGCCAAAGGACGACACGGCAGAGTTTTTGTTCTCGGTCCTGCAAGTCTACATCTCAATCCTCGACTGCGAAGCATACCCCAGCTCGTGGCTGAGTGTACACATCTACCATCACAAGGCCACCATGCGTGCGTTGGAGAAGCTGTTCAATATACTACTCGACTCTTTTCTCCCTCTTCCCGACGAGGCTGATGGCTTCAACACGGAGCTGTGGCGGGCGTTCTTCGATGCTTTGCTGAAGCTTGTGGCCAGCGATGCTCTTGCGTTGGAAACGTATCCGGAACAAAAGCGGCGCGCGGTTTGGAAGATCGCCGGCGACGTTCGTGAGCACGGAGCCGACTTACTGCAACGCAGTTGGGAGGCGATTGGCTGGGAGGCTAGCGCTGAAGATAAAAGCCAGTACGGGATTGAGAAGATGGGTGGCTTCCAAGTGCAGTACGTGCCAGGGCTTGTGGCGCCCATTGTTGAGCTTTGTCTCAGCGTACATGAGGGTTTACGCAGTGTGGCTATCGAGGTGCTACAGACAATGATCATCAGCGAGTGGACGCTGAGCGAAGACCTCGCTCTCATCCAGGCCGAGATGATTGACTGTTTGGACAATTTGTTCAAGACGAAACATCTGACCGAAGCCGTCTTGCAGAAACACTTCATCCAAGAACTCATCGAATTATTCGAACCTCTCTCCCACGACGCCGAGGAGCCATTGCTTGCGGCGCTGAAGAACCTCATTTCGACCATTGATGAGCTACTGGACCTACTCGTCGCTGTGCATAGCACCGAAGCAACTGGCGAGATCTTCCAAATCATGGACACCTTACACCTCATGGAGTTCCTCAAGGACATGCAGAAAGAAGACATGTACATTCGCTACGTACATCAGCTCGTCGAATTGCAAGTGGATGCGCAGAACTACACGGAGGCGGGACTTGCGCTCAGACTACATGCTGAGCTCTATGACTGGGACCCAAATTCGACCGTGGATCCGCTTACCGACCCCAGCATGCCGCCACAACCTGCCTTCGAACGAAAGGAGCAGCTTTACTTCCAGATGATTGAACACTATGAGAACGGCCAGTCATGGGAGAACGCATTAGCCGCCTATACGGAGCTTGCAGCACAATACGAACACAACGTATTCGACTTTTCCAAACTAGCTAGGACGCAGCACGCCATGGCCAAAATACACGAAAGTATCGCGAAGGGTGAACGGGCCAATCCGCGCTACTTCCGAGTGGTGTACAAGGGCTTGGGATTCCCTCCAGGACTCCGAGACAAGCAGTTCATCTTTGAAGGATCACCAAACGACCGCCTGGCTTCGTTTACGGATCGGATGCAGCAACAACATCCTTCAGCTGTGATCATGAATCCCGGCGCAGATCAAGTCCTAGAGGGCCAGTATTTGCAGATCTACCCTGTTAGCCCACAGAAGGACCTGACTCACCCTATATTCCAACGCGCGAAAGTATCACAGTCGGTCAAGGACTACTACCTACTGTCTCGTCCTTCACACTTCACATCGCCGTCTCGTCGTTCACCATCTAACGCCACTGCGAGAGATGCCGGAGCAGAGAAGACGCTCTACACGACAGCAGAGAGTTTCCCTACAATCCTACGGAGAAGCGAAATTATCGGTGTGGGTACTGTAACACTCTCGCCGCTGCAAATGGCTCTGGAGCGAACTGCTCGCAAAACGGTGGAGCTCCTTGCGGTCGAGAAGCGCATCACAGAGGGGGACGACACGGCGTTTAATACGCTAACACAAGAACTCATGTATGCTGTGGATATGAACTCGAAAGACTGCGTTGCGCACTACCACGACTTGCTACCTCATGCCAATGACGAAGATGAGGATGAGGACAACGAGACGCGGCAAACCAACCCACTAGAGACTGCTATGAGGGTGGCTCTGATAGACTACACGCTAGTGATTCGTCGATGTCTATCATTGTACGTCAGGCCTGCTCAGCAAACCACAAAAGCAGACCTTAGCCAGCGTATGTACTATCACCACCGACATTTGACAAAACTAACAAAATCAGGTTTCGAAGCCGCATTCTACCGGGAACTGGCCACGCTACTACCACCTAACATGGCACCAACCATGGTCTCGGGTACGGGTTCCAATGGCGCAATGGGTGTCTCGCGTTCTCGAATAGCAAGTCCGACGCCCGACGAGAGTACGCTCAACGGAGATCGGGTCATGTCGCCCGGCGCAAACGGCCGAGCATCGCGGCAAGACAAGAAAAGGCTTAGTCTAGCTTTTCTGACGAAGGAGTTTCTGATGGGCGAAGCAGAGAGGGAGAAGGAGAAGGAGAAAGAGGCAAAGGCGGAAAAGCAAATGGCTGATGACGATACTATGACTACTCTGTCGTCGCGCAGTCGCAGCAAGGAGACTCACAGTCGCAACCGGTTGAGCTTGAGTTTCCTCAACCACACGCCGTCGTCGCCACAGCCAGAGGCTCTACCAAGTTTTCCCAGCAATGGGCATCTGAACCGAAGCGAAGGTAGCCTGCAGCGGGAACTGAGTCAAAAGCGACCAGAGACGGTCAAGAGCCAAAAGAGCGACAAGTCGCTCACGTCACGAACGGACAGCATGAAGAAGAGGCTCAGTTTCATGCATATTTCGAAGAAGAGCAGTAAGACCAGTGTCAGGGGACGTGTTGATGATACCCTGATGGAGGAGTAGTCTTCTTTGTTTGCATTTCCTTTTTATACTTGCCTTCGCGGCAGCTCACGAGCTGTCTAATGCTTTGTTATGTCAGAGTAGGGAACACCGGGGAGCAATGCGCAGTATGAAGTAAGGGCTTTGACCTTACTTGGATGTACATTCGATTTGGACATGTTTGGGACAAGGGGGTTTTGTATCAAGGCTTTCGATGTTTTTATACCCTACTTCTTTAGTTTACATTAGCTCGTAATTGTACGATACAGATGAATAATTTGCGACTGCAAGTAACAATACTGGATCAATACTGCTGTTCAATGTGTGATGGCTAGGAGGCAGAAGGGTGGAGTGGGGCTCTGTGGGGATTAGGGCCGTGCAGGGCTATCGATAGTTAACTAGCGCGCGGCATGATCCCTGCCGTGTCAAAAAAGTTCGAGGCCAAAAATTGAAGCCGCCGACAGCGAAGTTGTCTACAAACATCCCAACTTTGCCTGTCATGTCGCTCGAGGAGAGGCTGACCAAGATCCGGGATAACCCGAAACTGCAGGGTCAGCAGCAGGTAAGTTACATGTCCAGTTTGTATGCGCGGTTCTGTGTGTACTTACAAGATTTAGACGCATGTGCTGCTCTCAGCCATCGAAGACACGCTGCGCCAGCAGAAGTCGGAATTTACGCCCACAGCATACTTCGCCGCTTTACTTTCGCTGCTTGCCCGCCAGATCACTGCGCAGGGTATCGCGAACAAGGATACCGCGACGGCGACTATCTACCTGCTCGACCTCGTCACTCCCAACGTCCCCGCCTCGCTGTTGCGCTCAAAATTTACCGACATCCTCACCAATATTGCGCCCGCTCTCACTGCCCAAGATGCCGATGCGCCACTCATCCGGTCTTCAATAGGATGTTTGGAGTCATTGCTGGTTGTGCAAGATGCGCGAGCATGGGAGCTGCCACAGACGACAATTAGCCCGCGCAGGGCTGTCGCGGGTCTGCTACAGATCGCTGTAGACCACAGGCCAAAAGTGAGGAAGAGGGCGCAGGAGGCGCTCAAGAAAGTGCTGGCAAACCCGCCACCGAGCCCTGCCCTAGATCACCCTGCGGCAGACATGTGCGCTGAAACGGCGCAGAAGATGCTCAAGGACATTGCGGCAGAGGCAGCAGCCAAATCGCGGAAGAACAAGGGAAAGAAGGACGCGGATAACAAAGATCCAGATCTGATACACGCTTTGCAGCTCATCAAAACGATTGCGACTTCGTCTGGCGGGTGGCCCAGCAGCAAGATTGACGTCCTGTGTGAGCTGCTGTTGAACATCTCAAAGTCGACCAACGAGTTCTTGACCATGGCCGCCTTTGAGATTTTCGAGGTCATCTTTGCCGGTATGGCTGATGAACTTGCGTCTGCGAAGCTACCCAGGCTCCTCGAAGTCATTTCCGAACTGCAGCCCTCCAAAAACGATACCCAGCTCCTTCCGCCGTGGATAGCGGTCATCTCGCGAGGCTACGAAGTTTCCGCTCAGATAGAGCCCGAAGACACTTTTATGAAACTCCCCGACCTTTTCATACTCATCGCCGAGTTCCTTACATCCTCATCACACAACATCCGCATATCCGCATCCGAATGCCTGATTTCCTTCCTCGTAAACCTCGTACCTGACAGCGTTATTCTTGAGCCATCCATATACGACGAGAAGACTTTGGAGAAGGTAGCAAAGATTGCGCAAGACTTGCTGAGTGTCAAGTACCAGGCTGCGTGGATGGAGGTGTTCAGCGTCCTGTCTGCCATGTTCGAGACACTCAGGTGGCGCTCGGATCCCATCCTGAAGCCTGTGTTGAGCGTTGTCGGAGATTTGAGGGGCAACGACAGCTTCGCGGGCAAGAAGGAGGCGGATTCTGTCATCTCAAGAGCCATCAGCGCAATGGGACCTGACGTGGTGCTTGATATTCTCCCCTTGAACCTACCGCGACCGCCACCTGGCCAGACTGGACGAGTGTGGATGCTGCCGCTTCTGCGCGATTCCGTACACAACACCAAGCTCGCACACTTCAGAGCCGAGATGGTTCCGCTGAGTGAAGAGCTTTACCAAAAAGTCATCGATCACGGGGAAAAGGAGAAGACCATGGAGATCAAGGTATTCGAGACTGTTGTGCAGCAAATTTGGTCTATTCTGCCCGGCTACTGTGATTTGCCGCTGGATCTGGTTGAGGCCTTTGACCAGAGTTTCTGTGAGATGCTAGCAAACCTGCTCTACGGCCAAGCCGACCTCCGAACGGACGTCTGCCGAGCCCTGCAAAACTTGGTTGACAGCAACAAAGCAATTGTGGAGCTGGAATCTGAGGACGATCTACTGGCACAAGCTCGAATATCAAAAACTGACGCAAAGAAGAATCTTGAGCACCTAGCAGGTTTCGCGAGTAACATGCTTGCGGTCCTGTTTAACGTATACAGTCAGACTCTGCCGCAGTACCGTGGCACCATCCTCCGGACCATCAACGCCTATCTGAGCATTATACCTGAGAAGGAACTCATGGAGACTTTCGAACGAGTCGCGACTAACCTGGAGGCTTCTCTACCTGAGCCTGGCTCCCAGACGCAAGCAAACAAGCAGAAGCAGGAGACAGGGCCAAACAAGATGCCGCCAATGAGTCATACTCTGATGGATCTCATCATCACCATCGCCCTATACCTCCCACGCGACAGTTACCGTTCGCTTTTCCGTATGGCTGAGATCATGATCAACCGGGAAAACGAGCCGCAGCTACAGAAGAAAGCATACAAGTTAATCCCACGTCTTGCAGAATCTGAAATGGGCAAAGCAGCCCTGAAAGAGCGCAACGGCGAACTGCAGCAGTTGTTGCTAGGAGGTGCTGAGAAGGCTACAGCTCCTGCGCGGAGGGATCGACTCAATGCTCTATTCCAGATTATCGAATCTTTGCCACAAAGCGATCTGCACTTCATCCCGTCAATTCTCTCCGAAGTGGTCATTTCCGCCAAGGAGACAAACGAAAAGGCGCGAGAAGCTGCTTACAACCTCCTTGTGGCAATGGGTGAAAAGATGGCAGAGGGGGGCCAAGTCATACAAGCCAAGGTACCCAACATGCCGGCGGATGCACCGACTGTGGAAGCTTCGCTCGAGGAGTACTTCACCATGGTATCTGCTGGTCTCGCTGCCACTACCCCACACATGATTTCCGCGTCCATTACTGCCGTCACTCGCATCCTTTACCAGTTTCATTCGCGGTTATCGAAAGAAACCATTACAAACCTCTGTGATCTCATGGATATTTTCCTCCAGAACCCCAACCGCGAAATCGTGCGCAGTGTGCTTGGTTTCGTCAAAGTCGAAGTCATTTCGCTACCAGAGTCACTTGTACGACCGCGACTGAATGTTCTACTGAAGAACTTGATGGTGTGGAGTCATGAACACAAGGCGCACTTCAAAGCCAAGGTCAAGCACATTGTGGAGCGCATGGTGCGCAAGTTCGGTGTTGAAGAAGTCGAGCGGTGCACTCCTGCTGAGGACCGCAAGCTCATCACTAACATCCGCAAAACGCGCGAGCAACGCAAGAAGAAGAAGCAGCAAGCGGCAGAGGATGGCGAAGAGCCAACTGAGAAGCGCAAGGGTAAGTTTGAAAGCGAGTACGACCAAGCCGTGTACGGCAGCGAAAGCGAAGAGAGTGAAGGCGATTCTGAAGACGAATTCGTCAAGAGCCAGAGCAAGCAGCAGCGAGGCGGCGCAAAGGGCGGCAAGACATACATCATCGAAGATGAAGACGAACCGCTCGATCTTCTCTCCAAGCGCGCCCTCGGCAACATATCCTCCACCAAGCCCTTACGCCAACGCAAACAGCCCACAAAGATCAACGCCCGCACAAACGAAGACGGCAAGCTCATCCTCGGCGACTCAGACAACGAAACCGAAATCAAGGGCAAGAAATCCAAGAGCAAACACATCGCCGACGATGAAGACGTACTCATGGACATTGACGATCAAAACACTAGTCTCGAAGCCGGTATCAACGCCTACGTCGACGCCATCCGCGGCCGCGATACTGCCCAAGCAGGTCAAAAAGGTCGCCTCAAGTTCAGCAACAAGCGTACCCACGAAGACGACGAAATGGACATGGATGACGATGGCGAGGAGGCTGATTGGCAGGAAGTTCGCAAAGCAAAGTCCGGGTCCGGTATGGGTAGAGGCGCACTGAAGAATGGCCGTGGCGGCCAGAAACCTCAGCGAAGAGCTCTAGGCCAGGAAAAGTCACGGGGTGGCAATGTTAGCGGTGGAGAGGGAAGGGGTGGGGCAAAGGGAAGAGTTGAGAAGACGAAGAGTCCGAGGGGAAGGGGTGGTCATGGAGGGTTTAGAGGAAGGGGTATGGGTGGCAAGTGGAGTGGACCCAAGTGAGCTTGAAATTTTGACGATGAAAAGGTTTATGGCGTCTATTTAGGTTTTAAAGATGTCAATGGTTACATAGTATGAATTTCAGATACCACTTTTTGCCTGGTAACTTGCGTCAATTCTTTCCGTGTCATCACTTATAGTAGTTCCAAGTTCCGTCTTATCCTCCATCTCATCTCATCTCCAGCATCATCACCACGAAGAGCAAAAAGAAAGCAAAAATATCTAAAACTACATGTGATTTGAACTTACGCCAAAAAAATTCCAAAAACTTAAGCGTACTATTCAGAAGCAGGACCCGTTCGTCGGATAACCACCGTTCAGGCACTTCTCCGTTCTGCTTAACTTGATGGAAAATTGCGTTAATTTGCTTATGTACATGAGTAATTGTGGTTTGGACTTTGTGGACTGATGTGTGTGTGTGGTGTGGATGTCTAGTAAGTTAGCTGGTCGGAGCGTTTGTTTGTGGGAAGGCAAATGAAAGAGTGAAGGACGTGCCGGGGAGGGATAAGCAATTACACTCTCGCCCAATATGTGAGCTTCTACTTACGCATTTTGGTAGGTGGGTAGTTAGTTGTGCGACATGACGAGATTGTCACCTCATATATTTTCTGACTTGGTCATCCCGCCTTCTCTACGTCGCTCTTACACGTGTGTATTTTGTCTTGTCTCACAACCTCGAGACATGGTTTATTATCGCATTTCCCTACTACCCATCTCTATCCCAAACCACTCTCCTACATGTGAGAAGTCGCAGGGTGTACCGCTTAGATCTAGTGTAGGGTTCTTCAACTTCATGGGTGTTACGGTACGGTATGCAGATGTGGCACCATATACGTATAGGATACTCAAGTTTCCATTACCTGTGCCATTTTGCGGTGTGGTATGGTTGACGCTGGGAGCGTATATATTTCCACTTCTTCACTTTGCGGCTGGGGGGGGGGGGGGGGGTTTCTCATACACGCCCATGACGGGATGTGGTCTTGTGTGTTATCACTAGTAAGCCTAGAGGTATGTACCGCTTGTAAACACCTGCCATATATGTCCTAAGTGAGCAACGAGACAATTATCTACACAATCTGCGGTATGGGTTATGTCGCTTATACCAGAATGGCCGAGCATTCGGTTGTCATTGTGGACTCATGATTAAGACGCGAAGAGGAAATGACGAAGAAACGGTAGTAGAGGGGAGATACGAGGATGAAGAAGAGGTGATTTATGGCAGTATGAGACGCATCGTCAGGTGAACAAGATTGACAATCACGTTGAGCTATTCATCTAAATCTCTACAAAGTACTGAGATGTCATGCCAGAACCTGAAAAGATTCCATAATCGATCTAATGGAACAAATCAAGACGTTTTAAACTTCCCGCATCTACAACACGACGTTATACGCGGCCCGGAAGACGGCAAGATCTGCAACGCCATCATAGACTTCTCCCTGTGTAGCTACCCTACGTCACGCCTGATCGTATACAGTACAGCGTGGGGTTCCGAATATGTCTACACTGCTAGCCTAGAGTGAGGAGTCGATGCTGTCCTTTGTCGTAATGATTGGACGTTGAAAATGTACAGGGTGAGCGTCTCCACATTTCCACTGGGCCGTAGCGAGAGCCATGTCGTAACTAGCCGTGTACCCACGTGTGCCATTTCGGTAACAGGCATGTCTCAGGTACTTCCTTTCGCTAACTTCTCTGGTGTAAGGCGCTTCCCCGGAGCGCCATGCCGGGGCTGATGAGGGATTTAGAAGGATCAAGGGGTCGCGGGAACGATCGGGCCTGAAGATCAGCCGGTAAGACGTGCGGTATTGATGACACTTATCCTTACAGTACGTATGGTACGTAGACATGCATGCAGTGTCAATCTCGTGGGGGCGTCGCGGCCTCATCCTTCTCAGATTGTCTATGGCCTGAGACCCACACCCTGGCCGGTAGCATGCAGCCTTTAACCAGCCTTTGTCTACTCCAACTACTCCAATTGCTCGCTTGACCATGTATACGAGCCTCTTCCGGGTCCTAGGATCTCTCTTTAGTCTTTCCATAATCCCAAGGTCCCGTATAAACAGGCCCGAGCTCCCCACCGATCTACACGAAACTCGGCCGAGTCTAAAGACGTGCGGTCTTCCCTGCATGCGTGTGTGGTTATTCGCGTAGATTTTTTGGCTTAGGTGTACGTTCTATTGTACGCGACGGTCGTGAACTGGCAGCTGGGCTCAGCGCTAACGAGGCGGCCGTCGCCCGGCATGTGGGGGTCGTCATCGACAAATCTCCGGAGTAAAGTGAGGCCAAAAAGCGCGGTGTCGAGAAGGGGGAAGGGGGAAATACGTGGTATGTAGTCAATGGATGCCTGCGACGCCTTAGTACACCGCGCTCCTAAAGATAGGACCCTGCTGGAGGCCTACCGGCGGCGAGGAAAGCTGCGGAGAGCAAATAGGGTTCAGTAACCGGGATGAGGTGAGGTACCTGACTGCTAACTGATGCTTCATGTTTACAAGTCGTGCGGGGCCGATGCGATCGGCGACTTGAGCTTCCACCTGGACATTGTGCTTGCCAGTAGTTAAGGTACCGGTACCCAGGCGTGTTGGCGAGGATGACTTGCTCACCCGCTCGGACTATGCCGGCGTATTTCTTTTATGTTACTGTGCCCATGGGCATTTTTTTACGCGTGTATATGTAGTAATGGCGAGCTTTGATTGGTGCTGTACGTGTGCGGTATGGGTGCATGGTGATGTTGTGGTTGTGCTGTCGCATGGTGCAGGAACATTGGGCAGCAGATGAGCTAGTACTGACCTTATAGCGGCGGCAACCACATCCACCCCTTCCACAACCATCCTCAGCCCATACCTCATGGCGATGGCATCGAACAGTACTACACCCGGTAGGCTGTGTAATTAGAAGTTGAGCGATCCCGATGAACCCCTCTTTCGGTGTTACACAGGTGTGACATCATTCGTGGCAAGCTATGAGGCAACAGTGAATGGCAGGCGGCAACAGATTATTGCATACAGATGATATCCAAACTATTGCATGTGCTTTATGAAACGATTCTTGAGCCATATCGATACATTGATTCGCGATATGTCGTCTCCTCGGACATCACTTTCAGCCAATTCTCGCCCATCTACGCCTTCGAAACCAGCGCGCCTCGACGACTATTTAGGCCTCTCTCATCCACCAAGTGCCCAGAAGACCTGTATAGTCAAGCCTCTCTCAGTGAAAGTTGAGGATGGTCCCGATGGATCTGTAGCTGGCTTCGTCCATCTACCACCAACAACTTCAGCAACGCCAGCTTCGAAAACGGCAGCAATACTCCTCTCAGGTGCTGGAGGTGGTGTAGTAGGCCCGGCATCGATATATATTTCCTTGGCAGACAAGTTGGCCGCGCTGAAGCAGCCAGTGCCCGTATTGCGGCTTGATTATCGATATCCCGCGCGGAACAAGTACTGTGTACGAGATGTCCTGGCAGCTATGAAAGAGTTGGAATACGCGTATCAAGTCAAGAGTTTTGTTCTTGTAGGCTGGTCGTTTGGCGGCGCGCCGGTCTTCACAGTTGGTGGAGAGGATAAGCGCGTAGTCGGGTGCGCGACTGTGGCCAGTCAAACAGCTGAGACTGAGGGCATTCGGACACTTGCGCCAAGACCGCTGTTACTTCTTCATGGCACAGGCGATCGGACTCTAAGTCCATGGTGCTCGGAGAAATTGTACGAGATGTATGGTACCAAAGGTGATCGGGAATTGAAGCTGTTCGATGGAGACGATCATGCATTAACAAGGAATGCACTCGAAGCCGAGCAACTAATCGGCGGCTTCATCCTTAGATGCGCGGGTCTTGATCCGCATGCCAATGCTCATGGTCTTTCTGAGAGACTCGTTGGAGATGAAGAGAGGGTGGAGTTGATGAGAAAGGGCGGTGACTTGCGACGTAATGAGAGCGTAGACTAGTCATTCACATGCCTCGACTTCTGGTTCGAAGAGCATTGATACTACTCCTACGCAATGTTTTAGTGAATATCAAAGCTCTCATGGGAGAGTAACGGAGTACATAGATAAGTAGGGGGCTATAGATTCAGTACTCAAGGCTCCAATGGAAAATCCTACAGGAGGATATTGTGAAGAAAACATGGTAAGGACTGGACTTTGCGAACACCCATCCTTAATGAATAACAAATTTACTTTCACTCTATTCATATTGCTATCCCCAAACATCTACCCTATAGAGATAGCTTGGGTATGCTCATATCTCATGTGAATCTGAGCAAGCTTACTAAGGTTGCGAGATGGGCTCTGATGTCACAGAATAAGGATACTGCAGATATAGTGTTGTTCACATGAACTTGTAGTTTTGCTCCTTCTAAGAAGGATTAGATGGATATGCTGTGGTTTACCCAGACAGTATGCAAGATGCCAAAGTAGACCATGGACCACCGCTTACAACTGCAACCTCGATTACGATGATCCATAGGGCGAAAACACATATAGTGCATGGTATATTTATATATAAGATTTGCATCCGCGGATGTCTGACATGTGATATTGGCGAATTGGACGATACGCGGGGCAAAGATGTGGGGTATGCCACATGTCCACTCTACCTAAGTCCAACAGAAGATCGAACACCAACTTTTCGAGATGACAAAAAGGTCCTGGATTACCCTTTTTTCATCTCAAATCTATTGAAATGCCTTCCTAGAATCAGTTTCCAACGCCTGTTTCTGCGTGCAGGCGTTGTGGCGGGCGCGCTGGCCGCTGCAACTTTAACAGAGTTGTGACCTGGCCTTAGTTGAGAGAAATCTCTGCAAGTGGTCCGTGCGCCAACTGATTTTAGATGTTCGATCGAAGGCACCCTCTACGAAACCGACAGAGCAACGGCTCTTCCTTAGGTATATAGCTCTATTGCTGCAAAGTAATAGGCCTATATATCTAGATGCTACCTATACCCGAACGCCCTAAACCAACTCGATATACCGACCCCATATACCGAACCGCTCCAGCACCTGCTGTCACCAGCACACTCACGAGCAAAATACCGACCAGGCACTAGATGTATAGATCTATTATCTCTCTTGTAGATCCCTATATACAGACGCCTACACAAAAAACGCCCTCTCCACCGAACGCCCTAAACCGACCCGATATACCGACCCCATATACCGAACCGCTCTAGCACCTGCTTTCACTAGCACACGCACGAGCAAAACATCGACCAGGCAATAGCTGTATAGATCTATTCTTTCTCTTGTAGATCCCTATATACAGACGCCTACACAAAAAACGCCCTCTCCACCGAACGCCCTAAACCGACTCGATATACCGACCCCATATACCGAACCGCTCTAGCACCTGCTTTCACTAGCACACGCACGAGCAAAACATCGACCAGGCAATAGCTGTATAGATCTATTCTCTCTCTTGTAGATCCCTATATACAGACGCCTACACCAAATACCCTCTCCACCGAACGCCCTAAACCGACTCGATATACCGACCCCATATACCGAACCGCTCTAGCACCTGCTTTCACTAGCACACGCACGAGCAAAACATCGACTAGGCAATAGCTGTATAGGTCTATTATTGTTAGGTTATAATAGATCCCTGTATACAGACGCCTACACCAAAACGCCCAAAACATCGACTAGGCAATAGCTGTATAGATCTATTCTGTCTTGTAGATCCCTATATACAGACGCCTACACCAAATACCCTCTCTACCGAACGCCCTAAACCGACTCGATATACCGACCCCATATACCGAACCGCTCCAGCACCTGCTTTCACTAGCACACGCACGAGCAAAACATCGACCAGGCACTAGATGTATAGATCTATTCTCTCTCTTGTAGATCCCTATGTACAGACGCCTACACAAAACAACAGACAGACACTGTATAAAACTACAAACAATATTTCTTTTCGCAAAGAGCTCGCTGTTACATCTCTTTCTGTTCACCACACTGCTCTTTAGCACCCGCGCCAATGGAAGACTAGCTCGGAAATTGGACTACGCAACTATCCTCCAAATTGTACAAGACCTATAGAAACTCCATATTGAACAACATACATAGAACGGCTTAGCCAAAGTTCTACATAGTCACCGACTGATACAGGACTCTAATGGAAATATAATAATAATAATAATAAGTCCAACAGAAACCCGGTTGCCTACTCCAAATCGGCGACTATGAGCTTCATCAAGCGAATCCAGCGCATAAGCACGAAACAGATGCAGCCTCGGCACATGCTTAAAGTTTTGCATTCGTACCATCTGCCACTGCTTGGCAGTGATCCTACTCGTATCGTCAATTTGATTTGCCAAAGCCATTTCTCCCCCTCCGCTCTGCTTAACAAACCTCGGCATCTCCAGTCGGGCACCTGCCCATCCGAACCAGATTTTGTCCAGAAAGATCTACTACAGTGTAACGATTACGACAGCCTGGAGTAGCTGTTCGTTTTGCAGAATGCTGAGCCAGTGCAGCTGTCCCCACAGTATCTTGCCACATAGCTGCTTGCCGGAAAAAAGCAAGTCCCCACAGCGGTAGCCCGGTTTCAGATGAGGCGATGCAGACTTTTGCGACGTCACCTAAGCCAGGCTGCAGCGATACCGACAAGCTTCCATCTTTGCAATGTGATTGAGCGAGTGTCGCAGGGCTGCATGCGGAGTTAAATGCACTGGTATTCGCATAGCTGATCCCTTGAATCCTTTCGATAAGAGAACCGAGATCGCACTACCATCTCTGTTACATGGTAAATCAGGCACACAAGCCACAACACCATTATTATTATCATGCTAGAATTCAACCTCGTCAATTGCGTGGTCTTGCCTACAGTCGAGGCCATCTTCGCTTTTAAATTCCTACCCCATGTGTTCCCTGCAGCCAACACACTGGCGACATACCTGGTCTTATTTGCGTTCATTAATATTTCCGGCTTGGTCCTTTATAAGCTTGTCTTATATCCATTCTTTCTCTCGCCGCTGCGTCACCTCCCCAAGGTCAAGGGCTTCAGACCGCTTATCGGCCATGGATGGATGATGATGGTGAGACCCTCTGGGGAGCCGCATCTCCAGGCAATGAAGGCACAACCCGACGCACCTCTCCTTCTCGCGCGCGGCTTCTTCCACGCCGCATGGCTGTTTCCGACGACTCCCGAGGCCCTGGCAGATGTTTTGGTACACAAGAGCTATGATTACGAGAAGCCGGTGCACACGCGCAATTTCCTAAGCAGATTCATCGGATTCGGATTGCTGATGGCCGAAGGCGAGGAGCATAAGCACTCCCGCAAGAACATCATGCCCGCATTCAGCTTCAGAAACATCAAGGACCTGTATGGCGTATTCTGGGACAAGTCGATCGAGTTTCGAGATGCTGTTCGCGGTGCAGTCGATGCCGAGCCGGACAAAATCGTCGACCTTTGTCGCTATACAACGCAGGTCACGCTCGACATTATCGGGCTTGCTGGGCTTGGCAGAGATATCGGATCCCTGCGCAACAGCGAAGATGAACTCGTCAAGAACTTTGAGGAAATTCTCCAGCCTACGTCTGAGAAAGCGTTCTTTCTGGTGCTCCATGTCATCTTCCCAGGATGGTTTATAAGAAAACTACCTTGGAGCTTGAACAAGCGAGTAGATATCACCACGGGGAACCTAAGGAGGATAACCACCGAGTTTGTGCGGGAGAAAAAGGCCAACATGAAGGTCCAAGGTCCAGAGAACCAGCCAAGCCGCGACATTCTATCCATCATGATTCGAAGCAACAACTTCTCAGACATAAACCTCGTCGACCAACTCCTTACCTTCTTGGCCGCAGGGTAAGCCCTCTTTCCTCTCTTTCGCATTGTGCTCACCCAGGCTAACTGGCAGAGGCACGAGACCACATCCTCCGCCCTAGCGTGGGCATCATATCTCCTCTCCCGCCACCCAGCGGTCCAAACCCGCCTTCGCGCCGAAATACACGAGTACATCCCTGATCCCAAGCTTTTATCAGACCACAACTACGACATCGCAGGCCTACTAGAGAGCATGCCATACCTAAATGGCGTGTGCAACGAAGTCTTACGACTTTTCCCAACAATCCCCTTGACTCCGCGCGTTGCAATACGCGACACCATAATCGCCGACCAGTTTGTCCCAGTCGGCACAACTATCTTCCTCCTGCCGTGGGCGATAAACCGCAACCCCGCCCTATGGGGTGCGGACGCCGAGGAATTCGTGCCCGACCGTTGGATCGACAAGGAGACGGGGCGTGCGACGATGAATGGTGGCGCCGCCAGCAATTACAGTTTCCTCACCTTTTTGCATGGTCCGCGAAGTTGCATTGGCGAAAGATTTGCGAGAGCGGAGATGAGGGCCATTGTTGCAGCGTTTGTGGGGAGTTTCGAGATGGAGATGGCGGACCCTGGGGAGAAGATTGTGGTGGGCGGGTCGGTTACTAGTAAGCCGGTCAACGGGATGAGGCTTAGGCTGAAGCTTGTGGAATGGGCTTCTTGATCTTCATTGAGACCGAAGCTTTTCGTATATCGTATCCAAATGTAATTCCTCGTTTCGTGAACGTGGCGGCTGCTCCGATTGGTGTCGAGGCAAAAAAGACTACACAGGCGTTAATTGCTTGTCCCATATTCAATGCCGGATGTGCACTATCCAGTGCCGGCGCCTCTTCACATGACAATTTACCGCAGGTAACGGTGTCCCAGGGGGGATGGCGCAGTGGTAGTGCGCCTGGTTGCTTCTGCTAGCTTGCTCGCAGAGGTTGAAGGTTCGAATCCTTCTCCCCTCACCGCTATAATAATTCTATTATTCTAGCTTTACCAAAAAACATCGAACGGCTCCTTTCGAAACCTGGAAAGTTTTTCACCAATACCCCGCACGCTTAACGCTAGCCGCCGCCGTACAACCGAGCCACAAAGTACCGCCGAGACGAAAATATGCCGCAACTGCCGCTATATACAACAAACGTTCAAGGTCCCATGACTTTTTCCCCTACGAGGTTTTTTTCAGTCTTAGGAGCACGGGGTTATTATAGCAAAGGGATTGGTCACAAAGGTGGAGATAAACGGGTGTCTATTACAAGGTCTCTCTCTCTTTCCTGTATAGAAGCAAAAAACCCAAACCCCCATAGTCAAACTCGACCAAAGAAACGAAATCCTACGGGTATAGAGGGAAAAAACTAGTCAAACGGCCCTAGGCCACCGTCCTACATAGTCTCTGACTGAAAAAGGACGTTAATGGATACTACTACTACTACTACTACTACTAACGGTGTCCCAGCGTGAGAGTGGCGATGCTACCATAATATGATGTTGCAGAAGTCTATAGCATGTGCATTATGGGGTGTCATTTGTATTTCAATCTCCTCGCCTTGATAGTCCAGAGACTAACTTCCAAGTTTCTGTCGAGACTTGTGTCGTTGCAGTTGGATGCTCAGTTAGTTTGGGGTCCGGCGCACTATCAATTTGAGACAGTGCGCAGCGCGGCTAGACAACTGCTACACAGCTGCGATCAGCATGTGTAATGTATGAATAATCTTACGGTAAGTGGCCAAGTAAGTGTAGCGGGTCATCGTTTTCTCATTAGTGTCAAAATACCCCGAGGAGATGAGCAACTCTCGGGCTCCACTGATGCGTCCCTTAGCCCAAAAGCGAGCTTACAGTTTTGAATTTTTGGAGGATTGCAGAGACTGCATAGTAAGACTAGTCCAGGCTGTTCCAGACTAGAGCTTTCACCCGTGGGCTCAGACCTGGACTACACCAGCCTGTTCCAGGCATATCAAATGCGACAGCCGCCTAAAGCACAACGGCAATCCTCCGACTTGTAACTTGGGCCCAGATCCGGACGTTAGACCTCTTCTAATCGCCGCCCATGTGGAGTAGAAATTAAAAGGCGTCCCGGGCCCGTTGCTGATGAAGCGATTAGTTAGCGGCGGTAACCGAGTATGCACATGTGTGTGTGTGTGGAAACCCTAACTAAGCTATTCGACTTTTGATTTATGGAATGGGACTAAGCACCCCGCATCAAAACCCATACCGGTAGATGGGGAAGCTGGGCTTGAATACTGAAGTTGCGCATTAGCTACCGCGCGGGAGGTTAGCGGAACGTGTACGACTGGAGGCCGCCGCCGCTCGTTCTCGGATCCATGGTGACCGAATAGTAGTGCCACGGGAGAAGGTCCCAGAGTCAGAGTGCCGGGACACCCAAGTTTGCGCGATCTGACCCATGTCATTACTGCCAGATCCCGCGCTATAGTAGCCCCAGGTCGGCTACAGAGTAGCGCCAACCCGCCGGCGAACCTGACGAACTTCAGAAGCCCCTCAGTGGGCTCGGTGCTGCGAGAGCAAGTCATCAGATCTTTTTGGTTGGTGGAGTCGGACGCGCGGAGTCTATTCCGCACATGTTTCCACCAAATACCATGAGTTGATCTGCGCATTTCCCTCTTCGGCATGTAAAGTTGCGAGTCAAGGCCGGGCAAAAAGCACATGCGGCTAGTTGGTGAAGGGATGCGTGTCCAAATGGATCCCAGAACAAGCTCAGATCCAGGTCTGGTCGTATTCGCATTCCTCCATTCAGACATCAAAGCTTCTCTCGTCTCGCTGATAGTCCCACCGCATAAGGCTGAAAGCGAGGAATTAGCTATTGGCTGGCTGTACCTCGGACGCAACTCGAGGCGACTCAACGTCTCTTCACGAGCTTCATCGACGTTGTTGTGCCTTTGAGTCGTGGTAATACATAGTCGATCTCTCATCGCCATAAAGTATGCTCATCGGCTATTGATGCATCATCCAGAATGTTATTGGCCAAGCTCCATGCAATCCATCAAATCATCTCCACTAGCAAAGCCCAGCCCCAGTCTGTCATCGTGATCCCTCGAGAGGTTTCCATATAACAAACTCACAAAAGCAAGATACCCTCAAGATACCCTCAAGATAGAGTGTTCGTTTCGCGACGATCTTGCCAGGTCCGCTATCCTTATCGAGTAAGGAGTGACTGGACGATCAACGGCTTCTCGATGCCTGCATAAGCCACGCCGTGTTATCTTGTGCCACTGTGCCGTGATGCCGATTTGTCTTTTAAAAACTCAAATGGTCTAGGATCGAACAAAAGGCGCAGACGCCAGACTGACAGCCGAGTCAGTGTGCCCCGCAACACGTACGGTTGTGTAACTTAGCCGAAAACCCCAGCTCGGCCGCACCAGAGTCTGACCTGCACACGTCGACTAGTTATGGGTGGAATAAACCTGCTATCATGCCGTGGGAGGGATCATGGCCACTTCTTCGCCTCATAATGACAGAAGGTATATGGTTTTGCATCGTGGCATCTGCGCGCCTACCTCGATTGCTTTCCTATTATCGCATACAATCCCAGTCCATGGCACTAACGGTAGACACTGCTCTTCGCGTGCATTGTGGCCCGACCACAGCTGACAAGGCAAAGCTTTGATAGATCCACTTGATCAACCAGTTCCACAGTGTATCCTTTCCAGATGAGGCTTTGGAACCTTTAGTCGGCAATCGCTGAATCCTTCATGATATCTTCAACGTACCGTCAGGCACCTACAAGGACGTCCACAGGCAAGCGTATATTGATAACATTGAGATCGGCCCACAACCGTCCTGTCGTCAGAATGGAAGGGCCGGGGTCAGGGGCCATTACTGCTGCTCCCATTGGTCCCGGTGAAATGTTCCGACCGAAGTTCCCGAGCGTTTATGGAGAAATACAGCCCTAGCTCGATAAACTTTCAGGAATGCATGTCTCGACCCCAGCATCCGGGCTTCAGGTGTGATGTCTTGAATGACTTGTTTCGATCCATGGCGTCGTCCACTAAACCAGAGCCGTATGCTGTGGGAGTAGTTCAAGTCCCGACATGACCGGCATGACCGACATGACCGACATGGGTCGTCATGCAATTCGCTCCGTTGCCGCGTCGCCTGTTACTACTGTATGTTTGATAGAACATCTATTCTTTTAGCAACAACCAACTTCGATCTGCGGTATACTACCTCCGACGATGGCATCAAACCCTCCCGGATACCACCGCCAATCAAATCCTGGCTTGACATCATTCGGCCAGCAAAAAATTGCAATTCCACGCTTGCAAAGAGCTGAGCAAGAAATTACCGGGGCAAAAGACAGACGTCGAGTGCCACGAGCCTGTACTGGAGTGAGTCTGAATCGCGCACAAACTTGTGCAATCGCGGATGCCAAAATTCATACTATTCCTGGCACCCAACACCGTTGCCATCACCTGATAGGCTAGGTTGCTCTTCTAAATTGTTACGGTTTCTAACGGCAATGCCGCACGTTTTAGTGTCGTTCCCACAAGATCAAGTGTACGGGCGAAAAGCCAACGTGCAAGCATTGCGCGACCACACACCGTGAATGCGTGTATATTCTTCCTCGGAAAGACCGGTTGAAAATGTTTGTTCTCCTTCCGATCCGGGCTTTGCTGGGGTACTGACGGTATCAGCGTAACTGAACAATGCCAACATCTGGCGGGACTCCTGCGGGAGATGAAGGCCCGCGCAAGCGTAGAAGACCGCAACCGGATCAGCGACATCCTGGACGAGGTGAGTCTTCTTCACAACACCATACTAACTGATATCATTGGTATACTCACACAGCCGTAGATTGATGAAGACTTCTCGGATCAGAGGCACACTCCAACGCCATCGAACCTCGAGGTTGACACCCAGAGCTCACAAGGAAGTGTGGACGTCGGCAATGCCGACTTTTTCGAGCGTCATGAGACTGAGGGTCTGGATCTGCTCGATGAAGACTTGCACAGCAGAGACGAAGCTCGCGCCACAGGTTTCGTCGGCAAGAGCTCAGAGATCCAATGGTTGCGCACAGTCGCACTCGCGCAAGGCGAAAGAATAGACGGAGATTGGCCTGGGGCAGTACCTCAACGACAGCATGCCTACGCATCTGGCAGTGATCAAGTAAGCTCATTCAGCTTTTGGGTCGACAGCGATGATGTGAGTATCGACTTTTACGTGAACGCATACGAGCTGCCACAGCCCGAGCTTGCTGAGCATTTGGTACAATGCTACATGCTTAAAGTGCACGACTCTTTCCCCATCCTACCACGCAAAGCTTTTGGGGACCAGACTCGCGCCTACTTTGCGGCGTTGCGTAGCGGAAATGCACCACGCCTCAATCCGAAATGGCAAGCCATTCTGAATCTCGTCTTTGCTATCGGCGCCAACTATGCATACCTGCTCAACAAAGATTGGGATGGTGGAGATCATATTATATACCAAGCGCGAGCACGAGCATTTGGTATGAGCGAGGCGGCGATGACCAGTCACCCTGACGTGCCCCAAATCCAAGGGTTAGGTCTTCTTGCGTTCTACTGGCTCAGCACTGGACAAGTTAGTCGGTGAGTTTCCAGAAAACGTGTACGATTGTTTGCAGAGACAACATACTGATCAAACTAGGGCCTGGACGGTCGTTGGTGCGGCTCTTCGCTCGGCATACTCCCTTGGTCTACACGTACGAAACGAGGACCCTTCTGCGACGGCGACAAAACGAGAATCGTTGGTGAAAACATGGTGGAGCCTATACTCGCTCGAGAGAACTCTCAGCATTATAACAGGCCGGCCTAGCATTGTGGTCGACTCTTGTTGCTCAGTACCGTTGCCCATGTCGGTACCAGAGGAAGATGCATCTGAAGCACTGGAGCCGGCATACCGTATGCATGCAGGAATTCCTGCAACGTTACACTCGCCTGCCTTTCCTCTCTCTCCTAACCTGGCTGCAAATCCATCTCATACAGCAATAGGCCCTGGAACAACAGACATCAGTTCGGTCTCCTACTTCAGGGCTGTGGTACAGCTTTCCATCATAACTCAAAGTGTTCTCACTTCTCTTTACTCAGCAGGGACGATGATTAGGTCTTCAGATGATATACAGCGGGATATCGCTCTTCTAGACCAACGCCTCGACCAATGGGCCCGCTCATTGCCCCCAGAGTTCCGGCTGTATGAAGCACCACGCGAGCCTGATGCGTTTGGACGAGAACGCATGCTTCTCCGGTTCCAACTTTGCAGTGCGCAGATTTTGCTTACGCGGCCGTGTTTGACTGTGCGGCGACAACCGTGGAAGGACGGGAACGACATAAGCTTCTCGAAGCGTATGGCAGATAACTGTGTTGGCGCTGCGAGAACTATTGTCGCTTCTTTACCCGAGGAGTCTTACACGCAATTATACGAGCAGAGTCCTTGGTGGTGTCTCATTCACCACATGATGCAGGCCATCTCAGTCTTCCTCCTTGCTCTCTCGCATCCCAATTCCACCTCATTCGACACCACAATGATGATTCATTGTATAAGAAAGACCATACGCTGGTTGCAGAGAATGAAAGGTTCCGTAGCTGAGCGTGCTCATCGTGTGGCTTTCAATTGTTTCGAAAGCGTTGCTAGGCGACACGCCGTCGACATATCGGATCTTTGGAATCGGACAGCCGCCCCAGTTGTACGACAGCCGGTCTCTAACACAAGGGTTAGCGTTCCTGCACCGGTCCCGTCCGGTGCTTTCGGCCAAGCACCAACAGTGATACCTGCCGCCTCTGCTCCAGCTTATGGTACCACGATGACTGGCGCTACTTTCCCTCCTCATTCTGAGGCCTCGAACTTTGACGCAGGCTACTACGTGCCACGATGAGCAAGAGACTGGCGCAGCGTAAGTTGGTGTTTGCTCATGCGAAGTGCACGCCATGGATAGAAGGGATCAGAATAAGTTTGGCTTACGATGTAACGATCTCTAAACATGGTTCATGAGCGGACATCGGAGTGGAAGACGACGGGCCGTACCAACTGACACGTGTGCGGGGTCTTAGGTGGAAGAATCCTTCATGACGCCAGGGGGGTTTGATACGTCATATAGTAGCAAGTACGGTCAGGATGGAAGGTGCGAGCGTGTTTTGCAGAAGAAGAAGCGTTGGTAGGGAATATCCAATATCCAAATTGACAACATATTCCCACAACTGAAGCCTGCCTTTGTGATCGGTCCTTGACTCCGAAAGATACGGAATCATGGTCCGAGCCCCTCCTGGTTTTGGCGAATATTGATCGCCGCGGAGCCCTTCCATGTTTTGAACTCGCATACCACGCATCGCTTTCACGATAAGACAGGCTAACGAGGGACGGAGTAAAGGTCCGCTAGAGATGACGAATTGTAGCGTTCGTGATAGTGAACCGGACCTGCAGAACAGCCACCGCGCGGGTGGTTTTGACCTTGAACGATCCTGGATGCATCGTACCATGCAATTCCAAGTAAGGCGTGTCACATTGTGGCATGTTCTGAATTGACTAAAGACAAATATGATCAGCATTATACACGTGGAAGTGGCTAGAGACCCACGGCGTGGCTAGGGACTGAGTAATAGCCACACGGGCGATCCTGCCTTACTGTACATTGATGTTTCTGGAACAAACTGTCATGTAGATTTCCTAAACATATCTAGGGCCCCATGCATCGGGAGCGCTTACATTTCACACCCCCACGGCCGGCTTCGCAGGACCGGCGTCTTCTCGAGCTTGCCTCTATGCGGTATGTCGATGATGCTCACACTATCATGCGTGCTGTTTACAGAAGTTTGAGGATACGGCTTCGCAGATAGATAGTATGTCAATTCAAGGAAGTATCGTGTAGCTTCCAAGGTACAATGTCATTATGGATTGATGAGGTGGCCCCCCACGGCCGGAGAATTGTAACTTCATAGTGTGGAACATGGACCCTAATGAGTCCTAGGTACTACCAGGTACTTCTTTCTCAGGCCACGAGGCGGACATGCACTGGAGAACATCATAATGTTTTCATTGGATGAGTCGTGGGTACATGTTTATCCGGGGTCTTCCAGATGTGAAGATGATGGCATGGCATGACAAAGCGTAGATGCAAACCTTGTAAGACCATGCCAGAGAAGCAAGACCAGTCTGTACACAGAAAGGTTTTCAAGGATTGTGTCTATGCTTTCGTGGATACTGTGCTTACCAAGTTTTTACCTGCAGGAATTATTGCACAATCTTCGCACGGAATGCGCAGGCAGCTGCTTTACCAAGGTCATTACAAATCTCCGCAGTATGTAAACGTTATGTCATCATTGTAAGGTGAAGTCCTTACTGAATGTCCCGCTGGCTCGAGTGATGGTGACTCTGCTGCCTGGCCCCACATCTGGCAGACTGCGCTCTTCTCGTTGGCTGGCACTTCAACACCCGGTGTTCTGCCGTCAACAGCCAGTGTTCCGCCGAAAGACAGGACGTGCGCGATCACGTGTGACTTTAGCGTGCCCAGACGTTAGCGCCTCTCAGTGGATATATAGTCTCGCCCGCCCTCGTCCTCCTCTTCCTTTTGGCATCCAAGTGCTCGGGCTTTACGCTTACCAGTGAGGATTCGTCCGAGGTAGCGTTTTTGCTAGTTGAAAACTACAACTATGACCGCTCCAGTTGGTCTTCGGATCGACTGGGAATTTTTGTAACAAACTGTACGCTTTGTACTGCTTTTCGTTAATTTCAGTGGCTTGTCCACTGGATTGAAGAAGAGTTTGACAGTACCTTTATGCGACTTGCATGCTTATTTCGCACTCAATCACAGACAAAAGCTGTCGAGGATATCATTGCAGACTCGACTTGCATGCTTGTATCGCACGCAATGGCAAACAAAAGTTATCGAGGTCTGTCGCAGACTCGCTGTTGTCGCAAGTCAGTCAACTGCGTGTATAGTTAACGGCTTGCTGTCAGCGCGTCTCACCCGTCTCCGCGCGTTCAAGTGCTCATCATTAGCTTAACACCAGCGCGCTTGCGCATCTATCGCCGCACCTCGAGGAGCGATTTGGCAACGGCCTGAACAGAACTGAACCCTCGCTCCCCCCGATGTTTAGCCGCACAGCCCGTTGTGCACACAGCAATCTACACAGTTGTCGCCACCGCTAGACACGAGAGCCGAGGAGCCGTGCGAAACTGCGTTGTTGACCGACTCTTTCGCACTTTTGATGTACCATAAATCGGATACAGCGCACACAGCTTTACCACCTCAGGGCAAACCGTCGGGGCCATTTGTTTGCAAGTCGCGCTTCTCGTCGTTCTTGCTGGCTCCAATACGCGTTACTGACACCACATTACGGTTCACCAAATCAAAGAATGCGTGTCATGTTCGCAACACACCGCTAAACAGCCTCGCACAAATCTCCACAAACGTATACAACGAGGAAACCTCAATCGTCATACGACTATTGTGTATCACACTGCTGGACTGGGAACATGACAAAGCGTGCGCCAACGAGCCTAACATCCCACACCTCGGATCCCCGCGAGCTATGGGCGTATCACAGTATTGACGTTCCGGAAGGCCGTCGCATTAAGGTGTCATGAATATCGTGGCGATCGTCTGCCTTGCCAGCCCAGAACGGGCTCGTCGAATCTTGCAAAACATGCAACTCTGCCGACGACGCATAACCTTATTGGAAGTGAGCATATACCGTGGCCTCCCGTGCCGTCTTGCCTGACAGGCCATTGTTCAGAGTGTTACGGATTTGAAGAACCAAGCCTGATTATATGATAAACCCCAGCCTTGCCGGGGGTTCAAGCCGTTGGCCATCCAGTTTTCGAAACACCAAGCCCAACTGCGCCACCTCTTAGCAATGCCCCTGGCTACGGCATATCCATGTCTCGTTCTGTTTGCCAACTGTCGTCATGTTGCATTTGACGCCACACAGGAATTGCATTTTTACACAGCGATCAGCATCACTCTAGTGACTCGGCTTCATGCTCGATCAAGCGCCGACCCACCTCCATAATGGCATTGATTTCGTCCATCACAAAAATATCCAGTCCACAATGTCACGCTACGAGTAGACGAGTCCAGCCAATCTTACACACGAAGAAGGTTTGCAGCTTACAAAACTCAATCAGCCAATTATGCCGGCAGGTACCGGTCTGTTATATATCCCGAGTGGCTTGCAGCTCGGACATGCAGGACAGACGTTGAGACTACCTGCTTGAATAGGCTCTCCATGGTACTATGGTGGACAGAACCATATGTGGAGCAATATAGCCATTATCAAAGGTACCGAGAACAGAATTCCAAGAGGCGTGCAAAGGCAAAGCTTATCCGGCAGCGGTCTGCTTGGGGTCGTTTCAGACTCGTAAGAAATACACCAAGGTTTCAGTGCACGGTCTGCGTTCGGCTAGATCTGCAGCAGGGTCCTTAGTCTTGCGCCATCCCGCCCCAAACTGCCACCCTCCAAAGAAAAGATGCAGGTACGCGCACGGCGACACGCTACGACCACTGCTGCATACGAATTGATCGCCAGATTGTGAAGTGGTTGCCGGTCACGCAGTACCCAGGTGCTTCACACCCTCAGGTCGTCGAAACATAACTGTCAAAAGCGGCACCTAGTGGTGACATGCGACACCAGCAGTCCCGTCCTGTGCCGTATCGGTCATGCTAAGCGAGGACTAACCTTACCTTGTCTCTTCTCGACGGTGGCTGCCACGAGTCTACCCTAGGGGTATAGTTGCGACATTATACCCCCCTTCTTTTCACCATTACAGCAGCCTGGCGGCCGAATGTGGCGGATGGCTCGCCCCTCAAGGCAGCATTGGGTCCATGCATTATTTGATCTGCATACCGCAACTATCGTCACGCATGAGACGACCGTTCTGGGGGTAGGTGCTCGTGGTGTTGGAAGCTATTTCAGTCTGGGTCGCTCCGCACTTCCACATTCAGCACGACTGTCTGGAGCCTGCGTCTCACTTCGAAGTCGGTCGGGGTTTGCTGCTGTTTGGAGTCTTCTGCCAATCACTGACAATCTCTTTTGCAACAACCCCCAAGCCATCGCCCCTACTAGGCTCATTTTGTTCCGTATTACACGATCAACGCCGCTTCGTGATTCTGTTTCCATCTGCTGCGATCACTGTAATCCATCAACATCCCCGGAGAAGCCGTTATGGACAATTGAGCATGCGTGGCGTTCTCTTTCGGGGCTCTTCTGTTTTCCATCTTACTCAGACGTCATTCTAATACCACAGCCATTATGGAGCAAGATAATTCCACGCCCGCTGGTGTCCGGGTTAATACTATCGTTCTTGCTTTTACACTCGTTTCTGGCATGATTGTATTTCTGCGTTTATTTACACGGCTGGTGATATCGAGGTCAGCCGGGCTGGAAGATCTATGCATCGTGATAGCCATGGTAAGCAGCACAAATTTGTCTTATGCGCTCTCCTGCTAACAACATGATAGGTACTGTCGATAGCGCTCTCTATACAAACGGCTGCGCAAGTAATGAATGGACTGGGGATGCATGCCGCAAACCTTCTGCCCAGCCAGCTGGATGTCATACTCAAGGTAAGTCTCAGCCAGCTCCTACCTTTCTCTGTTTTACCCGGATGGAGTCTCAAGAAACGCATTGTATATCTTCGGAACGAAACGTCGTCGAATTTTCAAGTTTTAGCTTAGTGGAGACACGCAGCCTGCATTCCGGTGGAACCTGCCTTCACCTCATGCTATGCAATATCATGCTGACGACCGTGTAGGCTTTTTGGGCTGGTGTTTGGGTCTACAACCTTGCACTTACCGTCACGAAGGTCGCTATCCTCGTTCAGTATCTCAGGATTTTTCCCCTCAGGTGCTTTCGCAAGGCCTGCCTTTCTGTTTTGGGCTTTGTGGTAGCATGGGGAACCTGGACGATTCTCTCAAGCATTCTCATATGCACCCCTGTCGCCTACTCGTGGGACAAGTCAGTCCATAAGGGACGCTGCATGAACCAGCTCATCCTATGGGTTGTGAACGCTGGTGTAAATATCATCCAAGATGTCATCATCTTCCTCCTGCCCTTGTTCGTTGTTCGAACCTTACAGATTGCCAAAGCACAGAAGAAGGCTTTGTTTGCGATGTTTGGGCTGGGTGCATGGTATGTCAACAACGTTCACCATAGACGAAAGAATATACTGACTCATCTACAGTGTCACTTTGGTCTCCATCGTCCGCCTCTACAGCTTGGACACTATCGCCAACTCGACTGACGTTCCTTTCGACAACCCAGACCACGCGACATTGTCCGCAGTGGAAGTCAACGTGGCGATTATCTGTGCTTGCTTGCCAGCCATGCGACCTCTGTTTGCGCTGCTGATGCCACAATACTTCTCGTCGGCAGCTCAATTGAGTAGCTTCCAAGTTCTCGACATTGAACGCACAAAGGCCGGACAGAAGCCGCAAACCAGCGCTCGGCCTACCACCCGACCCGTCACCACCTATAGCACGAGACCGAGCACCGCGCGAACGCATACAGGCTTCTCGGAGATTCGCCGACCGAACACAGCCACTAGGGCCGACTCTGTACAAGGCGACTTTACTCTTCAACCTCTCAAGCCCACCCTAACTCGCGCCACAAGCGGAGTTGTACCTATCACGCCCGTCCGTCCGTCACTACTCCGCTTACACAGTCTCCCCGGTCACTCCCGCAACCCCAGTAATAGCTCGATACAAAGCACTGCAACCACAACAACACAATCGAGGTCAACTATGCACTCCCATGGCAGGCTTGATCCTCTTCGCATGTCTCCAGTGACGGCTTTCAGCCCCAGCCCAGCTTTCCCTCCACCACCGCGCGCGGTATCTCCTCTAGGACTGTCCTTACACAGGCGCCAACCCAGCAATGCATCGATGCGGCCACGGACCCCAGGCTTTGACAAAGTGTTACCCAAGACACCCTTCCCGGTCGGTTCCATCCCCAAGATCGGTGATGAATTCCAGGATTGCACAGTCTACCTCACCATATAAGAGCCCAGCAGTAAGAGAGTAAGAAAGTTCGCCCCCCGCTTCAACGACAAAACACGACATGCAACGTGATACGACCATACGACTACCCCATCAAACGGCAACGCGCATTACGACCACCGGGCTGCTCGACTGGTAAAAACGCGCGCACACACACAAGCAAGACGTCGCTCCTTAACAAGAAAAAAAAATCACCCTGCGCCAAGTGATGCGACTGGACACGACGCAACCGGCGGTATACTCCGTACACCAAGCTTCGCCCCACCAGCTGAAAGCACGTGCACACAGCATGTATACGCAATCAACACCACGGTAATAATCAAAACACCGGAACAAATCTTTCACATACGACCATAGGACACTGAGAACACGGCTTCCCGTCCGCTCAGCCCTAGTTAACCAGTGTACCGGCGGATTAGTAGTTAGGTGGGTGACCACTAGCGAATCCCCGCTGTTGTATGTTTTTGTCTTTTTTTTTCCGGCGTCTTCTCTTTTTTTTTTGGTCTTGTTTTGTACTCGTCGTTTCTCTTGTTTCTCTCTCTGCGGATCTTTTTCTTTTTCCCATCTCCCGATCGATCTTGTGGGGTTCTCTGCTTTTTCTTTGGGTTACGCCGTGTTGTTTGTTTACTCTTGTTCATCGTCGATTGAGCTTTGTCTCTCTTCCTTTCCTTTCTCCTTTACCAAAATGGCTGGATTGTTTTTTCCTTCTCTTAGCTGGACTCACTCACCGCTCCTTTCCTTCCTCTTGACTACTATAGTTGTGGTCGGGGTCGGGGGAGTGGTTAATGTTTTATTTTCATGGCGTTTGTCAGGGCGCAAAGAGGGGGTTGGTTGGTTATAAGAATTTAATGCTTAGTGCTTAGTGTTTATACAGTGGGGTTGGGATAGGGGATAGAATGCTGGAAAAACTGAGATGGTGGGGGATATGGCATATACAGATGATATCAGAAGACGATGGCGTCTCGTTTCAATGAATAGATATGCATACACACACAGTTTTCAGTCCCATACGCATGTTACATCACTGGTGAGAGTCAAAACAGGGTATCGCGCGAGAACGAACGAGATGAACAAAGATAAGACTGATTCAATGATTAAATCTATAAGAACCCCAAGTGTACTCGTATAACGTGTTGTGAAGCTCCAGACGCCAAACGGGGAAAACGCTTCTCGTAGTAGTGAACAAACAATCATCTAAACTTGCTGTAGATGACGGCCATGATGAGCAAGACCAAGACGGTGATTATGGCAATGGTAATGATGCGGTTTGTAGCCATCCTGGGTCAATTTCGTCAGCACATGGTTCGTGGGTCAATTCAAAAGGGCATCCAGCTACAACTCGGCATCAACTCGAGTGGGGGTATGATGGAGTAGCGGGTGTACGTACCGTCTCGCCATGCCCCTCAACGTCTTGATACTCCGATCAGTATAGGTCTCGCTTTCCAGCAACCTCTCTCTTGTGTTCACAATCTGCTCCCGCTGTCTGTGCAGATCACCCAATGTATTAGCACCAATCTGCTCCGTCTCAAGCGCAATTCTCTGGCTCTCCCTCAGCCTTCCACTGGACCTGTTCAAGCGATCGGTTCCTGAGAGAAGTTGTTGGCGCTGCTCGAGCTGGGCGTCGCCTCCCTCTGGGTTGTCGGTGTAGCGGTCACCAAAGAGTTTGGAGCGATCCGAGGTGTAGGTTTCTAGCTTGCGCTTGGTGGTGTCGATGTCGTGCTCAAAGTTGCGGAAGCGCGCATTGTATTTGGATTTCAGGTTGGCGGGGATGTTTGATTTTTCGATGCGCATTTGGCCAATCTGTCGGGCACTTTTATTAGAATTATGTTTTTGGTCATATGTCATTCGGGGTGCTGTGTTGGTGGTCGCATTGCGCATGCGCGACATGCGTTGTTTAGGCTCCAACTCACCAGCTCTTCGGCCTCCTCCAGCGCTCGCTCTGCCCTGCTAATCGCGGCTTTCCTGGGCTCTCCCGTCGTCTCTTTGATCTGCTCTATTTGCTGGCTGAGATCGGCCTGGACCAGCTTGAGCTCGGCTTCGTAGCCGCCGAAGCGCTCGGTGCCTGCATCTGCGTCGATGAGGTTGGACATGATGGTGGTATTTGCTCGAGATGGTATGGAATGGTTTTATATGCTGCTATTGTACTTTGGGTGTGAATAGAGTCGTGCGTGGACGTGTTCGCAAATGGAGTGTTGGTGTACAGTACAGAGTCCGGAGTTACTGAAGCGCATTACGCATTTGCCAAGGTCAGCCCTGTTGTGTCACGTGCGCTAAGTACTGTCATCCCGGCCGAATTGTCTGGAACTCCGCGAGCTTCAGGTCCCATACAGACTCTCTTCGGCGTATCAGCCCGGGATTAGCAGATGAGCACGAGGGCCTAGGGCATCTAGAGTCTCATGGATCTATCTGTGCTGATGCCATTGCGCTCTTCACACTACTATATCTGACATCGGTGCGCCGCAATCATATTGCAACTTTCATTGCCTCACGTACTCCAGATGGAAATTGAACGGAAGGGCCAGATGCATTCTGCCATTTGCACGGGTGGAGTCTGTGGGTAGCAAGATCTGCGATGCTCTGACCAAGGGGCATCCACAACAAAACTGAAGCCAATATTACCCAATTTCTGCGGAGCCCTTTGGCAACTTCGCATATAACATTTAGGCGGGCTCGCAATGATTGTATACTCGAACGGAAGAATGAGCGCGTTGAATCCCTCCGTAGGCACTAGTCATGTACCTGCAACGCAAATCGTTCCGATTCGATGACCTCATGACTCTTGAATCCTCCAAATTTGATTCTTGTCTTCGCATAACCTTTCGTCACCTTCGTGCATCCAATTAGCATTCGCTACCAGCCTGTCTGTATATTCGCCACACCGTTACGCTAGCCCGCCATGAGCAACACGACAGAGAAGAAGCGCATAGCCATTGTCGGTAGCGGCATATCTGGTCTGAGCGCCCTCTATGCGCTTCGCAACACACAGCATGAGGTCCATCTTTTCGAAAAAGAAGAACGTCTTGGTGGCCATACGAATACTGTGACATGGACACACAATGGCAAGACCACGCCCGTAGATACGGGCTTCATTGTGCTCAACACCGCGACATATCGTCCGTGCCCTCTCTAGCCATGTAGCTACATCAACACTAACAATCGTCAGCGAACTTTATTAAATTCCTCGCGGCTCTCGGGGTGAAGACTGTGGATTCAGAAATGACTTTCGGTGTCTCTCGCGATGCCGGCGCTTTTGAATGGTCGGGTACATCAGGCAGCACGCTCTTCGCTCAGCCCGCCAACGCCCTGAAGCCTTCATTCTGGCGCATGATATTCGACATCGTACGCTTCAACCAATTTGCCCTGGATCTCTTGTCTATTCCCCCAGGTTCCCTAGATGCTGTCGCCGCTACGGAGATGAGCATTGGTGAGTACTTGGAGTTGAAGGGCTATTCAGATGCTTTCAGAGATGATTACTTGATTCCCATGACGGCGTGTGTATGGAGTACCGGCGCAGACAAATGTGCCCTCGAATTTCCAGCCCTGACACTGGTACGCTTCATGTGGAATCACCATCTACTCAGCACGATCGCTGAGCGACCCCCGTGGTTGACTGTCCAAGGTGGTGCCATCAAATACATCGATGCCGTGCTAGAGCTAGCAGGGAACTGCCAAGGTCATCTCGGGACTCCCGTGCTGGCTGTGAAGAGGAAGGGCGGTAAAGTTGAGCTCAAGTTGGGTGGCCGGGGAGAGGGTCAGACAGAAACCTTTGATGAGGTCGTGTTTGCTTGCCATGGCGATCAAGCGAGGTGGATATTGGGCGATGAGGCAACGGAGCAAGAGAAGGAGATTCTTGATTCATTCGAAACAACGCCAAACACAGCATATCTACATTCAGATCTCTCGGTAAGATCCCTAATCTTGGATCGTGATCAAAAGCCACTAACAAGTTCTAGCTCATGCCCACACGCCGCACCGCCTGGTCCGCATGGAACTACCTCACTACTTCGAAGGCTTCAACACCAAAAAATGCAAATCTCACAACGTCCGCAGGCACACTTGAAACTGTTTGCTTAACCTACGACATGAACACGCTTCAACACATCCCCCGCGACACCTTCTCCTCCGTCCTCGTGACCCTCAATCCCCCTCATCCACCATCTCCGTCTTTGACTCAAGCAACATATCAGTACAGGCATCCCCTGTATAACTCCCGGATGGTGTTCGCCCAAGACCGACTCCCAGAGATCCAAGGCAAGCAAGGCATCTGGTATGCCGGTGCTTGGACGGGATACGGGTTCCACGAGGATGGATGTCGGAGCGGGCTGCAAGTTGGAGAGAAACTTGGAGGGAGTGCAGGTTGGGATGTTGTAGACGCCAAGTTCATGCGAGGTAGAAAGCCAGAGCTGGAGTGGAAAGATAACGTGGTCAGAGTGGTGGTTCTTCTGGTGCAGATGTGGATCACCGTGCTAGAGGGTCTGGTTGGTGTGAAGAGAGAAGGCAGCGCGGCACTGAAGGCGAGTGGGAAGAAGGAGCTATAGTCATGAGTTCCATTAGGGTTACTGTACATAGAAGATCATCATCTTTCCTCCTTTATTATCGGTCATTCAGCCATTTCAATCATCCAGTCATCAAGTCATGTTCTTTCCACCCGTCTAATCTACCACTCCTACCCATTAGTCTTGAAACAGCTTTCTCCTTGTCTCAATTGGCAAGAGACCATCGGGCGCATCAGACAACTCCTCAGATAACGGGCTAGTGAAGCGCTTCTGGTACTCTGCAGTCGTCTCCCGCTTCTGCCTCTTCTTCCTCACTTCGGGCTTCCCAGACTTGACTTTCTTCCTGTTTTTGATCTTTCCACTAGCCATGACACTGGTCTGGTTCTCTGGAGTGACAGGCGCAGCCACTTCTTGCTCAGGTGTAGCCTCGCACGGCATGGGCTCGGGAGAACTCGGTGGAAGCCAGACGTATCCAAGAGGAAGATCGCCTCTCAGCTCGGCATAGTGGGTGAGCGGTGGATCGAACTCGAGAGTAACCTCTTCCTCGGCTTCTTCTTGTGGCTCGCTGAGGTCGAAGATGTTTGGGACGTGGTAGGGATCGTCCTCTGGATCCTGCGAAGCTGCAGTATTGACGCATGTGGGGACTGCTGTGACGGTTCTGTAGTCGCCAGTTGGCAGGTTGTGGTAGTTGACGAAGTTTTCTTCGGCAGTAAGTTGGCTCCTGAGTCCGTCTTCGAAGCAGTGGAGTGTCGCCAGGGGTGTACTGACGACCTCCTCGTGGTTGTTTGGGATGTTGGTCTCAGAGCCTTTGGGGATGTTGAAGTCGTCCTGGCCCTGCTGACCAAGGTCAGGGCACGGGTTCTGGTACATGCTGCAGGAGTCTGCGCGTGACTGAGAATGTGTATTAGTATAGCTTTTCGCAGAGTGTTGCGAGATCTAGAGGCAGCGGCAGAGGCGATGGCGAGGTGCGGGTGTTGTTGTGAGGATTTCAACGAAGAGATGAAGTTTTTAATTTGCGCATGCTCATACTCAATATATGGTGAGAGTGAAAGGTGAAACATTTTCATGTGTTTCTCGCGCACAAGTGAACGAGGAGGATATTCCAGACATACCTCTCCATCTTACACCAAGCGCCCTATGCTGATGTACACCTGGCATGGCCTGCGTGCCATATTGCCTGCTCTTGTCTTTCGGTGCCACCTCTTGTAATTTTCAATGTTCTTGTGCGGGTCTTTCCATCAAGTTCTCTTCTGCTTTCACTGTCCCAGCGCAGGAACTGCTGGAAAGCAGCGATGATATGAGGCATCATGATAGGTATTTCTGCTAGATTCGAGTATTTTGGAAGCAAAGATGTGTTGGAGACTTGAAATGGTAGACAGAACCTTGAAAGTGGGCTGTTGAGACTTTAAGGCCGATAGACAAGACAAGGTCATCCACTCAAGACAACACACCGCTATGGGGAAATAACCGAGCAGTCTAAGACAGGAGCCCCTCTGCCAGTTGTATGGAGTATACCAAGAAATACTACGAGCATAGCCGTACGATAGGAGTCACAGTGTACTGACCCTAGGGCCGATTGTGGAGCACGCGATGCTCGCGTAACGCATGACATCACGCTCGCAGCATGTTGGCAGCAGAATGCTAGTCTCTCAATACTCACGATTGGTTTCGACTACTGCTAAGACCCCAGTAATCGAAGATCGCGATGAAGGTGGCTGAAGCGGTGAGCTCGGTGATTGGTCTGACACGTGTCTACGGGCCGACCTTACCCGAATAGGATGGATCCATCAGCACTTGCTCGAAACTTGGACGCTTCCATCACCAACCATCCTAGCTGCCAGAATGACTTTGAAGATGTCGACATACGTCTCAACCAAGCTTTGAGAAGGATAGCTTCCGCGATCAGCCGTCAGGTAGCCATCACGCGCCACGTGCGAAACACCAACTGAGGAAAGCACGTGCTCGAATGCAGGGACATCTTTTTGACAGCTCTAGTCGCTGTGCCTTCACCTGAAGTTTAGCACCGCTTTGAACATTAATCGAGCGCCTTTTGGGCATATTCCGAATAAGAAGGCTTGGACAAAGGACATTATGGCTATGGTTATTGCCCCGCATGCCAATTTACTCGCTGCAGGGTACCTGCCTGTGGGGCCAACTTTCCAGCCAAGTACAAGATGACGATGAGGCACACAAGCCTTGCGGTGTCCGCCTGATATCTCGAAAACATTAACCTGCATACATTAGTATTTCAGCGCTTTACTCTGTCTGATCAAGAGGCACTAGAACTGCACGAGACCTTGATTGCCCATCGACCAGGAAAAAAGAGAACAGACCTAATCGCTGCTATCACATGCCGTTCTTGGATTGAATTCAGTACACTTTTCTCAACAACTACTCGAGATATACCCGCAAGATATTCAGCACCCATGTGTACGGTGCGGGTCCATCTAAGGACGGCTATGTACAATCACCATGCAGATTCTCTCGTGGCTGGGAAAAGTACGACTTTCCATGTTGACGGGCTACCGGGATTTGGAGATTAATTCCCATGTGCCCGAAGAATCCCATATGAACGTTGGGCTACGCAGCCCGGCACTTGCGCTCTTCACGTCAAGATGTCCCACAAACCTAATGTGGGGTGAGATAAGACCCAAGCAATGAACTAATAGGGACATGATATGCAGATTTAAGCGGTCGCCATGATCTTTTGTAGGTGTATTACAGCCAGAACGGTTGTTCCGTCGGTACATGTGGCTCCTCATCTAGATATATCTTCAGAATCCAACAGAGTACATATAAACCAAGCTGCAAACACTGACAAGAAACTCTCGTTATACCATAGCCTTGACAAAATACCAGACAGTCATGCATTACAACTACATCGTTATTCTGGCGCTCACTGCCTCAAGCCATGCCCTCATCCGCTTCGGATGCTCACAACTGGTCGTCGACCGTCTTGATCCCTTGGTCGAGCCTGGAAACGAGCCATCTTCCCATCTTCATCAGATTATCGGTGGAAACTCTTTCGTCCCTGACATGAGTCCAACTACACATGATCCACCCAGCATGTCAACATGTACCACCTGCCAACCCGCTGACGACTTCTCGAACTATTGGACAGCCTCCCTTTACTTCAGTGCGCGAAATGGTACATACAAGCGGGTCCCTCAGAAGGGAAACGCTCTCTTCGAGGGTCAGAACGGTGGAATGACAGTCTATTACATGCAGAATCAGTTGGCGGATTATCAGCAAAAGTCCAAGGTCAAGGCCTTTCAGCCGGTTGGTACACTCTAGGTTTTGATAAGACTTTACTAACAAGGTATGACTAGGGCTTTCGAATGATTGTTGGTTCGCCTACAGCAACAACTAGAGCTGAGGCGGACAAGTACCCGCAACTCACATATACCTGTCTGCAAGACATGGGCACCCGTTTCCCAGAGACCAAAGCCTTCCCTAAGAAGCCATGTCCAGCAGGTATCATGGTCAATCTCAGATTCCCGACGTAAGCAGCCAGGTACACCCTTCAACACTGACATCGTACTGACTATACCAGATGTTGGAACGGCAAAGACCTCGATTCACCTGACCACATGGCCCACATGGTATATCCACTCCAAAATCCTGAAGATGCGCAATCTGACACACAGCAAGGCCTACCCCGAATCCGGTACCTTCGAGTCGCAAGGCCCTTGTCCAGCATCCCATCCAGTCCGCATGCCCCAACTCATGTACGAAGTAATCTACGAAACCGCCGCCTTCAACGACATCTCCCTCTGGCCCGAAGACGGCAGCCAGCCCTTTGTCTACTCCTTCGGCGACAACACCGGCTACGGCAACCACGGCGACTACATCTTCGGCTGGAAAGACGACGCGCTCCAGAAGATAATGGACGAGGAGTGCTACGTAAACTGCGCAACGATGAGGACCCAAAGCATGGAAATGATGAACAGCTGCAGCGTACCACGCAAAGTAAACGAAGCCATTGGAGACACAGCTTGGATCCCAGCCCTGCCAGGTCACATGAACGGCACAGCGACGACGGAAAAGGCTAGAAGCTTCCGCGCTTAGAGAAAAGCGACTTGTCCTTTTGCTTCTAGAACCGCTCTGGAGGCTAGAGCACATTTGCATTTCCCAACGTGCTTTGGAACTCGGAGGCGCTACAGGAACCGTTGACCTGGCTGGTGGGCTGGACCCTTCGCTCTCGCTTTCGTGAGAGTGGCTGACTTGCTTTTTGTTCGTTTCTCAAAGTTTGGGCCTGGGAGAGAACCGGCGCAGGTACCGGGCGATGTTAGCGCAAACTGGAATTTCGTTACGGTAGACTAAGAGGAAAAGTAAAGCAGTGTTCGTGCGAACGTCATTTTGTGTATGTTTATGTGTGTCTATGCATGATTTGAGTTTGTGGTTAAGCCGGGTTGTTCTGGATTGCCTTGTACCTGCATTGCGATGGTGCATGCAGTGTATGGTTTCACAGAAGCTGCATCGCATGTGGAATTTATTAACGAGCACGCTTTTGACTGCCATGCCATTGTAACGACCTGTGTCCAGGGTATGCAATCCAGTGCTGCAAAACCACAGCAATGACCAATGGATACCAAACAAAATCACTTCCACCGATAAACCTTCCAACTCCTCCAAACCGGTAACAGTCCCCCGTTCACTCGTCTGGGCTCAAAATCCTTTATTGGCATCGCGATGATCTTCTGGTTCGCACTTCCATAACGCGATACCTATTCTTGTACTTCACGAAATTTTTCATCTGACATGTGCTTGTTTTTCGGGTTTGCCTTCATCCTCCAGTTCCCCGACTTGATCCTCGAGTTTACAAATTGTAGTGAGCCAAAAGTAATCTTGTATGTTGGTTTGGGAGGTGCAAAGTGCATTCGCACCGGATAAGCTCGGTGGCTTGCGTCTCGGAAGGGTCCATGGTCGCGCTGCTCGGGCTATGATGTGCGGCTTCGTGACCATTCCGGCCAGAGCTCTTCTTCGTGCTGAGAAGCCGGTAGGATAAGCCGTGGAAGCGGGAGCGAAGTAGACATGGGTAGCGGCGGACGACTGCCTGACCAAGTCCCTTGTTGTTCTTCGGGGTATTGAACACCTGTTGGCGACAGTTGGAGAGTCTGTTCGAGCGTCGAGACAGATGGCTGCTTGGGAATGGGAGTGGGCGAGGATGGTTTGTACCTGGCCGGACTAGACTTGGGTGTTGTAGGTTTCGGCGCGATGGGCAGCCACACGACCGGCTTTGGTTTCTCGACTGGCAGTCTTACCATCGGCTTTGTAGACCACGGCCAGCTTCGGCTCGGTGAGGAACACAAGTTTACTAAATGTGATTTGAACTCTGGCATTTTCTTCGACGATTCGCTGCAGGAGCTGTTGAACAATGCGTCTTCTGAAGAGCGGTGTACTTCGGCGTCCCACGAAGGGTCCCAGACTTCGATAGTTTCCATATGGAACTCACTCAGACAATACTCCTGCGTAGCCAAATGTCCGTTTACCACAGTTTCCCCGTATGCCGTAACCAGTCCTCGTAATTCTAGATCGACATCTTTCCAGTAGCGACCGTGGTACCCTTGGTCGATAAGCTTGGACAGGGTGCACTGAAGTGCGTGCTGGGCTGCCTCTTGAGCAAGTGTAAGGCTAGTAAAGATGCCGAGATAAAATATCTTAACAGGAGCGTTGGGGGGGAAGATTGGCTTGTGGTAGTGCTTCAGCACGAAGCCCACTCCTGGAGCTTGATCGGCGGCGTCCATGAGCGATCGAGATGCAGCAGGTACGTTGGAGCGCGCGTGAGGAAGCTGCGATTTGCAATCACAAATAGCAAGAGTAGTTGTAGGTTATTATGGTTAGTTTGTGTCGCGATTGCTTTGTGTCAAGCTTGTTGCAGAGACCGTACACAGGTGAACGTCTCAGTCACTGTGAGTCTCCGTTTGCTCGTTCCAAGCGCGGTAGGCAGCAACGCAAGAGCGCAGTAACAAACACACGACCTCATGCGACTCTCATCCTGAAATATCTGGTACTTCATAGATGCAGCCTGATACAGGCGCATACGATACGGTTCGATACATTATTGTGATTAGTATTGGAACAAGGTCCCTCTAGTAGTATGACTACTATGGATAACCGAGTGGGAGGAGGGACAAGGCGGGGTGGCTGCAACGTATTGTATTCACTATCGTGTATTGTATCTTTCTTACTCTTTCTGTTGTGGTGGGTGCCATTGCCCACCGGGCAGTACCTGCCACACCAGCACATCACGTGACTCTCAATCACCTTCTACCCTGGACTGAACCCAGATATTCTCAACAATTAGCGTCGCATCGATGTATGCTCAAATGCGCTCGTGAGACAGCCGTTCAATAACTCCCTTGGGTACAGAGACAATAACGTCCTTACATTTGGTAACTTGGCTTTGGTGAATGACATGGGCTTCAATCCACCCTTTTCCATGTTGCTCTATCAGAGCAAATCAAGAACTTTTTAGAAACTGGTCGATGTTCTTCGTACGGCGTCCTCTTGTAGTCGCAAATCGACTATCGCAGTCGCGAAAGCCGAATTTTCTTCTTCATATACACACATGTGGTAACGATGGGTCTACTCAATTGCACAGCTGAGGTAAAACAAGATAGAAGTAAGAGCAACAGACACACATAATTGCATGTTGACAATGGAGTGCAAAGTGGCCGAAAAGATTGACCTCTAGCTGCTACCAAGGCAAGGGACATGGTGTTCGGTGGCATTGTGACCAAGTGGTGTGACAGGTATCGACAGGCGTTCCTTCCTGTAGAAGTTAGTCGGCAAATTCATCGCAGTTGCCTCGACTTCACGATAAGCTCAGACGCCAATATCACAAGTGAGCTGCATCTTGGCATTATTGAACGGCGAGGTTGAGCGCTGACCAAGAGACTCTTGCTAGCGATGAGGGATAAATTTGCACTGAGAGTGAGCATGAAGCGAATGGAAAGTCACCGCCAACACCCCGAGTCAGGCCAGTTCGTGAAGAACGCCACCGAACAGGTGCTTGGTTCAACCAAGATTAGTCCCAGCACATAGATCGGCCGGACACTATGATCAGTGATGGGAGAAAGCGAGGAAGAGACAGAGGCTTGGGATCTATTACCTGATTTGCTGACAAGGAAAGCGGGTAATTCTATGGTTAATGTTTGCCATCAACATGGAACAGCCTGGAAAGGGTCGCGATACCCCCCGCGGAATATCTCGCAGCATCAACCACAGAATGGCCAGTCCATGACTTGATCGCCGTCACCTAGAGGGCCGACACGGCCGCAGACGCGGCTTTCGCACGGGTCGGAGATGAAGTCATCGGAATTGTCAACGAACTGACCACAGAAAATATGAAATTCCCATATGCCCTCAGTTGCACGGATCATCGATGCCTTTCGGGCTATGGTGGTGGTGTGGTGGAAATGTCGCATTCCTCATCCCGCGCGAACAATCAATCAACCCCTGAGTGTCCCGCTGTCGTCGCGTAGCGATGGCAGTTTACAGCGATGATTCGTCTGATGAAACATTCGTCGCTGCGGGCTGTAGATAGCTCTAGGGAGGTTGCTGCAAGTAGTCGACATGTGCGATGTTCAGCGAAGTGGGGCAAGGGTACCAGATCCATCGCAGTGATCCTTTCTTATGTACATACATGCAGGCACAGGCGAGCATGGGTTCACGATTCATGCGCAGAGAAGCCCGGATATCGGGTGCAGGTAATACTAAGAACGTTAGGTTCCAAGGTCTTGGAGAAGTGTCACTTGCCGCGGACGTGGACCTTGATGAGGAAAAAGCAACTCTGCAAACATGTTCCGTGCGTCATGTGGCTGTGGAGGCGTCCATGGAGAAGAAGGCCACTTCTGGTACCGCAGACTCAAGAGCTCGTGCGAGTCTAATTGGCAAGAGCTAAGGAGGCGCCCGCTAGAAGCGAGCTTCATCTTAGCCTCAAAATCGAACTGTCTTCAACAGATACAGTCAGCAGTCACCGACTCATGTAGAAACTTTTACCTCGTAGCATGCGTTTGCTGGTTCAGGACATCAAACAAGCCTGGAAGAAGCTCGGGGGAGATGGTAGTCACGTGACTTTGGTGATGTCACAACTGCCCCGGATGTCAAAAAGAATCGAGTGCATGGCTGATTGGTGCAGAGAGCTGACGTTTATCTCCGGAACATACTAGGTGCCGTCGCGAAAGTTTACAACGGGGCATTGATCATGCTGCGGTTGCGTTGTTCCTGTATCACATAATGTGATTGCAGATCATGTTTCGTGGATCCGGTTTAGGAAACGGCAGCTACCGACTACACCAAAGGACGGCTGGGGAGTATGTTTATTTCAGGATCACCACACTCCCCAGTGTTGCGTAAACTTAATCCCAAGACATTGGATAGGATTCATAGCGCAAATTGAGAAGTATATCTGGTACGTTTGACGGTAGCGATATGCTGGGTTGCCTTCACGTGGCGGGGAAATGATTTGACTTTCGCTTCTCGCAAAGAAACTTTGGTGCTTATCTCACACACGTCTTTGACCTTCTGTAAACGTTCGACGGTCCTAGCTAACCCCGCAGTGAGCAGCCTTCTAGATTCGTCTGCAAGCCGAGTTCAAGCGTCGCTGGCTCAGCGCATCCTACTCACACATGCCGATGGTGAACGCCATGCATCTTTGTCAATTTGGCACCGAAGAGATCGGTAATTTCAACCACCCAAGGCTCCGAGGGGTTGGCGATCATGGCCTTGCGCCCCTTGCCAATTTCCATTTGGACATGCGGTAAGCGGCATACTTGCTTCTGCCGTCCGTCCCCAGACAGGGCAGCGGCACCACTTGCTTATCCTGCCAGTTGATCGTTTTCCCGCTGACTCGCAAGAGAACGGCTACAGGGTGTTGAATGGCAACGTGAATGTACACAGAGAACGTTGAGGCTTAGGCACGCGTTACAAAGTTTGGGACCAGGACGCATCGTGACGACTTGAGGCCACGCCGAGAGCTCGGATTCGCATCACCAATGGAAGGCGCATAGCCGTGTCTGATTGGAGTTTTGCCCACTCTGGTCAGGGCTGAGAGCCGGCATCATGCATGCAAGGGCGATCGCGTACATTTACGAATTTCGTGGCTGTCGAGACGTGCGCTGTGGCTGTCTGAGCGAACGTCACTCTGTTCCCACCACCCTGGGCAGCTTCTTGCTTTGCGTGGCGGTCGTCGTCATGCTTCGGTTCTCCGCACCGCTTGACCGCTTGCAAGCGTTGGAGTCGTTGAACTGTTTGAAACTCCCAGATAACGCGGGTTGTTGAGTCCTCATCTCTTAACGGTCCTGCAACGCAAACTGACAAGCGACGGTCGGCGCCACGCCGTCTGTTACGGAGCCAAATTTTCAGCAAACAGGGCAGAGATTTACCGTCTGGGTGGAGACTAAGCTGAGTCGAGACGGCTCTCGGCGATCGACACGGGTGCAGCCCAGATTGCCGGTTCATCATCGGCCGTAGGTTAGCGCACATATGCAGGTGTTCCTGTCCGCTAGCCCAAGTGGCCGTGTATGGTGCAGAGCGCGGGTGGCAGAAGGTGACAGTTGCTGGATGAAGGTGTGGTCCATAGTGCATGGTGCAAAGATTGTCAGGACAGCGCACCTGCTATTCGGCGACGACGAGGGTCCCCCCATGTGCGAGCCGGCTTCGACGGCCCACGCTACAGCTGCTCAATTAGGGCAACGCCCACTGGCAGCATCAAGCAGTAGCAAGAGGTCGAGAAGCCATGTGCCTACCACGGATGAAATCATGGCACCCGTTCGAGCGGCAATTAGACCATGCCATCTACGGTATGGGGATAAGATGCTGCCATTTCTACATGTCTACTTATAGCCCTCGGTGCTCCCGGTCAAATATCTCCCACCCCACAGGTAACCTTTCATCTCCCCTGACTAGCCATACCTCCACCATACTCCTGTCAAGTCATAGTCATACCGGAGGTCCGACTACTAATCGGCGACTTGAAGTAGCTCCCTTCAAACCCTCCGACCTCATACCACCTTTCAATAGTCCGTGTAGCGGCACTGGCTTTTTTTTTCTCGTTACGAAACTTCGGCTGCAAACGGTATATATCGTTACGGTAACAGCTTGTTTGCTCTTGCCCAAAGACGAAAATCGCCACGCGACCTGCACACTGCCATCGTCACTTCCCCGCAACCTCTGTCACACGGCATCACGTTCTTTCTCGATAAGATCGGGCCCAGCACTTGCCTATCATGGTCTACTCACTGTCTTATCGTCGCCCCGAGCGCGCCTCTCGCCCCGAAACGCCTTCTTCCATCTCCAGCGAACACAAGCAAAAGTCGATCCATGAATCAGTCCGTTCGAGCGGCAGCGGCATGTCCAACGGTATTCCCGAGGCCTTGTCCTTTGACACTATCATTGCTGGCGGTGCCTGCCCAGTAAGTTATCATTCCATATTCTACGTCACATGTTCTTCCCAATTCGTTTGCATGGCGTGTTCCTGCTGATCATGTCTAGCCCTGCACCGTTCGTGACTTTATGAATTTCCTCAAGTACATTGAATTATCTGCCGAAAACCTCCAATTCTTCCTTTGGTACCGCGACTACGTCAAGCGCTTCGACAACTTACCCGAAACTGAGAAAATCCTATCTCCTGAGTGGACCGGCGAGAAGAACATTGGCGAAGCGCTCAAAAACCCACGTGCCTTCAACGCTGGTGCCGCAGCCATACTCAAAGGCACTGACTTTGCCAATGAAGGCAAGCCCACCGAGTCGGAGAAGGGCGCCAGCAATCCCTTCTTCACTCCCCCTCGCACGCCAACTAGCCTTGAACAAAGGCGGGACGATTACTCCATCGACTCGTTTGATGGGAGTGTAGGGGTTGGCAAAGTAGACCACACTCAACGTGCTGCTGGTGCGTTTGATAGTGCTGGTCTCAAATGGAAACCACGTGAGTATATCCTTTTGCTAATTTTGTTTCTTCTCCTATAGGAACCAATCGCTCATCCGCCACAGTTTCCGTTCAACCCTACCGAGAAGAGATCGATCGCATCATTTCCATATACATTGCCGACAACGGTTCGCGACAACTGAACTTGTCCTCCAAGGAGCGTACGGGGCTGCTACATGCTCTCCAGAACACAACACATCCCTCGGCTTTTGCCGAAGTCATCACCACCGTCGAGTGGTCACTTCGATGTCAAGCGCATCCCAACTTCGTGCGCTGGACCATCTGCAACGGCAATCGCGCACGTGTCATCTTCGCTCGCGGCCTTGGCCTCTTCGGCATTGCTGCTGGTTTGATCGTTGCCATCATCCTCACACTCAGCAGCGCAGGCCGTGCATGGCGTATCATCTCCATGATTGGCTTCTTCATCGGTATTTCTACACTGATTGCAGCATGGAAGGGCATGTGTGTTGTCCTTCACGGCATGCACCACCGACACGTGCGACCCTGGGAGCTCTTCACATCCGACGACGAGCAACAGGCGTACGACTTCAAATCCGACTCGTTCAACAGTGTCGACTCGCATTCCTCAAGCAACTCATGGGAAGATGAGCCTTGGGTTGCGCGTTACGAGAAGCGCAATGTTGTTCGAAAAATCTTTGATCGCGAAGTCTGGATCCAGGAGCCTGCTTTGCGCCAGATACAAGACACCATCTTTCTTCAAGCCATCTTAGGTGCTCTGATCATCTCTGCTGTAGCCGTTGGCATCTTCTGTGCCATTCCACAAGGCAACTTCTTCTAGTCTCTGGATCGCCACACCATGCGACCTTGCTATCTACCCAACATGGACTTGACACCCAAACAATTTTTCCCAAACTGGCTTTTGGCTTCTTCCCTTTTTGATACCCAGTTACATACTTACATGAAATATCTCCATCCGCAGTGTCGGTCGGGAGGAAAAAGAATATAACGACAAAGTTGGTCGGCGTCGGCGTCTGGATGGAGATTATGATTTCTCGTGCTGCAACCGTATCTTACATCTCACATGGCTATGTGAGACGGAGAAGTTTCTTTAGTTAGCGATCAGAATGACAAAACATTTATTACACCAACCCTACGGAAATGAAGTTGCGATCGAAGTGACGTGCAAACTATGAGCCCAACAACTGGCATGCGCCCTCGTCACATAGACAGATCGAGAAGAGTCAGCTTAGTAAGTGATTACCAGCATGTCCCTGACCATCCGTTCATCCACTCCGCCAAACTGACCGCCGGCATACGAACGGATCCGCCGCCTTCCGCTGACACTCCTTATCCCACACCGAATCCAGCAACCACAGCGCACTCCCGCAGCTTCCGACCCTCGACCTCGTATTTTTTTCTCACTCAGCACACTTTCCCGGTTCGTCATATGGCCTGCTGTTTCGTCTTCCTGGCCCACGGAGATCAACATCGACACACCTGCGTTTTGTGGACATTGGGCATCAGTGTTTATCTCTTGGGAACCCTGGGGCCCCCGGGGCTCGCCGAAAACCCGTATTACGCATATCGATCGCGATATGAAGGGAGTTGTCCACATTCGTTTGTTACTTTAGATACGTCTGCGTCATCATCGCAGAACTCACCTAAACGACCAATCTTTTGGGAACGTGTGGATGAGGTGGGCTGCAGCGCATGAGTGAGTTGGAAAGGGGTGTGGGACTGTGATGGAACTGGGTGTGGGGCCATGCTGTGTTGTTTTTGTTCTTCTGTCGTGGGTGTTGGTCCTGGGAAGGTTTGGCGAAGAAGGGGTGAGACTTGGAGGTGGAGATGGTAGGGAATCTTTGAACATCTAATGACTAAGAAGGCTACGTACGGTTGTCTGGGTCGGGGTGTTCAATTTCAGATACCAGTCATTCCGGTCTCGATGTACGTACACATGTGTAAGCACGTTAGCAGTATATATCATTCTTGCTTTGTGACTTTCTTCTCATTCCTTTTCTTTTTAATGTCAGAGGCAAATTGGTTATTCTGCCGCTTAGTAGCCTTTAGTCTTAGAGGTACCTGTAATGCACCACATAGGGGGTTTATTGGGTCCTTATTGACAAGGTTTTTGGGATAGGCTGTTGAATTCAATGGTTAGAAATAGTACTGGGTGAATGGAATATCAATAAAATGGCATATTACTACATATTCTAAGGATAGACGAATCGCTACTGAGCCACGGTAGCACATGCGCGCCCTAAACACCTAAGGATGACTTTTCCTGGTCTAGTCTAGGCGGCGTCCTAACATGTATGTCCAACACTTTTCGATACAATTCACTCCATTAGGTGCGCACTGGCTTCATATATAAAACTCAGTTACCCCACAATATCATTCACTGCCCTGGGTAGTGCCCTTGTACTGCTTATGCTCAGTGCCGTAGGAAAGAACGACCGCTGACTTAACACGTCCCAAAACTTGACATACTTCACTGAGGAAGCTGCCTACATAGCTGTCAGATTTCCATTTACTCTCACTCAAAACATAGCGTTACAGAGCTAGCGGGGTGAATGGCATTCATCAAAGCATTGACTATAGGCAGCTTATTCACACCCAGTCTATTCCCGTACGGGGCGGCGCGTTGTGGATACCTGTATGCCTTTTATTTCTCAACCGTTACTAAATGGGGCCTTAGTGATCGTCTTCCATCTCAAATAATCTTTTAGATGAAGATCGGAGGTGAAACGTCCGAGCTATGCTGTTAACCCTAGCGGATCTCACGCCGAGCAATAGGCCATTACATATGTATGCAAGGCTGGGTATTAGTTCATGATTTGTTTGTGTTACTGTAAATCCTTCTACCAAGCTCACGCCGAGCAATGGCCAGTTGTGCAAGGCTGGGTATCAGGTCATGATTTGGTTGTGTTTGTTGTAGATCTTTCTACCAAGGCCGAGCTTGCGTTGTCGTAAACCCTTCTACCAAGGCCGAGCGATACAAGAACTCGACCTAGTGTAGCTTGGAGACCCCAAGGGCTCGCAGATACTGCGGGTAGAGAATATATTGAGGAGGCATATATAGATAGGTACATCGACGCACTCAGCTTCTCATAATCACTTGCTCATAAACTCTTCCTCAGCTGAACGCCAACAAGACAAACCGATCACTCGCCCCTAAACGATACCATCACGACACCATGAAGTTCACAACCCTCACAGCCCTCATTGCTTCCCTCCTAGTCGCGGCTGTCGCCAGCGAGCCAGTCCCTCACGTATATTCTGTTCTCCACACTACTTCCTCCTAGACGTACATTTAATAGAGCTTGAGATCGTGCATTAACACTCAGAAAGGTATGGACTTGCTCGAACGGTGCAGAATTCAACGGCCGCCCGTGCTGCAACTTTTGCCAGTCTAATGGCCAGACGATTGAAAGGAACTGCGATGGTAAATGCTGTGCTTGCATCTAAGTCTCGGAAAGGGGGAGTCAAGACGGAATAAACCATGTGCGGTACTGGAGAAATAGTGTTGAGGTCTTTTTAGCGAGATCTTCGGTGAAACCTCTGTGGGTTGCCTGCCCGAACGACGTTCAGATCAAAGAGAGGGCACTTTTTATCCCGATCCACTTCTGAATATAAGCTCTCTATCGAATACAATGTCAGTTTACCTGTGCATCTGCTCCCTAAGTGTAACACATAATTCATTACGTTATATCTAGCCTCACCAAACTACAGCCCTCCTCTTCCTTGCAGTCGTCGCAGTCCCCGCTCTCAGTGGACTCTCTCCCTTCAAATCACTCACACACTTGAGGTTACTTGGCCTCGCTGTGTCCCTCGCACTGTATGTCCATTTGCCGGGGCTACCAGCCACAGCTGTCATCTTCCTTGGCGTTCCTCCACTTAGCACCAGGTTCATGGCCGCATTATCCCCATTCCGAACATTTGAACTGCACGCCACTGTGATACTGCCTGACTGCCGTGACTCCCAGGTATATGTATCCATGGTAACGGTATCCGTGATGGTAGGGTTGACCTTGAGGGTGACGGTACCTTTAGCAGTGTTTGTGGTGTTTGACTTTTGGGTGATGGTGAGCGTGAAGGTGAAGCTTGTTTCGGCAGACACCTTGGGGGCGAGGAAAGTAGCTTTGGGGCTACTGGCTGAAGAGATGCTGATGGTAGGTGTAGATGGCGAGGTTTGTGTCCAGGCGAAGGTAAGGTCGCTGTCTGAGAGACCCGAGGCGATGTTCGAGCCGCTGAGGACCACGTCGGTGCCGACGCGGAGAGCGCTGCTGAAGGCGAGGATATTGACTACAGGAGCTGGAGAGGCAGGAGCGTCTGGGTTAGGGGTCGATGAGGGTGTGGGCGTGGCGCTTGGGTCCGGAATATCGGCAGGGCTGCAAGTTTTTGAGGGAGCTGGGGGAGTGGGACCTGGGAATGGAGATAGAGGGCCGTATTGTTTGCCGTTGAGGAAGTCACCCTGAACGAGACCACGGATGCCGGTGAAGGGATAGGGGGGCGGGTTTGTTCCGGGGATGTCGACTTCGGGGAAGATCCATTCCGTAACGGCAGTGACGTACTGACCTGCCTTGATTCCATCCTTCGTCACTACGACCGGCGAGTTGGCCGTGATGCGGTACTCGCGGGTGAAGGGACCTTGTGCTGGCGAGGGAATTCTGGCTTCCCACTTGCAGCGCGTCTCCGCCTTGGGTGTAGCTGAGCCGATGGTACGATATGTCTCTTTGCCCGTGCAGGGGTCGACCTCAATCGCGCTGATGGAGACGCTGGCGCCAGTGCAGCTCGAGAGGAAGCCGATGACCTTGATGTCGGCAACTTCCACATTGGCAGCAGTGTCGGCAACACCGACAAGAAAGTCCTCTACGCGGATGTAGTTGGGCACTGTCGCACTAGCTTGCGTCGTGATGTGCAAGCTGATACACACAATGTCCGACACCAACATCTCGTTACCTCCAACCTTGAGGCCTGAGTACTCAATGAAATCCCCGACCTGGAGCGGCACCATGCTGAGAACATCTTTGGGAGTAAAAGCTTGGCCGGCGCCACGGTTATCAGTCGAGCACCTATCCGCATTGCCTGAGTATGGGATACACATGGGAAATCCCGAGAAAGCAGTAATCGTGGGATTCGCTGTGTCGGCAATCCAGTATGGCTGAGCTTCGTACTTGGGTGCATACAGACCATCTGGGTCATTGATACGAATCCTTGGTCCCCCTCCAGCAATCTGGAGAGTACCATCCGCATTGATGGCAGAAATGTATCCCTGGCTCCCCTCAAGCCCAAAGCGTTGGGCAACTGAGATCTGACCTGCGATGACCTCGCCGTTGACAATATTGCCAACAACCGTGGTCTCGAAGGTAAGAGCGCCAGCACTGCACAGCTCGCGGAACGGTGCGAAGACGACAGGGAAGGCGACAATAAGGTTCTGAGGGACGGTAATTTCCCAGTTGTTGACTACAATGTCTCCACCGGCATTGTATTCTGTGCCCTTGACCTCACACCTAGCGTAAGTTAGAAATTATATGGTTCTGGCGGGGGACAGACTTACGAATCCAGAGACCCAGTGACCATGAATGGCTGAATAGCAGGAAGCTGAGCTAGCCCCGTAGAGGCCAGCGCAAGCAACGAGGCAACTTGTGAGACACGACCCATATTGAACTTGAGAGACAATTGATCTGGTGTTAGAAGATAAACAAAATGGTGGAGAAACACACAATATATATGTTAAGCCTCGAAACCCCAGAATCTACAGCCAAGCTGCCTACGATCTCCGTGCTCTATTCTTGACAACAGCAACAGCCAGAATACCACGCCACGCGAGCCCAGATCCCCATCTTCCTTCACAACCTAAAAACACCTTAAGCGAAGCTCTAGACAAGAATAAAAAGTTCACTGGGGAAAACTTTGAGCTGACACGACAAACAGCCAATAGCCGTGCTAAGTATCAGCCATCGATATTTCCAAGACGTGCGGGCAAAGACTTGTAGGCGACTTCAAGGCGTCCACGATGCCACTCGATTCAGTCTAGTAAAAGACCCTGGCGTACAAAAAGACCGTAGATCTAGAGCTAGGAGGATTCACACATTTCATCCCGTCTCTTAGTGTCGTTTCTCCAACCGTACGTACGATATGCATCACGCGGGGGTAGTCGCTGTTGTTCAACTACGATTGTGGGGCGACGGCTACCTAGGAACTAGTTTTCCACCGCTATCCCACAGACTGATCGAGACCCTGTTCTTGCCCTAGATGGGAAGAAGCTCGTGGTTCCCCATTAGGAAATTTCGAGGCGCAGATGCTGGAAGCGGCTGAAGGATACGAAGACTAGAAATCTCGTACCTGGTCGAGGGTTTCGTGGGCTGTGTGGTAGCGAGGCGTGTTGGGTGCCGGTGGCGTGCCTCGGGGACTAGGTGTTGTGAGCTAGATTCGTTTCCGCATTTGTCGTGAATGCCGGGCTGAAATTTGTTGATGAGGCGTGTACCTGCGTCCTTCTCTTGTGTATAATGTCTTGCTGGTATAAACGGGAAGATACGAAGGCACAAAAACAACAAACCTTGTTGCGAATCCTACTGAAAATTTCCATAGGAAGAGGGCAAACCTAATTCATCATGGCGTACATGCGAATACGATTCCCATCAGCAAACCCCACAGCTAATCTTGCATACGCTGGCGAAATCTTCAGCTGCGAGCTTAACCCCGCCAAGCAACGAGGCTTAAGCAAGTCGGCACGCTCGCCCAGCCCTTCTATTTCTGCCCACTACACGCAAGCTCTACGCTACGAAGCTTATTGCGGAAGGAGAGCAGCGTTTCAGCTTGACCATCTCTTCCAAGCCCCCCAAGACTAGTTGGCCTCGAAAGGGGACAAGAGGGGTCCAAAAGCGCGAAAAGAATAACGTGGTGGCTTGCTCTAGAGCTGAGGTTGAAGCTTTTTGCTTGGCAGCAATGGGCTTCCGCACCAGCACATCTCCGGGGGCCAAAAAGACCGGCATTAGCGTACATTCCGGTCAAGACTATCTGCTTAGCATTAATCTTCGTTGCCATCACATGGCTTTGCTTGGCGGGGATGCAGCGTGGCAAAGCATTACTCATTGTGCTTGTATGGTGACACGAAAAGAGAAGCTTATGAGCGGGAGCGAAAGCGAGAGAGAAAACATAGCTAGAAGCATAGCTTCAGCTAGTTAGATTTCATACAAAATTATCCGTCCATATACCGTGCCATCATGAAAAAGAACGCCTTTTGCGCCATGCTGTACGCAGCCGTGGCGTAATTACAAGTTACACTCTCGCGATATGGCTCGCCACGAGGTCATCGCAGAGAGAAGGCGAAAGTAATGAGAAAATTAAACAACATTGAAGCATACAAATCCGTGTCAATTGACACATTCAGTCACCGAGAATGCTCTCTTCTTCGGTGTCCCTCTCCTTGTCTGCCGCGTCGTCGCCGTTCTCTTCACCTTCTTCTACACCGTTTGTTTGCTCCGCGTCCGCATCGGCCATTTCCTCGTCCTCAATCTCGTCACCAAGTACCTCATTTTCCTCTTCATGTTCCTGCTCCTCCTCGTCTTCGCTATCAACGTCGACAGTTTCTTTGCTCTTCGCCGTCTTCTCGCCCTGCTTACCGGGCTTGGCTGTCTTCTTCGTAATCTTTCGTTGCTTGACAGCATCGAGATGATTCACGACTTCCCTCCACGTAGGTGTGAGTTTCAGCTTGTTGCGCTCCAGACGTTTGCGTACGGTGCCCGAGCCGTCACTATCAAGGGCGCCGACGAGTACGGCATGTACGATACGACCACCAAACGCATCGAGCGATTGTTCGACTAAGATGGCGCGAACCTGCTTGTCAGAGACAGTGTGCTCTTCCGTGGGCTCTTCATCGCTTTCAGGATCGTCGTCGGGGTCGATGGGATCATCGTCTACATCCGGTTCTTCAAGACGCTTGTTGGTGAGCTTGGCTAGGTGATTCTCCCACGCCGTGAGAATCTGCAGAATGAGCTTTGTGGTGTCCCCGTCGATGTCGCGGCAGAGAGCCTCCCAGTCGTCGTGGTCTGAGTTTGAAGGACGACCTTGTGACTTCTTAGGCGTCTTTACCATCTTCCCCTTCTTGACCCTGAGCGTGCAAAACATGGTGTAGATGTCCAGTAAAAGGTTCGCCGCATCGAGTCGGACTTCGTCGGTACCCTTTCGGCTCTCCATGATTTTCATCAAAGATGTGACGCAAGCGTCCCTCCGCTCCACTAATGCCATGAGTTCGTCTTCTGGCATGCTCGTGCCCTCCTCGACATGCTTGGTGCAATCTCGACACTTCCACATGAAGTACATGAGCATGACAGACATTGCGTGACGGACGAGAGTATCGTCAGCCTCCTCCGTTTCCTCATCAAGGTCTTCGACTGGGACCCCACGCTCAAGAAGTTGCAATACTGACTCGATTGGTGCTGTCTCAAGCGCTGCCTTCTTGCCTCTGCCTTTTGTCTTGGTGGGTGCCACAATTTGGTCGAGCACTGAAGCGTCTGAGACAGTCACGAGCTGCGCCATCTTTAAGACGACATTGGAAACTCCCCGGAGAATGTTCTGATCCAAGTTGCCCCGTACCGAGAAATCCTTGTCTCGCCGAAGAGTGTCGAAAGTGTTAATCAGGTCGTCCCAAAGTGCTTGGACCTTGAGGTCAACCGTCTCTCTTAGCTCTTCACTACCTTGAGCGTGTAGAATAGATCCAATAGCTTCGCCAAGGACGCGCTCGTTATGATGAGTGAGGAACTGCTTATTGATATCATCAAGTAGCGCTGTAAGAGCTGCATTTTGTCGCAGCTCTTCAAATACTTCCAGATTCAGCTCACGCTCCAACCGAAGACACAATGCTGCTGTTTCAGGAAGAGCACCAAATTTCTTCAGCAGCTGAGGAATGAGCAACGAGAGTCGGCGAGCCATATCTGATTGGTCTTCTTTTTCGCTCTCCCGTTGAGTCTTGGTCTTCTTCTTGTCTTTTTGTACCTCCGCCAAGCGCTGCAATCGAATGCGTACCACGGCGTTGAGGATGTCGAGGAGGACTGTTTCATGTCTCTCTTCAAGCTGACAGGTCTGGCGGAGCATAGTCTCGGGGTCATCGCTGTCGCCCTGCACTGTTTGTGAATGGTCGTACAGAAGATATCCGGCCAAAACCTCCCATTCTCGGATCTCCGGAATAGCATCATATAAAGCTTGTGCAGCGAGCGATCTCCGTGATTCGACACCAACAGATATCAAACTCAGTTCCTGGCCCGGTGACATGCGTTGGATTTGAGAAGGCAGCTCAAAGTCGTCCTCGTCATACGAGAGCAGTTGGTCAACGAGACATTTCAGCTTCAACCACTCGAGGCGCGGGTTATGATATTCTTCGTCCTCTTCTTCAGGCGGAGCTAGGGCCTCGTTGAGTGCTTCTTCACCTCCCATGTCTTCTACCGTGGCTTCATACGCGGCGTTGACATTTTCGGCAAAGAAACCAACAACAGACTTGCGAACCTTTGCGTCAGAATCAAAGATGAGTTTGCCGACTGAGTCGATGTCATCAGGCTCTAGGAAACCAGCTTCCCTGAGAATGTCGAGTAAATCGACTGCTGCCGCACGTACGTTGATTTCAGCATCGTGAGTGGCCATTTCAACGATACGTGGCCGAAAGCGCTCAGTGAACGTCTTCAATCCCGCTAGTTTACTTTCGTCTCGGAACAAGCGCGAGAGCTGATGGAGCACCTCGATGCGCGTCGATGGATTTGGGTCTGAGAGCACCCAACCGAGATATCGGAGTTTGGTGCCGTCGAAGAACTTATCGGGGTATGCGACGATCCAATCTGCCAGCGCTACCACGCTGTCGACCCTGATCTTTGGATCGACATCTCGATAGCGATGGACGTACACGGCTGCGAACCAGTCGTCCAGCTGACCACCAACGAATTCCAGCCTCTGGTTGTACTCCTCAATTTCCTTGTCCGCGGCAGAGACGCGCGCTTTGTTTACTTTCGACTTCTTGGCTTCTGCCTCACTTTGGCGTACGCGCTTTGCTGTGTTCTCGACGAGGTCCGCAGCGACCTGGGCTAGGGCGGTTGTGATGGCTAGCGAGGCAACGGTACTGGTGTGCCGGAATGGGCGGTTGCCGGTCGAGGACATGGCGCCCAGCCACACCGAGATATTCTCGATGAGCTCCGCGCTCTCGTACAGAAGGCCTGATTGTGCGACTGTCTGTATGAGGGTAAGGAAGAAGCCCTGCAACGCGTTCCGGAAAGCTTGACCGCCACCGTCTTTTGCCTTTGCGATCAATGGGTAGTCTGTGACTTCATACTGCTTTTCATTAGCATGCGCAGGAAGCCTACTGTTGCCCGTAACGTACCTGCTGGAACTCTTCCTGGATCTCTGCTACGCGATTCGGCGCGTTGTCGGGGTCCCCTATGTCATCTTCGTTTATCCGTAGATCGCAGCCCGCAGCTTGCAGTACCAGGTTGATGATCTCGGCCACTGCCTTTGCCTCGTGCTCGTTGAATCGCGCCATCCATCGTGCCGTCACATCTTCGAGTCGGTCTCCGCTGGCAAAGACATCGGCTATGGCGCGTTAGTCCATGTGCGCTTCCTTTGAGCCAGCTCCACCTACCATATAAGCCCTCTGTCTCCTCGGGAAGCGTGCTTTTCCGAATAGGCGCCTTCCGTGGCCGTTTGGACAACTTCTTGATCGCATTGCTCGCAGGTCGAATCGCCAGGCTGACACTGTCGCCATTCGTCTTTGCCTTTTTTGATGCCGGCTTACGCGCAGGAGCTCTAGCCTTCTTCTTGCGCCTGCGCTCCTTCAATTCCTCTTCATCGGGCTCATCCTCGCTGCTCTGTTCCGACTCTTCTTCAGACGACGGGTCCGTCGCGTCATCCCCGTTCTCATTGTCACCACCACGCTTTCGCTTTGTGCTGCTGGTCGGACTCGCGACAGGCGCGAACCTGTCTGGCTTCTTGGATACGCGTCCAGATTTACGTCGCGCGGTCGAAGAAGCGACTCCGTCAACCGCCGAGGGTGAGTCGGTCGCGCTCATGGTATTTGCACACACTTATTCAGACACGAAATTTGGGGTGGAGGTGGAAGGGAGTGGCGCGGCAATTGCGATCGATGTGTTTGAGGCGGGGACGGCGATGGGAGACGCGTTGTGTGTCCGGCCACTTTTAGTGCAAGGTTGCGCGCACGTGCATGACGCTGCCGTGGACAGATGCGTTTGATGGCATTCACTAGGAGCAGAATCAGCCTATGCTCGTCGGTGCATTGGATATATATGCAACCTCTATTGCTGGCCATGATCATGAGTCGGTGTACTGCCGCAATTTGCTAGTGCAGACGCACTGTAAAGATGTACGACTTTGTCGGTGCCTCCAGGACCTCTTGAAGCTCTCTGCGGGGTCTATGATCTATAATATTACTGACTGGGATATGAACACGGTCTATATGCACGTAGGTAATCACAAAGGTTCGAAGGAACGCAACACGTCTACGCCGTAGCCTTGACAGGCTCGCCCTCCTTGATATCTAGCTTCTCAACCTCCTCAACCAGCTCAGCACCCTGCTTTGTAGCATCGGCGCTCTCGCTGGCGGGTGCAGAAGCCGCAGCATCAGTACCATTGCTGACTGGGAGAGGAGCCGCAGAATCCCTTGCCTCGGTATCCACATGGGCTGCTGCTTCTGCTGTCTTTCCCGCACCGAGACTCGGCTCGTCTCCACCCCACAGGTAGATCTCGCTCTCTCCAACAATCTTGCCACCCTTCTCCCACCGCTCTTTCCTCTGTCGTCTCCTCTCTGTGGTGATTTTGTCCAGCGCAGGCCAGTATGCGGAATGGTCGTACTTGAAGTCGACTTCGCCATCAGAAACCTTCATAAGCTGAGAAGCGGGTACGTGGTCGGGGAGTGGCTCGTTTGACTTTATCTTTGACTTTGTGATGGGATCGATAAAGGGATTCACGAGCTTGAGGAAGGTTTTGATGTACCAGGGAACTGTGATGCGCTGTCAGCGGAGATGTCGCCAGAAGTATAATTCACGCCATGCTTACGGTGTGTTAGTAATGCCCTGCCCAGACGCTCAGGGTAGTGGTTTTGCAGGATATCCAGGACCGACTTGGCAATACCCAAACCGGGTGTGCCACTGGCACCAGCGTTCCTGAAGTCAATCAATAATGCCAGACTCTCCTGTCCAGGCGGGTGGATGTCAATGGTGCGCTCTAGCATGTATACCAAATGCTCCACCTGCTTGGGTGACTCCTTGGTGTTCTGGTTCTGTGGCAGCAAGTAGAGACATGGCCTTCCCTCGTTGTCGAAGCCCAGCAAGACCTGCTTGCCCGTCTGATTCTCTTCCGATATGTAGTCGGCAGTGAAGCGGTCGGTGCCATATTCACGGCGCCACACCAAGGTAGCGCGCAAACGCTGGGCAGCCTGTGCTACATTCCACTTTGTGGCACGGAGATATCGGAGGAGGCATTCGCGGGTGAGCCACATGCGCTCATCGTCGGTGATTGGCGTGGTTTCGGTAGTCTTGACAGACGTCGTGGGTAGCGACTCCCATGTCTGGACGTCGGCCAGGAGTTGGTCGTACTTTGTCTGTTGATCAGCGGTCAAGGCCGGAGCAGGAGCTGGCTTGCAGCCGGGGACGGGTTCCTCAAAAGGGCCAATTGCCGACATGATCAAAGACTATGGTATAGTCTTCGTGGGTGATGGTCTTGGAGGAAAGTTTGAGCCAAGGCAAGATGAGGGATGCTCAGATAAGTGAACGATGCGGCGCGGATAACTTTTTGGGTAAACACGGCACGCACCCGGCCGGTCCCTGTAACGTGTCCGTGCACCTCATGCCCGGATTCATCTCATGCCCCGCCGAACACCGACGCGTGTCTCAATACTACAACTTTGACGCGCAATAACTCCACAACTATGGCTCCGATTGATGAAGCGATTGCAGATTTAGAATCGCGCGATCCAGGAGAGAAATTCACATTAAAAGAAGTTGCTGAAAAATGGGGGGTTAACCGCTCAACGCTAGGGCGAAGATGGAGGCGCGTGACAGGGCCTAGGAGCGATGGATACGCTCAGCAGCAAGCTATCGGCCCACAACAAGAGTTAGAGCTTGTACGATATATCACTAAGCTCACTAAGCAAGGCCTACCTCCTACAAGAGAGATGATCAGGAATTTCTCATCAGAAGTAGCCCATCAGCAGCTCAGCGAGAGCTGGGTTACTCGCTTCATTAACCGACACGAGATCTATCTTATCTCAAAGTGGACCACCGCCATGGATCGTACGCGCCACCTGGCTGATTCTGAGTCAAAGTATAGACTCTACTTCGAGCTGCTGCACCAGAAGATCACCGAATACCACCTAGAGGCTCGAGATATATACAATATGGATGAAAAGGGCTTCCTTATTGGTATGATAGGCAGGAGTAAGAGGATATTTAGCAGGCGTCAATGGGATAAGAAAGAGGTTCGAGCATCTCTCCAGGATGGATCACGCGAGTTTCTGACACTCCTGGCCTGCTGCTGCGCCGATGGGAGCTCGCTGCCTCCAGCCCTTATCTACGCAGCTAAAAATGGAGCCATACGATCGAGTTGGGTGGAGGATATTAAGGCAGGAGAACATGAGGTCTTTGTCTCATCATCTCTAACAGGCTGGTCAAACAATGACGTAGGCCTAGCTTGGCTAGAGCAGGTGTTTGATCGCTATACAAAGCAGCGATCAGGGAGATGGCGATTGCTCATCCTTGATGGCCATGGATCTCACCTCACGATGGAGTTTATCAAGTACTGCGATCGCCATAGGATCCTCCTCATGATCCTTCCTCCCCATTCGACTCATACGCTCCAGCCGCTCGATGTAGTGCTGTTCAAGCCACTCTCTCAAGCCTACTCCAACGAGCTCACTAACCATCTCTACAAGGCTCAAGGCCTCATTCCAATTAAGAAAGGAGACTTCTTCCCACTCTTCTGGAGAGCTTGGCAGGCCTCGTTTAAGCAATCAACTATATTAAAAGCGTTTGAAGCTACTGGTATATGGCCAATAGATCCCAACGTTATCCTTCGTAGATTTGCCAGCACGCCAGAAGCTGAGAGAAGCTCATCTTCAGGGCTCTCTGATCATGACTGGAGAAAGCTCGATCGGTTAGTACGAGCTGCTGTCAATGATAGCCATCAGTATGAGGCAAGAAAGCTGCGCTCAAGCGTTCACCATCTCTCTGTGCAGTATAAGCTTTTACAGCATGAGAACGAGGGCTTAAAGGAGGCTCTTCAACATAAAAAGAAGCATAAGAAGAAGGGCAAAGCTCTTGACCTTCAACAGCGCCAGGAGTATCACGGTGGCTCTGTCTTCTGGTCTCCTCGCAAGATACGCGAGGCTCGAGCTAGAGAAGTAGTACGGGAGCGAGATAAGATAGAGGAGAAACTCCAAAAAGCACAGGCCAAGAAGCAGCGTGAGGAGGTTCAACTGCAGCGTCAAGTTAAGCTCGAGGAGAAGCGTGTAGAGAGGCAGAGGCTCAAGGAGATAAGGGAGCTTGAGCGAGCTGAGAAAGCAGCTGAACGCGCGCGCAAAGTTGAAGCTCAACACCAGAAAAAAGCCACCCAACAAGCTCAACAACGCAAGCGTAAAGCCTCAAGAGCGCCCTCTTCTAAGAACAAGCGTCAAAAACGAGCGATGGAGGATAGAGCTCGCGATAGAGTTGCATCTCCTCCATCGCCTCCACCACCAAAGACCACATCACGTGGCCGCAACGTCAACCTCCCACAAAAATTCAGATAGTACAAGTTAATCGCAAGTATCTAATTACTGCAATGCTATGTTTTTATTAATATTAAGCTATTGTGTGGTGTTGTACAGCTTCAAATTTGAGATCGCTAAGATGGTGTTCGCGGGGCATGAGATGAATCCGGGCACAAGGTGCACGGACACGTTAATGCATGTATGTCGATCGCCGCTAGACTCTCTCTACGCTAGCCTTGCCGGGACGCGACCCATGCATCCATGGACGCGTCTTGAAGTCTGTACGCGCAAAGTGCCTTCACCGTCACCGCCACACACTACTTTTATAATTGCCCACCATTATGGACGACGTTACGACCGAACTGACCGAGCGCTTCGAGCGCTACTGCGCCACCAAAGATGAGGAATTCCCCGCCGATGTGCTTGCTGAATTGCAGTCGATGCTGCGGTTATATTCAATTTCACCAGAAGAGTTGGATTTCAAGTGGCAGGCCTACAACATGAAGATGGGCGGAGAGGAGAACAAGATGGATGTGAAAACTGCACGGGACTTCAAGAAGACGATACAGGATGCATTGGAGCGCGAGAGCCGCGGAAAGGCACAGCAGCGGAACGATGGCAAGCGAGCCCAGCCGACACCAAGGGCGAAGGGTGGTGATATGTACGACATGTATGTACTGAGGAGTCGTCTGGTGCATGGGCAGTTGAATTGACCAGAGACAGACTGGAGGGACTCGTCCCCAATACCCCACGACATGGCCCAGCGAGCGGCCCGAACGGCAGCACAGTGAAGCGGAAAGCCAACTTCCAGACACCTGGGAGCAAAGCAAACAAGGCACACGAAATGAGTTCCCCGGGGGGCATCATGGCGCCCGCGGCGGATACTTCAGGTGGGCCGTATGTATGACAAACCTCATTGCGCGTGCAATCTCTAACCACTGCTCAGTGTCTTCGATTTTGCCTCGCGCACCAATGCAAACGACATCACCGAACAGTTCATGCAGGGCGATATCCCAATTCCAGACCCGCCGTCAGAGGAACCAAAGGAATCCCGCATCAAACTAAAGGCCAATACGGATATGTCCAAGTTCTCATATCGGACCATGGCTATGAAACTCTCAGAGGCATCGGAGGTCCTCGATGACAGGATTGACGAGTTCCGTGACCTTGTCAGAGAATCTGCAGGATTGGACGAGAGCGCATTTGGCAACCCCAACTACCCCTCTCCAAACGAGATCATCGCTGTAGGACGCATAGCAAGCGATACGAGCGAAGGGAAGCTCAATACGGCGACGATAGTTCTTGAAGGCTCACGAAGATATGGTTCAGGGCGACGTGTACCGCTGAACGTCGAAGGCCTCTCGTCGTATGATTTCTTTCCGGGCCAGATTGTGGCGCTGCGTGGTACCAATGCATCAGGCGACTCTTTTGTAGTCTCAGAGGTACTTTCGCTGCCTCTCCTGAATCCACCTGCTACAAAACCAGACGAATTGGACGCCATCAACACACGGTACCTTGATACCCCCGACTCTGATCCAGAGAACGTTCGGCCTTTAACCATGATGATCGCGTCCGGACCCTACACAACCGACCAGAATCTCGATTTTGCACCTTTACATGCATTCCTTGACAATGCCGCCGAAGCTTACGCAGACTCCATAATTCTGGTCGGACCCTTCCTGGACGCTGAGCATCCTCAAATCCGGTCGGGAGACTTCGATGTTCCACCAAACGCGAGTCCAGATCAAGCTACCATGACTGATCTGTTCCGCTACCACATCTCCAGCGCAATCCAGGGCTTCAACAAACGCGTGCCGACGTGTAATGTCCTATTAGTGCCCAGCTTGCGAGACGCGCACCACCACCATGCTGCTTTCCCACAGGACAAGTTCATCAAGAAGGAGCTCGGATTTGGTGCTGCAGGGAAAATGGTACAATGTGTTACAAATCCAATGACTGTCAGTATGAACGAGATGACAGTAGCCATGTCATCTATTGACAATCTCGACATGCTCCGAAAAGAAGAACTTGCAGGGGGCAAGGCACGAACAACAAACATCTACGAACGGTGTGCTCGTAATGTGATTGAGCAAAGAAGTTTCCTCCCACTCTTCCCACCCACTGGGAGAGAAAAGCAGCAATTCATGCCTGTGCCTATTGAAGAGAAGGTGATGAAGAATGGCACAGGAAACGAGCAAGGAGAGGGTAACGGGGCTGAAGAGGAACAAACACCCAGCCCATTTCTGCCGCTTGGGACCATGCTCGATACCAGCTACCTCAAATTGGGCGAAATGCTCAACGTGCGGCCCGACATTCTTATCACTCCTAGTGTACTTCAAGGCACCGTCAAAGTAAGCATGCAAACATAGATGTACGGAAAAAGCACTAATACACAACAAGGTTGTTGAGTCCGTACTGGTCATTAATCCTGGCACATTGGCCAAGCGACGTGCAGCAGGAACATATGCACGTGTAATAGTCAAGCCTGCTAAAGTCGACGATGCAGAGAGGGAACGAGGAGTGGCCGTTGCACATAAGCTCTGGGAGCGGACACGTGTGGATATTGTGAGGATCTAGGCTGTGTTGTTTGTTCGCACATGAATAGAACATCGAACACGTAGTTACTTGTATAAAAATTAGGACAGTAGACGGGTGGCCAAGTTCCAAATGCACTCTATCCACTAAGCCAGTGTTGCGTTGAAGCGTTGTAGCAACCCCTCTGGCTCAGGTGGGAGATGCCTTGGTAGATATACAAGGAACACATGACGGCGCGTTAGTTTTGCGAATCGGCTAATGCTCACGGGTACCGCGCCTGGTGCCGTTCTACGCGCTTCCGCTACCAGAGTACCTTCTAGTGGTTTTCTCGAAATACAAATGATCACGAACTCGCTGCATCGAACCTTCCATCTGTTTGGCACTAGCCACAACTTGTCCACACACGCTACAGAGTTGCTTGGCATTCAGCAAACGACCTTGTCGTTGTTATGGTACATCGGCTGCGCGACTTAGTCAATCGGTTGTTCTGCACAGCTATCGACGAGGTGCACGAGCTTCCTCCTAGTCGGCCAACTCCAGCTTCCCCGAGCATTCGCAGTGTCAATCACGGTCCCGAGCAATCTCGTCCACTCCATTCAGTCAACACGACTGGAGACGCGGATTCCATCATGAGACCAAAACGCAAGTCGGAGAGTACGGTGACTCCAGACCGCCCAGAGAAAATGGCCAAATCTGTCAAGAAGAGCACAAAGCCAGATGAAGAAGGTATGTTCCAATTTTCTTACTTATTCCATCGCGATTCTTCTCAAAGTGAGGTTTTGGTGCACAGCATGTTGCGGCCTTGGTTCTGTAGCTCGGCGCATAAACAAGGGGCCAATGGTGGGCTGCGGGCGGGGTCGGCTACATTCGCTGCCTCGACAGTGCGTCACGCCCAAGATATCACAAGCTTGCCTATTGACCACGGTTCTGCATTACCACACGCCCGATCAGCCTTGAAGCTTTCCCACTTCACTTCTCCTTGTTGTCGCTTAGTTTACGAGCTGCCTCGTACCAAGTACAGCACACTCTACTCGCGCCACTCACCTTCCCAACCCCGCAACAGCACACATTTGGACTCGACAACCTGCACTCGGGGCCTGACACGCCACTAATTCAAGATGCCTACAGTCTATACCACGCAGCAAAAGGCGGCAATCCAGCAGTTTATAAATTTCACTCAACTTGACCGTAACTCGGCTATAAGGGCGCTGAAAAGCCATGGCTGGGACGCACAGAACGCCGTGAACTCGTAAGTATCATGTTCTTTCTTATTTCCCTTCTTCTGCCATTTTTTTCTGCTTTTGCGCATTTCTCCAATATCCGTGGACCGACTGGGACGTTCGCACAATTTCGATGACCGACCGATCGATCGACTGAGGCTTGGATACAACGCATCATACTTGTGGTGGAAAACATGGAATGCATGGGCAAAGTGTCTGGTTTCAGAGGGTATATGGGCCGTGATGGAATGAAGTGGAAGGCACAGATCAAGCCATGCGCAAGTCATGGATGATGTCAGGCTAGAGACGTCGCTGCGCGCAATCGCACAATTAGAGCAGTCACCAGTCATGGCTCTTGAGGAAGGAAGCACACGGCAGCTCTTATGTGCTATGGTCTTTCTGCCCGATCGGAGAAAACATCGCTACTACTTCACCTGACCGACCACACCACCACCCCGGCCACAACAAAACACATCACCAGCTTCCTTTTCCTCCTGAGTTGATCACCATACTTTGCATGCGACCATTTGACACTCATTTGCATCGGAACTGTCGATACTGGCATAGCACATCATGTTTGGTTCATCGCAGGATAGAGCCAGACAACTAGCCGGGCGCAATCGTCGAGAACGAATCAGCTCTATCAGCTCATGCTCTAGCTCGCGCTCTGTCAGTTCTTCGAGCCGAGTACCTCCACTGCGAAACCGCCTGTCTACACTGGATTCCCCTATTCAGTCACCATCTGCTATCAAAGAGCATGCTGCCTGTGATGAGAATGGTACTACCCTCGACCCACATGCTCTCGAAGGCCCAAACCAGCATCTTGTTGAGGAAAGACTATCGGTTTCAGCATTACAGCTAGCGAGCGGACAAGGAGGTTCCCAAATAGAGCACCATCGACGGCAGGCCGAACACCTAAGCCAAGTGCTCTACAGTGGCTTCGCTCTTATACCCTCGGCCACTCCACCGCCGAGTCAGTTCAGTTCACCTCATCAAACTCGGCATAGCAGCGTGGGGTCGCAACCAGATACCGCACTTCGCCTGCTTGATATCACAGCCTCCGATCCATCTTCCCACTTGACCGACTCGTTACTTCTGAACCTACCAGACTCATTTAATGCAATCACTGGTTTTTCCCGTGATGCATTCATAACTAAGCATGATCCAACCTCGCTTACAACGGTCTCATTGAGAGGTGGTTCAGGCGGTATTCCTCTACCAGATCCGCACTCTTTCAATGACCCTGAAGATTACGTCGCCTGGGTGCGGCATTTATCGAAGCGGAGCTGGGGTCTGGACTTCGACATTTCCGGCGCATACCATCAGACCTTCTTACAGGAGAGGCAACAGTTCCTCACCGAAGATATCTGTGCAGAATACGAGTCCTTGGACCAGATCCCCAATTACGAAAATATTCTCCTAACGTCGGGCGATGAATATGTAGCCTTTCGCTGTACACTTTCCAGGAGAAAGTTGTCCCACTTCGACTCGTTGTTCGGTCCGCCTTTCCCCAAGACCGCCACCGCTACCAATTATCACACATGTCTGGCATTCTTCCATTGCTTGGATGCTGAGCAAAAGCAACGATTCTATGATATGGTGTATATGAGTATGAGACGGCTCAGGAAGTTGGTCGCTATGACTGTCCAACAGCCTCCTGTAACGCTAGCTCTGCTCGGTGACACGATCATAGAGTTTGTGCAACTCGACTCTCCTAGACATAAAGCTCTGGTAGATATGTTGGATAGAAGCTGACTATCAGATATAGGTACTACGGCAATGCCCATGGTCCTAACCCGGCTGCTTCTTCTTCGGCGACCAAGTCTGCCCTCAACACGCTGTTCAACAACTACGTAGAGGCTGGTGCGCAGGACAAGGACATTGTTGGAGTTGAAGGAACAATGCAATACTTTACGGAGGTTGAGGTGGACGCCGAAGGCCTGGATGCTTTGGTTGCTCTGGAGATCGTGCAGGCGCCAACGATAGGCGAAATGAGCCGCGAAGGCTTCGTGAATGGCTGGAGTGAGCGCAAGTGAGTCTTACATGCCACAGATTTGATTGGCAGAGTATCTTGATGTTAATAAGATTACAGCTGCGACACAGTCGATAAGCAGAAGAGGTACATCAAGACTCTCAAACGCGACATGCCCGGCAACAAAGATCTCTTCACCAGAGTATACAAGTACACTTTCCCCATTGCCAAGACGGCGGGTCAGAAGGCTGTGGCACTCGAAGTTGCCCTCGTATACTGGGATTTGCTCTTCAGTTCACCCCTTTCCGCAGTCAAGTGGTCAAGCTCCAACACGCCATGGCTGACTTGGTGGTCTGAGTTCCTCACCGAGTCGTACAAGAAGAGCGTCAACAAAGACATGTGGAACGAGACTCTCAAATTCGCACAGCTTACTCTGGAGGACGAGGCGATGAGTTTTTGGACCGAAGAATCATCATGGCCGTCGGTCATTGACGACTTTGTTGACTGGGTCAAAAAGGAAAAGCGCGGCGATGTCCCAGAGGAGGTGATGGATGAAGAGTACTAGAAGCTTCGTCGTATTCGCCGTCGCGAATACAACGGTCTTAGGCTTTCTCAGTGCATACTTTCTATTGATCAGCATGGAGTTGCGGTATATGGCTTGATTTGCTATTAGGATGGCTGGTGGCAGTTTATGTTTCAGTGAGCAGCTTTACATGATGCATGGTTACGACGTTCACAGGAGTACTACATACCCTTGGACAGATTTTGCGGCATTGCAGCAAAGTTTAAGCATCCACATAGACTAGCTCAGCATGAGTAATTCAGGTGCCGAGTGCCTTTTCACAATAAACGTGGTTGACAAGTGAGTGCTACTTGCTACAGAGCTAAATTGCCATACTGCTGGAGGCAAGACTGTTTTTCCAGCAAACACGCAACTTAATGCTTATATTACACTCCATGTAAAATGACACTTTTTGCACTTGCAGCTTCGTCTGATGACAAGGGCGCAAAGACATACTGTCTTGCTGAGTGTTGGGGTAGATGCTCGGCGATAAATTTTGGTGGTCGTTGCGCCTCGCTGGTGGCTCGGACGACTCGCTTAGCTTCTCTTAGCGTGCTTGCAGTCAACAGTGCTGGGCTTGATTTTCGGCTTCAACCACGACAACGTCCAATTTCCCCCCGACGACAACTAACCACACAGCAGTCAAAGTGCGTATAGCCCAAAAGATTGCTGATGCTGTACTGACTCTATGCAGATGGTCGCCGCTAAGAAGCATGTCCCGATCGTCAAGAAGCGTACGCCCAGCCTGCCTCGATGAGCTCGAAATTTCGCGACTGACGTATACAACAGACCGCAAGCGCTTCAACCGCCACCAGTCGGACCGCTTTATGTGTAAGAGACACTGGATGCAGGAGTGAAGGATTCGGAATCTGACAATGGATAGGCGTCGACCCCTCATGGCGCAAGCCCAAGGGTATCGACAACCGCGTCCGCAGGCGGTTCAAGGGTCAGGCTGCTATGCCCAAGGTACGGATCGCCATTACTGTTCGAAGCGGAGAGGATTGTTTTCGACGAGGATTGGAATTTGATGCAGGGTATTTGAAGGACGAGGGCTGACGAGCGCCTCACAGATCGGATACGGCTCAAACAGGAAGACCCGCCACATGATGCCCAGCGGCCACAAGGCCTTTGTCGTCAACAACGTCGCCGATGTTGACCTTCTCCTCATGCACAACAGCACCTTCGCCGCAGAGTACGTTTGCCCACAGATGCTATGTATCACGCAGCGTACTAATTCATGTCCAGGATCGCACACGCCGTCTCAGCACGAAAGCGCATCGACATCATCGCCCGGGCCAAGCAGATCGGTGTCAAGGTGACCAACGGCAAGGCCCGTGTCAAGACCGAGTCGTAGATGTGTGTGGATTTTCACTTTTGGGGCGGGGCATACAAGGCGTCTCTCTGATTAGTTACGATCTCAATGGGAAGGCTTTTCATCCTCTTCGGCTCACATTACCCTTCGATATGGTATGAGGAGAGGCATGCACTTCAAAAAAAACATTGCGACATGTTACTGCGGGACGACCACGGATATCAAAGGACAGAAGCCGTAGGAATGCAATGAAAACGAGCCAAAATCTAGGACTTGTACTCTGCCGTGCCGTGACGTGCGACATGCAGTGTGTGCACCAGGCTCAAACATGCGAAGCGATCAACGGCGCGCAGCTTGAACTGCCGGCGGCAGCACACTGCCATTGCAATATTTTTCCGCAAGGGTTGTGAATCAAATGACGTAGCGTCTGCTCCCAGCACCGAATGCGATGTGGTCAAGTCAAGGTCGTCGTCTTCACGTGCTGAGAACACATATAGGGTGTTGGGGAAGCACGGCTTCCCATTACCGGAGATCAACACCGCGCTTACTCGGACCAACATGAGTTGGATGCTAGCGCTCAGACTGCATGGCGCCATGTTGCTTATCAGAAACCATATCTACAGCTATGGATGAGCTATGGATGAGCTATTCTTGCTGCTTGCTGTGGCTGCATAAGCAAGCACCTGGCTGCAAGCAGCAAGTTGCCGCATGCGCGTAGCATTGCAGACAGCTCAACACATGGGACGGAATCAGACTCAGCCAGCAAGCCCAAGACAAGGCTTGGTAAGACAGAGGTGGAGGCGGATGCGCTACTCACCGCCAGCAAGTTGAGATAGGACACCCGATAGTAAAGCCGTGCGAGTCGGAAGGAGGGTGCACAGAGCCTCAATCGGGCCTGCAGGAATCCTAGTCGTGTCGCACGTCCTGGAGGGCATTGCCTCTGGCTCATGGCCAAGGCCAAGGGAAGGACTGGCCTCGTGGGCATCTGACAGGTACCATGGACATTTGCTTGCGCGCCGAGAAGCAAGGTGCTGGCTTGTTGGTGTGTTAGCACGTGGAATTGCGGGTGTTTCATGGCATTAGAAACTCGGACGTGTTGTGGGTGGGGAAGCGATGGATCTGGGGGGAAGCGTGATGGTGGGTGACGGGCGCAACCCTGGACTTGCTTGGGCATCTACTCTGACTATCCAAGGTTGATGAGGATATTCGGATTGATTACAGTAACTTGGGGGCGGCTTTATTTGTTTTTGTCGCTTATTTGCTTTCTAGATGCTTGTTTGACGGGAGGTGCCATGTGTTGAGCACTGTCGCTAACGGCCAGGTAAGCTTACGGCTGTGCTTCCCCGAGATCTAGTCAGGACGAAGCCTGGCGCTCCACTCAATCCCTTTCCATCCGCACACCTCAACCTAGCATCACACCGCTCTGAAGCTGTCGCAGTCTGTGCCTGCCCTGACAATTTCGCTTTCGCAGGCTTACTCTTGACGTCCCTTGATCGCGTTATCTGTCCACGCATGGCTGACTGGCGACGCGATTGGCCCATGGCCGCACTTTATCGACGCAGGTGGCCTGCTGCGAGGGAGGCACGAATGCGGTCGACCACATGCAACCATAGCAATCAGTGGTTTCCGCAGTTGCAAGACTGGTCGGTACCAGCCCAACGTGGGCCTGGTACCGCTGAGTAGACGACCGTAATAGTGGATCATGACGAATCATTAACAGGCCTGGTTTTTCCACACTTTCCGATACGTTCGGGCGATGACTTGCGGTTGACTGTGCGTACATTCGCATATGATTTTCGACTACTGGACCATGGCCCACACTGCTACCCACGGTAGGCCGGAGCGCAACCAGCAATTTCCCTTCCGTCAGCCTGGAAAGATTTTCAAACTAAGTCCTATTTTAGCTCCCGTGCTTTAATATTTAGACACCCCAGGCCTTTGTTTCGAATTCCCTTCACGCGCCCAGTAAACCACGCTCGTCGAAGGCTTGCCTCGCTCCTCATAGCGACACAGTCGTGCGCTGCACGCAGTGACCGGCGGTCTTCGGCTAGTCATATTCAGACTTCGCCCCGTTTCCCTTCAGCTTTGGTCCATCCCATCCCGCCACTGACCGTCTCTCCACTTGCTTTCCGGAAATAGAACTCAGCTTTTTTTGCAAGAAAGCTCTTCAACTCCTTGCCACCCCCGGACATCAAGGCCCACTACTGCTGCCGGCTGTCCCCGCAGGACGACGTACACCAGCGGCCACTGAACTATACCGCCAGTTCACAACTACTATTACAATGGCCCCTAACCTATTCGTGGCCACTCAAAAGGCCTTTGCGCCCCATAAATGGTTCAAGTCCAGTAAGAATGAGCTCTCATCGAGAGTCGTTGAAGAGTGGAACAGTCCGGTCCCAGGCCAGTACGAGAGTATTCCTGGTCGAGGCTGGTTCTTGATCGCGACCCCCAAGAACGCTTCAACGACAGTGACCAACACAACACGAACCACCAAAGGATCAGACGGCAAAGAGTACACCCTCTTAGAGCGACCCATCCCATTAAAGTACTCTCACGCTATTGGCCGCTACTTCCTTGAGCCCGAATTCTACAAGCGCAAGAAGACGGTCACCATCAAGAACGACAAGGGTAAAGAAGTGCAAGCCGGCTTCTTCAGAGTCGACGATGTCGCCTGGGTCAAGTGCTGGGACGAAAACGACAACTTTGTCCCTGGTAACGCCAACGGTGGTGCCGGATACCAACGCTGGGTTCTTGACTCCCAAACTCAGCAATTTCGTCACATGATCAAGCGCGACGACCCCAACTACGTCCGTTCTCGAAAGAATTCGCCTGCACGCGACAACACGGACAACCGCAGCCAGGAGTCTGTCAGTACAGAGTTTCGCAGCAGCCGTCCTGGTAGCACCAAAAATGGCCTTAGTGTTGCTAGCACCCGAGCTAACAGCATTCGCTACTTGCCTTCGCCTACTTCAAACCCGTCCAGCCAGCGCCCCTCGAGGGCCAACAGCCCCAAGCGCAGCGACAGCATTCCCCTCGAAGAAGCCAAGGCAGCTCTCCGACGTCTGGCTCGGGATCACGAAGAAGCCGCAGCTGCTTTGGCCCGATTTCGCATGACGCGCACCGACTCAAAGGACCGTGTCGAGCAGCTGGAGCGTGGTCGCGTTTCGCAGCGAGTCGGCAACTAAAAGTGTTTCACCATAGGGGCGTTCGGCATGTCAACGGTGTGGTTCCGCCAGCGCATGTCTTCTTGGTACGGTTTGGCGTTCATGGACCCTTTGGCGCTTTCGCGCCTTGCTCCACGCTACAGCATTGTAATATACCCAGGGGCTACGGTTCACACGCCTTTCCTCCCCCCTTTTTACGATCGGTCTTTTTATCCATGGTTTTCGGTTTTTCTTCCAGCGCTAGGACTTGGGTTGGGTTCAGGGTCTACGGTGATGGTGTTGTTGTTTGAACTTTTGTTTCTTCTAGATGGCGACTTTTTTTCTTCTTTTCTTTCTTATCACTCGCCTGATTCTTTTCTCTAACGGGCGCAATCACTACACTGTTAGAGCGAAAGCACGGTATATACCCACACATGGTTTCGGCCGCCTTTAAAGGCAAGGTGTCTTGTTTTTAGTTCTTCTTCTTTCTTTTTTGCTGTAGAAACGACTTTTGCAACATAGATGTATTGTTATTACTCTTGTATGCGTAGCGTTGCCACACATGTGGCAATTTTGGGTCATGTGACGGCGTTTGCTGCTAGGACAAGCAGCCTTACTTGCGTATCTTAGACTCCCCAAGCGTACAGCCCCCCTGTTATCGTGGGACGATAGCGATTTCGCTTGTTCCTTGTAGACAATACATTGTTACTACTTTTTCCAGATTAAGTGCCTCTGATATTGATTTGTTACACCTTGTTATCCAATGTTTGCCAAGCTACCAAGTCAAACTACCCTGTACTTAGATGCTGAATTTATCGATAATCATCACATAGCATTGGCAGAATTGTAGACCTTCCGGTAAGGTATACCCCTCGCTCCAGTACAGGTTATCTAAGATCTGATAAGCATCAGTCTGTTCGACTTGTCGTCGTACAATCTACGACCTTGATCTAAGGACCTTCTCATGCACAGGCAGCCAACGGACGGCCGTCTTCCGGATTATCGAGATTGTTACAGACTGCGTGAGCATGAAGCACTCCTTGGCTGTGCGTGTTGATAATGCGAGGTCAGAAATGTACTTTGGAACTGGTCTGAGCTCTAGAAGACCACGGCAGTCTGCTCTCCATAGTTTTTTGTGTTCACTTTCAAGTATCGTGCGTTATGAACAATGAATATCCGCTCTAGGGCCAACGCGGAGGCGACTTGTACAGGAAGATTGTTGACGGGGCACAGAGGTAGAGTACGTAATTCCACCGTCGATTCTCACCTATTACGTCCGTTTCTGAAATTCATAAGCCAAGCTCCAACATACATAAGCTCTGCAGACAATACTTCAAATCAAAGTGAGAGATGCAGGATTCACCGACGCAAGCCCATTGAGCGTCCAGCCAAGCCGCTAGTCCCATTCCGATCTAGCTCTCTCTCCCGGGGCCCGCAGTTGCATCTGCACCTACCCTGGTACTACCATCGCGTGTCCTCTCAGCCACATAAATCAAGTCTTTCGAAACTCAACCAAGGATAACGAGAATGCTTCCACCGGTCGATCCTGCAGTATTGCAGCGCAATCCGAACTTTGACGTCCTGTACAAGGATCTGTGCACTCGGAAGCTCAATCCCAATGGCTCGACGCGAGATACGAAAAGGCAGCGTGTGCATGATGAGATACATAGGGTATGTGAGATATGGTCATGTTTGTTTATGAATTTGACCCGTGATTATTCAATGGTCTTTTGACCGCATTCAGACTTTCTTGAAGCTGTGTTTATCTGTTTGTTTACATGTTTGGCAAAGCATCAAGTTGAAGTTTGTCAAGATAGACAATACATCAACCAAGATATTGAATTTCCCAGAAATATTATCTTCACACACACAAGTCATGCTAACAAAAGGTAACCCAGACGCTATCAACAACTCGCACCACACTCCTCACATCTCAAATCCTTACAACCACCCTCTCAGACCTCGGATCCAAAGCCGGAGCCGGCACAGACGACATAACGCCCGATCTACACGCAGCCATAGACATAGTAGTCGCGCAACTAAACAACCAAATCCCGCCCACCGACCTCGACATCCTCTCCAACGACATGTCCACCTTCTCCACCAACATCATCACCATCGCCTCGGCCGTATCCACCCAACTCACCATCATACTCTCCTACCTCTGCAAAATCGCAGACCCACTAAACCCCCCCAACATCACAGACTTGCCCACACGATGCACCACGCTCCTGGAAACCACCACGCAAACCCTCCCCCAGGACCTCCAAGACGCCCGCTTCCACCTCACAAACACATTTACTACGCTCCTCACCCTGCACTCCACCCTCCTAACCACCAGCATCAAGATCCTCGAACAAACCCAACACGGCACCCTCGCCCGCCACACAAAATCTTCTGCAGACCTACTCCACGCTAAAGCTACGCTGCTGGGCCTACAGGCAAAGATTCACACGTATAGTCACCCGCCGCCCGCCGAGTTTGTGGCGGCTCTCAAGCAGTTTAAAAAGGTGCAGGGGAGTGGGGAGAAGGCACTTAGGGATCGGGAGGGCTTGGCGAAGAGGGAGTTGGAACTTTATGCTAGGGCGGGGGAGAAGGGGATGAGAGATTTGGCGAGGAGGAAGGAGAGGTTGGTTGGGGAAGTGGAGATGGTGGAGAGTGCGATTGGGAAGTTGGAGAGGAGGGGGTGAGTGTGTGTTGGTGGTGTGTTTTGGAATGGGGGTTCTGGGACTGTGGTGTTGTAGATGTATGGGTTTTGCATGGTTGTTGCTAAGACGTACTTTGTACTTTGAGGAAGAACAGTGCCACTGCCAATTACCCAAACCTATGGATCTAGAATATACTTCAATCGAAAATAGCCTTTGAAGCAACAACTTTGTACTGCTCATCCAGCACCTCTCCCTCTCCTTCATGCGACCCACTCCATATCTTCTTGGCACCCATCTCACATATGTACACTTTATCCACTCGTACATTCTCCGCCCATACAAAACCCTTATACTTGTCAATGAGGTTTCTAGCATCGAACCGCATCCAGCTCTTGCCATCTGGACCGTGGCCCTCACCCACAGCCCCATCATTCCTCTCTTCAGCTGTTGACGGGTCTGGCGGCGCCGTCGTATCCTCATCAACCGAACCCGCCGTAGAAGCTCCATCTTCGTTATGCACTCCATCCTCGCCATCATGATGGTGCGGTGAGACCTTGTGTTCCACATACTTCAGCCCATCCCTAAGTCTTGCGCTCTTTGTCCTGCCGCCCCTGCCACGCTTCGGTTTCGCATAGATGGTGTTCATAATAGTAGCGTGAAGTCTCAGCGGTCGCGTATCCTCGACCAAAAACCCCTTCTCAGCAAACTGCTCTCTCAGTGTCAAAGCAAAAGACTCTAACCGCTGTGATACGTCCCGCGGTTCCGCATAGAGTATACTCGTCTTGTGCGGTGCTTGCATGGGAACCAGAGATTCTAGGTTGACGGTCAAGGCATCCGTGTCTGGCATAGCTGCTGCATTGAGATTCTCAGCTATCTCGCCGTCTTCGGCGGCTTTCTTTGCTATGCAGCGGTGCGTGATGTCTCGGAGTAGCATGTGCAGGTCCAGATCTTCAAGGTATTGCTTAGCCTCTTCTAGCTCTTGAGCATTGAGGCTCATGACTCCGAGTGTGAGGTGCAAGGTGCCAACTGGACGCACTGCTTTTGTAGGTACAGGGCCATCCTTGGCTAGCTCTTCCTTGAACTTTTCTAATCCTTGCTGGAGTTGCGGTCGGCTTGTGTCGGTGACCAAGGGGAGACAGAGAAAGTGTGTAAATGGCGGCTTTTTCGCTCCGCTCTTTCCCTTTTTGTAATCTTTCGTCTGACTTTGACGTGCTGGAGGAGGTGAAATGTCTCTGGCTGCGAAGCCTTGTAGTGTTGTTCTAATCTCTGTATTGTCGCGCAGTTTCTCTCCATCTAGAAAGTCGTTGTACTCGCCCTTGGACCTTTTCTTGCCCATGGTTGTTGAGGTGGTGAATGACCGGGGTTCGAAGACTTGATCTGGTGAAGTACTGATGATTTTATTTTTGGCGAGGCGGCGGGTGGTTCGAGACGCGGCTGCAGTGGAGACGGCAGAGTGTTGGGTGGATGGTCCAATAGCGGCTCGGTGCAATGCTATCGTACGATAAACCAACATGAGAAGCTGGAAACGCAGTCTAAATGAGTGTTGTGAAGGGAGGAGAAGGGGCGAATCAGGCGTGCCAAACTAAGAAACACATGACGGGCGGCAATATCGGCACGACTACGGAGAGCCGTACCAAGAAAGATGGTATGATGAGAACCGCTTGTGGTGTTGACTTTGATGGGCCGAATAGGTAGCCTATCATATGCAGTACCGTCTATGGGGACAGCCATGTGCAAAGAGTGACGTACCAGAGGTGGGGTCGGTGACATGCGCGCCGCTTTGTCTCAAGCGCCTTGGGTGTTCGGCTCTTCACGATCAGCGCCCGTAGGGCTGAAGAACATTCTACGGCATATGGGAGACGCCTTTAGCGGACGATTTCATGTCAGTCACCTGCAGAAGACATGGAATGGATGCGATACAGCAGAGAAGAAAAATCGGACGAATTCATGCAAGCTATGTAGGGTACTGATACTGGGTTTCCTCCCTCACAAAGACAACATCTGACATGTACACAAGAAGCGTTCCTAGGAACACGGGAGAAGAAGTGCCGCACAGAACGAGGTTCGTTAGATTTGGCGGACCGGGACGGCGGGACAGCAAGTTGGAGTCGCATGTGGCTCCTTGGAGCGTACGATGCGAGACGTTGCTGCCCGTAGTCCCGTAACCCCCAGCTGAGCGTGGCGAGTGCGAGTCAGGTGCTCGCGCCGTAGCTCCAGCTATAGTAGGCTCTAGACGGTGGTCGTGGCCTTTGTGGGCGTGGTTGTCGCAACAGCGGGCGCAGGGGCAGCAGGGGCAGGAAGATCTGGATCGGCGTAGAACTTCTTGAGGATAATGGTAACATCGTCAAACTCGGTCTTGGCCTGCTTGATGATCTTGGCGAGGTTCTCCTGCGCCTGCTCCTCTGTGATGTCTTTTGTGCCTGCATCATCCTTCAGTTGGCCGTAGTGCTGTATCTTCTCGCACGAGTCCTTGACTTTGGTGAGGCCAAGCGTGGCGGACGAGCCCTTGAGGAAGTGACCAAGCTCGCTAAGCTCTTTGAGGTATTTGCCTTCCTTCTTCTCCTCGCTGTGTCGCGTTAGCCACGGCTCCAGCACGGCGTCGGGGTTGATGGTGGCCAAGTGAGGGCGCACAGGCACGCACGTCATCGTGACGATGCGCGGGCAGCAATAGAGCGGAGACTCACAGTTCCTTGTCCATCTTCTTGAAGGTCTGGTCGGCCTGGCCGAAGAAGTCATAGACGATGCTTTTGCTGAACTCGCGCTCGACCTCGTCTTCGTCCATTTCGAGAATCTGCTCAAACGTGGCCGGGTCGATCTGGTCCTCGGCGCCGGGGATGGACATGATGTCGCCGCTCTGTCGCGAAAGTTTTAGGTTAGGTGGTTAAGGCTGTTGGCGCGTAATGCAATAGGTACAGGAGAGAGAGGCTCATGCGCGCTGAGGGTGCGGCGAGACATGGCGGGGTCTAGGCAAGAGCAAGTGGACTGATGGAGGGGTACACGAACCTTGTCGTCGGTTACCGACATTTTTGTGTAAAGACCGAACAGCAAATCCGATGGACAGAAAGTGCTCCTCAAGCCGGATGAGATGCTGTTGACACCTCCGTGTACTGGTGTCGCAACTATGGCAACAGTCTGGGCGCGGCGGATATTTTTTCGCGCCTCAGTAGCGGGCCGTGCGGCTTTCCGATTCACTGGCTGTGGCTAGATTGGGCTTAATGGATGACGAAAGGGTCGGCCCGTTGTTGTTGTGAGCGCCGTTGCAGGTTGCTAGAGCTTTAGACGTTTATGTGAGGGGCTCGGGGCTCAGTGCTCTGTCTGGGGGGCACAGGGTGTGAAACCGAATATGACTGTTTTGTGCAGGTCGGGTGCCGGTTGAGCTATCACGGCAAAGCCTTGCTTTAGTCGGCCTTCGGTTCGTCTAGTCTTGGTGCTGGTGCTGGTGCTGGTGCTGGCTATCGGAAGCAGCAGTGGCGGCAGCTATGCTGTACACAGCAGATATGGACGAAAAAGTCGCGTGTAGATGGTAAGACGGGAAAAATTGTTTTCTAGCAGTATTGGTCACGGGGACGGCGCTCATATACAGCAGGGCGTTTGTTCTAGAAGGTTGCAAATGGCAATGTTTGCATCACCGCAGAAAGAGGGGGCACGGAATGAGCTCAGGAATAAGGGATCGCTATAAGTGGGTGGATACCTCGACGTCAATCGGCAGCCCTCAGTCGCCGTTGATCGCCTGTCACGAAGCCCGCCCGAGTACCCTCTGTTCCGGCGGCTGACTGGCGGCTGGTGAACAAGACCCCCCTCCCTCTCCCTCATCGGCTGGTCGGCCAAAGGTAGCGGTAGGGTAGGGTAGGGTAGGGTAGGGTAACGCGCCCAGGTTGTGTGGAGTCGGTCGCCGCTGACCTGGCAGCTTGCCCACACCATGTTAACCATGCTCTCCTCTGCGGCTGATGAGGCTAGTCGCGGCCCTGCCTCACACCCGACTGCTTTGTTCGGACGGCAGGACAAGCCATCGTTTGCACTGCGACGTGGTACGGTAAGAGTTTGAAGAGGGTTGACTGAGCGCCAAGAAGGCCTGGAAGCGTTCGAAAGATGCCATGTCCCGCCGTTTGTACGGTCAAGGCGGGGTGTCGGCGTGCGAATATAAAGGAAGACGTGCGTGCGACTTTTGCTTCGAGTACGTCGTGACATCACCGCTTGTCGTCATCATGCATGGAGGCTTGACCGGACCCTGGATTTGCCCTTTGCTGGGACCGGCTAGCCACACGAACCACACCACCACCATGAGGCGCCGCTTGCTCGTATACACTCTCGTCCGTTTTCTGCATTGTAGCCTCTATAAGGAGAGGGCGTTTTAATCGTACCATCGCAACCAGCAACATGTCACTGGGTCATGCGAGGGTCCATGCAGCCGGATATCAATCCCACACGACAGGCATGGTCCATGAACCCTGACCTCGCTTCCCACAGAAATCCTGCCACATGCGTAATCAATGCCCATCCGGCCTCCTCCGAGCTGCAAAATGTCGATACTTTCCTGTTACTGTTGTCGCGAACACGAATGACGGTGACGGAAAAAAAGGCGGAACGTGTGCGCCCAGGCGCCGCGATTGTGACTGCTGGCGTGCAGCATAGCGAGGGACCCACGGATCGCAGCTGCAGGGTACCAGTGGATAAATTGTGTTGTGACATGCCGTTTGCACCGACACAAGCTGAACAATGCACGGTGCGGTACCGGAGCAGCTTACTTGAGACTGTAATTGACTAGCTAGCATAGCGGAATCGACCTTCGTAGAATACCGAGGCGGTTCCGTTCCGCTCCGCTCCTACGTAAGGCCGCGAAAACCCTTTGGAGATGCAGCATATGCGAGGCTGCCAGAATGGCCTGGTACACCTGCTTGCGGTATCCAAGCAGAACGTCGAAAGCATATGTATTGACCTAGCGTTGTCACACACATACAGTCCTGGCCAAGGTAATGATCTGCGCATCCTGCCCTATGGTCTCACAGCAGCATGACCAACCATGCGTGGGGGGTGGGTATGCAGTGGGTACAAAGCGAGCAGAGAGCGAGAAGAGAATCAACCATTACAAACCACCTTGAACGCAACGGGTGATTTCGATCCGATGACACAGATAACAAGGTTCCGAGGTTAGGAAGAGGATTGAATAGAGGCTTCATTTCTCCTAAACATGGACACTGTCTAACCTAACCGCCGATGCTACCCGTATGATACAATGCAGTTGCTTGCCATGCCAAGGTTCCACCAGGAAAGAGAGTGGGACAGTGTTGTGACCTGCTTAACCCTTGACCTTGTAGATGGCCTCGGCAAGGCGTCCAACATTTTCCGTAGTAATTCCAGCGACCGAGATACGGCCGTCCTTGGTGGCATAGACCGAGTGCTGTCATATGAATTAGTCTTATAATCGCGATTGACGCTTTTGATCATACGTACCTCCTTGGCCAACTTGTCCATCTGCTCTGCAGTCAGGCCAGTGTAGGCGAACATGCCAATCTGCGAAGTGATGTGGCTCCAGTCGTGCTTGCTTCCCAACTTCTCCAGGTTCTCCTTGAGAAGCGCACGCATGGTGATGATGCGGTCAGCCATGCCCTTGACTTCGCCAAGCCATTGCTGGTTAAGTGACGAGTCGTTAAGGATCTCAGAGGCAATGCGAGCGCCGTGGACTGGTGGGTTAGAGTACAAGGGGCGGACGAGGATCTTGATCTGAGAGTCGACACGCTTCTTCTCTTCCGCAGACTCGCAGACAATGGAAAAGGCACCAACACGCTCACCGTACAGACCCATGTTCTTGGCAAAGGACTGAGCCAAAACAGGGCGGAGACCCTCCTTGATGAAGTGACGGAGCGCAAAGGCGTCCTTGGAGGTGTCACCACTGGCAAAGCCCTGGTAGGCCATGTCGAAGAAGGGGAAGTGGTCGCCGGCCTTGACAGCCTCAGCAATCTTGACCCACTGCTCCTCGGTAGGGTCGACACCAGTGGGGTTGTGGGCACAAGCGTGGAGCAGGACAATGCTGTTCTTGGGCATAGCCTTGATGTCGGCAACCATACCATCAAAGTCAAGACCAATAGTGTCCTTGTTGTAGTAGCGGTACTTCTCCACCTTCAAGCCCGAGTCCTTGAAGACAGCATTGTGGTTGGCCCATGACGGGGTGGGGATGTAGATGGTCTTAGCACCGGGGTAGTGGCGCTCGAAGAAGGCACCACCAATGCGGAGGGCACCAGTACCAGAGATACTCTGGGTAACGGCGATGCAGTCGTTCTTGAGGGGAGTAGAGTCTTCGCCGTATGCGAGTCTGAGAGCAGCCTTGGTGAAGTTGGGGACCCCAGTGATGCCGGCGTACTCCTTGTCTAGCGATGAGTCGAGGATCTTCTTCTCAGCTTGCCTTACGGATGGAAGGACGTAGGGCTTGCCCTTGTCATCACGGTAAGCGCCAACGCCTGCCAGCGCCAGTTAGCCGCAGCTTCGATATGCAATTGCAGCAATGGACTCACCCAAGTTGATCTTCTTTGGGTTGCTGTCGGCCTTGAAAGCTTCGGTGATACCCAGGATGGCCTGAGACGGGAGGGTAAGCTATAGTTGAGGTTGTTACGCCCAAATTGGACTTACATCCTATGCACGTGTCAGCACTTGAAATAATGGGCCCTAGACCTATGTAGGTAGTGGTAGAGTTTGGGGTATTTTTGCCACTTACTGGAGGGCCCTGGGGTATCTGCGACCAAACGGAGACAGCTCGGACGCTGGTCTTGAGTGACAGCTGCCTGTTCGCCGCCTGGCGCAGCACCGTTCTTGATGATGCAAGCATAGCTATGTTGTGGAGAGGGGCAGGGGAGCGAGTCAATTGATACAAGGCAAGGTAAGGGAGAGGAAATCAGAGCTCTGCAGCTGAGCGGCAGCTATGTTGATTGCGTAGTGGGTGGTCTGAGCAAAATACCCCAGGAAAACAATAGACTGACTCCACGCAGCACGTCCGCGGGAGAGCTTCTGTGACTCGGGGCGGGAGCGATGGCCTCCGATTCGCTTGCACGGACATTGGCCTCTTAACCCCGACGCCATGGGGAATTTTCCTGGCCGTGGCTTGATGATGCATCGAGTTTGGAGTTTGCGCATATCAGATACTAGTAGACCAGTATGCGCCCAGCTCTCAGGCAAGCCAGGACTCTGCTGAACCACGAAGCCTCTATACCTGCTTATCTCTGCCCCGCACTGCTTCGCGCGCCATCAGTCGCAACCACAGTCCGTCGTCAACCACCCCACGTCCAGTCCTTCTCGTCCTCAACAAGAGCGCGAGAGCAGGCCAGCACCAGCCATATCTCCGAAACACCCTTAAACAATGCTCCTCCTCCAACTAGCAAATCTTCCACTCGGTCGCTTCCTCGAACATGCCCAGGATGTGGTGCGCTGACGCAGATGTACGACAAGAAGGAGGCGGGCTACTACAACATCGATAGGAATGCGATACGCGAATATCTGCATTGGACCCCCAACAAGGCAAAACAGGCGACAGCCGAGGATGAAATATTTGCCAAGGCGCTCAAAGACGCGAGTCCCGAGCTGCTGGGAGAACTGGGCGTAGCGAACGATGTCGACCAGGCACCGCCAGACGACGAGGCGCCAGAGACACCAGTATGCGATCGATGTCACCAACTGATCCACCACCGCGTCGGGTCGCCTATTCACCATCCGACCGTCGAATCCATACAACAGACCATTGCAGAGTCGCCTCACAGACGCAACCACATCTATCACGTAGTCGATGCCGCCGACTTCCCCTTGTCTATCGTTCCCAACCTGCAGTCTTCCCTACGCATACCCAAACTCCGCACGCAAAACAGACGAGCCAAACACAAGGGATGGGTGGCCAACGACCGCATCGCTGAGGTCAGCTTCATCATCACTAGGGCCGATCTGCTGGCACCCAAGAAGGAACAGGTGGATGTGTTGATGCCATACGTTCGAGATGTTTTGCGAGATGCGCTGGGAAGACAAAATGCGAATGCGCGTCTGGGCAACGTTCGTCTTGTGAGCGCAAAGCGAGGATGGTGGACCAAAGAGGTCAAGGAAGATATCTGGGAACGTGGTGGAGCAGGCTGGATGGTTGGCAAGGTTAATGTTGGAAAGTCGAACCTCTTCGAAGCCGTTTTCCCCAAAGGACGAGGCGCCGACTACCAGAATATACGCAAGATTCGTAGCGCAGCGGAGCGAGAGGCAATGCTAAGTAGCGCCAAGTCCCTGGATGACCTTACACAAATACAACAACAGCTCGCGGAAGAAGACGCTGAGACGGAACGCCTCAAGACAAAACAGCAAGAACATATTCACCAGCCTCCTGCTGAGCTCGAAGAGCCGCCCGAAGAAGATGACTTTGACGACCCAGACGCCCTCCTTCCACCTCCCCAACCATATACCCCTTACCCAGTCTTGCCTATCGCCTCTTCACTCCCTGGTACGACGGCGTCTCCAATACGTATCCCATTCGGCCGCAGCAGAGGCGAACTAGTCGATCTCCCTGGACTCGCGCGCACAACTCCAGGCCTAGAGACGTTCGTTCAACCCGCCTCGCACGACGAACTCGTCATGACAAACCGTATCAATTCCGAGCGCTATACCTTGAAGCCCGGGCAATCACTGATCCTAGGCGGAGGACTGATCAGAATAACGCCCAAGAACCAAGATCTAGTATTCTTGGTCTACCCCTTCGTCCCCATCCACCCACACGTCACCCGCACCGAGAAGGCCATAGACTACCAAGCCCAAACCTCGGACCGCCAACTCCAAGTGCCCCCTATCCTCGCCCCAAACGTCGGCTCCAAAATGAACTCCGCTGGAATCTTCCCACTCAAATGGGATGTCACCAAGAAACTCTCCGGCCCTGTAACGTCTGTCGCCGCCGGAAAAATGAGACCAGAGAACCTCCCATACAGGATCTGGGCCACGGATATCCTAGTCGAAGGCGTAGGCTGGATCGAAGTCTCTGCGCAAACCCGAAGACCCCAAGGCTGGAAACCATCAGGTCTCATCAAAAAGGACCCCAACCAAGCCAAATTCGACCGCATCACCCGACTCAAAGAGGAAGAAGAATATAAGAACAGAAAATTTGCGGCGATTGCGCGGGCAGAGAAGGAAGGTAGGGATGTGGAAGAGGTACTAGAGGAAGAGTTCTACAAAGATCGCATGAAGGAGCGTGTGGAGGGGTGGGAGGATGATTACCCTGAAGTCGAGGTTTTTTCGCCGCTGGGCAAGTTTGTAGGCCAGCGTCGGCCCATGTGTGCGAGCACGGTTAGTGGGCCGAAGTATGTGGCTTCAAGAGATAGGAAGCAGAGGCCGAGACGTAGCATGGTTAGTGTGAAGAGGCAGAGGAAACCACAGGGTGCGTCGTAGAAAGATGGAAAACAAAAGCGTTGTAAGAAAATTTGTAGATTAGCTTTGTTGTATAGACCATGTAGTTTACCTTGGGTATTCCTTTCCTTTCACGGTGAGTAAATCAACGGGTTATATGCGTACACACGCCATATCATCCTCGTCATGCGTTTCAAAAACCAATTACATGTCTCGTCTGTCTAATAGTCAAGATATAGGTGATAAGAACAAGCATTCTAAAAAAGGTAACATGCTACAAAATACACGTCCATTCCATACGCCAAGCCATCCCAAGCCAGCTCAGCGCTTGTATGCCCTTCACCCACCAATTCCCCACTTGGCCATGGTATATCAATTGAGTTGAATTATTCAGTCATTCCTCTTCATTACGTTTAGTTCTTGGCTTGATCAAGGATCTTCCAGTATGACTCCTGCTCCTTGAGGCAATCGCGGCCCTCCTTGTCGCAGCCGGGGAAGTTGGCAACGAGATGATCTTGCTGGTATTGTCCTTCGGAAGCCGCGGGACCACTGGCATACGAGTTGAGGAGGTTCTGCGGGACCATTGCGAGTTTAGCTAGGATTGTGCCGTGCCATCTGTAAAACTGTTAGTAACCTCTTCCGCTCACTCAATTGCTGCAATACATGCGCGGGATACATACTGTACAATATGTTCCAAAGCGTGGGTCTCGGCCTTTTGGAAGTTGTAGCTACGGTAGATGGGGTCAAACCAACTGTCTAGGAAGAACTTTGCCCACTCCCCGTTTCGGACTACAAAACTACTTGGTGCCAGTCCGTCCTTGTCCTGTGTGACGACGAAGTCTATTCTGTCGCCCTTGAGGTTGCTGAAGGTCTTGATGACACTGTCAGGGGGGACGACAGGGGCGTTGACCCGCATGTGGGTTTCGAGTTTGGCGGCTGTGAGGAGGTTGGTGTGGATAGGCAGCGCTTGGTTCATAATCAAGGCTGTGTGATCGAGGTACCAGAAGAAGGTTGAGGAAGGGTACATGGTCATGGCATGGCGGATCGCAGGTACGCGGGACCATGTCAGAGGTGAGTTGCCAATGGGATATTGGTCGTTTTGGGGGAAGAAGGTCAGGTAGCCTGGGATAGGATTAGTATTGCACAATTGTCGTATCAATTGAGGATCCAGAAGATGCATACCGTGCTTCTTGGCGTATTCCTCCCTATTGGTCTTGACCTTTTGTACCCACGTCGGGTTCGCCTTGGGATCTATAGTCGTGACTATTACCACAGGCGGTCCGCTCCCTATGTTTGCCTTCGGTATGTTTGCCGGTTTCCAACCACCAACAACTTTGGAACTCCTCTTTGAAGTACCGCTACTTCCGCTCAACATCCATATCAGGACGAAGAAGCCCAGAACGCCGGCAGCTAGTAATCGGCCTGCCTTAGTCCGGAGCAAATTCTTGAGCGCCGGTGGTATCCTAATTCCGCCGCTCTGATTCCGCGCAGCATATGGCGGTGGCCGCGACGTCTTTCTTGGGGGCATGGCGAAATGCATTGTGCCTGGGGATAGGGAGAGGAGGTCGCAATTGTGGTGCGTGGAACGAAACGAGCGAGGCCAGTTGGAGGTCTGGGGAGGCGCAGATGTGGCGTAGGTCGCTACGGGGTCATTGCTAAAGTATATACGAACGGCACAGGCTTAAAGCATGTGGGGGGAGGGTTTTGGTTGGCGGTCGCGGAAACGGTGCGAAATTACCAGAGTACACGCGACGGCATTGTAATGCGATGCGATAAGGCTTGGCAGGAGGGACCTTGCTTTAGGGGCCGCAAAGAGAGCGGTCGCGACTTGGGCACATCACGTTTTTTCTTACCGACGTGTCCCTAGGGAGATATCCAAAAGATGGGTAAACGCTAAAAGTATGCTTTGCATGCTCATTAGAGTGCTGCCCGACGCCACCCTGACACGACGTGCCACTCTTCCACGTTGCTCAACGTCTCCTTACCACTTCGAGCACGCCCTATCGATATACAGACATGATCACTACTGGATCAACAAATTTCTCGAATAGAAAGATGCCGCGGATTTGTTCCGACGTCTTACAGATATCAGGGTCCACTCAGCGTGGCATGAAAAGGAACTCGCCAAGGCTATATCTCAACGACTTCAATTCATGAACAGGCTAGGCGTAGAGACATCCACAGCGGAAACGGGTGCTCGGGACAATCGCCAAGAATGATCCTCCCAAATCTGTGATGTGACGATTGCTTGCTAATGCCAGATGCTCCCCATTTTTGCTACTATTTCTGCGTTACCCGCTATGACGTCGCGCGTCTGTCACAATTTAAGACAAGAGACGAAATGCTATGAAAAGAACTCTGAACACCAACTTTACCCATCATCAATCAATTTCTCTCTATACAAGTCCTTGCTTTTAATTGTCACTTCTCAACTCATCTAATCCACAGCAATCAATTGCAACCATGGTCGAAAAGGTCCTACAACTGAAGTGCAACTGCAACCAGTACCCATGGGGAAAGCAGGGCTCCAAGTCGCTGGCCGCAAGCCTGTGTGAGAAGACACCAGGTACTGACTTCAAGATTGACGAGAACACCAGCTATGCTGAGATGTAAGTCGCGTACATGATATGGTCAACGTTTGCTGATATCAAAAGGTGGATGGGCACTTACCCAGAGCTTCCCTCATATGTCTTGGAAACTGGCGCGGACCTACAGAAAGTTATCGATGAGCACCCAGACGAGCTTCTCGGAAAGAAGGTTGCCGAGAAATTCAACCACACAAAGCTGCCATATCTCCCAAAGGTCTTGTCGATAGCAAAGGCCCTACCTCTGCAGCTACACCCGGTATCTTGATCTCAGTATCGACCACGTACATTTGCTAACAATGATATGCAGAACAAATCTCTGGCTTCCAAGTTACATGAGAAGAACCCGGACCAATTCACAGACCCGAACCACAAGCCGGAAATTGCGCTCGCTCTTGGTGACTTTGAAGCCTTCTGTGGTTTCAAGCCGCTCAAGGATATCGAGCGTCTGATGCAGCTTCCCCCACTCCAAGCCTTTCTCCCCGAAGTAAAGAAGCCTGAATTCGATGACCAGCAACTCAAGCATGTTGTCAAGGCCATGCTCATGGCATCCGAGGACGCTGTACGCAAGACAAACCATGCATTGGCAAAGATTTCCAAGGAGCAATTCGGCGAGTTCAGCTACATTCCCGACTTGATTCCTCGTCTGGCAGAGCAGTACGACAAGGCCGATAATGGAACGCTTGTTGCTCTCATCACCATGAACTACCTCCAACTCAAGGCTGGCGACAGCATCTACATCCCCGCCGACGGCATCCATGCCTACCTCTCCGGAGACATTATCGAATGCATGGCCCGATCCAACAACGTCTTGAACACAGGTTTCTGCCCGCGTGCCGACCGCGACAACGTTGACATGTTCTGTTCCGTCCTGACCTTCACACCACATGACGCAAAGGAAGCCATTCTTCCACCCCAAGCCTTCGACGGCAGCAAAAACGGCAAGACGCAGCTTTACGCCCCTCCTCTTAGCGAGTTCAGCATGCTAGCCACCACCATGAGCGATGGCGATTCCGAAACCATCCGGGCCATGGGTGGTCCCAGCGTCATGATCGTAACCGAAGGGGAAGGCACCATGAAGGGCGACGGCAAGGAACATAAGCTAGGCGCCGGCTACATCTTCTTCATCGCTCCAGGTGTAGAGCTGGAATTTAAGGCTACCAAGCAGCTCAAGGCCTTTACGGCTTTTGTAGAGTAAACGGCTTGTGTTGGTTCGGTTGAATATCATAACGATGTAACGATGAGGCTCAACCCCGCGGCGGGAGTGACATAGCGGCCGATTGGGTGGAACCAATAGAGAGCTTCCCCGCATCTTACGCCCAGACACAGGAAGCCCGCTTTGGGGGGTATGGTCGCTTGTAGTATTAGTTTGCGTTCATAGCTTAGAAACATGTGGAATCGCGGATGCTGTTTCGGAGCCGCACATCCGCGCTGCTACGCCGAGTGAATGGGATCAGCACTTTTGATATCCTTGTCTTTCCCCGCACTTTCATGGTGAACCCCCGCTGGAGCTTCATGTACAGCTATAAAACCCCGCATGGGAGCTTCCCTTGCCTGGGGTGCCGAATCTTTTGTTTATCAATCAATTGATCTTTTCGTTGTTGTGATTCTTAGCTTTTTGAACGCGCGGATAGCTTTGTTGCTCGATCGAGACTTGAAGATTACCGGAGGCTCCCCTTGAACGCGAAAACCACCGACTTAGGAACCACAGTCACAAGTAAGTCAATACATATCTCATTCATGTTTCTTTACGATGTTCGAATTGACTCTCGTGTTTTGTACGATATGTTTTCTAAACACATACTAATCGTTTCTCCAGCATCCAATCCAACCCAACCACAACCATGGCAGCAACAGTAGCAAAACGCGACTCAATGGATGCCACAATGGCCAATCTAGAGACGAAGCTGAAATCTGCCGAGATCTCCCAAACACCCTCCAAGCGACCCCTAGGTCTAACCGACCTTCCCCCCTCGGTCCGCAACAACATCTACAAGTACTGTCTCGACACGGAAGTCGTCAATATTGGTCTACCCAACGTCTCCTACACCCATACCATCACGGAATCTGTGCTCAAATTCAGCGCCTCGCGACCGCCCCACCCCGTCGCCACGAGCCTCTTCTACGTAAACAAGGCAGTCAGCAAAGAAGCACTGAAGTTCTTCTACTCAAAGAACCTGTGGGTCAGGTTCGACGTCTACTCTGCTGATGCGCGGCACGTGAAGACCATGCTTCAAGACTCCGGCCTTCTGTTTTCAACACCATCGCTCGAGGCAGCAGAGAACTGCACACAGCACGCATTGGAAGTAGTACTCGTGGAGAAGAACAGCGCGATGAAACGCGCCAGTGTCATGTTCCCCGCACAGTACCTACCCCGACTGATCAACTTCCTGGACCAAGCAAGTCGCGCAACGGGGAACTGGGCGCCCATGCACAAACTCTTCCTCGATGTGGTGAATACATATGGCTTCCCCATTTCGCGGCTGCAGGGCGATTTGCTCGAGCTGTTTAGGTTGCTGTCGAACTTTGGCGCCGTCGAGGTGAATAGCAAGAATGTGCTGCCGAGGTATGCAGAGGGCTTGCAGACGAACATGACGAGTCCGGCTTTTACCGCGGATGGCTTTATCGCGAGCGTGACGGAGTTGGCGGACCAAGCTGATTCGGCTCGGGAGAGGGAAAAGTACGAACTTGCCAATGAATACGCGCAAGCTACTATTATAGCCATGACATACGGCTATCTGACTCACGCGGAGACTCTGCACTCGCAACCCGAAGAGTTCTCAAAGAACATTCAGCGACTTCGCTGGCGCACAGAACTCGGCTTGGGCATCTCCCTGTCTATCCCGCTCCGCAGTCTGACGGCGAACAAGGACTGGCTCCGCACTCCCAACCCCACACCCGAAGTAAAGAAAGCTGCACGCGACCTTCTTTTGGCAGAAACTTCAGTGTCCAAAGCTTTGAGTCTGGTTACAGACTCCCCCTCACCAGCCTCAAACCCCTGGTACCACACCCTCCCCGTCGAGCTCATTCCCACCAATAAGCCAACCTACTTCACCGACCGTGAGCGAGCACAGACCTGGTATGCTCTGGGTACTGTACACACTGCTTTGGGCGAGTTTATCTTTGCGTGCGGTGATATGGAGAGGGCGCTAGAGCTTTGGGGCAAGGAGAGTGGAGTGGATGAGGAAGGTGGATTGAGGGGTAAGATTGAGGAGGCATTTGAAAAGGCCAGGCAAGGGATCGATGGGGATGCCCAGAGTATGTGGGTTGGTGATGTGAGACCGGGTTCGGGACTGAAGAGGGCGGCCAAGTTGGCTAGAGGGCTTTGAGATCGGTGCTTGTGTTTTTCCAAGTGCTCTTAGCATAGTTCACGTCCCTAGTAATGTAGTGAGACCATGAATTGAACCATTCAAATCGCGAGAACTCTTCGTAGGAGCCTTTTAGAAGTGATGGCGCGGGTAAGCGCAAGCCTGAGAGTACACAGTAACTTTGACCAATGTTGATCAAAAAGAGAAGCACAAGTCGGGGATAAGAAAAGGAAAAAGTGTGGTAAACGACCAACGAATTTGTTGTGGAATACTGTTATTCCAAGTTCAATGTACATAAAACAACGATGGTAGAACAGCTTAATTCGTATAGCACGTCCGTCTACTCAAGCTTAGAGAGACAGGCTCTCTTCATCGTTTGTTACTCGACTTGACGATGGCGTCCCAGGAAATACCATCAGCAAGCATTTCGTCTCTCGATGCGCGATTAGAAGACTCGTTTGGGTCGCCGAACTCCTCATACAATCCTCTCCTGTATGCTGCTTTGGCTTTTGCATAGCTACCGGACGCTTCGGCTTTGGCTCTGATGGCTATGTCTGCCTTGCGCATGGCCATCTGGAGATATTCTCGGCGTTCAGGATCCAATGCCTCATTTGTAGAAGCACCCTCAGCTTCTTTGATCATCTGGGCGTACTCGGCTTTTCTTTGGGCGCGATAAGCTTCTTCTCCGCCAGCTTCGGCGATCTGAGCAGCAATCGCCGTTGCCCTCTCCTTCTCAAGGGCAGTGTCTGCTGCATTCCTGTCTTCCAGACCACTCGCCTCGTCAAGTTCCTTCTTCTTCCGTTCATTGTGGAGAAGCCTAGCAGCATTCAAGTCTGACATCTTGGGTCGCTTTAAGCGCTCTTTGATATCCTGCAGATCCTCGGGGGTGAAGTCCATTGCTTCCAATTTTTCGGAGAAACTGGTCATGTTGGCATTGAATGCCTCTTCGCGCTCTTTGGCTCGTATGAAGGCCAGTTTGATACCTTCCTCTACACTGTCTACCATACCGCGGCGGATATAGCGTTCGGCAGCAATGATTGCCCTCTTGTATTCCGTGGATTGGGCTTTCTTGCCAAATTTGAGTCCGTTTGTCTTTTCTAGCTCCTCTCTTGGCTCCCACATTACTTGTTCTTCGGTATCGGCGAAGACGTATTCTTCCGGATTATAATTTTCGACGTCTGTCGTGACTGTGCGTCGTGCAGCCTTCTGCTCGGCTATCATGGCTGGCGTAGGCCATTGCTCGTCAATTGTTGACTGGTCTAGGCCCAGTGCAGCAGCATCTGCTCTCAGTCGATCAATAACCTCAGGCCTCTGCATCAGGGTCCATCGCAGCGCCCATCCCATGGGTCCTAACTCTTTGATGCGCGCCTCGCTGTCTTTGAGCAGGTACTCGTCTAGGCCACCTTCACGGTCTATTATCTTGAGTATATGCTTGGCAAGGACCAGCTTTATCTTCTTCTTCAACGCGACCGAGTACAGGCTCTTTTGGAGGACATTGGGCTTCCAGTTCCGCCGTGTCTTTGTCTCTGTCTTTTTGGAGACATTGTTGCCGAAGCGAATCCTTTTGTGGCCATATAGACCTTTGTTGGCCTGCTTGAACAGCTGGTGGTCGCCATACGGGTATGGGGGAATATAGGCATCTCTCGGGATGACATCCTTGGGAAGATGGTGGCCGAGGTCGCCGCCGCGTCGTCGTGTAAGAGGATTCTTAACAGCGGGCGCGGGCACGGATGCCGTCACCGCCGTCGCATACGTCCGCTGCGTTGATTGTGCAGAGCGGAGCACCAGACCCTGGGCCGGAATACGCCCACTTAGCAATTGACACCAGGGAGGCATAAGGTATCGCGGTGGAAGGGGTAGCGGCGGTGCCTTTGGTGGTGGTGGGTAGGGAGCCGTTATGCTCGGTAGTCCGCAAATTCGTGATATTCTCAGCACAGACCCCAACGCCGTACTTTAGCTCTACAATTGCGGGCAACATGCAACGTGCAATCTTGCGACTACGACGCTACATTTTTCCCTGCACAGTCGCTTGAGGGGATAGATTGCTTTACATGAACAAGTACCGAATGCTACATCAACAACCGCACATATGGCAGATCAACCCTCCCAGCCCTCAACTGCGAACATAGCAGCCGCATGCGCCATACTCGCGGGCGTTACGGGCTACATGCTGGGACAAGCCAAATCGCTGGGCTTCTTCGGCGGTAGTCCCATCTTGCAGTCGACCCGGTCTGAGAAAGAAAAGGTCGATGACTCAGAAGACGAGTCAAGCGAGGACGAAGACGAGGACGACGGCACCACACCGACAGAGTTCCCAGACCACAACGAGGAATGCAAGATGGTGCTTGTAGTTCGAACAGATCTCGGCATGACAAAGGGTATGGCAGGGCTTGGGCTTCCTCGACAAGACGTCTCCTAACCAGAGTATAGGCAAGATTGGCGCACAATGCGGACACGCAACACTGGCTTGCTACAAGCACTTTCTTCGCCACTCGCCCAACTCCGAGATTCTAAAGCGCTGGGAGAAGCTAGGCCAAGCGAAGGTGGCGTTGCAGGTCAAGAGCGAAGACGATATGCAGCTGTTGCAGGCGCAAGCACTGAGCCTGGGGCTGGTGGCACATATCATCCACGATGCTGGGCGGACACAGATCGCGAGCGGGAGTGCGACAGTTCTAGGCATTGGTCCGGCACCCAAGAGCGTCATAGATCAAGTCACTGGGCATCTCAAGCTGCTATAGCGCCCCGTCGGGTACGCGATCATGGGCGACATATTGAGCGAATGCAGTGCAATCATACAAGAGAAAGCGCTAGCATCACGTCTCAAGTATGACTCGTATGCATATTAGGATGCGCACTCTTACGAAATTTGTGAAACGCCAGTCGGCCATTCGTGAAAACAAAGAGGCATTCGACACGGAATATCGAAGATATCATCCCTAATGCCTGGCAAAGCTACAGTCTTGACAGGTGGCTGAGCAAACAGGACCGCATGAGTTTGATCATTGCACAAGGAAGGTACACCGGTGGTGGCTTTCAGTGTATACGCGCTTGCTTGCATGCCCTTGTCACCGCGTGCGAGAACAAAAACGAAAATGCAGGATGCGTCTAACTCCTACCGATGTATGTTGCTCAGGTAATCATGTCGGTAACCGTCCAAGCGGGCCCTGGCTGCCCAACAAATGCCAGCTGCCATGTGCGGACCGTCGCCCAATTCCGCGCGCCTGGCAGAGCAACAAATGATCTTGTGACATCTCGCAGCAGTGCTGCAAACGTACCGATCATGATACGCATAGAATTTACGTGCCGTAAGTTTGTGCAGGAAACAGGAGCGAGACTTGCAGGCCTTGGGATTGTGCATCGTGTGACCATGGTATGACGTGCATCCACGATGCGGATGCCGTAGTGACGGTGATGGACATTCAATGTGACTCTTTCCGCTTTTAGTGAGCACAGGTTGCACATGAGGGAAAAAAGGAATCCTCACGTGGACACTGACATGTGTGTAATGTCCGCCTGTCCCGGATTGTGATATCGTATCGAGGTGTCGACTCGCTGCTCGATACAAACAATGTGGGACCAATGTAGCGTTGCATCGAAAACAACCGGGCAAGGGGCTGCTGGTTATACCATTACTCTATCTATGTGGATGAGTACACAACTTCATGCGACCGCAGCGCCTCGCCACCAACTCGCGGCGCCTAGGACAAATACTACCACCATGGCATCGCTCACAACCGTGCTGTAGATGACGCTGTACCTGCCTACGGTTCTCACGTAGCCCGAATATGGCTGGGGCAATATGCCGGCAATGGTGCTGAGGATTCCGCTGCCCTGTAATTGACCCTTTTCAATGAAATAGCGTGTCGACTGTAGGACCACCTGGAAGGTAGCGAAGATATAGAAGAAGTGCGCAAAGTTGTCCGTAGGGGTAGATTGGGTGGCCCAATCATCATTCGGCATGTTATCGCGTGATAACTTGGATCCGGTGAAGTGAGTTTTCAGAACGATGTAGGACGCAAGGGAGAGCGACAAGATAGAGTGCACCAAACGCCAGACCCAAGCCGAAGATTGGTCTGGTGTGGGTTCAGCCGGACCACCGCCCTGCATGGCAGAGAACATGCTGGCAAGACCTGGTGGCATACCAGGTGGTGCGCCTGCCTGACCTGGAGCGCCAGGCATACCGGGCATACCAGGCATACCGCCCGCTCCCGCGCCCATCATTTGCTGGAGCATGGCCATCATGGGGTCCTGCGACGGGTCCGAGGCTTGGCCAGGACCGAATGGGCCAGATTGATTACCATCGAAAGCAAAAGGCGACGGAAGACGGGTTTGAGATGCCGGCGCGTAGTGATGCTGTGAAATGGAAATGTCTACTACATCCGGGTCTGGCGTCGCCGTTCCAGACACAGAAGGAGTGAATTGGGACGGGGTAGTCGCGGGTTGGACTAGAATGCGGTTAGCCGTCAGTTCCCACACGCACCGAGGAGTGAAAAAACGTTAACACCCCGCGGACGTAATTTTACGCAAGATTAGGATGTAGTACCTGGTATATCTTTCTCGAGTTCGCTGATATCTTTGGGCGGTCCACCTTGTAGCGCCGTGATCTGCTGCAGGCGAGAGGCACCGCTCTTTGCTGCAAGACGCTCCCTTCTCAGTCTAGCTTTGGTCTGAGCAGGAGACTCGCCGGGGATTGCGCCAGGCGCGGGGGCAGAAGAGTCGGCCATTTTTGCAGCGATAGTGGTGTGGAGGGGAGGGTCGTCGCGATGGGATCAAGAGTCTTGTTGTCGTAGTGGAGGGGCTGCACGTGATGTCACTGCCTTGGCGCACAAGACCAACTAGTACAACATTGAAGTAGGAACAGAACTGCGCAATATTTATCCTCCCCAGTCTCTAGGCAAGTGCAGTACCATCCAAGGTTGATAAGCAGACTCATTGAGTTGAAGTCTGGTACCGATATTTTCGTTGAGTCGAGAACCAAGGTTGAGATGCAGTTGAGCCAAGGCTTCATTCGACACGTGATAGGAACAGAAACAGCAAGTGGGCGATGGATTGTGGAACTTCCAAGCTTCAAGCTTCCCGCCGGGCCAGCCTCCCGCTACTAGTGTGGGCGGCTGCACGGTTGCACATACTCGTAGCGGAGAATTTCACCGCGCCATACGTACGACGATTCGCTCACCTTTGACTTGATTAATCAGTCTGTGCCGGCCCGCCAGATTGGTTTGCCATGACTGTCACACGCGCGGTACGGGCCGTATCGTCGTCATTGTCATCTACCGACCCCTTTACACCGATCACATCCATATTGGCACACTCTGTCCCTACATACCAATACAGTACCTAGGTACAGGTATACCGGCGCCGGCATTGTTTGGGCGTGCCATGTTGTGGCGGTCAATCGAAATGGGTTCCTCGGGTGCAACGCCGCTCCATGACCAACCCTTGCCGTCGCTTGGGGCGCACATGTACTACCAAGTCTGCCTTCAGCGTGGCGCTACTCTGCATATTTTGGATTTGACTGACCCGTGGGGTCGGCGCCCTGGAAGCATGGCAGCAAGTCCTGGTTGCATATCGGTTCACAACTCCAGCCAGTATAGGACGTCCTATTGTGCTTGTTGACTCCCTTGGATGTCTGATCATCGCCGCTACACCAGAATCATCCGTCAAACTCGTACCCCAGCACACGATATGAGTCTACCAAAATTTTAATTTACTCCCAGTGCGGCCAACCTTCCCCGCTTCCGCCATTGGCCGCCACATTTCTGCTAAGCCCCATGTGCGCCGTGGAGTTCCTCGTCAACTTCTAACCTCCACACACTACAAGTATCTTCTATATATCGAAATCGCTTTTTCTACCCCTGGGGAATGAACAAGTCAACACCATTTTCCCATTCCAACGCGTCGTAGTTTTAATTTTAATCCTATCCGCGAATCAGACTCTGGCCGTGTTCAACTATGTGGAGAAGGGTCACCAACCCAGGAAGGCCCACCAAAGAAGCAGCTATCCTTGCTGCAACCGTAAATGGTGTTGACATCGCCCCTTCCTCGAATCGACAATGACGCCAGCAACATATAACTAGGTGACACAACATGAGTTGAGATCGATAAACAGAGCTTCCCAACGCTGCAATTCCTTCCTCCTTTCATCCAACTTCCTTTCCCTTTCACCATCTTGTCACTTACGTGTTCCATCGTCTTGTAGTACGCAGTCATGCTTCTCTCGAAGATCTTGGCCAGGAGCCAGCCCCTTCGGTTGAGCCCTCCTCGCCTGGTTCCTCTATTACAGCAGCATAGAAGTCAATCGACCCTCGAACATCAGAAGCCATATTGGGATCATATTCCCTCTTGGAAGGAGGTATCCAGTGACGAATTCATCTCTTACCGGTGGCAGGTGCGTTGGTAGCGTTGTATAGCTGCAATGCAGCCACACTATTTCCTTCGATACTGATTCTCGCAGCTCCGCAATACCGTGTCAGATAAGCACAGGCTCTATCAATTTCTCCGCGAAGCCCTGCCAGATAGACTAGAGCCCTCAAAGGATGCTCAACTCAGGAGAATTCGGACCAAGGATGATTTTATTGAGGAAGCGGTACGTAACTGTCTAACGTGATATCAAGATGATGCTAACGCTGCGATTAGATTGCTGCTATCAAGTTGGCGCCAATGGCCATCCGTTTGACCCCACATGTCCTGTCACTTGTTGATTGGACCAAGCCTTTGGACGACCCAATCCGCAAGCAGTTCCTTCCTCTCAGAAGTGGCATTATTCCAGACCATAAGCATTTAGAGCTGGACTCATTGCACGAAGAAGACGATAGCCCTGTCCCAGGTTTAGTCCATCGTTATCCCGGGAGAGCTTTGTTTTTAGCGACCTCGATCTGTCCTGTCTACTGTCGCTTCTGTACGCGTTCGTATGCAGTCGGCGCAAATACCGACACTGTGTCGAAGAAGCCACAAAAGCCTAGTCGAAAGCGATGGGAAGTCGTATTCCAGCACATTGAGAAAGACGAGACCCTCCAGGACATCGTTGTCTCAGGTGGTGACGCGTATTTCTTGCAACCAGATCACGTCAAGGAAATCGTTTACAGACTTCTCAACATCCCCCATATCAGACGTATTCGATTGGCTTCGAAAGGACTGGCCGTGGCACCGGGTCGTATTCTCGATGATGCCGATCCTTGGACTGATGCCTTGATCGAAGTATCTAACAAAGGCCGAGAGTAAGTTTTTGTCCCTGTTCGCTGCTCGTGTGATAATTGCTAACGTTGTTTTTCAAACTAGAATGGGCAAGCAAGTGTGCCTACATACTCACATCAACCATGCCAACGAAATCACTTGGATCACGAGACTGGCCGCAAACAAGCTGTTCAAGCATGGTGTCATTGTGCGTAACCAGTCAGTCTTGTTGAAGGGAGTCAACAACCACAAGGATACGCTTCTGGACCTCATCAAGACGCTTGCGGACATGAACATCCAACCTTACTACGTTTACCAATGTGATATGGTGCAGGGCATCGAAGATCTCCGAACACCTCTCCAGGAGATTATCGACCTTGACAAGGAGCTTCGGGGGAAGCTGTCTGGCTTCATGATGCCATCCTTCGTGATCGATCTCCCTGGCGGCGGTGGGAAACGTCTCGTCTCCACCATGGAGAGCTACCAAAATGGTGAAGCCACCTACAGGGCCCCTGGTCTACCTGGAGTCAAGGGCGAGATGGTATACAGATACTATGACCCGAAGCCTGTGGAAACGAAAGTTCTTGAAGAGTTCCAACAAGAACAGCTCCAGGCGCTCGAGAGGGGCGAGACACTGGAGCAGTTCTTCGCCCAGTCTGCCGCTCGAGCACGTTCTTCCATCGCACTACCTAGACGTGTGCAACAGGAACCGCTACACCCGCCAGCGCCAACCGGAATACCTCCGGAGATAATGACACCGGTTTCAATGCCGACGACACACGCCAATGCATAATCAGTCTTTCACCCACCACCACCCAATTGTGCAACCCTTTGCACATCAAAAAACGACATTCTTTAGCAACCAAAATTGGCCCCCCGCCCCAAAAGTAGACTGGATTTCATCAACGACGCGACGGCAGCAGTTTTGTTTTGGCCGCAAAAAGAGATTTGTTTGTACCATCAAGACCAGCGATTTCTTAGACCCTTCAAAAATGTTTTGTCTCGCATTCATAGACAGCTCTGCGCGCTGATTACATCATTACCGCCCTTGATAGGAGGGATGTGGCACAAAAGTCTGTTTGTCTGTTCGACTAGATACATTAATCTAATATATGCTATCGCTTCTTCTCAATCGTTATTGCAATGCACTTGCTGGATGTGATGCATACAAGGGGTGCATGCCGTTGTGATTCTGAAAAGCCAGAGGGTAGACTAGAGAAATAAACGGTGCATTACTAGTGTCTTTGATGACTTACCACATCTCTCCCCTCTGGAGCAGTTTGGGTTCAGCCGCAGCCACAAATCACGAGATTCATCATCTTGCCTTTGTCATCACCCCACGCCAGCCCAATCACGATATCACACACGGGCAGCAAACAACTTGAAGTCATAACATCTTGAATTCCGTATAAAAAAATCGAAGCCAAAAAGAACACTGAGAACATAAACACCGCCACCATTCATCCTCACTTATGCACTAAATTTTTGCAACAGCCGTCGACCAACAAACATCTCAAAGCCACGAGGCTTCAAGTTTTTTTCCTGTCTTCTTCTTCATCTTCTTTCTTCCCTTTCAACCAGGGGCTGTCCTTTTCTATAACAGAACAGCCTCCGCCGTCCAGCTAACTGACCAACCAACCCGCCTTCCGTCCATATTGTACAAAGAACAGATTATGTAACCCCGCCCGGTGATATCTGGGTTGAAGGCGAAAAAAAGCACAAAAGATGGCGAGAGAAAAAGAATAAGTGTTCCAAAAAAATACTAGCAACGACAAGAACAATGACAACAGCATCGACCAAGAATGCTCCAGACGCCCCAAGACGTGTAAGAGAGCAAAACGACCATCCGCCCGAGTGTGGAAAAATGTGGGTAATAATGAGGAGATCTAACGCCAAGAGGAGATGTGGATGAGAAGAATAAATGATATGGAGGTCAAGAATACAGTGGAAACGCCGCGCTATACAAGATGTAGAGATGGGGTGGGATATGCGACAATGACCAGAGGAAAAACGGCCGACATAGGGCGTGCCAGTAGCAGAGGAGGCTAAAGGTTGCAAGACAGAAAAACGGTAGTGATTAGCCGCCCGCCTTCATCCTCTTGTTAGCACCGGGCCTTGGACTTTGCTTGACCTTCTGTGCACCGTTCATTTCCCCTCCGCCGTCATCCATTTCTATCTTGGCTGTACTCCGCCGCCGCTTGTTGTTCATGTTGGGCGATGTATTGACACTCATCGTGTGTGAACTGGTGCTTTGTTGCTTCATCATGGGCTGCGAATTAGGGGATGGCGTGTGCTGGAAATGAGGTGAGCCGCCAATGGAGCCATTGGGAAGTAGGGAATTTTGCATGGCAGGCGACATGAACATTGGACCGGGTTGGCCAGGGCCAGGTGGTCGAATCCCAGGTTGCATGTTGGGTTGCATACCTTGCGGTTGTTGTTGCCCTGGGTTCTGCCCACCTTGCAGAACAGCCTGGTTGTTTGACATTGTGTTATTCCAAGACTCCAGAGCCTCGCTCGGCTTCATGTGCGGATTTTCGATACAGTGTGCCATTAAGCTGGTCATGTGATTCATGGATTCGTAAATCTATTCTTGTCAGTGTCAATGCCGATGGGAGGAAACGTAAGATGATCCCTTACCTCGAGATAGTTCTGCAAGCCTTGTGGCAGACCGTAGTCTGTTGTACCGGTGCTGGGCAATTTGTTGAACGGCAAATATGGTTGGGGTATCTCCTGTCCAGCACGTTGCTGCTGTGCTTTCTTGTTCTTCATTCGCGGCGACTGGTTAGGGTTCATTTGATTCGGCGATGGCTGAACGAACAAACTTCTCAAAGCATTGAAAGGTATGAACTGCTCATGGCAAGCACCATCGAACATCAGCCATTCCATCTTGTCTGAACCAGACCAAAACGCCGTCAGCTTGCCGTGGTAGACCAGTTGACAGGAGTTTTTGTACGTGTATATGAACTTTGCTCGGTCGCAGGTCACCTTTAGCTCGGGGGGCTGTGACTTCTCGGTGGCCCCGTCCAACGTTATCTGAAGGTTTGTGACATCCGTTCTAAAAAGTGTGTAGAAGTACCGTGGTAGCGCAGCGTACACAATTTCAAACTGCTTAGATCTGTCCGCGCTCGGCGAACAGACTACGTTGATGAAGGATCCTGTTTCGGTGAAGAACTTGTCCACGAAAGCTTGCCACCTCTCTACGTTGTTGATCTGTTTGTTCTCGTCTTGGGATACGTCAAATCTTCCTATCTGCTCCACAAAATTCAACAGCTTCAGTGTTCCTTGGCCTTGACTTTGAGATTGGGCTTGCTTCTGTTGTTGCATTAATGCCATTTGACGGACTTGGTTCTGCTGCGCAGCGGCTTGGGCCTGTGCTTGTGCCAACGCTGGATTCTGTTGTTGCATCTGACCTTGGTTCTGAGCTTGTTGATTGGGTTGCTGGGGTAAGTTAGGCGGTTGTGCTTGTGCCTGCGTCTGCTGCTGCGGAACTGGGCCAGGCTGTTGAGGCTGCTGTTGAGGTGGCTGCTGCTGCTGCTGTTGTTGGGCTTGCTGTTGTTGTTGGGCTTGCTGCTGTTGTTGCTGCTGAGCTTGTTGTTGCTGCTGCTGTTGAGCTTGCTGCTGCTGTTGCTGTTGCTGCTGTTGCTGCTGTTGCTGTTGTTGCTGCTGTTGCTGCTGTTGCTGCTGCTGCTGTTGCGGTGGCGGCTGAGGTTGTTGTTGGGGAGTCGGATGGGGAGCTGGCGAAGATTGTCCTTGATGGCTTCCGATGGCCGAAGGAGGACGGAGGGGCCCTTGCTGAGGCTGCGTAGTCTGTGGCGGTCCCTGGTTCCCGGGCTGGCTATGATTACTTGACTGCGACTGAGCATGTTGCATGGCAATGGCCTGCTGCTGCGCCTGCATTTGCTGATGTTGTTGAGCTTGATGGGCTGCCTGGGCCTGGGCCTGGGCCATGGCGGCCTGATGTTGTGGGCCTCCTGGCTGTCCACCCATCTGCTGTTGCTGCTGAAGCAAATGTGGTGGAAGGTTGACGAAGGGACCTTGTCCCATCTGACCATTCCTCATGGCTTGCAGCTGCTGCTGTGCTTGTGCCTGATTCATGTTTGCCATGGGGTTTTGGAAAGCCATGCCCATACCACCTTGCTGGTGAGCGAGCATTGCCTGCTGCTGTTGTCTCTGCATGTATGCTTGTTGCGCGTTTCTCTGCTGTATCATGGTAGGGTTCACTGGCGTTTGTCAGCTATTGTTCTGTAGTTGCAAAGACGGGCACTACTCACTCATCTGATGCTGTTGCTGCTGGGGGAACATGTGTGGCTGCTGAGGCTGTAAGTGTGACAGGGCATGCGCATTATTTCCCATGCCCGGTTGCATGCCCATCATCGGACCTGCCTGGCTGACGGGGCCATTGGGACCGGAAACATGTTGCATGCCCGGTGGCATTCCGGGCTGTCCTTGATTTTGTCCTGGACCGCCCATGCCTGGATGCGTATGTTGCATGCCTTGGGGGTGCATGCCGCCATGGTTTGGATAGCTCGTGGTCATCATCTTGCTGGCTCGTCAGTTCGGGCCGTGGCCTCGCAGTCGCGGGAGTAGGTTCCAAGTATATGCGACGCGACGAATGGACAGAGTTGGAAGGCGCGTTGGTGGAATGTGGAGCGAGCGATGGGGTTCGCAGTGCGAGTTGGGCTAAGCAATGCTATCGCTCTCGAATCATGCGTGCTCCGAAGGTCGCGTCAAGCTTGGTCGGCTAGTGAGGAGAGCCGCGTCGCGGACTTTGTACAGACTTGTGCAGAGTGAGGAGAGTCGAAAAATACTTGGACGTTTGCCAACGTGGGAGCGTGATGGATTGCCCGCGCGAGAGTCGCGATGGGGCAGGTGAGCTGGCGGCGGCACTTGCCGGCACGGCAGAGAGGCAGCGGCGAGTGTGCTGTATCGTCGCGCAAGGTGCAGCGCAATACTCACGGGTGGTCCAAGGGGGTGGTGAGGCGTGCAGATGGGTTGGGCGCGGTGTCGTCGTGTCGGGTGTCGTCGTGTCGCATCCGTCCCGCCAGCAGAGCGGTGGAGTGGGAACGGAGACGAAGTCGGCCGTACAGAGGCTGCAATGGGCGTGGCAGTGGTCGTGTCTATGGACGTGATGGTATGCGACGATGCATCCGGTGCGAGATCGGATCCGAGGCCAGGGACGGTGCCAGGGACGCGGGCGTCGAGTGGTGGAGTTCTGGAGTGGTGAGAGGTGATGGGCGCATGGCCTCGCTGAGGATCAGCGCAGGTTAGGGGGCCGTTTCGGTATCGCGCGAAAAGCTGCGTGGCTGGGCGGCCAAACTATCCCGACTTCACCTTGTCGTCGCCCGCAAAGCAGCAGCACGGCAGACTCGTCTATTGTGTGCTGCGAGTCGCTTTGGATGGATACCGACAACGCCCCAGGCCTTTGATGTCTCGATGCCCTGCTGGCTCAGGCCGTCGATGCCCTGATGACCCATCCAGATAATCCCGCTTGCCAATTTGGGCCGGCACGTGATGCCCGAAATCTTGGCACTGCGCTAGGCCGCAGCACCAACTTTTCTTCCACCGCGACTTTTGTTTTCTCTCGACAAGAAACTCACCACGCGCATGGCTTTGTACATGCGCGCACCCCCTGGCTCCGGCGTGCTTGATGCAATTTCATCAAGCCCGGATGCCAGCGACGTACACAGCGTAAGTTCTGCTCCTTTCTCTCTGCTTATTCTGGAATGATTATACCCTCAGCAACTTCTTTTCCTTACCGATTCGACCTTGAAGAAAACAGCAGCTGTTCGGGTGCCTTCGCAAGGCGCCTGCTACTTGCCAGTACTGTCGTCTGACCTCTACACCTCACTTGAAACTTTCATCCCTGATTATCACATCAGACTGCTAACGTCTGTAAAGTTCGCATAGCGCCGCTCACTCGGACCGACGCCCGTCACGTCCGGTGCTTACCGTCCGGCTCGACTTCGCATGGCCGCGCCGACTTCGTAATACCATAACGTTCTCATTGACTCTTCGTGACCATCGAGTGGAAATGAAGTGAACCAAACTGGCTTTTAAGGGCCTCAGCACTCATGTTCACAGCCTAGGTGGACTTGTAGCTAACGTCAGCAGCATCGCCTAAATCTTGTCGTCATCAAAGGTCAGTTCCCGCTACTTTTTCTTACAACCCCCCTTTCATGATGAAACGTTTCCACATTCGCAGTTTCCACGCTAGCCATCAATTGAACCTACAACCGATGGACAATGAGCGCGAATACCTTCCTTGGATGTCTGATGCCTCAACCTACTCTGTCTTATAACGGTTTCCAGCTACACTGCGCACCTACTGACAGTACAAACAGATTATGGTATAGACGGCCTTCACTATGCAGGCAGGCAGATTGTGGGTCAGCTTTCGAATTTGTTGCGGATCGCGATAGTGCAATATAGCTTTGTAGATGTATGAAAATTAGCTTCAAATAGTGCATGAGCAGTTTCTCAAGATCCCATCCCTTCTATGTGTGATGTCTGCAGGACTGCTACCGCATGCACTCGTATGCTAGAGCTGGCTATACCAGTTCACAAAGATACATGGCATCTTTCTGCGGCTTCTACCTAGTCAGACCTAGACTATCGCTCTGAAGATGTTTGTACATTTTTCACAGTCTGCATGAACCTAGTACAACTTGAAGATAAAAACCATCATCTCATACTAGACTGTACATGCATGATGGAGCGCCAAGGCCTGACTGCTAGGAGCCCAGCGTCATCTGTCGCATACCTAGCGCTAGAGCTCCTGGTCAGAGCTCCCCAACCCACTTCGACGGCTCAACCTCCAACTTCACAACCCAACCATCTTCGAGGTTACATAACGACCGCGGCTCTCGAAATATCACTGAGCGATACTGCGCCTCTAACCCGCTCACAACCGCCACCATGCCTGAAGTCGTGGACCCCCGCATGATCTCGGTAACGCCTCGCATACGGTACAACACTATCGGCGGCGTGAACGGCCCACTCGTTATCCTCGACAATGTGCGTAGCTTGGACAGAAAGGACGGACAAGAAGCTTACCTATGTGGTGGATAGGTCAAATTCCCGCGATACAACGAAATTGTGTCCTTGACTCTGCCTGATGGCACCGAGAGATCGGGTCAAGTTCTTGAAGCTCGAGGTAAGCTACTCTAGCTTCCAGTGTAATAGATAGACGCTGACGCAAGCTACAGGCAACCGAGCCGTCGTCCAGGTACATGCTAATGCACGCTGATCCGCGCGCGCCGATTCTAACCACAATGCAGGTCTTCGAAGGCACTTCCGGTATCGATGTCAAGAAGGTACTTACACCGCTCATGTGGACAAACATGCCATCTGACAGGCGCAGACAAAAGTAGAGTTCACCGGCCACAGCCTGAAGCTTGGTGTGTCTGAGGACATGTTGGGTCGTATCTTTGATGGTTCAGGAAAGCCCATCGACAAGGGCCCCAAGGTGCTCGCTGAGGACTACCTTGACATCAACGGAAGCCCTATCAACCCGTACTCTCGCGTATGTGTCTCATCTTTACATCTGGAGCTATGCGACTGACAGTGCGCAGGTGTACCCTGAAGAAATGATCTCGACCGGTATTTCCGCCATTGACACTATGAACTCGATCGCCCGTGGTCAAAAGATTCCCATCTTCTCATCGTCCGGTCTTCCCCACAACGAAATCGCCGCGCAGATTTGCAGACAGGCTGGTCTGGTCGGCAAGCCCACCAAGGGTGTACACGATGACCACGATGACAACTTCTCCATTGTCTTCGGTGCCATGGGTGTCAACCTGGAGACGAGTCGCTTCTTCACACGCGACTTCGAGGAGAATGGCAGCATGGAGCGTGTCACACTGTTCCTGAACTTGGCAAACGATCCCACGTAAGTTACCGGTACATGCGCTACTACTCTAGCTAACCTCTTGTAGTATCGAACGTATCATCACTCCTCGTCTCGCCCTTACCACTGCCGAATACTATGCCTACCAGCTCGAGAAGCACGTCTTGGTCATCCTTACCGATTTGTCTTCCTACTGCGATGCGCTTCGTGAGGTTTCTGCTGCCCGAGAGGAAGTTCCCGGTCGACGTGGTTACCCCGGTTACATGTACACGGATTTGTCAACCATCTACGAGCGCGCTGGACGTGTAGAGGGTCGTAACGGATCCATTACCCAGATTCCCATCTTGACTATGCCTAACGACGGTAAGTCATCTACAACTTTACATGCGACATGGTACTAACTCTAATAGATATCACACATCCCATTCCCGATCTGACAGGTTATATTACCGAAGGCCAGATCTTTGTTGATCGACAACTGGACAACAAGGGTATCTACCCTCCAATCAACGTCTTGCCATCTCTTTCGCGTCTCATGAAGTCTGCCATTGGTGAGGGTCGCACACGAAAGGACCACGGCGATGTCTCCAACCAGCTATATGCCAAGTATGCTATCGGTCGTGATGCTGCAGCCATGAAGGCAGTTGTCGGAGAAGAGGCTCTTTCTTCGGAAGACAAGCTATCTCTGGAGTTCCTTGAGAAGTTTGAACGCTCCTTCATCGCGCAGGGAGCGTATGAGTCCCGCTCTATTCACGAGTCCCTTGACCTAGCATGGTCGTTGCTTCGTATCTACCCCAAGGAACTCCTCAACCGTATCCCAGCCAAGGTGCTTGATCAGTACTACCAGAGGAGTCGGGGTACTGACAATGGTGAGGCGAAGAAGGGCAGCAAGGATACCAAGGATAACTCGGGTGAGGAGCAACAGGGCGAGAACCTGATTGATGTATAGACGAAGATGTAGCATGTGTGGCAGGGCGTGTGATAGCTGCTGCTACCGGTACCCGAGCCCCTTGAGTAGTTGAGAAATACAGTATTGAGTGTATATGAACTTGTCGAATCTCGAGCCCTGTTCCATACTGTGATCAAATGACTGCAACACAGCAAGTATGCCTACTATGAAGGTATCTATCTTGCTTGTTCATGCATCTGGCTGAGCTTTATGCACTCCAACAAATCATGCCAATTTAACCTATCTTAAATGCCTGTATTGAATCCATGCAGATGTATGCCCTATGCACCGAGTCTAAAAGCCTATTAAGAAGACTACAGTATTTTTTCTGTACCCTTTACTTATCTCATGGGATGTTTGTATGCACTCATCGCCACTTTCACTTTCCGCTACCTGCGCTTTCAGTGGGCGCACTATCTCCACGTAATGAGCGTGCTGTCTCCACGTAGTGAGCGTGAAATCTCCGTTAATGTGAAGCTTTGGTATCTAGCTGCTACTGCCACTACTATTCACGGCCAAAACTCTATCTTATCCTGTCTCTCAGCAAAACAGAACCTACGATGTACGGCCTGTAAGTGAAACTTTTGTTGTTTAACAGTCTACAGCTGTTTGCGTTGCTTCGAAAGTGTTTTCAGCGTTTGCTTTTATGTGAGATGGGCTGTGACTCGATGAAATCGAGGGGACTTTGGACAAGGATGGAAATTGGGCTGGGGAGGCATAGGTGCCAGAATAGGAAGATGTTAAGAAAGAGGTGGAAATGAATGACTATTGGCGGGTGAACACAGAACAACAGTAAGTCAACCTTGAAGTTTTAATAAATACACAACTAACAAGTTACCAACTGCTTGCTAAGATCCTTCTTCTACGCCGACTACGCCGACTACGAAGAATACCTATCTCAATCGCGATACAACTCTATGAGAGCCTGGACACTACAGCGATGGATACAATGACAACTGATAGAGTCTCGCACCTCCGAAGCCTCTAAACACCTACCAGACAACACACTCCGCTACCCAGGCGAGCAATTGCAGAACTCCGTCGGTCATCTCAAGACAGAACCAAGATACCAGGCTTTGTTGTATTTGACAGGGCACTCTAGGGTCCTATTGCTTGCACAGGAATTCATAGACGTAGTCGGCAAACACATTCAAGAGGAGTATATACTAATACATACTGTGTAGCGAACCCCACCACGGTATCATGTTCGCCCTGGATATACCGATCCTCGAACGCGAGGGAATCGCCCGGCTCCTCTGTGAGCGAGATGATCTAGGATCGCCAGTAGACCAATTCGCCTTTGGACGGTCGGGGCGGCGACTGTCCGTGTATGCGACGGGTACCGCCGTACATGTCACAAAGGGGTGGCACCAGACGTCGTCGCCCCACTTGACCGTCCAACTGAGGGAGATTTACGGCGGCACTGGAATAAGCATCCGGGTCGGAACGGCCCACATCTATAAGGATCTCTCAGAGACCATAGATTGGGTCGGCTTCGGCCCGAAGCGATTGTATAGGGTGTGGGGAGTGGAGAAATTCTTGCGTTTCGATGTAAGTACTTATCAATATCTGGGGGGACAAGTTAGTATGGTGACTGACTTTGACAAGAAGAGAGATTCTAACCCCAACATACCATTACGCCCGACAGGAAGTATTCCTGTCTATGATCCAGAATGGGCATGTTATAGTAGGGCATTCAACTGCCCTTTCTAATTCCCAACCGATCCCTAGCCTACGAATCGCTGTAAGGGCCCTTCAGGGATCAGGCTCTTCATTAAGTTCTTCTTGATTCCTTCGCTAACAGTCACTTTTACAGGGCTACGAAGGCCTCACTCCTCCCCCTAGGTTCTTTAGCCGTCCCTCACAGACCTGAGGGGTTCCTTCCTTCGGGAGCCCCTCTCCTCTCCTTTAAATGCATCTTCGGTATGTGTGTAAAACCCCCCCAACATCCCCCACATCCTCTGCCTCAATCCCTCAAAAGGTTGCTCGCCCGGCCGTGGGTTCATAGGATCCTTCCTAAAGTCGTGGAACAAGACACCATAGACGACGATGAAGCTTATAAGACTCCACTGCACCACCTTGGTCCACTTGTTCCACATGGGCCTTATCGACTTCGCCTTTATGCGTCGTTTGAACTTGCGCTCGAACCGGAACTGTTGCTTTTCTGTCAAGGCGCGCAGATTGGGCGGCCACTTTTTCTTGACGTGGTATTTGTTGCGCGCAAAGTCAAAGGGCGGGAGTGTGTTCTCGTGGCGGCCGATAAGGCGGTTGAAGAGGCGCAGCATTTTGGCTGGACTTTGGCGGACTGACGCCGGCGAGCGGATGGCTTGTTTGACTGATCGATTCGCGACGCTGATTTTGAGAGTCTTGGACTGACGTTCTTTACAGACAAATGCGCACAGACACTGCCCCACACAACGGCAGCCTTGGCACACTGCCCTAATGACTCCCCGCCATCCCCAAGCGTCTCCTTGTTTTTCGTTCTTCTTCACAGCAGTTGTTTTTTCTGAACATTGTCGTGATGGCGGAGGCCACGAAACTCAGCGATGCGCCCAAGAGCGCCGTCGCAGCAACACTAGAACAACTCAAACCACAAGAGGCTGAGTCAAAGACGTTGAAAATTGAAAACACTGAAAAACGCGATACACTTATCGCTGAAGAGAAGAAATATCAAAAGCAATGGGCTGAGCAAGGAGTTTTCAACCCGGATGCACCATCACTCCACCAGGAGCCCTTCGATACCACCACGCCTGGCCAGCTTCACGACAAGTACCCAAAATGGTTCGGTTGTTTTGCATATCCGTACATGAATGGCACTCTCCACGCCGGGCACGGCTTCACGGCAAGCAAGGTCGAGTTCACAGCAGGATTTGAAAGGATGAGAGGAAAGCAAGCACTCTTCCCTCTCGGCTTTCACGTGACGGGTATGCCAATCAAAGCATGTGCCGACAAGCTGGTTCGCGAAGTAGAAATGTTTGGACAGAACTTTGAGCGCTGCCCTGTCGAAGATGTCATTGACACTTCTGTGCAAGAGCCCCCTGCCCCGACCCAAGCTGAGACCAAGACCGATGTCACCAAGTTCAAGGCGCACAAGGGCAAGGCGTCCGCCAAGACGGTGAAGACGAAGTATCAATTTCAGATTATGCTTGCCCAAGGCATACCTCTCGAAGAAATCCACAAGTTCTCCGACCCGTACCACTGGATAGAGTTTTTTCCTCCTCTCGCAAAGAAAGACCTCACAGCATTCGGTGCTAGGATAGACTGGAGACGTCAGTTTGTCACTACCGACGCAAACCCCTACTACGACAACTTCGTTGCCTGGCAGATGCGCCGACTAAAAGCATTGGGAAAGATCATCTTTGCAAAGCGCTACACTGTTTACAGTCCAAAAGACGGACAAGCATGCATGGACCACGACAGGCAGTCTGGAGAAGGTGTAACAGTCCAGGAGTACACTGCGCTCAAGATGAAAGTGATCAAATGGGCCGACTCCGCCAAAAGCTGTGCCGAAGCCATCCCCGAAGGTGCTTCTTGCTACTTTGTGCCAGCTACGCTTCGTCCAGAAACCATGTACGGTCAGACTTCATGTTTCGTGGGTCCTGTAATCAACTACTCGTTACTCAAGATCACTGATAAGGAGTACTTCATCCTGAGTGAGAGGGCTGCGAGAAACATGGCATACCAAGGTACCACTAAGAAGTGGGGTGAGTATTCCATCGTCAAGACTTTCTCTGGCAAGGACGTTGTAGGCACAGTCGTCAACGCCCCTCTATCCGTTCACAAAGAGGTCTACATCTTACCTATGGAGACTGTCAAGGACACCAAAGGCACGGCGGTCGTCACATGTGTGCCGTCAGATTCACCAGACGATTACATCACTTCATTCGACCTAGCCAAGAAGGCAGAGTACTACGGTATCCAGAAGGAATGGGTCAAGTTCGACGATATCCTGCCCATCATTGAGACACCAACGTACGGCAACCTCACCGCAAAGAGCCTAGTTGAAGAGATGAAGATCCAGTCTCCTAAGGATGCTGCCAAGCTAGCAGAGGCGAAAGATAAAGCATACAAGGAAGGCTTTTACAAGGGCAAAATGGTCTACGGCGACTTCAGCGGAAAGTCAGTCGAAGAGGCAAAACCGCTGGTTCGCAAGCAGCTCATTGACGCGGGCGACGCTTTCCCTTACGCTGAACCTGACGGCAAAGTCATCAGCCGAAGTGGAGATGATTGTGTCGCAGCTTTGCTTGATCAATGGTACATGAACTATGGAACAGCGGCCAATGGTGGAGACGGAGAATGGGCGGAGAAGGTCCGATCACACATCGAAGGCGAACTCAACTTGTACTACCCCGAGGCGAAGAACCAGTTCTTGCGAGTTGTCGACTGGCTCAGCATCTGGGCATGTGCACGATCATACGGTCTTGGCACCAAGGTACCATGGGATCCGAGCGTGATGGTAGAGAGCTTGTCGGACAGTACCATCTACCAGGCGTACTACTCATTCGCCCATTTACTCCACAAGGACATGTTCGGAAAGGAGCCTGGATCTCTTGGCGTAAAACCAGACCAGCTGACAGATGACGCCTGGGACTACGTCTTTGCCCTCCGCGACCGAAGCGATGTTCCAGAGTCGACTATCCCGAAGGAAACTCTACAGACCATGCGACGACACTTTGACTACTGGTACCCGCTTGACATGCGGACTTCCGGAAAGGACTTGATTCAAAGTAAGCAAAAAACTGAAAAAATTCCATCATGGGCGAAACTGACTGTTGCTAGATCATTTGACCTTCAACCTTTACGTACACACCGCTATTTTCCCCAAGGAGAACTGGCCTCGCAGCTTCCGCGTGAATGGCCACTTGCTGCTCAACGGCGAGAAGATGAGCAAATCTACCGGCAATTTCCTGACTATTGCCGGCGCCGTCGAGAAGTTTGGAGCGGATGCTACACGTATTGCGCTCGCTGATGCAGGTGACGAGATCACGGATGCCAACTTCGAAGAGACGGTCGCCAACAGCAATATCCTGAAGCTGTTCGAGCTCCGCAAATGGTGCGAAGAACTCATGAATGAAGCGGTATACGTCCCTGATGCCGCTGCATACATGGAGAAGAGAACAACCGAGCGTGTAAAGAACCCCGATGTGATCCAACGACAGAGCGGCAGCGAGCGTCTCCTCTTCGACAAGATGTTCGACAATGAGATGAACGTACTTATCCACGACGCCTACACACACTACTCCAACACGGCTTACAAGCTAGCCCTCAAGTCAGGATTCTACGACTTCACCAGCGCTCGCGACTTCTACCGTGAGGCCACCAAGGCTGCAGGTATCGGTATGCACCAAGACCTTGTCAAGAAGTTCGTCGAACTACAATCACTCCTCCTCACACCCATCGCACCTCATTGGGCTGAATACATATGGCTTGAAGTACTTAAGAACAAGGAAACGGTTCAGAAAGCCCAATGGCCAAAGGTCCCAGAGCCCGACTCGGCACTCACAGCAGCTCGCGAGTTTGTCCGAACTACACAGACCAACATCACATCAGCCGAAGGCAACGCAATCAAGAAGCTGTCCAAGGGCAAGGCCGCAACCTTTGACCCCAAGAAGGAGAAGAGGATTACAATCTTCTCCGCTCAAGAGTGGCCTGCTTGGCAGAAGAAGTACGTCGACATGCTTCGTGACGCTGCCACAATCGACATCAAGGCCATCAGCAAGTCGATTGATAAGTCGGAAACCAAGAAGGCGATGCCCTTTATCAATAGTCTCAAGCGTCGTCTCGATACCGGCGAGCCAAAGGATGCGGTGCTGAACCGTGAGCTCGCTTTCGATGAGCTGTCGACTCTGCGCGCCATGGTCCCTGGCTTGAAGCAGACGGTAATGAAGTGTGTCGAAGTAGAGATTGTCACGGTCTCTGAAGGCGGAAAGGAGGGGACAGTGATCAAGGAAGACGGCAGCAAGGGCGAGACAAGAACAGAACTATCACCAATGGCTGCGACTGCTGAGCCAGGATCGCCCAGCTTCTCGTTTGAGAATGTTGAGGGTCTGCCTGTCAGATAGGTTGGGTTACAGTGAGCTTACGCATTAATGACTACATGATTGATGTGTATGGCATGGCCTGGGATGGTAGATAGACGTCTTACACTGTGTCGAACACTCCACGATAGACGACCCTGACAAATACCAAAAGTCATGATATTGAATTGCTTTCATGTTCTCTATGATTAGTGCTGTCTGAGACTATACCTCTAGAAGATAAAAGGAAGTCGGTGTCTAACAGCATCTACCTACAACTTCGCTCTCACCTCATCCATCCTATTTCCTTGCTGATCAAACAAGATCTTCTTCCCCGTCCTCAAACTCTCCTGCAGAGCAACTCCAATCTTGACCGCCTCCATCGAACTCTCCAAGTCTACCGGCACCTCCTTGTCCTCCAGCACCGCCTCACTGAACTGCCTCGCCTCCTCAACAAACGCGAATTCAAATCGCTCATAGTAGTTCTGCGGAATCTCCCTGTGAATGCCCTCACTGGCATGATTTTCCAACAGTCCCGTTGAAGGGTTCGAGTTGACAACAAGCTTGCCCTTCGTACCAATAATCTCAGTCATATCGTGCTGACCCGGAGCATTCATGCGGGAACTGTAAAAGTACGCAATCTGTCCGCCGTGGAATTCCACAAGACCAATGCCGTTGTCTACGTCGCCGTGTTTGGCTAGATCGGGTTCGACGGCTGTAACGCCAACTGCAGTGACGGATTTGACTTTGGGCAGGTCTCTGCCGGAGGACGAGGCCGAGAAGTACCATAGAGCGAGGTCAATGTCGTGGACGTTGCAGTCAACGAAGATGCCGCCTGAGAACTCGGCGTAGGCTACGAAGAAGCCTGAGGGGTCGTACCTGTGATTAGGTGGAATGTCAGTAGTTGTGAGGTGCTTGGAGGGAAGAGAAGGGTTGCTTACTTGTCGCATGTCTGAGAGCGAAGGATTGTGGGACGGCCGATGTCTCCTCTTTTTGTGATATTGTACGCTTGGAGGTAGGATGAATCGAAGCGACGAGAGAAACCACACATGACCTTGACGTGAGGGTTGCGTTTTGCTGTGTCGAGGACTTGTTGACACTGGACATGACGATGCTTAGCCTCTTTCGATCTCGTGAAAGTGAGTGAATGGAGATACGTACTACGTCCAACTTGGTGCTCAGTGGCTTCTCACACAGTACATGCTTCCCAGCTTCAATGGCCTTGATAGTCTGCTCCGCGTGTACAGTAGTCACAGTCGCTATACAGACTGCCTCAAGACCCTCATGCTTCAACATCTCGTCGTAGTCGGTATAGATCTTGACACCCCCATGGCTCGAGATTCTTCTTTGCCCACGCAACCTCATTCTCATCTGGCGTAAAGGCAGCCGTGAGCTCAGCTCTCGGAGTACGGTGAAGGAAGTGCAATGCATGGCGGGCACCCATTCGACCGAGGCCTGAGACAGCAACACGCAGTCTGCGGACAACTGGGGCCATTGTGAGATGGACTTCGACACAGAGATGGGAACAGGCAAAAGTTGATTCGAGATGAACACCTCCTACTTCAGTGAAAAGAGAGCTTTCAGAGGAGGTGATTTGTCTGAGATTAAGGTCCTACGAGGATACACTGCCTCTCAATCGCGAATGGAAGTTACAATGGTCAAAGCTCATCTCAGGGTCCAACCCAAGGGAGAGGCAAGAGCACTACAGGCTATTCTCCTGTCCCATCTTCAATTTCTTCCAGCGGCACAACCAGACTCCTCTCAGCTGTATCCAGAAGTCACTGCCATCATTTTCCTGTCGTACTACCCAAAAACTACGTATCGATGTTATTTCCGTGCCGGCCATGGTGGCATAAAGGCGGCTGAACAGGTGATCGGCACCATCATGTGCGACAAACAGCCATGCGAGATTAGAACTTTGATGATGTAGAATTGCGTAGGTTGTAGCAGTGTGGGGAAACGCGTGGAGTCGTCATGAGCTTGTGTGAGCGTAACTAAAGCACGCCGTCACGCGTAAATGTCGGCCAAATCGGAAAGACGGGGAAAATCTCCTTTTTCGGTGGGATTGCGACTTGTTTCCCCGCAATATCACGAATGGTGCTTGTTGGGACATCCGCGGTCTTCCATACGGACGGGTGGGGACTCTGCATGTTGAGACGCGGGTATGAAATTGTTGGGGAAAGTTGCTTTGGCTTGGGGGAGGGGAGTGCTTGACCATAGGTACAAAGACATTTCCCGGCATACTTGATCGGGATCCATTGGTCACTGTATCTTTATAGCTCAAACTCTATGTGAGTTGCACAAAGTATATGCATGATTCCAGCCAAGCACAGGATGTCAATCGACTTGAGAATCTTTTTGCTATGTCATGCATAGACCCCAGAAGTAAGAAGCGCATGAATGACAACCTATAGATTTCACTTCTCGTCTTCACCAGTCTCAAGTACAACCTTGATAACTAACTTTCCGCTTTCGTCCTTAGTCTTTCCAGCCATTTCGAACGCCTCCTCCGCCGACTCTAAGCCCTTGTATGTGTGGGTTACTAACTTGGCGAAGTTAGGGTAGTCGTCTCCCTTCTTTGATACTACCTCAATGCCCATGGGGTAAGTATTCGCGTACCGGAAGACGCCGACAATGTCGACTTCGCGGAGAGCAGCGGCGGAAATAGGCAGTGTTTGGATCGGTGTACCCATGCCAATCAATAGCACTTTACCGCCTGGTCGTGTGGCCTAATCGCGTCAGCATTCAGTGGGTGAAATTGCCATACTGGGAACTTACAAAAATGGATGCTTGTACGCATGATGGCACACCAGTGCACTCAAACACGGCATCCATCTCTCCGACTTCCCCCTCGCTCATCTTGGTCAGCTTTCCGATGTCAGCCGCTAGTTCCTTTGCTATCTCCAGCTGCTCTTCTATTGTATTCCCACGCTTCATTGGTACTGTGAAACTTCTATGCGCGAATCTGTTCTCTACAGCAAACTCTACTCGTCCAGCGTCAATGTCTGCTATTACAACAGTACCGGCGCCGGAGATCTTCGCCATGGCAGCGACTAATAGACCAACCGCACCAGCACCAAACACCAGTACAGTTGAGCCAGGTGCTAATTGCGCTCGTTTCGATGCCTGGATAGCTACACTAAGTGGCTCGAGAAGGGCTCCAAGATCTAATGACACATCTTCTGGCAATCTGTCTCCTGTTAGCATCATCTTGGAAGCATTTAATCCAAGGACTCACTTATGACACCAAGCGGCTGGGTGGTTAATCCGATCCTGCAAGGTCCCTTGGGCATGCGGGAAAGCCTTTGCACTACTCCGGAACTTCATGCCCTTGCAAATATTATACCTCCCTTCTTTACACCTATCGCAATTTTCACACGGCAATCCTACTTCCAATGCAACCTTATCTCCGACCTTGAAGTTTGATACTTCCGACCCTACACCTACAACCACACCAGCGGATTCGTGACCCAGTGACATGGGTTCTCGCACGATGATGTCGCCATTACGGTAGTGTCGGTAGTAATGCAGATCGGAACCGCAGAGACCAGTACTGCGAATGCTAATTTGTAGCTCCGTTGGGGATGGTGGCAGGATCGAGCGGCTTTCCTGAGTTTGGGTCAGTACATGAAGGAGATGGTGACCCTATGACGGCGTACAATGCGTAAATCTCTCGCACCATGGAGGACTGAGGCGCGAATCTGCCTCCCGCCCTGTTCTGACTGCTGGGAAGCCATTAAGTTGTTTTGTAAACAGTAGTTCTGCAATAGAAGGATAAAGCCGGATCACTCAGTAGTAGTAAAGGCCAAGGTGAGAAGTTACAGAATGAAGCAATGAGAAGTCAAGTCATCTCATAAGTTTTGAAACCTATGATGCGCAAACAACCGGCGCGCCTTGCCCCATAGCACGACATCACATGGAGACAAATTCCCCCATCGGCATTTGAGAGTGCGGGACATCAGATGCCGACGCATGGCGGGGTTGCCTTTCCGAGGCAGTTCCGAGCCCCCCAAATACGAATGCGCTGCAAACATCATCGCTTTTAGCCGCGAGCGCCCGAATCTGCTGTCGATACTTTTTCTCTGGTATTCCTTCAGCGCGTAATTTGCTGCAATAGTTACATTGAAGACACCACTCGCACGAACCACCGTAGGAACCGTTGTCGTTCATCATCAGTAGCTTTCCGACCTACCATCGCAACAAGCAGATACTATGACATCTGTCCAACAGCTCTACTCCCTCGAGGGACAAAATGCCCTCGTCACAGGCGGCACGCGAGGAATAGGTCAAGCAATGGCCATAGCCCTCGCAGAAGCAGGCGCCAACATCATCCTTGTACAAGTAAGAGACCTCTGCTATCCTATTATCCTACAACCATCACTCATACAAACCAGCGCGACACATCCAACCAAACTACAAAAGAAGCCATTGAGGCTCTAGGTCACAAAGCAACAATCTACACCGCCGACCTCTCGTCCAAGGCCTCTGTATCGAGCCTCGTCCCCACCATCCTCAAAGACGGCCATAGAATACACATCCTCCTCAACTGCGGCGGCATTCAGAAGCGACACCCTGCCCACCAATTCCCAGATGACGACTGGGAGTCTGTGCTACAAGTAAACCTTACCTCTGTATTTCAACTCTGTCGCGACGTGGGCGCACACATGCTCGAGCAGCCTGCCGATTTGCCATTGGGACGTCGTGGTAGTATCATAAACGTAGCCTCGCTGCTCACCTTTCAAGGTGGTATCACAGTACCGGCGTATGCTGCGTCCAAGGGTGGCGTGGGACAGCTGACCAAGGCACTTTCCAATGAGTGGGCCAGCAAAGGGCTTAGCGTGAATGCGATTGCGCCGGGATACATTGCGACGGACATGAATGAGGCGCTGATCAAGGACGAGAAGAGGGCGGAGAGTATACTGTCGCGGATTCCTGCGGGGAGGTGGGGGAGTCCAGAGGACTTCAAGGGCGCGGTTGTATTTTTGGCTAGTGCGGCGAGTGCGTATGTTAGTGGTGAGGTGCTTACTGTCGATGGAGGGTGGATGGGACGGTAGATTATAGTCGATGAGAATTGACAGGAAGACAATTATGGGTTTCCCAGGACTTAGTTATTGAAACCTTCAATTGGGTATAGCTTTTGTTCCTATCCTAAATGCATGCTACAGTTTACTCATTTCTGCCAGTCACGGACCGCTCAGGTCCATGCCCCCTACTTTGTCTGGGAATCCGCAGTCGACGCCAAAGGGCGGGTATACATAGCGAGTAATTCCCTTGACCTTGTGAATCTTCTCCAGCTTCTCCATGTCTTCACCGTCGAGGGAGATGAGCTTGCTGTTCTCCTCGATGCGCGATGGAGTGACGGACTTTGCGAGGACAGAGGAGTTGCGAGCGACTAAACTAGGTTAGAATCGTGCTGGCTCGACGGAAGTATTTAGACTTACGGTGATAGCTCAAAAGTACAACAGCGGGTTTCACACTGTGCTTCTTTGCAACCTCATTCACACCCTCGTCCTCGAACAGCGGACATCCAGTGCTGCCAAGTGGGCTGTATGCTGTGATATGAATACCCTTCTCCTTGCAAAAGTCTATAACCTCTTGTTGTGGGCACAGTGGGTGGTTCTCGATCTGGTTGACGGCGGGAACGATGGTAGCTTTGGCGAGCAGCTTCTCCAAGTACTTGACGGAGTAGTTCGCGACGCCGATAGCCTTGACCTTTTCAGGGTGTGACTGGATCAACTTCTCCAAGTTCTTCCAGGTGTCTTGGTGGGTTATTGAGCTGTCGATGTCGCGTGAGCCGTCTTCGTGCTTGGGGAAGAGGGGATGGTTGCCTAACGTGGTCAGCTCCAGTATGGCACGTCAAAGTCTTTCCAACTCACCATTAGGGTTCATGGGAACAGGCCAGTGCATCAGGTAAAGATCCACGTAGGGAGTCTTTAGCATGTCCAAGCTCTTCTGCAGCCCCTCTTCGGCCCTGGTGTGGAATGTGCACCACAGCTTGCTAGTGATGAACAGATCTTCTCTCTCCACGATACCTCGTGAAATGACGTCCTGAAGCGCATCGCCGACCTCGTCCTCGTTTTGGTAGCAGAAAGCGCAGTCGATATGCCTGTAACCGCTCTCAATCGCATGCACGACCGCCTTCTTGACTTCGCCTGGCGGAGACTGCCACGTTCCCAAACCAAGGGCTGGGATGGTGGCGCCAGTGTTGAGAGGGATCGCGGTGTTCATTTCGGGCTGCGGGTTGAGGATACTCTTGGGTGTGCTTTTGAGTATAAACTTGGCGAGGGCGGGATTCATCGCGGGGCAGTCAGGGTATATATCCCGGAGTACTTGGGGTAATGTGTAATGGGTGGGGGTTGCTGCCCAGGACTAGGTAGTTCGTAATCACTTGGGTGCTCCATAGTCTGGGTGGCCTTTGGATCCTGTTCTGGTATGGCTACAGACATACGTCAACTGTGATTGACTCTATTAATTTCTCCCGACGTCCGATGCTGCCCCGCCAACATGCCCCGCAGACGTAGGTTCGGCCCAGTAGTTGCGAGAATAAGCGCTTCAGCCTCAATGGGAATTTCTAACAGTCTGCGTGGGGTATCGTCGGTGGAGAGGGCCCCGAGCATCAAGTGCTTGGACGGTCCGGCTCAAGCTCGGCGTCATCATGCAGCTCTTCGCTGGCACTGGCAGTCCGGGCAGTCCGAGCAAGTCTAGGTCTTCGGAAGTAGTCTTCCTAGCTCTCGCAACGAGCGCGAAGGTAAATACAGTACGTCAGCTGCGCAATCGCGGCGAAAATTACCGTGTTGAGAGAGATGGAGGCTTGCGTTCCACAAGGTGTTTGCGCTATCTCCACTTGGGTAATCCTCGCGAAACATCAAGCTGTCACCAGCGCTGCACTTCAGGGCACATCTAAGAAAAGCGGCCAACCAACATCGCTGCTGCATCCACCAGGACCCTGAGAGGACCCTAAGACCCTTAGTGCCCTTTTCCAGAACCACAGATCTCTACGCGGCAGCTCAACGGCACTTGTGTACTACGGAGGGAATTGCCACATAGCGCGCCTCTTGCCCTACTCGAGCCCAACTTGTGCGGAGTGCTCACCATGAGTGGATCTGGAGATGGAGACACGATAATTCTGCCTCCAACGAGTAAGCAGGAGTTAGCTCGGTAGTACTGAGCGTTTACTGGTTCTGGAAGCTATACGCCGTTATGTGTGGAGGGGTGAAGAATAAGTACTTCTCTCATCTTCGCCGCAATGACTTGGCCTCACCATACAAACTTCAATTTACCTTTATAGCTCTCATCAGTCTATTCCTCAGAACTATCCATATATCATCTACTCTCGTGTATCTCTAAGAGTTTCTATCCTTTGTCCTAAAGTACCTCTACCATGGCACCCGGCGCCATCTTTGAGACGCCTAACGTGGCTGAGGACTTCAACAATCACCGCGATGGCCTTGCTCTTGAGGCCACTTCAGATGCCATTGACGATGTCAACGTGCTTAAGGCAGCCTTGAAAGTCAAGAACGGCACTGCGAGCCAAAAAGAAAAGGACATCTATGAGCAGTCACAGTTCGATGCTGAAAAGGACAAGACACAATTCCGACAATACGAAGAAGCATGCGACCGCGTCAAGAACTTCTACCGTGAGCAGCATGAGAAGCAAACAGTAGCCTACAACCTCAAGGCACGCAACGCGTTCCACAGCAAGACTCGCGCCGAAATGACAATTTGGGAGGCAATGGAGAAGCTCAACACATTGATCGATGAATCAGACCCAGACACCTCACTCTCCCAAATCGAGCACCTCCTCCAATCTGCCGAAGCCATCCGTCGTGACGGAAAGCCACGTTGGTTCCAACTCGTCGGACTCATCCACGACCTTGGAAAACTACTCTTCTTCTTCGACGCACGCGGTCAATGGGACGTCGTCGGCGACACATTCCCCGTAGGCTGTGCCTACTCTCCCAAGATCATCTACCCAGACACATTCAAGAACAACCCAGACTACAACGACGAGATCTATAGCACCGAGCACGGTATCTACACACCCGGTTGCGGCATGGACAACGTCATGCTAAGCTGGGGTCATGACGAATACCTATACCACATCATGAAGGATCAATCAAGAATCCCCGAGGAAGGATTAGCTATGATCAGGTATCACTCCTTCTACCCTTGGCACACTGGTGGCGCATACAAGTGGATGATGAACGACAAGGACGTGCGCATGTTGGACGCAGTCAGGGCCTTCAACCCGTACGATCTGTACAGCAAAAGCGATGAGGTACCAAAGGTCGAGGACCTGAAAGAGTACTACATGGACATCATTGACGAGTTTATTGGTAAAGATAAAAAGCTCAAGTGGTGATGGTCGAGCAGGACCTCGATAACGAATTTCCTTCTAACGGCGTTTGGGTATAAGTGTCGCGGAGTGCCATAAAGGCCCGTGGTTTCATGTAACACAACTTTTGTATATATTGCTTTCAGTCAGAGATCATAGAATTTCCTTTGTCATGACGAAATTTTTATTCACGATGCTATTCAGAGGATGCCTCGCCTATCTAAACCTATTCCCCAACCAAACCAGATTATTCTACCGTTTCTTACGCACCCACCGAATCATCTGCTCCATTGACTTGAGGCAATCATATTGTTGATGTACACCAGACTCCCTCAACAACAAAGTATCACTACCTTATCTCAAACGCTGATCCAGTCGTATACTGGCAACTTCGTCTCATCTGACTTCTCCTCGGGCAAGAGCTTATACGCCTTGGTCTTGCTCAACGTCCACACGAGAGTATCCCTCAGCTTCAAGGCCCAAGACGTCTGAGGAAAAGCGATCTGAGGGTACCAGAATGGGATATCTTCATCCTTTCCTTGTATCACGCGGAAATTATGCTCGTATCGTACCAGAGCATCTGCAATTTCATCGGTGTTTTGTATCTTGGAAAGCTCGCCAGCGAGAAAGTATGCGCCCTCGACAGCAAGCGTAGCTCCGACACCCAATGTTGCGTGCGCTGCATCACCGACAAGGGCAACACGGTTATTGATCCATTTGGGGAGTTTGACGTAGGCTGTTCTGCTCATGTAAAAGTCGTCGCATTGATCCATGCCTGCTAAGATGCGCTTGGCTTCCCATCCGGCATCTTTGAAGTAGTTGTGCAAAAGCTTTTTCTGAGCTCCCGGCCCTCCTTTGATTGCTTCCTCGGCGACGGGATCGCGATGCCCACGTGCTGGCGTTGTAATGCACATGTAACATCCTATTGTCTTTTCGTTGCGATGCGGTCGTGTCATCAGCCCCAGACCGCTTGGTGCATTGTACCAGTACCAATGATTTGTGTCGGAGTCCTGTCGAGGGATGCTGAAATAGGCGACGTATTGGCCGACGAAGTTGTAGCTGTCTTTCCGCTCTTCTTCACTCAGAATCAATGACCGAATTCTTGAAGTGGACCCGTCAGCGCCAACGACGAGGTCGAAGCTGTCTGGTGCTCCACTGTTGTAGGTTACATCCACCTGCTTGTCCGTTTGCTGTAGGGCTGTGACATAATCACCATACATGTACTTCACATTTCCCACATCCTTGGTCGCATCTAGGAAAAGACCACACAAGTCGGCTCGTAAAATTTCGTACTCGGAAGTAAAACTATTATCTCCCTTGCCGAATTCGGCAATAACCTTGCTAGATGAGTTGATGAGACGCGTGCCCTCCTCTGTGGTGTTGCAGGCGCGCAGGGCTGGAAGTAGACCCATCTTCTCAACGATGGATCTAGCAGGACCACGAATCTCGATCGACTGTCCTGTAGGTCGGGGAGCAGGCGACCGCTCGAGAACGGTGATGGACGCATTGAAACGTGTTCTGGCAAGCCAGTAGGCGAGACATGATCCTGCGATGCCGGCGCCATTGATGAGGACTCTCAACTGTGGAGCGGTAGAAATAGACATTGTCCTGATCAAGTGTCTGGATATGGGTAGTTGAGTCATATTTCGGTTGTTTTGAAGGATACTTATATACTGTAGTATCATTCTTGACCTCAAAGGCCCTTTCAAAGGCGTCCACGCTACAGCTAACTACGGTAGGGCGCGCAGGCGAGACGCCTGATCCGAGTCTGAACGCGTCAAGCCCAACCGCATCGCATATCCACCGACGCCATCGTCGCAAGGCTTGTTTGCGGCAAATTAAACATAACGATATTCAGCACCACCATTGTGGTTTGTGTGCACGTTCAGGGCATTCGTTGAGGTAAGCAACGGATGACAGCTTGTAGAGTGAGCCGTTTAGGAAAGGCGCCACTTTAAGCGGGCGAGTCGGCATATTCAAGTCTCCGGTGGTCATCCTAGACGGCGATAACGCGGCCTTACCCGGACCCTCATATAGACCGAAGCAACCAAACGGATGTTGTTGAACAGTGAGGAGAACTCTGATGAAGCCGTAGCAAGGCCGCGAGAGATGGAGCTGTCTCTTGATGACGATTCTTTCGGCCCCTCACTTCCTGCACACACACCTGCATCACATATCCTATACATATCCTGTACTCATTTTACCCAATGGCGAGATTCTTCATCACTGGATCTTCCGAAGGCCTCGGAGCGGCTTCTGCGAAAGCTTTGATCGCTAAGGGCCACTCTGTGGTCGTACATGCCCGCGATGAGGAATGTGCAAAAGACGCCAGAGAAAATGTTCCTGGAGCAGAAGCAGTCCTGATCGGCGACCTACGCAGCCTTGCTGAGACGAAAAGTCTAGCAGAGGCCGTTAACAAACTTGGTACCTTCGACTGCGTTATCCACAACGCTGCCATATGCATGGGCCCCTACGAAGAAACAGTCGACGGTATCCCATCCATTGTCGCTATCAACTCAGTGGCACCTTATGTTCTATCGGTACTCATCAAACGTCCCAAACGCTTGGTTTACATCACTTCAGGAATGCACGAATTTGGTACCAGTAGCTTGACTGACATCTTCTGGAAACTGCGTCCAGCTGGTCTGTACGAACAGTTCAGCGCATACGGCTCGAGCAAGTTTTTGCTCATGTTGTTGATGAAGGCTTTCGCCCGGATGTGGCCGGATACAGTGAGTACCTCGCTCGAGCCTGGCCATGTTCCAACCAGAATGGGAGGCCCGACTGGCGCAGATAGTCTCGAAGCGGCTGTCGACCTTTATCTCTCGCTTGCCGAAGGAGAAGATGAGATATCCAAGAAGAGCGGGTCTTACTTCTATGTGGGCATGGGCGAGCTTCCAGTCTTCAAGGCCGTTGAGGACGTTGGGGACCAGGACAGGCTTATTGAGATATTTGCCGAGTTCACTGGTGTCAAGCCGTAATAGTGGGCTGACACTTGGGCCTACGGCTCGGAACGCGGATCTAGATACGGGTTTTTGCCACGGGGTTTTGCGATAGTCAGTGCATGGATGGGATATAGGAGAAGTGCATCCTGGATGATATTGGGGTCAACATCCTTTACAGAAGCCATGCTACTCCTACATGATGATACGTTGTACGCATGATCCACGGAGAATCATGTAAGGGGTTGACTGTAAACCAAAAACAATTCCTCCACTGCTATCCACATCATTGCTACCTTTTTCCTCAGCCCCTATTTTGCATCACCCCAGATGCAGTAATCGGTGTTGGCTCGTGTCTTATCGGCAACGTCCAAGAATGGTAGCTTTTTGAACAATCATTCTTTTCAATAAACCGGCAATTTTCTTGCCTGGAGGCCGAAATGAGGAGTTTCAGCGGCGCATGGTAATGGCAGGAGTCGCAGCGTATAGTGTCAACGTCAGCCTTACTTAGCTTACGGAAGTACCGGAGACGCTCTACCCGCTCTGCCGCGATAACGCGAACGCGAAAGTGTCGCTTCAAAGCTCCGGGGACGCAGTATCCGTAGTCCGCGATGCGCAGACCGGGATGCGCGAACATCAACACAGTGCCAAGTACCCCTGAATGGGCCATCCCAATTCCAATTTACTTACAACGCGTTACTACAGTTATATGTACCGGTACAACGTGTTCGAATATTTTCAGTCTACACCTCGAGTTCCCACAACTACCTCAAAATGGCGGCTTTTCTTACGCGTCTCATGGGGAAGGCAGCCAAGGATGCAGATGATTCATCACATCTTTATGAGAATGACATCGTTTACCCCGTTCATGGATTGGATGACACCAAAACTTTCCGCGATACCCTGCTGACATGGTCGATGTGTTTTAACGATCCACTTGATGCCGACAAGCTGCAGAAGTCTTTGACAAAACTTTTGTCAACTGGAGATTGGAAGAAACTTGGAGGTCGTTTGAGACTCAAGGTGTGTTACGGCTCTATTTTCGTAGCTTCGATTGAAGAAAAGCACTAACATTGAAAAGGAAGATGGAGCACTGGAGATCCACGTACCATGGGAATTCACAGCGGATCGGCCTCCATTTATATTCACCCATGTGAACAAGGACCAAGCAATCGAGGACCACCCAGCAGCCAAGACACTTCCCAAGCCCAACAGGAAAGTCGCAATGTGGACCCCACATAAAGACTACAATGAGCTAGCTACTCGTCCAGACGCGCCAACAATTATTGAAGACCTACTCGCTGGAGACACCCCGCAGATGTCTGTTCATGTTACCTCCTTCACCAACGCGACTATTGTTGGACTCTCATGGCCACATACGTTGATGGATGCCATGGGACTGAAAGCCTTACTTCAAAATTGGTCCCTAGTACTAGCCGGCCGAGAGTCAGAGGTACCAGCTCTCCTCGGTGCAAAAGATGACGTTCTGTCAACGATAGCAGAGGCTTCAGTGGACAAGCGAGAGGCATCTTGTATGCGTTCAAAAGAGCTCAAGGGTCTATCCAAGCTCGCATTTATGGCGAGAGTTGCTTATGGACTGATGTCTACCCCTCTCCCCGAGACACGCGCGCTTTGCGTACCCAAGAAAGTCATGGATAGCCTGCGCGAGCAGGCACAGCAAGAACTTACCATTTCCAATGAGAAGGAGGTCTTCATCAGCGAATCCGATGTCTTCACCGCGTGGCTGATCGGCATGATCTCTACGTCGTTACCAGCCCCTCGTCCAATGACCTTATTGCAAAGTATCAACGCGCGGTTCCGACTCCCCGAACTCATCAATGCACAAGGCGTGTATGTGCAAAACATGATAGCGGTAGGCTTCACGCTGTATTCGCCCGATGTTGCAGCAGGCCTAATGGGTCCAATTGCGCTGGCAACCCGTGAGCAGCTCGCAGCACAGGCCACAGAACAACAGGTCATTGGAAACCTGGAGGCACAGCGAGCATCAGGCGACCCTATGGCTACTCTCTGCGGCGACTCCAAAGCCGTACCTGTAATCACTTCCAACTGGGCAAAGGGTAAGTTCTACCTTGTAACGGATTTTGGCCCTGCCGTGCTACGGGCTGGTGATACTTCGGAGTCGAGATCCAATCCCCCCGGCACTCCGTTTTTCAGTCACACATTTTGCCTAAAGCCACCGCCTGTGGTGATGAGGCATATAATGTCTGTTGTCGGGAAGGACCACGAGGATAATTATTGGGCCAATTTGGTTCTGCCGTCGCCTGTCTGGGCGAATATCGAGAAGAGCCTCAGGGAGCTGGAATAGCCAGAGTAATGCGTAGGGTGGCTTGCTGCGTGTTTTCATGCCTCACGAGGTCTTATGTTGATTGGATTTGGCAGTTTGCTTTTTATAGCTGGCTCGATGTATATCATCTGATTTCTCAATACTATTCAATTCTTCTTTTCAACGACAGATGATGGTAAAAATCATCTCAGGCCATCCATCTCCAAGCTCACGTTGTCGGCTTTAGAACCATAGACACCACCATCCAAGATCCATTGCTCGTTGTCATCATTGTCATCCTGTACGCGTCGCCAGGTCTGTTTCCTCCCGCCTTCCTTTTCTTTGCCTTTACTCTCTTCAACCTTGATAGTCGGCCTGATCAACCCGCCCAACAGCGGGTTCTTACTAAACGCTCCACTGCTACTCGACAGCGTGTTGCCGTCGGTAGGATATCGCGAGTCTTGAACTGGCTCCTCCTCACTCTCTGGTGTGACCGGTCGCTCGGTAGCAGCCATGCGTTTGACAAGCTTCTTTCCTGAGAGATCGATACTGGCAACCACCTTCCGCTTTTCATATTCGGGACGTGCGTTCCAGTCTTGCTCACGCAAGGCTTTTTGCTGTCTTTTGAGTTGCATAGCACGTTCTTGAGGGCTAGCCCACATGCTCAGGCCCGCGGTGGTAGTCTCGAAGTCTGCAGCTTCGTCGTGCACTTGTGTTCGTTTTGCGTTCTGGGCTTGGAAGGCAAGAAGTTTGTCTCTGTGCTGCTTCGCTCGGGCCAGTTTTTCATTCTCAGACTCAACATCCGAGGCAGGGTTTGAAGAAACTGGTGTCGCGCTTCGGGGAGTTGAGAAGGGACGCGGTGCTAGGGAGACGTCGGCGCGCTTCTGACCTGCGTTATTGGCGGCCATCTTTTCTTTCCCTCGCTCTTCACGTAGAACGCGCACCATTGACTGTATTTCTTGTGCACTGAACAGTGCCGAGTTACAGAAAGTACATGGACCGATGCCCTCCTTCACGCATATGATCTTTCCACAATTCAGGCAGTTTGGTGCTGCCTCAAGAAGTGGATGCCTTGTAGCCATGCAATTGCATTTCCTCTTACTGCTATCTTGAGGCGCAAGCGTAGGGTTGGTTTGAATCTCCAGTGCCCTGATTGCTGATTCCAGATCGCTGAGTGCTGTGGAGGCGCCATGCATTGGCGTTCCACCTGTAACATTGACTTTGGCTTTCGGCTTTGGCTTTGACTTTGTGTCAGATATGAGATGGCCTGGAAGCTTTGCTGGTGGTGGAGCCGGTGAGACACCGCGAGACTTTGGTGTTGAAGTCCCTGAAGATGCTGTCGATGTTGGTAGTTGTAGAGCATCTGGTGTCGCTGATAAGCCAAACGTGTTGGGTTTGGGGGGTTTAGCTCTTGAACTACCAGCCATGTAGTCTTCTTCATCCTTCTTGATATACGCGCCTGATACATTGCCGTAATTTTCAGGCTGCCGTGGTGGCGGAAGTTTGTTCAGACCAGGCTTCTTCTTCTTCGGCCTAGCCCTTGGCACTTCTGAAACATCATTCGATGGCTGCTTCTGGTTTGAAGCAGATGAAGCTTTTGAATTTCTTCGGTTGTTGAAGGAGGTGATGAACTCAAGTGCTTGAGGGCTGTCGCCCAGTAGGTTCTGCAGATGGTCCGCCGATTCCTTCTGTGAGAGGGACTCCGTATATGATATTATCTGCTTCAGCGACTCATCGTCAAGGGGAAGTAGTTTTGATAGTTGTGGCAGTGCCCAAGTTGCTACGTCCATTTTTGCTGTTATTGGGGTTTTCGTTGCCAAACTTCAGTTCGTTGAATGTGATTCATCACTTTGAGCTAGTGGGTGTGGCGCCTCCAGGACTGTGGCTGGTACCGATGCGGCCCGTGCGGTGACTTTGTATTCGCAGATCGTGGGGAAGCTATCATCATTGTCCTCACGTACTTGTCTGCACATTCGCCATGGCTACCGACGTCGCACTCGATACTACTATCGTATGTCTCCCTTTTACTCTCATGATTTACACCCCGACTAACCAAGATAGGGCACTGTTGTCGTCGAACTCTACAACGACCATGCGCCGAAAACATGCAAGAACTTCTCAACTCTCGCCCAACGCAACTACTTCAACGGCCTCATATTCCACCGCGTAATACCCAACTTCATGATACAAGGTGGCGATCCGACTGGTACAGGGAGGGGTGGTGAATCCATCTACGGGGAGAAGTTTGAAGACGAGATATCCCCACAGCTCAAGCACACCGGCGCTGGCATTCTGAGCATGGCCAACTCTGGTCCCAACACAAATGGCTCCCAGTTTTTTATTACCCTGGCGCCCACACCATGGCTGGATGGCAAGCATACCATCTTCGGAAGGGTCAAGAGCGGCATGCAGATTGTTAAGAAGCTGGGTTTGGTCAAGACAGACAAGGAAGATCGCCCTGTGGAGGAGATTAAGATTATCAAAGCATACCTGGTTGATGACAACGCCTCTGCGCTACAACGCTACTAGTGCGCGACAGGAAGCTCAATGGTCATCGGATACAACACCAAGGCGCGTTAGAAATAGCGCCATGCAGCATCAATGTTGCTCAGTTGTGAGTCTGATGCCCAGAGATTTTAGAATAGACGCTCATACGACCCACTAGTTCAAAGCGCCGTTCGGATGAATCAACACCTTCGTATACCCTTCAATCCTCTTGTCAAACTTCTCATACGCCGTTGGTGCCTCGTCAATATTGATCTCATGCGATACAACAAAGCTCGGCTTCGCCTTGCCGGACACAATCATGTCCCGAAGATATCTGTTATATGCTTTGACGTTACATTGGCCTGTTCCAAGATGCAAGCCCTACAGTCGTCAGCGGTGCACGATGGCTGTCCAAGATGACGTACCTTTTCGAAGAGCTTGCCGAATGAGATCAGGATTTGGCCCTTCTTGCTCTGCTCGTCCGGCGCTCCCGGATCTGCTGGCACATACAATCCTGGGATACCCAAGCCTCCGGTCGGCCGAGTGACCATGATCAGCTGATCGAGTACAACGTTGGGCTTCTCTTTACTACCCGAGGCATCGACCGCCTGGTAACCGACCGCGTCAACCGCGCGATCCACCATTCCATCGTTGAGCTTAATGATCTGCTCGACAGGGTCGCTTTTCCTAAAGTCGATCGGTATGCAGCCAATCTTTTCCGCAGCTTTCAATCTCTCAGGGACCGTGTCAACCACGAACACCTTGCTCGCACCTCGTAGTATGCCGCTGTATGCTGCCATCAGGCCAACGGGACCGGCACCGAATACCGCGACACTTTCTCCAGATTGAAATCCAGCAAGCACAAGCCCATGCCATCCTGTTGGGAAGATGTCTGCTAGCAGTATGAAATCGGCTTCATGCTCAGTGCCCTTTGGTAGTTTGAGCGCGTTAAAGTCAGCGAAAGGTACGCGGAGGTATTGCGCCTGGCCGCCCTGGTACGGTCCCATAGCGACATATCCATATGCTCCACCTGCAAATCCCGGGTTCACCCTATACATCATTCAGTTTCTGGCTCACTAGATTTGCATTAAGTTCTCACCCTGTGCAAAACGCCGTCTTTCCTTCCTCACAATTTCTACAGCGTCCGTCCGCGACATTGACTTGAAAAACGTCAGCCGACATGTCGCTATGCATACTTTGACGCTACTCACAAGGCAAAACAATCCTGTCGCCTTTCTCCAAAAGCGTAACGCCCGACCCAGTCTCGATGATTGTTCCCATGTTCTCATGGCCAAACACAAGACCAGCCTCCGCTGCTGTGCGACCTTGGTACATGTGCAAATCTGAACCGCATATCGCTGCTGTTGTCACCTTTACAATGACATCGTCCGGATGTTCAATCTTTGGGAGTTCGACGTCCTTGACAGAGACCTTGAACGGCCCTTCGTAGTGCACGGCCTTCATCTTATTTTCAGACATATCCGGCTATATCGACAGTGCTGTGGACTGTCTATCTGTGTAGATTGGCTTGTAGTAGAAGAGTATGTTCCAGTAAACGGCCAAACCTTGACGCGTGTGTTCAAGATATGGATGGCTATTGATGACGCAAAGCAAAGACGGAGTCTTCTCCATTCCTGGTGCTTGTCCGAATACATGACGACCCCTCATCTTCGGTATTTTCAAGAGGCGCGACGAGAGCGTCATTATTGAGGGGCTGCCAGCATATGCTGGTCGATCGCATGTGGGGTAACGCGTTCCGAATCGGAAAGATGCTTCGGAACGCTGTCTGTGACGGTTGTCCGAAGCTCAACACTACATGCAAGAGTAGACTGGTAAAATGTGGAGAGTGTGGAGAGAGAAAGTACAGTTCGATCAGGATGGAGGAAAACTATTTTTTAGACGGAGACCAGTTTGATCCATGTCTGTTTGGCATTCCAACTCCCCAATCAATGCAAATATGATTGCATGCATAACTTTTACGACCCCGAATTCGCCAGGCTCACCAAATAACAGCCATGTCTCGCCGTTTTTTTTCAGTTTCCATAGCCTGTGAGTTCGCGTACTGAGCAGTCCGATTCCCGCTCGTCGTCCCTGCTCCTCTGGACCATACTCCTAGCACACTTCCTCAACCTTCACTACTCCATCTCCAGCCACGATCAAGTCCGTCTTTGAGAGCTTTTCCTCTTCCTCCCTCTTCTTCTGCTCCTGTGCCTTCTTCTTCTTATCCTCTTTCTCGAACTTCCTCTTCCACATACCAACATAGTTCACATATGACTGACGTACCCAGATAGGCCACCACATATCCTTAGCCCAGGTAACCAGAACATCATCTGTAGCACCATAATGAACGGCTTCGACCCAGCTAGTCTCAGTGGTGCTATCGTTCGGCACGGTTGTGAGCGAGGGCGCACCGGTTCCACTGTCAAAGGTTGTCCAGCGTGCGAGGCATCGAAGCTTGGCTTCAGGTGACATGCCGGCGGGGGGTGGTCGCGGGGTGCAGGTCATCGGGGCCGCTCGAAGAAGACACTCAAGATACAGAGGGACCTCTTGTGGTTTGAGTGAGCATTGGGAGGAAAGGAAATATATGTCTGTCTTGCTGTCATCGGTTTCATCGGGCGTATCTGTCAATCGCAACGCCTTTAGCGGTGGTGTCAACGGCGGGGTCAGGTCTCCGGAAACTGAACGTGGAAACTCAGATACCATGGGCGATGGGTGCTTGATGAAGATCTCTGGCTGGGGGAAATTGTCTTTCCATCCATCGGTGCCGGATGGGATGGCTTGTGTGATCATTTCCTTCAGTCGCTTCTCCTCTTGCTCGTTCGCCCATGTGCTGAGCTTCTTGTAGTATGTAGTTGCGATGTGCGGGAACATGGTAAAGACTTGCTGCCGGACTGCATCTCGTGTGCGCTTGTACCATTCCTGGAGGTCTTGAGCTTCGGGGTAGCGCTGGGGAAGCCACTCCTTGACAAAGTACGTCCATGCGACCGAGCGGTCTTCGAGTCTATCGGCGTAACTGTCCTCGGCTAGACGTGCGACGAAGTGGCCTGAGTGGAAGAGCCAGGAGCTAGTTAAGTACTCGTAGACTAGGGATACAAGGTCAGTTTAGTTGAGTTTGGCGACTCCATGGTGAACGTACGTTCGGCCTGGGACTTGAAACCGTCATCCAGGATCCTAAGATCCAGACGGATAATCCTCAGAACATCCTTTGGATTCTTGCTGACAGAGATCATGCTGCCGGGGAAGTTTGTCTCTTCAATCTCCTTGACGCGAATATGAAGACCTTCAGGATCGAGAGTGAGTCCCAGTGGCTTGATCATGCTGCCAATCATCTTGCTATTGCTCGCATATTTGAGCTCGAAGTGGTCCCAGTGGAACATCTCAGGTCGGAAGCAGACCTTGACGTCGATCTGAATATAGTGGTTTCCTGTTGCGCTGCGAATGGCAAAGTACATGCAGTCTTTGGTGAGAAAGCCACGGCGGCCATGCTCAGTGTCCAGTAAGGCCTTGATGCGACCGACCGATGTGTCCCATGGAAAGCTGTCGATTGTGTGGGTTCCAGTTGAGTAGTAGGGACCACAAACTAGAAAGTCGACGTCGCCATAGTCATTCTAGACACGTCAATATGGTGCTATGAGCTGGGTGTTCAGCTGTACCTTTTCAGGGATCTCTGTGGGAACTACGACATCTACGAAGAGAGTCTGTAGCGCTGCCATCACTTGTTCCTTGACTTTAACATATTCGGCCGGTAGGATACGCGGGCAGTGGAGACTCTTAAATGCCCTACCACCCATCTTGAATTGTTGGCTGTTAGGAATGAAGTGTTCGTTAACGCTCTGTCGATGAGGATTCGATCACCAGCTCTTGATGATGGTGAGATGCTTGTGGCCGATCGTCGAGAAGATGAAGACTCGGAGTAAAGCTAAAGGTTTTGTATGTGAAAACTTGCTTGCTGGTAGTTATGGCATGTGATGCCCAAACTATCAACTGTAGCTACTCACGTGCGACAGTTTGTAAGTGATGATCCTGGGTGGTTCGCGCTGCTCTTACATAAGTTGATCGCACAATTCGATGCACCTTCTGTATTTGCTGGCGTGTTGTCACTACGTAAAGATGGAGTAATTTGCGTACGGACATGGGAGAATAAGCTATTCTAGACAAGAGATGCTAGCGCCAGTCTAACTAAAAACAGGTACCTGTGAGTGATGTTGCCTTAGCCACATGAACATGCGAGAGTTTCATCCTAAGTCGTGGTGACGGTGACTTGTTCCCGTGAATTAAACAACCACTCGATGCTACTGAACATATATTTGCTGGTTATGAACAACATTCTGACTTCACCATGAGAGTGACTATAGGTGCCAAAAGGCATTACCTTAGATGATCCCCAAATACCCACAAAGTCTCTGTGGAACACAGCCGGACGACTTATAGAGATTTTTCTCATACTCATGATTAAGTGATGGGCTGTGAATGTCCACAAAAACTACAGTACACAATAGAGGGCTAAAAGTAAAGAAAAGTGTTACAGTAATGCACTTGAATATTTCAACAAAGGATCTACTGTCACTTCCTAACACAGATAATCACAATGTATAATTGCGTACATCAGGATTGTACTTGAGGAATTAAGCAGATCCAAGATAAACCTCTCAAAACTATACCATGTGCTAGAAATACTAAGAAGAGAGAAAGTGGCCAATATGAAGGAGTAGTTTTGGCAGGGATGTGATTCGACACTAGCTGGAGCTGTCCTACAAATCGAGGAGTATGCCTCGACTTCAGCCTTGAGCTCCAGATTTGTCGTGGTGCCTGCCAATGTGGCGTTCTTGATTGGACTGAATACGTCTGCTCACGATCACTTACCCCTCCCCTCATATGTACAGCGCAGCAGTGCCACCACTCACCGACTTCAGCCGTGTCGGTTTTGTTTACTCGCTGAGTGTTATCACTTCACCGGTTTTGGGGCGCAGCAGCGCCACAAGCGCTAAACCTGGGTACATATCACCACCACCACAGACGCAAACCTTCTGTACAACAAACAACAACATGGCTGCCGCACGTCTTCAAGCAACCCTGGCAATCCTTACCTGCTGCGGTGCAGAGCACGAAGTCGACACATACCCCGAAGAGAAAGCTGCCTTTCTCGACACACCCAACCTACGCTCTGCGGCTGAAGTTGCTGACGATGTCGTTGCAACCATCCTCCGCACCTCAATTACTGGTACTGCTCTGCAAATGAAGCTCGACTCTACGATTGGCACCTATGGATGGTCGGAGAATGTCGCGAGATGGGTGCTCGAGAAGCTCTCCAAGGCCCTTCAAGCGACACACGAGAAGCTGGGACCCGCAGTACATGGCGCGTACAACAAGGCATTGGAAGTTGCAAACACAACCGAAGGCTTCGTCATTGAGCACCCAGTCATTTGCACCGTTATCGCGCTTGGTGTGCTTGCGATAATCGCCCCATGGGTTCTGGAGGCGCTTGGTTTCGGAGAGTTGGGACCAGTTGCAGGTACGTTGTTTCTGTTGTCTGTAACAGCCATGTCGACAGCAAATAACAATATGGTATGAGTGCTGACGTATGTGTAATGCAGGTTCTTTTGCCGCATCGTGGCAGCGTACCTATGCCGGGCTCGTGCCAAAGGGCTCGCTCCTCTCTTTTTTCCAGCGCTTGGGAATGACTAAGTGGCATTGGATCCTTGATTAGCATTCTCTCAAACAAGGCAGAATAGGAGGAGCATGACGAGATACAGGGAAGCCGATGTTTGGAGCATTCCCACCCATTCGTGTATCGTGCCAGGCTGCGTGGGCGCCTAAATCCATGGTTTCCAAGTTTGGCTCACATACCGGTGAACCATCTCTGCATAAAATTAGGTCCACATCCTTGTCAATCCTTCTTCCCCCATGTCGTCATGATGCCAAAGGAAATCAAATTTTGTTTCGAGAGGCATTGTTTCCGAATGATGATCGCAGACTGGCTGAAGCATGCCATGTGTGGAGTAAGGGAGTAAATTCGCGGGGACGCGTGTACTAGATGATGTCGTGCAGGAGTATCCCTGTCTCGCTAGGCCAGCTGTGCCAAGCCGGCCGAGCACATGACAAAGCTTTCCCGCCCCCCGCGCCCGTAGTTAGGTGCTCCTTACAACACTCTTAGGTATCACCACCGTCTTTGTTGCAACAACCATGCAGCTTTTCGCCTTCGGCTTGACCCCTGGTACAGAGCACAAGCCCTCCAATACACCCTTCCTCTGCGATCTATCTGTGAAAGTTCTGTGGCTGTCATGGTGTGATGCCATTATAGCGCACACCGACGGAGTGACGTCTGCCATGCTTTACAACGGTACGGGCCTTACAGCTGGTCAAAGTGCACACTTAAGCAACGATCAGGAGCTGAAACGGGCCGTTAATGGAGATAAATGTCACACTATCTTTTTTGGTAGCTCTATGCAAGACGGTCTGAGGGGCTATGTGCTCACAGATGAAACTGAGCAAGGGATGGAGCAGACGATCGTCTTATTTGCTACAGATCTTGAGATCGAAGATGGTATACCAGAAATCCAAGTCTGCTCCGTCAACAAGGATTCACCGGTGATTACTGACATCAAAATTCTGAACGATGCAAGTTTGGTACTAAGTGCGAGGGAACGCTCGACCAACGAAGAAATTAATGCAACCATGCAGGACTTTTCGCAGCTGCGAACACAGCTTTCATCACGATCAACGTTTCTTCCCCACCAGATGATGCACCCACCATACAGCTCCCATGATCGGCCCCAGTGTGTCATTAATGCCACAACTACCACCATCGTAGACATCGACATGCACGTATGGACTGCTAGCAGAGACCCACGCTATCCAAAATGCCTGGGCCGTCCATACGAAGGCAGTCCAGATTTTGCGCCGGTGCCGTACCTTTCAGAAACAACCATCACGAAGATAGTCTCAGGCGGATATATGAGCGCAGCGTTAAGCTCAGAAGGCGAGTTGTTTTTATGGGGCCAGGCATGTCCTGGATCAAAGGGAGAACTGAGGGTGCTGAGTGGGAATGGCGCGGAACGTGTGTTCCCGAATGGAATCAGTGCCGAAGGTGAGCAAGACGAGTTTGTCAACTGCTTAGAGGTCTGGATTGAGGGTCAAGAGGCCCGTGTGTACGATGTAGCGATCGGTTATGGACACATCCTAGTCGCAGCGGAGCTGGCGGGATCTGGGCGAAAGAAGAAAAGAGTTGTGTATGGTGCGGGAGACAACAGCAGGAATCAGTTAGGTCTAGGGGCGGAGAAGAACTTCTTAGACACGTTTGAAGAAGTCGTGGCTTTGCGAGGCAAGCAAGTTGCCCAACTAGTGGCAGCAGGATGGTCCAGCTTTGTTGTGTCACTTGATCAGTAAGTGTAGCGATATATTCTTCATAGGTTCTAATCATTCCAACAAGCCAGGCATACCAATGAAGAGAGCGAGAATCCAATCATGTCCAGTTTAGCGGGTGAAAAAGGGAGGTCGACCATCTCGACTTAGCGAAAACACCCACACCCACGAGGCGACTCTCGTGAGAAGTATGCCAAGCGGTTGATGCGTCTTGCTGGCCCTTGCTCAATATCGAACGTCGGCGCCCATGGGGCAACTGATCCGTCTTGAAACTCTGGCGGGTGCGGCTGCAGCTGCGCGCCGTCCCGAACAGCAATGTCGGTAGTAACGGTGATGGAGCCGCTCCTGCTCTGGTCGATCAGAGGAATCTGTATAGTTTGTGGTCTTTGCGAGCTCTGCGAGGTCTTGGATGCATTCTTGGACCTGTGGCTGCTCAGGTGAATGAGCCCGTGCGGCAGGATCATCTCGATGAGGGGGCGGAGATGTAGACTGCACGCTACAACAATACCAGTGCTTATTTGGGCGGTTGCCCACATCAAGGAGGTCTCTATACCGCATATTTGGTCGCCTTGGTACACCATACCGGTGAGCGAATTGATGCGTAGAGCGCCTATGAATACATTGCTAGTCTTGTCAGCTGCAGCCGAGTAACAAGGATGAATGCGTTTGATCGCACAGCAATCCAAAAGCAAATACTGCCGACACTGCCACCTTGTGGGCTATGCGAAGCCTTAGTTTCCAGACCACATGGTGGGGTAGATACCAAACGAGGCAATCCAGAGCGACTCCCATTGCTGCTATGGCCACCACAGAGTGCTTCATTCGGAAGCAATGTTTAGGATTCTCGAGAGGTATCGTAAAGTTGTATTTGATCGGTCGGCAGTGGGACGCCATGACAACGATGGAGCCGAGACACAAGGCGGTTGTTATCATGATGCACACGTGTGCTGCGAGCCAGATCAACAGGAGTCTTTGATGTTGTGGCGCAGGGTTGAGCTATATGCCAAAGTACCAGTACGTCTCAGCTTGGGATAAGCTTTGGTGTATAGGGTGCGGATGAAGAAGTTTAGGATGGCGCATCGAGTCAAGGCTATGCCAATAGCCATTGGAATACGGAAGAGCCACAGCATCTGAATAGGTAAGCTTCTTCGCTGGACAGAATATCCATGATGCTACCATGAGTGTTTGTTTGGGGTCCACCACAGAAGTCGTAACTAGGGGTTGACAGACAAGGCTAGCAGCCATCACTTTGTGGCGTCAGCCCGATGCAGACTCAGTACACGCAATGTATGACTTGCACACTATGAAAATTGCAACGAGGGCGTATAGACACAGCTAGCGTCAAGTGGTTAGAAGGACGAGCTTGCGCGACAGGAGGTACTGTAATAATACTATTGCAAGCAGCAGTAGTGTATCGTCAATGGCCCATGGCAAGCGCCTGAAGTGCTTTGCGGCGAGCCGTGCGACAAGAAAAAGCAGAGGTAATACCGAAAGAATAACTGAACCAGCGACATATCGGGCCAATAACATAAGTTACTTGGAAACGGAAAAAGTCACGGCGAGAAAGCTGTGCTCTATGGAGCAGCCGTGCGTGAGGTGGGATGTGGCAGAGGGAGCAAAAGGCAAAAGGGTGGGTAAGTCTCAGAAGATATGGTAAGTTGTAGTGTGGAGGGGGGGGGCAGATGTAGCCTGGTTGCATGCTCGCAAGCGTCATGCGATGCCGCTGCCCGTTGGGGCTAGTGAAACATCTGAAGAAGATGGAATGATCGGTTGAGGAAAGAGGACGCAGCAGCCGGGCAGGAAGTAAGGCATTCCGAGAAGTTGCTGTTTGGGCGACTAACATTGTAGAGGCATGCAGCACTGCGCAGGCCGAGTGTGGAAGATTGGTACCAGGTACCCCTTAAGCAGCAGCCACAGCGACAGAGGGCGGTTACTGGCCCAAGTGTGCGAATGCCGGTGGAGATCGTGAAGCCGCCGCGAGCAGCTCTGCCGCGGAGGGCGATGGCAATGGAATGAAAGCCTTGGGGTGTTTCCGCCCGATGATGTCAATCATGGGAAAAAATATTGCGGGTGTTGATGCCCGGGTGACCATAGCGGTCGCGGCTTCCGTACACACAGACGAGACAAGGAATCGACAAGCTGGGAAGGACGGGCGAGAAAACACCAGGGGCATCCGCGGCCAGCAAGAGCAAATTCCACATCAATTTCACTTCATGACTCCTCTGGCTCCACCACACTCGACGCCCTACAAGGCGGCCAGATATCCGGTCCGGACTTGTGGTCAGTCGGAACAGTCAGCAAACATGGCCAGCAGGTCAAAGGTTGCAGGTTGAGGGTTGCAGACTGCAGGACCAAGTGCGTTGCTCAGCGTGACGGTGTTTCACAATGCATCTTGCACTCGCGCCTCCACTACGAGTGTGTGGTTGCTCTCGGCGGAATTCTCCCCCCCGCCAGGTCGCCATGCAACTTAGTCTCTATCGCGAGTTTCGTCGTAAAATGCTTTGCCCAGGCTCGGACCAGCGTCGCGTCTCCTGATTCGGTCCGATGGCTTCTTTTTTCGGCGTACCTGCTCTAGTGGCACCCCTCGGAGGATTACTCTGCGCAGCTTGAGTCGCCGTGTGCGTGCAATGTTGATGTCGAGAATATGTCCCATGCACGTGAGGTACCATGTCCCGCATCTTGCAGTCGGCGTCGTGGGCCGCTGATCGACTCGCACTTGAATCTTAGCATTGCGGCTGGCGGGCCACTCAGGTCAGGGAACCTCAGCAAACGTCAGAAGAGGATCGTCGTGCAAACGCATCAGTGGCAGGGCTGATCAGGCATCAGAAGGGGACACAGACTGGAAGCAAAAAGCAAGGGTGGCGTCGATCTCGATGATATCTCGTCGCGGAGTATATCCCGTTTGCTGCGACACTGATGGCGGGTGCCACGGTTTGCGAAGTTGTGCACTCTGTCGCCGAGCTCGACAGAGACCCAGCAACCACACTGAGGGGCCGCTCAAGTTCTCACCACTGCGCCGCCACACGACGATGGCACCAAGGCCAAACGGCAAACTGTTCCTCTTGCCACGACGTTAACAAGCCCCGCATGACAGGCGATATCTCAGCGCCCATCTCATTGGCCGCAGCCACGAAACGCCAGCGGGATCCGGCAGAAGGGCGCAAGCCATGCAGGGGGCCATGATAGTTCATCCTTCTTTTTTTGCGCTTTTCCAAGTCCTAGCAAGATGCACCCATGTCGCGGGTCCAAGCCAGTAAACGTCATGTGCCCGCCTGCGCTGCCTACCAACCTACTTTCGGCTTGGGCGCCGTGCGAAATCTTAGTGAGCTAAGGCCTCCTGGGCAGTGGGAAGCGAAACCGACCACTCATATCTCCCTCACACCATCCGCTTGCACCGAGCCACGACCGTTTTTCTGCTTTCAAGTAGCCTTGCACTTGCAATCCATTCCTAGTCTTCCATCGCCTGTTTTCTTCTTCTTGTAATCTATCATCTGTATAGGAATCCCCTCCACCTGGACCAGTGCCTCACTTCGCTCTCCCCATATCACTCCGAATCCGACTCGACACGCGGCAACCGCGCCCATCACCAACTAGGAATTCCACTAGGTCCTCAGCCACCCGTTCCAAGATTACATATACCCACACACAGCCATGGAGAGCCGACGGTCTTCTCCTTCTCCTCGCCGCATGCGAAGACCACGATACAGCATGCAAAGACAGCGAAGCAACTCATTCCCTATCGTTGAAGCCTTGGGCTGCTCGACACCAGAAGCATTAATCATCCTGGCCGAGGGTCGGGCTGCTGTTCGGAAACGTCGTGCCCGACGCAACCAGTCAGTCGACGAGGCCATGCACGCCTTCAATCCCAAGGACCACTTGAAATTCCTCGAGGGACTCGCAGCCATGGCAACACCTCTAGAGCAATCGACGCCTTATGAACCCACACACTCCCATCACTCACGGATACCTTCGGATGCCACAGACAGGAGCACTTCTACTATTGTACCCGATATTGAGGACGCCCAACCTCGCAACCTTCCTCCTACTATCAACAGTTATTCCGCCAACCTAGCTCAGTTCATCAAGGACCAGCTCAAATCGATACCAACCTACCAGCTCAACGAGGCACCTGGTTCTCCTCTCTCGCCTCGATCATGTCCAGACCTGGCATCGCCAACGCGCCTATCTCACTCACCAAACCCCATGGTCAGAAGACAGCAAGAAGGCCTCAAAGTTATTGACATGCCTCCGGTGCGACCACCGGTAAAGAGCCAATTCTCGGCATGGAGCTCGACCGACGAAGAAACTCCTGCTGACGGGGATGCACTTCCTCTGCCAGAGTCAACCTTCTCCCCAAGGGTCCCCGTATCCAAGGACAGCAACTATACGCCTTCTGTACTAGGCTACTACGAGACATCGCACAACAACTCGTCATTTCTATTTTCGTCCACGCCACTAGAGGAAGATTCTGCGCCTGACACGGCCAGGGCTTTCAGGTTCCCAAGCCACTCAGCGTTACCGACTGCCTCGCCTGAACAGGGAGATGACGACTACCCCTCGTCATGCCCTTCTCAGCCTCAGCTCACCTTTACGTCAGCCCCGTCGTATACCTCATCATCAGCCTCCTTCTCGTACTTTGACTGCAAGCGCCCTAGAGCCATCACGCCCCACATGAAGGAGCGGGTCGTTGCGGCAGTGACGCCTGCACACCTACGGAACAAGCGGCACACAGCCATGTCGCCTTGGGAGGGAGGCCCCGTCGCAAATGTTCATGATCTCTATTACGAGTCGTCGCAACAACGGGTCAATGTCGATGGCATGACCTTCGACATGCTACGAGAGTTCAGCTTTCCCAATAGGGTCACACCTTGCTGAGCCCTTCTTCTTTCTTCTCGTTTTTCTAGCGTCTGCGTTGGGGTGTTTGCTTTATACATAGGCCAGGGTACCATGGCCAGCTGGTCTCGCCATGGATACCGGCCGGTTTCTACATGTTTTAACTTGTCATTTTCATACCGAATATCTTGTAATGCTGGGGTTTTATGCTCAATATTTCGTTCAAATGTTGGCTTTCTTGGGGTTCCTTTGGCTTATTGCCTGCTTCGAAGCTTACCTTGCTTTTCTTATACACCATTCATCCAGCACACATCAAGCGTACGCGACACACGATTTACTTTATTTATTTTGGCGGAAGGAAGACTGTGGAGACTACATGAGTCAGTTGCGATGGAAGAACAGGAGGATACCACGCGGATAGAGAGCAGAACACCTGGCAGCACAGATTGAGACGGTAGCCATTGGAGAATACACATGGCATAGATATGCTAGCAATACCAAATACAACGATATGCGTATCGTTCCTTCTCCCTTGTTGATGTCTATTTGCATGCCATGTGAGGTTGACGTGCTAGCATACCGAGTGTGCGGATGACAGATCGTTCATGGGGCACAGCAGCCCTATCGCTAATGTCAACTAGCAAGTTCTGAATCGGTGAAGGGGACATGCAAGGTCCCGCTCATGCAGATTGCGCCAACCTGGAGACGGGCGGGATGGCTGTCGATCGGTGAGGCGCCCGCGTCACGTTTGATTGGTTTGTCTGTGACGCACTGCTTGGAAACTTCAACTACGCCGCTTGAGGATGATCAACCTTGTAGTTTGTTCGCCATTGACGTTGACGCTCTATGAGTGAGTGTACGGTATTTGCAGCCTTTGTTCTTTGGCCCGCACTCGTATTCGTTGTCATTGCAACGGGGTTCCACTCACTGTACCGGCCACGTTGATGATGCAGCGCGGTTGAGAGCCAACCTCCGCCCACCCACCACACTTGTGAGATATATTTCTGCGTGATCCATCGCACCTGCCAAGTACAAGCGATACGAGATCCACGATTGGAAACGGCCTCGCCATGGCAGACACAGATCCCGGGCTCTTGGCCCAGGTCCTCGGACGTGTCTTCTACGAGTTCTCTACGGTGCAGCCAATGCTACCCACGTACATACACCTGATCCTTTCCGCCCTCTTCCCCATCTACACGGGCGCGCACGCCTCGCTCACACGACCTTCGACGGCCGCCAAGCCCATCAGAAAGAGAAAGAGGGCGACGCAGGATGAAGATGAGGACAGTGACGATGAGGAGGACGAGGACGAGCAGCGCGTCATGGAAGGCCTGTCGCCTACAGATGCCATACTCATGCCCCTCTTTGCGGGAGGCGCTCTTGCCTCGCTATATTTCCTTCTCAAGTGGATGAAGGACCCTGCGCTACTGAATAAGATTCTTAACGCTTACTTTGCCATCTTTGGCGTCTTTTCGGTATCGCGACTCGTCACGGACATGCTTGACATCGGTCACTCGCTCATCTTCCCGAACCGCTACGCCCTCGGAGGCGCCCTATACCATGTCAATAGTCAACAAGGCAAGGCAGTACCGGTGGCAGGCAGCACCAAAGACAAGCAGCCTCGTGCATCTCCTCTACCAGGCTTCTTGGCTGGCATCCCCTTGTCTGAGCGGACACGGAACTGGCTCTGGGCAGATCGAGCCATGCCCGGGAATAAGTGGACGTTAAAGGTCTACATGCACCGCATCTTCGCTGGAAAATTCAAGGTCGGGCCTCATGGTATTGTAGGCGGTCTGATCGGTCTTGTTACAGTCGCCTACTTTAATCTGATAGACAAGCCATGGTATCTGACGAACTTGCTGGGCTTTGGCTTCTCATATGGCGCTCTGCAGCTCATGTCGCCCACTACGTTTGCTACCGGCAGTCTCATACTCAGCGCTCTCTTCTTCTATGACATCTACTTTGTCTTTTTCACGTAAGCTGCTGTCTCATTGTGCTCCATACTTTGCTAACATGCGCTCCAGACCCATGATGGTAACCGTAGCCAAATCGCTCGACGTGCCTATTAAACTCATGTTCCCCCGACCTCCGCCAGCCGACGACCCCACCGCGCCTGTCTCTCACGCTATGCTCGGCCTCGGCGACGTCGTCTTGCCCGGCATCATGATTGGTCTCGCCCTACGCTTCGATCTATACCTCTTCTACCTTCGCCAACAGAAACGTATACCTGCCGTCAAATCGGGCGAGGCAGACACTATTGAAAAGCCAAAGTACCATTCCTTAGCGGGACGATGGACCGACCACTTTTGGACGCACTCACTTACAGGAAGGCCTCTTTGGGTAGGCGCAAAGGCACAAGGAAGCGAACGCGAAGCTCCCTTTACCTTCCCAAAGACGTACTTCAAAGCTGCCCTAGTAGGCTACGTATTGGGCTTACTGGCTACACTGGGTGTCATGATGGTCTGGAATCACGCGCAACCAGCACTACTGTACCTAGTTCCAGGCGTACTTGGCAGCCTCTGGCTGACTGCTCTCGTTCGCGGAGAGATCAGCCTAATGTGGGACTATACTGAGGAGATCGAGGACGAAACCAAAGACGACAAAGTTGGACAAGAGCAGGCGCCAAATGCAGACGGCAAGTTATCCGACGACACGATCAAACGACCTAAGCCTCAGAGGAATAGCTCATCTACTACAGACGCTTCTTCCAAGAGTGAATCAGAAGATAAGCAGGCAGTAGACGTCAAGCGTATAGCGGGTATCAGATCCGACCGCCAAGTCTTCTCCTTGTCCATTGAGGCACCTTGGCAGCTGAAGAAGCCACTGTCAGTCCAAACAGAGCGTGAGACAACGGCCAAGGCAACAGCAGATGGTGAGAAGCAGGACAAGGACGAGCAGCACAACTGGGCGCCGTCAAAGGCTATTCCCAGTCAAGACAAAGGTGCGGAACCAGCCGGCAAACGTGTAAGACTCAAGTGATAGACTTACGTATGCGATAATCCTGTCCCATGGTACGCATGTGCTCATCATCTTTGGGGCCCGTTATCCGCTTCCGACACGTGGACGCATGAACGTTCATTCGGCCTCGCTTCCTCTTCCCCCCGCACATCTGCTCCTTCAAAGGGACGCGTATGTGCATCATCACGATGATGCATCATGTCCCCACCCATCACACCTGTTCTAGTATGCATGCATAGCGACGGCGTTGAACAGGTTACGACGATTCCAATAGTTTGCCTTCGTCTAAAAAAACTCCATAGTGTTGCGATAAATGTCACGAGAGGTAGCACTGCCTCATTCAATAAACGGTCAAGCGTCATAATTAAGTCAAAAAAATATCGTACGATGTTTTCTTCTTTGCCTGCTGCCTAGAAACGGAGTTGCCGTGATCCATTCTTCTCGTATTTTAGGTGCCGTATCCTTTTTTGTTTCAATGGCCGACTTTCGTATTGGCATGTTCTAGTGGCTAGGTTAGCGGGAACCTTGTGCCGAGTGCACCAGTAGTGTGTGGCTGGGGTGTTGGCCGCTCCGGTACCGACGGTGGCTTAGTGTGCGAGTAGTGCAAGGGTCGGGAGTTTGATTCCGGGACGATACAGCGTGAAAAAGGGGACGGGAGCGTGTGCTGTCTTGTCAGTGATGTGGTGTGTATTGGCTAGAAGAGGATATTAGAAGAAAACACGTTTGTGTAGATTTCAACGGCGACCATGGCTCAATTCAAAGGGAAAAGTGTGTACAAGTCTACTTTCACTACCTCCATCCTACTGTACACCATCTCTGCATGCACAACAACACCTGCATAAGACTGCACCAATCTAACACACGGCCTAATCGCCCTGCCAAGCCGTATCCAAACGTGCTCAACTCAAAAGACCAAAGTTAATCTATTTTCCGCACTTGACACATTTCTCCTCAATGGTACCTTCGCCGCGGTTGATGTGGTCGCATTGTGGACATAGCCACTCGCTCATGTGGGGCATCGGAGTGGGTGGGAGCATGATTCGCCGTCTGTGGTACCGGGTCCGAACTATGGGGTTTGTCTTGACTAGAGGACAGTGACGACAGACGTTGTGTGGATCGAGTGCGGGGAGAGAATAGATGTGCTGATGGTGCCAAACGTGGAGATGAAGGTGGAAAACCAGGGAGATGTGATTTTGCTAGCAAAACATGCTCGCTGAGTTGTGTGGTAGGATTGGGAGAATAGTGGAAGACTGTAAACTGCTTTTGTCGGTTGCACTAGGTAGAGAGAGCAGCTTGGTTGATGATCTTGAAGTTGTTTGCTGCGCTGTAAGTCTTTCGAAAACTATCCTGTCGTTTGCCATCATGGAATTCTTGTTCTGCGCGTTACACGTTGCCACGCGTTTTGCCAACAAACAGGGAGTACACGGTAATCGGCAACCCAACCCCTACACCAGGTGTAGATCATCAACCAGGTTTTTATCCAAGACTTCGAGAAGCTCAGTATCATCGAGAACAGGGCGGTGCCTGCTTTGTTCGGCATACTCTGCTTTGAGTTCTGACACTGATGCAGTCGACGCGTCCACTGCTGGCGAATCCCTGCCAAAGCATATGACAGCAATTTCCAGCTCTTTGACGGCGGTCTGAAGAGCCAAGTCTAACCTTCCATACTTCTTCCAACCAATCGTGGCATCGTGATATGCCAACCCCAGGGCTTCCCCAACAAGACCTTCTTCTTTTAGTAGTTTCACCAATTCCAGCGCGGCCTTCGGCACGGGTGATCTCCACAACTGTCTCCGTCCCGTCCGGATCCTGGCGTCCAAAACCACCATCCGTGATCTGCGTACGTCACTGGCCTCAACGTCACTGCTACACGCTCTGCAGGAGCAGATGAACCCATAGGCCGCGAGCTTCTCCTGTCGCGATTTCATCGTCTGATAAGGTCGCTCATAGCTGAGGTTTATTTGCGTACCTGCCGGTATAGCAACTATGGCGTGTACAGTGATTTGCGATGTTCGTGAGTTCCAGGCGAAGCTTGCGTTGGGGACACATGAGTGGTTGAAGCGCGCAGCAAGTGGGCAGATTGAGGTACAGGATCCTGTTTGCCAGGCGTTGGAGTTGAAGATGTCGATGACACGTGCATCACCCTCAGCTGTAGTTTTCTGGGCATATAGTGTGAGGTATAGTTCTTGTTGAAGATGGTCGAGACCGGCAAACGCCGAGATGACGGCGGAGTTGGTGCGCGGTTCGCGCACAGAAAAAAGAGGTGCTTCACTGAGGATGAGAGTACCAGGGGAGATGCAGGTTGTTGCGAAACAGCCTAGACCTTCACCCGGAGAGTCGCGGATAGTATAGATACTGTCCATGGTGTAAGCCTGGGTATTAATATCAGGCTTCTCAACTAGCGGGCTTCAGAATGTGTCTCGACGATGCGACGGTGCATCTTAGGATCAGGACAGCCATCTTGGGTGAGATGGAAAATCTGAATTGCTTGGCGGATATTGTGGAAGTGAATGGTAATCGAAGGCAACAACGTTTGTCACCCGGCGGCAAGATATGGTCTAGCGTCATGACGTCATTTCAAGTCACGTGCTTTCCAGATAGTGAAGGATACATGTAAGATGTAGACTATTGCGAACTCCAAACCCGACCGCACACGTCATCGGTTATCTATGCATTTTGATAGTGTCACTAGACATCAAGTAGTTCTTGAGGTGCAGAGCAGATAGAAACGTATCGAAGCCGGATGCTTGCAGAAAGTCGTTCCTTCTATTCGCGTATCTAAGATCGTACGTTCGGGCCGCAACTCGGAAGCTCCACCTGTTTTAAATCTCAAAAAGCCGAGCCGTGTATCGGTGCGCTCTCGTCTCCAACGCGCCTCAGGCATTCGCTTTTGAGACTCACACCTCGCTTCGCAATTCATTTGTTTTGTCGTGTCCGGTACCCGTCTAAGGCATTCATTTTTTGACGGCTCACACCTCCCTTTGATTGTTTTTTCGTCTTTCGCACATCACCCACTTTTCTGTCTCAGATTTCCTGGTAGTACTCTACGCTATCCAAGCGATCATAGACGATGTCAAACGCGAAGTGAGCAAAGAGCCGAGAGATCGCCAGAAGAGTCGATCGGACGACATGCAACACTACCCGTAGGACGGTCGAAGTGACGACAGGAATAATGATAGAAGCGGATCTGACAAGCGCGAGGCGAATGACGAGCGTCGGGCTCGGTCGAGGGAGCGCCAGGATGGCTATTCAAGAGACGGCCGGAGTGGTGGAAGTCATAATGAAAAAGAAGAGGGACAGGACTCTGCTGCAGCACGCAAGAAAGCCGAGGACCCGTACTGGTATCCTGGCAAAGGCAAGTTCTCGCACCCGACGAAGATGCCCAGTCAGAACCCATTTGACCCCAAACCACGTAACCCAAAGCGTACCCAAAGCTGCCGTACTGAATCTCCTGGTCATCGTCACGAATGTATAGAACGCAAGCACGATCGCCGAGAGCAGGAACTTGAAGCTTTGGCCAACGGAACTTTGAGTAAGTTGCCCGCACTTGTTTGTCTACAATTATCTATGAATTCCAATGGCTAACTGCTTCATCTTTGTAGGACCACCCCCTGGTGCTGGTCCCAACTGGGCAAATAATCGTGAAGCTACTTTGGCTAAATACGCAAAAGCCACGAATCGCAGGCACAAGAAACACGAAAAGAACATGCGTAAACTGGCGGAACAAGCAGCCGGACAGGCGGCGGAGCCTTGAGAACTCGTACACGGCATTAATATGATGAGCATCCCTGAACAAGTAAGGAATTAAGAGAATCAGGAAACAATGTTTTTTTCCTCAATAGTATATCATATCAAGGGTATGCTTCGTAGGAGTCCGGTCTCGCTACGAGGGAAATCTGTCTATGACATTTTCAACACTATACTAGTGGAAATTGTACACATGTAGCATCGGAATTCTATTACAGCTTATGACAGTATGTATTCTGAGTTGGGTTTCTACGTCTGTAACACGTGCAATTCCTGGTGAAAATAAAATACTGTGCTTCGAAGCATATTCTAAACGCTATTAAAGATTACTGTTCAATGAAGCCGATCAACGAATATGAGTTGCTCTCACCTTCTTCTCGTAGGACCATCACACGAAGACTGTCCTTCACCTGTCCTTCGATATACTTCCATCTCAAGGCTTCTCACCTCGCTTCTCTCACCTGCAGACTCCGCAACAATCAATCGGATCGGCATGATTGATTCCTATCTAGGTTAAAGGCTGCCTAATGAAGTAATTCTTTAACCTATATAGGAATCAATCATGTCAATCGATTGATTGTTGCGGAGTCTGCTCACCTGTGTCCACCCTGACTCTATATAAGCCTCTATCCCTACTCCATAACCCCATCAAGACCACTCTCTTCCCCCTCGACAACACTGTCCTCTCGATCAGGATGGCACCAACAACTTCCTCAACCAAGCACCAGAAGCCGCACTCTCCAGCTCAGTCTCTTGCATCCCGCTATGGCGTGAATCCCACTCGCCCCAGCTCAGCCAACCCCGCAACCGTAAGAGTCTCACTGATACAATTGCGTAATGTAGCTAATTAAAAGTCAGTTGGTATCATCGCTCCAGTCAAGCATTGGCCCTCACTTTCTCACCATCGTCGAAACATACACCGAGAATCTCAAAGCCGACTATGAAGCACACTACAAGGACATCCTGATTGAGAAGGAAAAGCTCAACGAGGAAAACAAAGCCAAGATTAGCAAGCTTGTCGACCGCGTGTCATACCTCGAAGATGAGCTATCTGATCAAAGAGTCACATTGGAAGTTTTCCGAGAGGCCCATGGAATTCTTGAGGTAAAACATTTAATACTCGAGAAGGAGCATACTGGAAAGAAAGGTGCAGCAGAAAAGTTGGAGACAATTCAAAAGCGGCTGCTGGGCTTGGTCAAGGACTGGGAATAGCGACTATACCGGGCTGACTGCATCACATCATGCTACCTAAGCTTCGGCCAAGATGAGTCAGTCTAAGCATGAGGGGCAGAGAGTGTGATTTGAGCCTACAAAAGTTTGAACTGGCATCTATAGGGCCCAAGCGGTGATAATTAGAGTTCCACGAGGATTTGAATATTCACCTTCACTTTCACCTTTCCACAGCATCTTCTCTAATTGTGACTGTGCACACATGCCATGTCTATTTATACCCGCCAGCTCCAATAAACTTCCACGCCCACCTTTCATCAACACTACACCTCAACCTCAAACAGCACTTCCGTCACGATGCCACAACCTGTCAAGCAAGAAGAGCATGAAGACTCGCGCAATCACCTCGCCATGCTACCTGAGGCCCCGCGTAGTACAGCAGTAAGACACCAATCTCAATGACACACACATAACTAACAGCAACACCACCAGCGTCAACGCAAACCCCAAAAGATCAAGCAAGAGCCAAACGCACCACCCATCAAGAAGATCACCAAAAAGCTCAACAGACAAATCGCCCACGTCCGCCACCAACTCGCCGTCGAAAAAACCCGCCACTCCACCCTCACCGAATACACCACAAAAGCCGTACAAGACGCGTCCGCCGCCTCGACCAAAGCCGCCGAACACACAAAAGCCTTGACGACCCGGGTAGACAGGCTGAGGCATGAGCTCAGCCAAGCCCACCACGAGTTGAGTGTGGTAAAGCGGGATTACAAGATGTTGCAACAAGTGGCGGAGGGATTGAAGCGCGATCTTAGGGCTGAGAAGAGGAGCGCCGAGGAGAATGAGATGCGTGAGGAGAGGGTTGAGGGCGTGATGCTGGAGTTGGAGGAGGAGAGGCAGAGGTGCGAGATTTTGGAGAAGAGACTCAGGGAGGAGAGGGCTAAGAGGAGGGAGGATAGGCTGGCGCTGGAGAAGGTGAGGGATTTGGTGGGGACGAGAATTGTGAAGAGGGAATAACTGAAGCAGGGTGGGTGAGGGGGTGGTGCATCTTGATGGAATGCTTGGGCATCTCTTGGGGCGCGCGATGTCTACATGTCTGACTAGGGATATCTCTGGCATGTAGGCTAGCTCTGGAGAAAGGGCAATCATCTCCAATTTGAGGGAAATAAAGCAATGTAGAAGAGCAAAGGCCCATGTCATGAGGGTACTGGAAAAATACGAGTAATCCTACTTGTCATTCGAGACAAGCACCACGATTACACATATTGAACCAATCACCTTCGCGTAATAATAATATATAAGATATCCTAGGTCTTACGATCTCACACCTTCTTATTCCCAAGCCAGCCATTCATTCTATTGACATACATGTATCATTCATAAGTATACCACCTCTTCTTCAATTCCCTCAGCTCCTCATTCGCCTTCTCCCACTTACTGCTGCCCTTCGGTGCATCACCCACCCACTCCGCAATGGCCTTTTTGTTGCGCACATACTTTGCATGCGCCTTCTTTCTCTCCCTCGCTTGATCTTTCAGATAACTGTAATCCTCATACTTGACCGCCGTCTCCCACACCTTGCGCATTCGGGGGCTCCAAAGGCAACAGCTAGAGCCCACTTCGGGGTCTTCACCGGGAACAAGTTGAATAGACTTGTTGAAGAGGCGTGGGATGGTGGAAGGTAGAGATTTTGATTGCAGGGCCGGCCAGATGGCTTCGTCGTAGCATTCTTCGCAGACTGTGAATTCGGGGAGTGAGGGTATGAAGTGCCAGGGCTTGCGGAACAAGATTTTATCTCCGTTGCATTCGCCCTTGAAGGCGTTATTGCGCGCGAGTTCGATGAAACGGTTGATGTTGGGGGCTCGACCAGAAGCTCGAGCTTCGGCATCGAGCTCTACGAGGAGATCCATGTACTTGACGAAGCGATGGGAGCTTGTGCGTAGGCTGCATGTGTACCGGGACAAGGTGTGCGAATAGGCGCGTGGGATCTTGGTGAAGTAGCCGCGTAGAGTTGGTAGCAAGGCCTCGATCATTTTCCTGTCGCTCGAGCAAATGGCAAAGTTGGCGACATGTATACCGTCGCGCTGATCAGGGATGCCATACCAACTGACGCCCTCGTCTGGGCCAGCTTCATGATCTCCTGGACAAGGTCGAGCTTGATACTCCATAATATCGGCAAGTGTGTAAATCAACTCAAGAGACTTGCGACGTTGCTTGATAGTGAGCATCATTGCGAGGCGCGTCCAGGGGCTGCTGAAGTCACAAACCCGCTTGGAAGACCAATCATTCAGCCATATCTGCGCGAAGTCCACCTCGAAAGGTGTACCAGCAAAGACACTGTTGTAGCAGCTAGGACAGATATTGAAGCCTTTGTATCCCTCGAGACTGTACCAGTCGTCGTAAGGTCCACTCAGGACTCCCCTCGGGCAGGTTGGTAGCGGCTTGTCAATAAGGGTTGCTCCCCGAGACGATCTGTCCCGACGACCACCTTGCGCGCGAACACTATTCGACCTCGTCTTTCGCGGGCGTTCCGGTTCTTCTATCCGTTCGTCATCATGTCTGGGAGGCCGAGGTGGTTCATCTCTTATGTATGGCGAAGCTGGGATGACAGGCGACAGGACTCTCGGCGTATTTATGTAGTCTTGTCTAGGCGAAGCGATGGTTGAATGGTCAAATTGGAAATTCTCTTCTGGTGGCATTACAACATCAATGAGCTGGTCATCAATTGGATACGGCAACGAATCGGCTGATGATTGCCTCGCTGGGGACGGGCTCTGTACATCTATCCGGGGTCTTGGTACAGGCATTGTGTCATGCCTGCCGTATAGCGAAGTCGGCCTTGACCTGTCAGTAACAGGCACTGGAGGGTATGTAGAATGCCGGTCGGCGTCGGAGATTGACACGCCACCATGGCTGGGCAAATGAGGCTGAAATCTGCTCGAAGAAGACAGCGGTGAGGCAGGCCGGGGCCCACCCCGCGACGCCGGTCGCGATAGAGGAGGCGAGTCTCGCGGTCTTGTTGGAAGCCTTGGTGAAGGCGCCCGCTGCACTGGCGAGCTTGGTCTAGACACCGGGCGGGGGCTATTCGTGTAGGTGGTATCGACAGGCACCTGTCTCGTTTTGCGCGTACCGCTATTCAGAGAAGAGGATGAAGAACGCGGCGACTGAGCATATGGATTGTCCCTTGACTCAGCCGACGAATCACCCTTACGTATTGGTAGGGGAGGACGCTGGTCAGAGTCGCGCCGGGTCGATGCAGGCCGTTCGTGGGTGTCACGCAGATTTGTCCTAAGATCCTCCTTTTGGAGATCGCTCTTCACGAAGCTGTAGCGGGCTGGCTTTCGCTCGGTTCGGAGATGGTGGCTGCTGTCCGTCTCGGAGTCTGAGTCGAAAACATACTCTTTCTTGGATGGCCGCGACGTAGTGTAAGAGTTGTGGCGGCTGTTGCTCGGCGTGGGTCGCGAGTCTCTGGCATTGTAGTCCCTGGGTGAATCTCTGTTGTCGCGATTCGGGTCTGATCTCGGGATGCTGGTGCTGTTGTTATTGGAAGGGGTCATGGGCTCCGGGGAACGCAGATAATCGGCTGGTGTGGGCGCAATCGTCTCCTTCTGCGGTTTCGAGTACCCATATGGCGTCCTCTCCCGCTCAATTACGACGGGCGGGTCGGCGACGTGGGTGTTGATGTGCGGCATGTGCCCACGGTCTGCGACGCTCTTCCGCCGACGCTCTCGGTGCCTTCTGGACCTCGCAGCGGCGTCATCGTCGGTGCTGGATTCAGACACGAGCACGAAGCGGCGGTCATTGTCGTGTACAGATTTGGGCTGCTCAATCTCGTCTAGGAGACTCTCCTGGTCGACGGTGCCCCGCGTGTTGGCGGGCGGCTCACCCTCGTCCTGGCCTGACGAGCCCGCCTTGGACGTGGCCTCTTTGGCCAGCGCCTCCTTCTCGTCCTCGACGCAGGGCGAGGGTGGCCATGTTGGTTTGCGGGTGTGACTTCTGTACGATTGCGGCGCTGGTCGCCTGGGTGGGGAAGTGCGGGGTTCGTAGGCGCTGTGAGAGGTGTAGGACGAGGCGTACGGGTTGCTGTGTCGCATGTCTGCTAATTCCTCGCGGGCCTCAGCTAAAGAACGTTCGTGCCTCGAGTAGGCATAGGCGTCTGTATCGCGGACTGTATAGTGAGAATCATGGCGTGGGCGCTGGTAATACTGGCTGTCGGATCTGTAAGACATGTAGAGGTGGTCAGACGGCCCAGATGAGACAAGTGAGAGTCGTGCGCATTCAGCTTTGGCTTCTGACTAGGGCGGATTCAAGAGTAATAGGATGGACGTCGAGAAGACCAGAGCTTTACATAGCGCGCCAACAAGCGACATGTTGCATGTACGTCTGGACATGCTGGTGACGCATGACGCTTGGAACCCGCTGTGAATTGCGGGTCTCAGCTTCCTCCACCCATGGACCCTGATTTGCTCGCGTCCTGGCCTAGACAGGCTATGGCAACGCTCTGCTCGGCGCCCACCGCCAGTTCGCCCATCATCGGCTCGAGGGATAGCCCTGGGCGGCGTCGAAGGCTCTGGATGTGTCGTGGCCAACACCAACTAGCGGCTCGTCCCTTTTGCCTCTGGCATTGACATTATCAACCATGGCCTCACGATACGAAGAACAGCTTGGGCAGGAATAGCAACATTTGCCATCCTATAACGTTATCACCATCTCAGTAGCGCTTGACCCACTGCGACCGGAATATTGGCTAGCTCTCTGCACCGTCCTCGCCATATTCTACTCATCAAGGACGTGACGCCATCAAGCTTGTATAGTCTCGTCCCTCCTAGGATACATGTACCAAAATGCACCAACAGCCGCGTCACATCGTGCTGCTGACAACACCTTTGCAACTCTAACCCATCAGGCAGCAACTCGCTCCCAACTCTGCGCTATCCTCCGAAGTTCCGGAAAAGCGGTAAACCAATCGAGCACCGCCACAACCACCTGCAGCCTAAATAAGCAGCCAAAGACGTCCAGCGCATGCCTAACCATGCAACACTGCTGCATCACCCACAGTCCACAGCACCTTGATCAACCACGTCTTCATCTTCCACAATCCCCATTCCACCTTGACAAGCTCGATATCGTATAGCGAACTCGCAGTGTAACTTGTGTCCTCCTGCTTCAACGCATCTTCCTCCCTTACGTGATAGGAAATAGCGTGCGCTGTGATCTGTGCTGTATCCGCGTCTTCGCTCTTGAGCTCAACCCGTATGTTGCTAACGGTATGTGTGGTGACAATGGCAAAGACGCGGTCCATCATGGCGTCGATGGCAGCCCATCCGTTGAGTGGGATGGATCCGGCAATCACCACCATATCTTCGCCTTTTAGACATGCTGATTCAAAAAGAGGCCGATTGTTGCTGTCCATGCCGAGCACGCACCGTTGTAGTGCATCTGCGACAGCCTCCCGGGCTGAGAGTCCTGTTAAAAATGTTGTCGGAGCCATTATCGCGGTAGGGGGTGCCATATTGAGGGTGTGATTCGAGTCAAATAGAAAGACAGCTGTTGCAATGATGTAGTACTCGTATTTTGTACATACTGCCACGCCTTATACGTCAATTCCACACCGGAAATGAGCATATGTGAAGACATCCCGAAGCCCGGTTTTTCAAAAACCATCGGACTTCGGAAACGGCCTTGAATTATCACGGTGAATCAGCACACACGTTATACTAATGGTATCATATTCTTGCTATTGCACATCTACGCGCCTACCAAGTCTTTCTTTACTCCGTCATTTGCTCGTTCCAGATCATACATCTCTAGGATGGTGAACAACCTGCCAATCCCTTTTTATTCTTCAGTATTCTGACGCCCGCCGAGTCGTGGGTCGAGCATATCAAAAACGTAGTCTGATAATTTCAAGAAGCTCTCACTCAGCCCAGAGTATCGCTGTAGCAACTAACGATCACGTTCCTTGAGTTCCTCTAGAACAGCCTTGAGGCCAGTTTGGTGCTCCTTCTGGATCTGATCCCAGTAATGCGCCCAAGCACGAGACTGTGGATCATCCCCCGTAATCAGTCCAACCTCTGTGCCCATTTGCTTGTTAAGCTGCGCGGAAATCTTGAGTACACCCTTAGCGCCCTCGTGAATCTTCTCGATCTCTTGCTTGACCGCGTTTTCTTTGGGCTTGACGGCGAGTACTGAGCGGAAGTTATGGGCGAGAGCCTCTAGGCGTGCATGTACCTGCTCTGGTGCGATCACCATGAGTTTGGTGAGCATGAGGTTGCAGAGGATACGGATATCGTGCTCATCACTGATACCAGCAACCACCCGATCAAAGAAGTCGGATACCTCAATGGCTGACAGTCGGACAAACGCCTTCTCAAGAAGAGCGTATAGAGTTTCATACGCACTCTTGCGGATCTCCAGACCATCATCAACCTTGTGTTTGAAAGGACCCATCTGGACCTCCCGAATAAGCTCCGGCTTGACAACGGTTTCCTTCATGGCCAACGGGAGCAGTTGGTCAAGCGCTGGTAGAATGATGTCGGGCTTGTTGTGCATGGCCGAGTTGAATGTCATCAGAGCGAGACGTCGGTTCTCAAGATCAGGTTCGTTGAGCATCTGGACGAGCATAGGAACCACAATGGGCTTGAGATACTCGTCGTATGCTTCGTCGGTATCTGTAAAGGTATATCTTATAGCAGAGATGACCATGGCGCGTACGCTTCCCTTGCGGTCGCTTAAGAATGCCTATGGTTGTTAGTTTGCGACTGTGCTTATATAGCGGACTACTCACCTGGAGCTGTGGAAGGTACGTCTTTGGGTCGATAATGGTAAGTCTACCGATGCACTCTGCGCCTATTGCCTTGTTGTCCTCGAGCTGGGATGCAACAACAAGATTTTGCCACAGTGTCGATGCGTACGGTATAATCTCCGATTCGGTGTCATCGTGTTGAAGTATCTCCTTAATCGAGTGTAGGAAGAGGTATTGTGGAGCAGATGGCTGACCCATAGTGGATAGAATGACCGGAAGATACTTGCTAACACTTCCAGCACCGGCTCGTCCAAGTGCCACAGCAGCTGCAAGTGGCACATTTTCCGACCGTACAGTAAAGTACTTGATGAATAGCTTGGGATCAAGACTTGACTGCGGCCCTAATCGTAATGCGGACTCTCCAAGTACGACTAATGCGAGGCATTGGCGCTTGTCGTCCTGTGCCGTCTCGAGCTCGGTGATGAACTGCTCGAGCTTGACGCCGACACTATCACCGCCATAGACAAGAAGGTTACCAATGACTTTGCCCACAACCTCTGCATGTCCAGATACGCCAACTCGTTGTAGAAGAGCCTGCATCAATGCTTGTCCAGCATGCTGCTCACCGATTGTGCGAACGAGGTTCAGCAGCGCGTCCAGGGGAGTACCACTAATCGAACCTTGAGCAACTTGACACAACGCAGCGTTAAGATTCGGCGTCATGATAGCTTGCGCATCGTCCTTGACAAAGGTGGCAAGGATGACGAGTGCCGGACCTAGGAGGTGGAGATCGCTGACATTGAGCAGTGGTAACAACATCTCTACAACTTGTGCCTTGGTCTCACTATCGAGATGGATGCGGGACTGCGGGTTCAGTGCGAGAGTTCGAAGAGCGCTTAAGCTGGCACCACGTAATGCACGACTGGCCTTGCGCAGTTGTGCACCAAGCTCCAGTGCCACATCGCGAACCCACTTAGCAGACAGCTCATCCTTTGCCTTGGTATGCGCGGCAATTGAGTCGATAGCACGCACTGAGGCAAGACGGGTAAGCTCATTCTTGAGACGGTCTTCCAGAAGCTGAAGCCCAGCTGTTCGCTTGGTTGAGGAAAGAAGACCTTGTGAACCAGAGCTCCTGCCGAGCAACACGCCAAGGACATGGATGGCACTTCGTCGTACTTCTACATCGGCATCGTTCGCGGCTATCCGCACTACTAGTGCATCATAGAGTGACTCGACATGTTGCTGATTCTCACTTCCTGACGCGGCGGATCGAGGTGGTGTCAGGGCCTTGACAACCTGTTCAGTCGCAGCAAGAGCCTCGATAGACAACTTACTGTACCTGTGCTTGATTCCCCGAAGAAGCGCATCGATGATAGGCCCGAGATACGGCTGTATGGATTTGGAAGAGTGGGTATCGGCGATGGCGCCTATCAGCTGTAGAGCCTGGGTGCGCAAGCTGTTGGCTGTGGCAGAAGCGCTGCTTGTTAGTCCCCCAGCGATTCTTGCAGCTTCTATAACTGGGGTGATGAGCTGGCTGAGATAGCCGTCAAGACCACCCCGCTGGGTAATTACAATGTCCTTGATCAGGGATATTGATGCTTGTTTAGTAGTGGGTGGACATGAGGTTTGCTTAAGTAGCTGTGCGATGCCCTTGACAATTTCGGGACTGAGCTTGGCCAAGCTAGCACGCGGGCCTACAGGAGGCGTGCCCGCTCGTGCAGGTGAAGCGTAGCCCATGGACACAGAAGAGCCGGCCTGAAGATCGAACATACTCGCATCGCTCCCACCGCGGCGTCGCTTTTTACTTGGCGGCGGTGGCATCATACTGCTTTGCTGTGTCTCATCTGAAAACTTGACAGGGGAGGGACCATCGCCTGACTTCTTGATCAGGTTGGACAACGTCGACAGAATCTCCAAGCGGACGTTTTCTTCTCGCTCCTTGAATCGCGAGATGAGTGCTGGTGCGACGCTATTGTAAAGAGTGCCGTCTTCCAGCAGATCGCCATTGCTCCGCGTTGAGATCAACGTGTACAGAACCTTGGCTGCACATCTACGCACTTTCCAGCTTGCATCCTCGTCATCATCATAGCCTGCTTCTTCTTCGAAATCCTCGCCTTCGAGCGCGTCCTCCTCGTCGCTTGGCATATCGTCGTCGGCATCTTCATCATCATCTTCTGCGAGGTTAGGATCGTACTTGAGGTAACGCGTCGCGGCATCGATAGTCTCCTTTGTGTACAAGCGCATGTCCTGAGAGCAAGAGGCGAGGAAACTGTCCAGTGCAATGAGAGCGGCCTCGAGCACTTCGTCAACCTCAGGATCACGCTCTGCCTCGTCATCCGATACGTCCATTTCTTCGTCTTGCTCCTCTGTGCTCAATGCGCTCATGACAAAAGGGGCCAAGGTCTTGAGGTAAGGGCCAAACTTGCGGGGAATCGACCGAGCCATGGACCCTAGAATCGTGATGTAGAGCTTTCGCTTGCTGCGGGTGAGATGGACATCCCGCAGGAGTTCGATCATCTTTGAGAGAAAACTGCTCAGCAGCTGATCGGAAAAGTATCCAGCCAGTGTAGAGATGGCCGTGACCGACTTCTTCTTCATCATGGAGCTCGCGCGGTTGTTTTCAAGGATTGCGAATGTGATTTGCTGCAACGCCTGGATCTCGACGTCCTGTAGCATAGATCCAAAGCACCGTGCGACCTCGGTCAGCACGTCGATGGCGTTGCTATCTGTACCCTTGTCCAAATCGTCCTGCAGCATGCCCTTGGGGGGCTGGCTGAGGCCATGTTGTGCTGGAGGGATGACATTGTATCCGATCAGGCGCGGAATCAATACTCTGCTAATGGCGCTATAGGCGTCGGTGACAGATTTTGTACGCGCAGCACCGGCGACAGGACGCGGGAGGGAGACGACGACTTCGCGGAGGGCGAGGGCAGGTATTGACTGATCGACTGTATTGCCTGTGGGGAGCGTAGAGAGCTTGTCGATCATGACAGGCAGCGTCTTATCGCTGATCTTGTTCACAAACGGCCCAAGGCACTTGACGGCTTGGTTCTGCACCTCGCCGTTGGTATCGACGAGTGTGGTGAGCAGACCATCGACTGTGCGCGCCGCAACAACATCGTCGTGGAGGAGGAGGCCCGAGTGAGCGACGACGAGGATGTCGTGCAGGTCACTCAGGGCCATGAAGCGGAAATCGGGGTCATCATCCGTGAAGCGCGGCAGCAGCTGGGCGACATTGTGCGCCGTCGGGTTGGGGGGAACCGACGAGGGCGCCATGGTGGTGAGGGTATGGGGTGCCTATGACTATGCCTATTGTTGGTACGGGGTTGAGTATAGCTTGTCTAAGTGTGGCGGGGTACCTATGGCGGGGTTGACGTGGTGCGCTCAATCTTGTGGTGCAGGTGGAGAGAGGGAGAGTAAGAGAGGAGAGGGTTGAGCGATGTTTGTTACAGGTAGCGAGAGTAGGCACCGCTGGCCACTTGGAGTTGGGGACTCAAGTGTTATCGAGTGAAATGGCAATTGTTGCCTGCACGCGCTGCTTGCCAGAGCTCCCACCTGCGCACGGTCTTTGTATTTGCAAACATCTGGAGCTCTATAGGAGTCGAGTGCACAAGCAGCAGTTTCCTGGGTTTGAGAAAGTGACATGTGCAGATAAATCCACTTCTAACCCTTTCTGACTCCTATGCTGGCGACGAGGTCAGCTTGGATAAGTAACGAATGCATATGGTGCTCGTATGGCACGTGATGGCGCCGGAGCCTTCTAGCGACCTGTTCCGGTGACGTACCAATATTCGCAGACCTGACGTGATCTCTTTTGGAGTCCTGTACGCGCATCACAACGATCAATTCGCCATCAATTGCCCGTCGCCAGCTTCAATTGGACTTGTTACAGCTTCAAAATGTCTTTTCTGAGGTCCTCTGCGCTCCGCGCCTCCGCATTCGCACGAGCTGCGCGCCCGACGAGGTATATCCGCACCGCCGAGCTTCAGCCGTGGCAACGAGCTGTTCAGCGCAGAACCTATGCCACCGCACCCGGCTCGGACGGTAAGCCTCTAAGTAGTGACATCCCATGGTACGTGGATACGCATTTCCTACAGTGCAGGGCCTTTGTGAAATCTACTGCGCCAGATATTGTACATTTCAAATCTGCAGATCCGTAGATCTTGAGAGCGAAAGACGCTGGATGGGCGTGCTTTTACTATTTGCTTATATAGCATGTGTTGATGTCTTTTCTCTAGGATTGCCACAGCTGTCGCTGGTACCGTCGTTGGCCTCTACGTGGCAGTAACCCAAGATACCGACCACGGTGCCGAACACCATCCCCTTGGTGAACCCCATGGCGAAGGAGATGCCAAGAAGCCTGGTACTGAGACACTTGTAGAGTACGAGAAGGAGGAGAACAAGCCCGACGATGAGGAGGACAGCAAGGACGACTCCGACTCCTCCAAGGATGAGTCCGAGGACAAATCCAAGAAGGAGCCTACAAGTGACAAGCAAGATCCCAACAAGGCCACCAAGGAGAACAGCGAGGAGAAGGACACGCAGTCTCCCGACCAATCTGACAAGGTTAGTAAACACAAGCCCATGTTTCGATTACGCATGCTAACCCTAGCAGCCCGACCCTCGTAAGGAACAGACCAAGAGCTTCAACGAGACGTCTGGCAAGCAAAAGGGTCTCTCCAACGACAACACCGAACACTCGTCGCAAATCTCCAAGCAACCCGAGAAGAGTAAGAAGGGAGAGGGTGTCGCGGAAACTGCTAAGCTGCAGGGAACCGTCTCGACTGACCGTCCACAACCTGAGAACAAGGAGGAACGTGGAAAAGCTCAAATGAACAAGGACGAGTAAAGTGAAACGTCGTGCTAACACATAACTTCGACTCCTATAATGCCCTCGCAGCGACCGCCCTATTCGCTGTCCTTGTATAATGTTTGGAATTCCATGGGTCACGTCATCGTCAATAGTCTCTGACAAGACTTAGCTGGTTTGGAACCAGGAACTTGAAAGATACATGCTCTATTCTAGAATCTATCCGACCACTTCGTGACTTGCTGTGATGAGTTAAGTCGAACTATGAACCAAATGATGATCCCAGTGTATCGGTCTAGGCCTTGGCCGATCGTGGTGAACATTCCGCATTATCCGTACCGCTAAGGCTGTGCTGGATGGCGCTCGAGATCCACTTTGCCAGTGAGGACCGAAGTCTCACCTTTGCAAGAAAGTGTCTCCATTAAAAGGACCCGACAACGGTCTCCGAACGAGAGCAGTAGAGGATGGTGCGCGCTGATTGGCCGACCCAAGTGGAGCCGGACCACGTTAAGCGCCCGCCAACTCGCTCCCCAACGCTGTCACACCTCACCTCCCATCTCGATTGGCCAAGTCTGCGCCTCAACTGCACGTCTAAAAAGAGGGCGGGAGCTCTGCGAATCTGCGTCCATGATGCCGCTCGCCTACGACATGAGGCAGGGCCATGGTCCAACCGGAACGAAAGCTGGCTCTAATGCAGGACTGACTCTGCCTTTCTCGGGCCTTGTACCTGTGCATATACGGACGTGATGTGCAGTCCTTCGACCTGATATCAGGCCTCCTAGCCCCCAGCTTGATAGTCTCTTGTATTCCAATTCACCTTCAAACTGCTTATATCCGACTGTGCCGCTGGCTCCTCCCGCTGGCTGCTCCCGCTGACTCTGCACCTAAAGTCAACCTTGTAGAACTTTCGATTTAACAACCGACTTGTTTGCCCATAAGAACCCAGAAGAATAAAAAGATAGTAGTTTGAACCCCCTCGCGCATCATGGACCCAAGACAGTATGGCCAGAACCACCAACTTCAGCCTCAAAATGGATCGCGACAGCACGATAGATTCTCATGGCAGCAACCTCTTGAGGACGATGCTCCAGCCTACCAGCAACCGCAAGCACAACCACAACAACAGACTCCACAATACGCGGCGCAGCAATATCAGCAGTCACATCAGCAATATCCACAGCCTCAGCAACGGCAACCTCAGGTCACTACAGATGCATCAAGACACTTCTCCTATGCGCAAACACCATCCGAGATGCGAGCATTCGTATACACATCCTCACCAAACGATCCACCCATGCCACAATCTATACCTATATCGCTTCCGACGTCGCCAGTGGGGGATACGCCAATCGATCCCCGCCCCCAATCGATGATGTTTTCGCAACATCCGATAAACCCGACCCAATCCGAGACAGCTTACGTGCAGCCTCACGCTGAGGACGTTAAACCTCCCATCTCGCCAGTCTCGCCCCAACACCCCGCTCAAACGCAGTACTTTTCTTCAGCCTCACCGATCCCTCAGCCGCAACCTGTTCAACACGTTGATACACACCAGAGCAGGCATATGCGACAAATGAGCAACCTTTCCCCAATCAACACAAATCTACGAGCATACCCCATGCCTACTATTCCTCCAACCCCACCATCCGGGACACATCAGACCTCGCCGTTACCGCATAAGACGCCTATAACGCCCATGTCCGCCAATTCAATGCAGAAAGGGCAACCACGAGAGAACGCAACATCTCCTTCGCATCGCACGTCCCCGTACCCAAGCGAGCCCTACTCACCGCACGGCTTCTCTTCGAACCAAACCGGCAACTTCCATGCCGTCTTCTCTCCCGACGCCGCACATGGCCCCAACGGCTTAGACTTTGCCGCACACCAGCCAGGACAGATAACGCACCCAAACATGGAATCCGAGAAGTCGCACGAATGGAAGAACAGTCTTTGTGCATGCAGTCCCGAGTTCTCAACTTGCCTGACTGGTCTTTTCTGCCCTTGTATCCTCTACGGCCGTACATCGTACCGCCTTTCGCAGAAATCCGCAAAGAAGGATCCCACGGATATGCTTGGTTACAGCTCCACCAATGGACACTGCGCTGTCATGGGCCTTTCTTGCGGTCTGTGGTGGTTGTTTCCCATGCTCCAGCGCACGCGTATCCGACGGGCCTACAAGCTTGAAGGCAGCTTCGGTGACGATTTGCTCAAAGGGTGCTGTTGCTGCTGCTGTGTAACCGTCCAAAACGAGAGGGAGGTCAAGACGAGGGAGGAAGCTAGTAGACGGTGGGCTGGACCGGCGAGTACAGATGTGTATACGAGGTCGGGGGGGATGGTGTATAAACCACAACAGTGATTTTCCTTTTGTGTACATGTATAAGCTGCATTCCAGGACTCTCTTTTATGATACCCACAGTCCTTCTTCACTTTGTAGCATAGTTGGTAGCGTTGAATATAGGCCAAGATTAAATCATTATACAGAAGATATTAAGCGGGGTTTACATTGTAGTGCAGTGAGGTAGATCTAATAAGAAGCCAACTCGATGAGCCTCCCTTACTCCAAAATTCATGCCGAGCTGCTTACGGTTCCCAAGTACTAGTCCAGGTCCCCATGGCCAACCAGCGCACCATGGAGCGTTCAGTCTCTGGTCAAATCGATACAATCAACGTCCTTGGATGTCCAGTCAACCGGTACACGAGGCCTTGCTAGGGTAAAGCTCGACTTGTGTGGTGTGCGTACAGGCGTATGTTGTGTGGTATGCATACCAACTCTGGGCGATATGATCACAGAGGACCCCGGCATGGTAGCCAAGAAAGGCGTGCTCTTTGGTCCTAGAGGTGTATGGAGATTTCTGTTGAAGTCTTGCCTGCTTCTTCGTATAGCTTCTTGCAATTCCTCGTCTTCATCGTCGGACAAGGAAATTAGCATGTTGGCAAGCGTACCCGGTGTTTGCGGAGTCATGGGTGTAGTCGGAAACCGAGGAGATATTGTTGAGTGTGAAGTCTGCGCGGAACTCGATCCAGTTGCATTGTCAGGCTTACGAGGTCGACCTCTCTTCTTCGCGGGTGTTTCTGTTTGTCCAGAATCGCCCTGTTGCTTCCGCTTTGCCTGCTGTTTCTTGGCTGCGGCACTCGGCGGCTCCAGCACATCCGGAGGTAATACGTCTTGCAGCAAAAAAGTCGGGATCTCGCACGTAACTCTTTGATCTTCGTTGAAGCTAGTGTCGGTTTTCCAAGGTCTCGTGCTTTCGTAACGCTCAAAGTCTTGCCTGTTCAGGATGCTAAGGCCAAGTGGCGAGAATGTCAGTTTGCGCATGAGGATAGGCTGTGGACAGTCTTCTGTCTTTTTAGTTCTTGTTCTGACGAGCTCTATACCGTGTGGCACCTCGTGTGGAAGCGATCTGTCTCGTTCTGCGAGAAATCGAGATAGAAGTACGGGTCCAATATGGTTGTAGTACTTTTTGCTCCAGAAATTGAAGTGCTTGCAAGCTGTATGCAAGAGTTCTAGCTCTTTGGGTGATCAATTGTAATATGACTTTGACAATGCGTCCTCCCTCAGGTATTCCTCGGAGTGCGTCTTTGGGTCGTTGTACCGCTGCAGAATATCAAATTTCGGCCAAGTCCCAGGAACAACTATGCTGATAGATTTACGTTCGAGGACTTTGCGCAGCACGTTTTCTCTCCAGACATCGCAATCCTGTTGGCTTTTACTCGAGCACAGGCTGCGACCTAGACCCGCCTGAATTAGCTCGAATGCGGTGTCTCTCCCACAACGCGGGAGGCCTTCTTGATCGAAATCAGCCCCTACAAGCATAGCAAACAGAACACAACCGTCCTTCTTGAGCTGAAACTTTCCATTTTTCATCTTCAAGTTTTCCGCTCGAACGACTCGTACTCTCGTATGGTCCTTCTTGGTGTCACCAATGTGGCGACTATTGTTTCCTGGTTCTCTAGCCGTGCGAAGCTTGCGGATCCAAAACGTGCAGCCAAACATTAAGCAATCCGAATCTTGTAACCACACTGCATCGACCAGCCCCAAGGTCTGTAACTTGCAGCAATCTGCCTCGGCTTCTCCGGGAGCATCGATATGAGGCACACCGAGCCCTGTCAGAGCCTCTTTGATGATATTACAGGTTTCAGCTTTCATGCTTCGTCCTTTAGAACTCTTTTTGAACTTATCCTCCGGTCCATCAAAGACAAAGACGGGTCGAATGTTCATCGTTAAAAGTTTGCATATTCGAAAAAAGATGGCCTTTTCCACGGGGTGCGCGGCGGGCTCCACTACAGGTTCATGATTGTTAATGACGGTCAAGCGCCACATAATCAAACGACTTACACTCTTTAATGTATGCTTCCTGCTCCGGACTGACATTGTGATAATGCCAGTCAGCTGCATCGATAGCAATCTTGAACGGTCTGCCATGCTACTGGTGGCAGTCTTGTGCAAGCTTTGCGAGAGGAATGATTTCTTCGCATTTTTCAACCACTTCCCTCAATCTAAACTTGTAAGCTTGTTTCTCAAAGCGCGATCACAACGTTCACCCATCCGGGGATACCCATGACGATGAAAGTGTGGGTCCCTGCGCGGGACGAGATTTAGCGCCGTGCACGCGTCTCGCGCGTAGATATCGATAACGACAGCCGCCAGCTGTATGAGCTTGATGATGATCCAGAATGGGAAACGGGTTCGCGTAAAGGAAGAATAAGAAATTAGACCAAGAGTGAGCAGTTGAAGTAGGTGGTTCGTAAAACACGGTACGACTACGCGTTCTTGCCCGAAACGCGACATCATGTGCACTAGTGTCTTGGCAGTCATCTTCACCTCTCCCTCCCACTCCTATCCTCTTGTGCTTGACGTATGTCGTGTGTAGAACAGGGCCCATAGCCCACATCTGCCGCGTGCATTAACAGCATTGAGCCCAGCGTGCTGGACAATTGGAGATGAAGTGTTGGAAGGTGGGTCACATGAAGATGGAATAGGTCAAATGTTAGTAGAACTTGCGCGTGTTGGATTGTGACATACGTTCAATCATGTGCTAAATATGCTGTGGATCAGTTGATGGAAATTGAAGCTCCTACAGTGAGCATCATTCTTCATCGATCAACCTACGATGAGCTGGCGGACTTTGCCTTTAGCTCCTCCAGTTGCTTCTTCGCAGCCCATTGCTTCTCTACGTTGATCTTTTCCAGGATCTTGTCTGCACCCTTCTCGATCAATATCTTAGCCACCTCACGTCCCATCTCTTCCGCTTCTTCTGCATTGCGGACTTTCCGTGTTGCCTCGTATTCAACCGATTCTTTGCCATCGACACTTACAACCATCGCCCTCATTACTAGCTCCTGGTCATCAACGTCAGGCTCATCCTCTTCAACAGCATTGCCATGCTTGTCGTAATCTTTTGCTGGCTGTGGACCTACAGAGAGACCCTTGCCACCCTTCCAAGATGTCTCAACTCCAATGGGTACACTGCAGCCTCCTTCGAGAGTCCTTAGTAGTGCCCGTTCTGCTGAACATGCTCTTGTGGTCCTCTCGCATCGGATCTTGCTCATGAGCTCCTTCATGGCCTCATCATTCTTCCTGATTTCAATACCCAGCGCACCCTGGCCTACAGCATGAAGCATTCCTCCGCTGGTGCTACTCAGATATTGTGTGATCCGGTTGTCGAGCCCCATGCGCTTCAATCCAGCAGCTGCCAGTATGATAGCCGAATATGGTGAATCTTCGGCATCAAGCTTGGCCAGCCTTGTCCCCACGTTGCCTCTCAAGTCGGCAAACTTCAGGTGTGGATACAATTTTCTCAGCGTAGCGGCCCGGCGTACAGATGACGTGCCAATGGTAGCGCCTTGGGGCAATGTGGCCAATGTAGTTTCTTTGGGAAGACGAGGGGACACGAGGAGGGCATCGCGGGGGTCTTCGCGCTCGAGTATGGCACCAAGTTCGAGGTGATCCGGCAATTGAGTAGGCATGTCTGCAGTTATTAGTTATATCTCAGGGCTGTCTGAAAAGGCTGCATAATCCTACCCTTCAAGCAATGCACAATAATGTCCAGATCCCCAGATTCGAGCATGCTCTCCAATTCGCCCGTCCATAAACTCTTCGCATTTTCGCCCTGGCTCAATTGCTGAAGGGGAGTAATCTTGTCCCTGTCCCCTTGCACTATGACGGGACATATGTTGTATGTCCGTTCGGGATATGCATCTTTTAGGCTTCTCTCCACGGCTCGAGCCTGTATCTGTGCGAGTACCGAGTTGCGCGTGCCGATGTTGACGGGAGCGAATTGCGTGCTCGCCGATGTGTTGAGTCCTGCTGGATTCGGATGGGACGGCCCCTGGAGATCGGCAGCAGTAGTAGATGCCATGATGAAGGTTTTTTTTTGAGCGTGAAGTGAGTATTGGTGTTGATGGCGACTGGGAAAAGTCGTGGAGAACTGGCGGGGTGGTGGGGCACAACGTCACAATTGCCGCGGTCTGCACTAGTCAGGTACATGGCAGACAGCTGTCACACCTGGAGGTCATAAAATACTTGACAGTGTAAGTACACTAATAGACATGTCTGGCGACTGCAGTGTCCTTTATACATCGGTATGTCAAGTATTTTATGACACCAGGGTGATCAGTAACGTCACCCATACATCACGTAGTTAGTCACTATTCAAGCCTCTTGAAAGTTTAGAATTTGGCTACATTCCATGATATTTACAGGGATCCGGTAAGCCCTCCTCTGTCAACAAAGGTGTCTATTTCTTGTCTCCGGTGTTGTGGATCGCATTGGGAAGCGCTTGTTTGGGTCAGCACAGTACTGTGTTAGGATATCCAGGCCTTTTCACCTCGCTCAACCGACTCCGGGACAATCTCCTGCACCTTCTTGGGCACAACTGAGTCTTCGCCGTCGTTGAGAGCATGAGTCTTGCTGGTAGACTGGCTGTTGGGGTTACTGCCAGTGGGGTGAATCTATAGCGTTATCAGCATATGCAAGCTTCAATTGCGAAGATATTCGACTGACGGATTCTGGGAGGCCCTCCTCGAGACCCTTGGGTGCAGCTTCTTGGACCTTGTTGGGCACTGCGCTCTGTCCAGTGGCGTGGGAAGCGCCCTGTCCGTGCTCGTTGGTGGAAGACATTCTGATTGAGGTTTGTTTGAAGATGGGTGATGATCTGATGAATGGGCGCGAGATGGTACGGAGTTGAGATGTCAAGGGCATGTTGAATGGTATTTGAATGATTTGAAGCGGGAATTGGAGACTGGTACTTTATGTATTCCTTGCTAACAGTAGGACGCCTTGCGTACTACTTCTGGGTCACACGTCCACGAAGCGCGTCATTGATGTGTCTGGGTGTCTATCTTGAGATCGCTAGCACATACATGCAGAAGTAAGATTGTTTCCGTGGAGGTCCAAGTGTAGCTTGTGTAAGGGTCATCGTGAAATGTTCTATGCCAAGCAAGGTCCGCGGGAAGCCTGTGGGAATGCGTAGGGGGTTAGGTGACGTTGGGATGACTAGATACGCTTGCATGACGATCCGGGACACCGATATTAACAGTTTACAAACGCCGACTTTCAAGATCCGAGGAGCTATACGAACAAGTGTGGCGTACAGCACCGGCTTCGATCGTGGTCGGAGTCCGGAAGCACCGATGATGGTACATCCGCCACCTTCGCATTCTCGTATTCTCCACGCGCCACTAGCGACATTATGATCCGTACAACCTGGCGCAATGCTGACATTGCGTTGTTTCATAGTTCCTTGAGGTGTGTTGTAATGTTAATATGACGCACGACTACGTGCAGCTTTCAATCTGTGAGCGAGCTTCTCAAGATTCAAGCGATGAAGACCATGGGCGGCTCCAATCCATTCCCAAAAATATTTCCTGATAAGATACGTTACGGAAAACAACTCAGAAAAGAGCGAATTTGTGATGGAGACATCTACGCGCGAGTGTGTTGCTTTTCTCTACCCGTAGCGCACCTTGAAGCCTTCGTGGATCATGATCAAAGCCTACAAAGGCCCGAGTGGGCGTAAAAGCAAATACAAACGACACACAGCAATAAAGTCTCTCCGGCATTGTACACTATGAACATGATCAGAGTTTTGCCTTCATCCAGCTTTCAACGACCTCGTGACTGCCTGTCCCAGAATCCCCTTTGTAGCCCAATATCCTCTCTACAACCATCTCCTCATGACATGCCTTCGGGGTAATCACGGTATTGACCAAGCCACCCTTGCTTCCAAAACCCTTGGTGAATTTTCTGGAGAAGGCTTCAATGCCGTCCTTCAGCACTTCATTGTCGCCAGCCCATATGAGGACTTCTCCGACAATGTCCGCAACAGGCTCCCACCACTCTGGCGCTGCTAGGACAGGTTCGTTGTAAAAGTCGCCAACAAAGGGGTCAGATGAGCCGAGAAAGGCCGTGGCCCAACGAGAGAGACAACGCGCATCGAACATGTCGCGTTCAGCGTTCGTGATGAACGCTGGCGTGTTAGTTTGAGTCAGAGAGCACCATGGCGAGATGAGAAGAGCTGCATGGATCTTGGAAGGAAGTGAAAGAGGTGCAATTTCAGGATGTGGGTGCGCAATGTGTGAGAGAAGACCCAGAATGAGGTTTCCCCCAGCAGAGTCGCCGCCCAGGATGAGATCGGAGGGATTGCGGCCTTCGGTTTCGATGAGGTATCGCATCAGCTCGACAGCTTGCTTTAGTTGTGTAGGGTATTTGGCCTCTGGCGCTAGGTCGTACATGAGGAGAAGCGCAGAGACATCGGGGCCCAGTGACTTTTGAAGATCGTCGAGCCAAACCACGAGGCCGGCTGTACAGGGCATAACATATCCACCGCCTACATGATATTAGTGGAAGACATTCCTGTAGTCGGTATGTCCTACCATGGAAGTAAACCAATACTTTCTTAGCTCTAGGATTGCCTAGCCAATGCGCCTGTGTACCGCTCGGCAGCGTTACGCTTTCTGGAGCAAACTTATGGTCCTCGGCATACTTGATGTAGATGGGTGTAGAGGATGGTCCACTCATGTAACGATCCTGGGCGACATTGAGGTTTCCCAGGTTGGTGCGGAAGGCGGCCAATAGTACATCTTTGTAGTACGTGTTGGAGCCATTGGAGCCTTTGAAAGGGGAGGTGAGGGATCGTTGGAGAGCCGAGCCCACTACGAAGCTGTCAGCATGCGGTTTGAATGACGGGTTCAGGGTGTTTACCGGATTTGAGTAGGGCTGAAGCAATGCCTAACTTGCTCACGTTGTGGTCGGCCATGACGCTGATGTTGTGTTTGTGTATACGCGTGCTTGTATGGCGCACGACGTACCAGCTAGTAGTCACATGTCACCCAAGCGGAGCCGCGGATGGCTGATTTTGAGTTTGGCAGTTCGGACAGGAATATCCGAGGGAGCATAAGCATCCATCCGCCCCCGCATTCATCCCCAAAGTCGCCCCCCAGGCCTCGCTCTCATGGACACCACGCCTAATCCGGCCTAGAGCACGGGGCGCGAATCTCGTCGACGCAACCTTCCATGCAGTGCCCAGGCTCATGACTCGGGGCAGGATTTGTTCAAATCCCTCCTGAATCGCATCCCACACCCACCTATGAGCATGGCGTCGCCGGGCGAGGCAGATACTCCCGAAGGGGCCCCGAGGGATGATGGGTCCGCCGATGGCCAGTCTAACAACAAAAAGCGCAGGACAGGCCCCAACTCGCGTGGCGTCGCCAACCTCACGCCCGAACAACTCGCCCGCAAACGCGCAAACGACCGCGAAGCTCAGCGCGCAATCAGGGAGCGCACCAAAAACCAGATCGATCGCCTGAACCAGCGCATACGTGACCTGGAGAGTCAGCAGCCCTACAATGACCTACAGGTGGTGCTGCGCGAGAAGGAAGCCGTCTTGGCCGAGAACGCAGACATCAAGAAGCGACTAGAGAGCGTCCTGAGCATCATCCAGCCCATCGTGCGCGCTACGACCGGACTCAACGGTATGCTCACCCGCCGATGACGACTGAAGGAACATGCCAATGCCGAGCTGAGCTGACTGTATGTAGAATTGGCAGCTGCCGCCGAAAGGTCGCCCCTTCCCCTTCATCCCCCCCACCAGCTACGCGACGCGCCTGTGCAACCTACCGACTCACGTCACTTCCACGTCGTCTCCCACGACTCGCCCCAGAACGGTGTACATTCACCCCAGGTGCCCGAAGGAGCTAGGTCATGGATATACTCCAACGAGGCCCCCACGAGCCATTTGCGCCGATACTCAAACGGAAGCCCCGGCCCACACTTTGAGCAGTCGAGAACGCCCAATATACAGTCGGAGATGCCCTTTGACGAGCGCTTGGGAGTCGACTTCTTGCTCGACAATGGTCAGCCAAGGGCTTTGGATCCAAATCTGCCCCCGCCGCAGCAGCCACGACCAAGTAATGTCAGTAGCAGCCGGCATGCACAGTATGCGCCCGATATGGTGGCCCATCTCACCCTCCCTCGGAACCTCCCCGCTACCTGTCCATTGGACGTCATCTTGCTCGACTTCCTACAGGATCGCCAGAACCGGGCCGCGGAAGGCGCCCCGCTGAAGACTCTGGTTGGGCCCACTTACCCAAACTTCACCTGTCTCGCTTACCCGGACCGTGCTGTTGAGTCGCATCCCCTGTCGAAGCTGTTCACCGACATCCTAAGGACCTTTCCGGACATATGCGGAACTCCGGAGCAAGTCGCTATAGTATTCATCATGTTTCTGGTGATGCGCTGGCAGATTGAGCCTACCCAAGAGAACTACGATCGGCTACCGCACTGGACCACGCCGCGTCCTTCCCAGCTGTTTACTGCTCATCCTCTGTGGATCGACCACCTGCCTTGGCCCCGTCTCCGCGATAAGCTCATTGCTTGCCAACCACCGATATCCTTTGAAAACTTCTTCATTCCATTTACCACCACCATATCGCTGAATTGGCCTTATCCACATCGCGACTGCCTGCTCCCCGCTTCAAAGGTCCGAACAAACACCCTCTCAACAACCTCCTCCCTAGCCGCTTCGTCGCCTTTCTCCACACATGTCAATGCCGGCTCGCCACAGGGGCCCGCAACCCCAGGTGCTAGTACGCCTGGCGGACTCGCATCCATTGGTCCGCTGTCCAAAGAAGATGACCAGTGGCTCATTAACCCGGCATTTGAGTCGCACCTCCGCGACCTGAACAACTGGACCCTCGGACCCAGTTTCAGAGGCCAATTCCCCCAGTTTGCCGATTGCGTCAAGATCAAAGAGGGGAGGTGACGAACGCCTGTAGATGTCTTACAATCATGCCGCGGGAAGGGCGCTGGCATGCGGGATTGGAAACGGTATATCTCTGGTATCTATGTATATTTATGTTGTGTTTGAAATTTGGGGGATCCACATGGAATGGGAGCTTTATTGTGTATAACCATAACATATAGGTATCAATTTTTTCTGTATGTAGCAGCTTCTGGGTAGCGTCACTAGGGGGGGGGGGCGGGGAGGGGAGAGGGAGAGGGCTTGGTTTGAGGCGTGGTACATGGTGATACCAGGGCCGCATTTAACATTGTATTGGTAACTTCACGAGGTACGAGAAAAAAAAATCTAAGCCAACATCATCTTAATTCGTGTGTATTTTTGGGTACTGTGCTTTCAAAACATGCAAAGTTCTCCGATGATTTTCTAAGAGGTCGACCGCCTAACATAGCACACTCATGACCTCTTCTTTTTCTACGTAAAAATGGACTCGGACGGCTACATGACTACTCCTAGGAATGTTTTGAAAAAGGAAGGAAGACCCGGGGGTCCATGACGTTTTTTGCAATCGATTTTAGTACAGTCATTTAATTACTTTCCAGCCCAGCAGGACAAAACATACAATTCTCTCGCGTAATTTTTTGGTGTTTTGGAGGGAAACCCCAGACTACGGGATCTTGAAAATTAGAAGAAGAGTGGAAAGTTTATATAGTATAAGTGCAACTTTTCGAGCACATAGCAATTTTTGGTTATTCGAACCCCGGAGAAGAGACATCGTATCTACATCGATGTCCTTTATTTTCAAGCAGGAAGATTTTTGGAATTAGGAAAGTTTCAATGCAAAAGAGAGCTCGATACATGAGATGGTCGTCGACACGTTTGAGAAAATACGCAGATGCGTTGAAGGAAGTTTGAGTAGAGGGAAGAAAGAGGAGAGGAGGGATCGATGTTGTAATTAGGAAAGCTTCAGTGCAAAAGAGAGCTCGACACATAAAACAGGTCGTGGTTGCTTTTAGAAAACACGCAGATGCTTTGGAGGAAGTTTGAGTAGAGGAAATAAAGAGAGGGGGAGAGGAGAGAGACGATGTTAAATACCCCGGTTTTTAAGCTAGCACTAAAGCGTCATCATACACCTTATTCCCATCGACGCCTGTGGCTCTCCACTCCAACTCAACCTCACAGCTTAGCCGTCTGCCGTACCCTTTGTTTTTACTTGGTGTGCTCACAATATGTTTTCTCACACTACGGACATACGTTCTAAAGCGCGGTCCACTGCCCTGTTTACTGCGTCCCAGGGTGATTCGCGGTCAAACGCCCAGTTTGCAGTTGCAATCACCACAGAAGAGCCGGCCACATGTCTAGGCTCTTTACTGGATGAGTTATGCAGTAGTACGACAATTCTCCGGTTCTTGCCATCGTCCGGATCTGTTAAGAATAGTATTGAGATATCTTCTCCCCGCCTTACGGTACCACCATGTAGCTTTGCGAGTGCGAGGATGCTCTCGGCGAGGCGGATGATTTTTCTCGGTGAGATATAGCGGTCTCTGGAAGCGGCGTCGAGGACTTTTAGGATGTGCAGTTGGATAGGAGATAGGGTAACCGTTGATGGTGGTGGCGACAGAATGGGGGCGTTGGCACTCATGTTACGTAGATTATGCGATGTATTGTTCGCCGTCTATCCGTTTGAATTTAATTGGGAGAGAAATGTGTTCGTCGTTTCTGGGATACGATATGAGTAGGATTTTGATCGTCCTATTGATTGCTGCCAGCTGTTTTGTACTGTGTTTGCAACCCGTGGTTAGTATGATCGCATATTTTAAGATGATTAGCTATTTTCCGCGCTAGCAAACACCCTCATGTTCCATATGATGTTCTCTGATCCAACTCAGATTTACTAAATCACTTCTTCTCTCTTCGAAATCACTCTGTCGGTAGCCCAAAAACAACAAAATGAGCATCGCAGCACAAGAACGCATCAATGCAGCCCTCAATCTCATCCCCCAACACCTGGACCCAATCGAGCGCAAAATCTACGTGACGCTTTGTGCTCACATTGGCCATACAGACGAACGGCTACGTAGAGTACTCAGAATCACTGGTATTGCAATAGACTACTTTCAGTCCAGGCTCGAGCTAACATATGACAGAGAACCTTGCGTTACAAGTCAAGTTTAAAGGGGGTCCAGATCTGGGGACGAAGAACCTGTCCATAGCCTTTGTGAGTGAAGGAAGACAGTTGATCTTCTTGGTCGTCATTCATACTGTTGACCCGGAGAACCCGAAGGAATTTCGCACAATCGAAATTCTCAGAGCAAGGGGGGAAAGAGATGAAGACGCGGGTGTTGTGATTGACGAGGCAGCTGCTAGTAGGAACATGTTGAAGTTTAGTTAAGCGCGGAAGAGGGACGCGTTGCAATGGAGTTCTGACGTAGAGAAATCCGAGGAAATTTGTCAGAGTTGTTTAGATCCCTAAACATGTCCTAGGTGTGCAATCGCCACGACACGACCTGACTGAGCCAGATGCCTTTGAGAGCGTACCGAATTGCCAAAATTGGATCTAAATATCGATATGAAGTATAGCAAACATGCAAACAGTTTGCTGTGGGGAATCAACGGTGAAATGTTTGATCATATTTAAGTGTAGTGAATAGTGAAGATGATGGACAACCCACGTATAAATAACTTAGCAGCCCCCTCCCTCTTCTCACATCAACTCGTGACCACGCGCCCGCCTCTTGAGCACGACATGAAAATCCCGGAACTAAGAGAACCAGCATATTCAACATCAACCACGATGGCATCCCCAGCATCCGAGGCGCTGCATCAGTACATCTTCAGCGCCATTGAACCTATGCGCGGTCCTCTTCCACAGCATGTCGTCAAAGTAATGTCCCGTACGCTTCTCACCCGTCATCATATCCAGAAACAAACAAGCTAAAATCATACTGTACATATAACATCGCCTTCCTCGTCAAGCGTGCCGGCGGTCCCGGGGTCTCCGCCTCCGAAGTCTCTGTCTCCATCATCGACCTTCGCGGTGTTAATAATCGTGAGATCGGCCACCAAGCCACAGTCTCCCTCCATCAACGCCAGGAGCAACTCAGAGTCGTGGTCACTGCGCAGGTGCTGTGGGGTCAATCTGTTATGGTCGGTTTGACCGAGAAGGTGGACAGGATTATCAAGTACATGCTGGAACAAGAGGCCCACATCGGGGATATTGGGTACGATGTTGGCTGCAGCACAATTTAGGAGCTTAAAGAAGCTTCTATCGGCTTCTGTGCAGCCTCTACGCAGCCTCTAGGGCATGAACATCTGAAGCCCGGCCATGAATGGAGATGGTCCAGCATTTAGGGTAGTTTCAAATGCACATATACCGCATCTCTCAGATACATCCAGTTTTATATAAAACTTTTGCAATACGAACTAAGAGTAACATATATCATGCTCACTAAAGCGAATACCTGTGATTGGTGACAGTGAGCCTACCTACGATCAGTCATGTAGCCGTCCGAGCCCATTTCCAGGAAGGAGAACAAAGATGATGTCAGGTCTAAATGGGACTATCGATAAGAAGCGTTTCAAGCAAACAGATACAACTGGTGCCTGGAAACTAACTAGAAAGGGCCTGGCCCCAGGGTCTTGGTTGGCTCTTAGTGTGGTGAAGGTGAAATCACCCACACAGCTATAAAAGCTCTACTCCCGTCGACCATCAACCGCTCACCATCAGCTCTTCTCCCCAAATCAAACGAGCAACCCTTAAAGTCTGGACCTTCTCTGTCACCGAAATGGCATCCTCGAAATCGGACGTGCTGCAGCATCATATCGCAAGCGCCATCCACGCTTTGGACGTCGACGAACTGGGAGCGCGCCGGATCGAAGCAGGTTCTTGTAAATTGCCCCGCACTCCCCTCTACTCCGTTTCAAGCAAGGAACTAACATCCAATACATCAGACAACATTGCGTTCCTCATCAAGTACGCCGTCGGCCCCGACGTCCCCATCTCCCATGTTTCGGTCACATACAGGGACATCTTCTGCACTGACCAAGATTGTTTCATTCGCACAGCTATGGTGTCTGTACTTGATGGTCCTGGACATCTCAGAGTCGTGATTAGTGAGGAGGCCACTGGGAAAAGGGAAGCCTTCGGGTATTTGTTCCTCAAGGCAGAAAAGGCTATCAACGATATTATGGTCAAGTTGTAAACGGACGGGTGGTGACTTTCAAGCCAAAGGGTTCCGGGAAAAGTCTTGCCTTATTATCTCTAAGGAGATCAAGCTAGCGAGTGCTGTATATTCGTAGCTAGGCATAACTATAGTAATCAAACAAATGTCTCTGTGACCAGGGAAAATGCGCCTTCAATTGCCTCTCTTATGTGCTACTATCGCGGCCTGGTAGATACCACAGCTTTCCAATTATCTCTCCTATGTGCTATTACCACGGCTTGGCGGATACCATGCTCTTGCCCCCAAGAATTCGCACAAGATGTGAACCTTAAAATCCCCCTGGAAGTTATGTCCACGGAGCCTTTACTTCCCGCTACTCATATGTAGACTACAAGCAATCATTCTGGATTGAGTTATATACTGTATCTTCCCACACACACTACTATACAATATCAAGGGTACATGGAAGTATTCAAAGCTAACGCAGGCATCCAGCTGAACACTAATTTGCGTTCGACCACTCTCGGTACCAGTCCAAACATTCAGCATTTGCGACACTGGCACTCGTCTTGACGTTGATGCCACACAAAATCTGCTTGACAGCGCCTTCAACCCTGCTGGTTGTCAGTACAAGTACACGTCAGTAAAAATATCGAACTTACTTCTTTCCGTTGGTGGTGACCGGAATCTCAGGACACTCGTCCACTACAGCGGGTACGTGACGTGCGCTGAGCGACTTTCTGATCGTCATCTTGATTCGGTCAACCAGATCAGGCGAAATGCGACGGCCTTCGGCCATCTTGAGAAACAGGATGACCGTCTCGTCGGTATCAGTCTCTCTCCTCCGGCCAATGCACAGCGCATCTGCGACATCCTCTGGGAAGTACTGGAGCACCACGTTGTAAATCTCCGCCGATCCGAAACGTACACCTGCAGGTTTGAGAATACCGTCACTGCGACCAAGCATCCACAAGCCCCCAGTCTCAGGGTTGAAGCGTACAAAGTCGCCATGATGCCAGATGGGCTGATGTTTCTCGTTTGTAAATTTGTCAAAGTATGACTTCCAGTACTTTAATTCGCCTTCTTTGCCCCAGAATGCTACTGGTTGGCATATGAAGGGCTTGTTGCATACCAGATCGCCAGGTTCGCCGGTCGAAGAAATGTCCGCCCCGGTATAGTCGTACGCTGCGATGGCCATACCGAGACCAGGGCCCTGGATCTCGCCTTCATAGACGGGTATGAGTGGATTTGGTGCGCCAAAGAGGGAGATGATGTCTGTGCCGCCAGTGATGCTACCAAGGTTGATAGTCGAGGGGAATGCGGAGTAGACGTAGGAGAAGGTTGACGGGGCGAGCGGCGATCCCGTGGAGTAGATGGCCTCCAGCTTGTCCAGTGCGAGACCCGCAGCGGCAGGATCAACCGACTTCTGCTCTAGAACAGACAAGTATTTCGCAGAAGTCCCAAAGTGAGTGATGTCAAACTCATTAATGAGGCGATGCATGGCGAGGTCGTCCGGTACAGAAATCGATGGGTTAGATGTATCGACATATCGGAATGGTGAACCGTCATAGAGGACCAGTGTAGCGCCTGATGCAAGACCACTGACCAACCAATGCCACATCATCCAAGTGCAAGTCGTGAAATAGAAGAGCTTTGACTGAGGCGTTATCGAGCAGTGCATGATGTGCTCTTTCTTGTGCTGCAGCAATGTTCCGATAGCACCGTGAACAATACATTTTGGTGCACCAGTTGTACCACTCGAATATAATATGTAAACAGGGTGATCTGGTGGGAGTTGCTTGAACGTAAGCTCTGGGACTGACTTCAAGGATGTGAACGTCGCATATTCATAGGCTTTTCCGGATACCACTGGTATCGAACTGACGTTGAAATCAACGGAAGCCACTGTGGGAAATATGACGGCAGCCTGGAGAGATGGAAGGTCTGCGACGATCTCAGTGACCTTGGGGAGCACTGGATGACTTCGCCCATTGTAGAAGGATGCGTTGTCTGCGAAAAGCAGTACCGGCTCGATCTGCCGTAGCCTATCGAGTACAGCATGCACACCAGTATCTGGACTGACTGCAGTCCATACAGCACCTAGCGACGTCGCAGCGAGCATGGCTACTAGCGCGTTGGTGTGGTTCGCAACATAGCCTGCGACTCTGTCGCCTTCCTTCAAGCCTAGTGCCAACATGCCAGCTTGACATAGCTTCACACGGTCCCTGAGTTCCCTCCATGTCACTGACTCGCGGGTGGTCTCGGTCGCGGCGATGACGGCGGATGATTCGGGATCGACTTCTTGGGTGGGAAAAAGAAGGTTCTCAGCAAAGTTTAATGTCGCGCCTGGAAAGAATGCAGGCCGTGGGAACATGGGTGCGTTAGGGTCCACCGCCTAGTCATGGTAAGTGGGTATTGCGGACATGAAACAACCCTGGATGTCATAAAATACTTGACATACTAGTGTACAAAGGCCACTGTAGCCGCCAGGCACGCCTACTAGGAACTTACCCATGCATTCAAGTATTTTATGACACCCAGGTGCAATGGCAACCTACTGATGACGGAGTTCCCTGGTGTCTTACTCCCACGAATTCCCATGTTCTTTTCCAGAACTGGTCAATGTTCTCGATGCTCCATTGGTGTAGCTCCTTGTAGCTCGACAGTTTCAGGCCGTGTGTTTTGTTTACGGATTGGAGGAACTGGTGCATGGGAGTAGTTTCTGGGGAGCTATGCTTCCAGAGAAGTTTGGGGCCAGACGGCGTGCCATTGGAGCCATTAGTACCATTAGTACACGTTCCGTTCATCGCGTCGATACTGGGGAGCAAACGAGTGGTACACGCTCAAGAAGTTGTTGGTACCTGAAATCGCGTGTTGATGACCCTGGGGCTGTTCGAGACTCTAAATGTTTTCTTCTTGCAGCTGCAGCGGTTCGCCTCGGTCTCGCACCCCCCACTACCCGAGGCTGCGGTTACTTCCGACATTGCGGTTCCCCAACAGCACGACAGGGCCATACCAGTACAAAACACTATCCCACCTAAAATACTTGACAGTGTGGGTAAGCATCTAATCGGCGTGTCTGGCGCATACAGTGACACAAGCCACCCTGGTAATCCTCAACCCGTGTCAACCAGTCCAGGCTAACTACTTTGACCGTGTCACGAGTCTTGCAGGCCAGGATGTGTTAGCTACGCGCATGGGCTGTTCTGTCGCGACGCATTGCAGGTCTACGAGCTGGATAGGTCCAGCTGCGGGCTGACAGGAAGACGGACGCAATGTATTGCGACATGGGTGCACCTTAGCCCCTCCTGTCACACGTCTGTCACTTTCACCATGGTAAACTCAAGCGGCAGGACTTTTGAAACAATACACAGTCTCAAACAACACCAAATAATATTGATCGTCACTGCAAGCCAATTACAGAACCTCCAGGGGCAAGGCCATCTGTTTCGCCATCCATGTTCAACAACCTCGATTGAGCATCCTGGCATTGCAAATTTCTCCTTTGCCTCTATGGCGCGCAACAGCCAGCCTCCTAGCAACGGTCCATACCTGGTATGGACTGCAGAAGCCCAGGGTAGCCACGTGGAAGCAAGGTTCAAATCCAGGAACGCGCTTGTGTCTGTTGCCACCAGCTGATGGAGGCCACCCGTACGTCGCCTGCATGATGGCCAAGGATGATTGCCTCGTTGCCTCTTAGGCATCCCATGATTCGTGCAAATCACACCCCGCGCCCACCAGCCTGCTCTCAATACCCCCATGTCTACACCAAAGCTTACAGCATGTGCTGTCCGCCTTGAGTCCATGACGACAGCAAATGTCGCAGATCCAAGCTTCGTCCCTAGACGCGACCTGTTCGTCTGATATCACATCCTGGTTCTGGCCTGGCGCCAAGCGGGTAGGCAGACAGGCGGATAGGCGGTGAAAACAACAAAGGGGCAGTTGTCTCAGTGTAATCTTCCATTTGTAAGCTCTCTGCTGACGACTTCAACCTTGTTGATCCCGAACGCAATCGGACATCCTTCAAAATCTCGCTACAGCGCTACGGCACCTCAAATCGCGCGGCAATGTCATACGCCAAAGATCCGGTGGCTCTTTCTACGCCATCAAACGGTTGCCTGTAATCCTCCTTACGCGGCTATCAGCACGTCCCGTAAAACAGCCAGCCTTTGGCTTACACTAAACACCCGACTAGCTTGTTACGCTCTTCTTCGAAACGAATAAGCCCTAATGTGTACGTATAATGATGTCAAACTGTTTGTTGTGTATGTAATATTATGTAGATGCCAGCACTTGTTTCTTTCATCCCAACTCAAGGTCTTATAATAAACAGTGGCTACCAGTGTCTATTTTCCAGTCAATATTGTTCTATCTTCACCTCACTGTCTGAAAAAAACAGTCTGGAATGTGCTTCAGATCGGCAGTCCTGGTGTTTCCGGACTCGCTTCAGAAGGCTTACGTGCAGATATGGATCCACTCCCTCGCAAACCCCTCATTCCCAGCGCAGGGCAGATCGTCAAAGCGAAAGCGATCTCATCTTACTGCTTCGATAAGACTGCATACAGGCACGCGGACGGTACCTGCATGCATTGAAAACAATGGCGCTCGACATCTGTCTACACCGGTCAGACACAGGGAATAGCCGGCCGCAGTCCTCCATAACGTTCACAAACTTTAACTCCCATAATTCAGGTTTTCGTGTAATGATATGCTCCACTCTTTCATGAAGATGAAACGTTCATGGCCAGATGCTGCAAAGCCTCGTATCGCCTCGGCACTCCGACGTGGGTTTCTTAGTCTGTGAGGCCAACGGGACCATACAACCGCTATCCCAACGCACTAACTCGGTACCACACATTGGAGACAAGAACGCAGCTAGGATAATTCATACCCTGTCCCTGCCAACGACCCACCCCACCCACCATCGACCCCATCATCGACTATCGCACTGTGCGTTGGCGGATCACCCTGATGCATCAGACATCTGCAAGCGGAAGCGATGTAGGAAAAGGAGACGAGGGACACACGCTGGCGGAACGAGCGCCTCCGCCATCAGCTGTGGTACAATTGTTTGTCTGTATAAGACTATAATGAGCCAACGTCGTGCTCTTTGATATCTCGACAACGATACGATACCTCCTCTGATTCACATAAACATTCCTCTGACTCTATCCTTCCCACAACACAGGTGCGCATTTGTAGTTCCCGGGAAGTTTTACATCTGGAAGTGAACTGACTTTAACCAAACGGAGCAGAAAAGGTTTCAAGAAACCTGCAACGAATCTAATCGAAAAGATGGCAAACACCGATCGCAAAGATTTCTCCTACCAAGTCTATAGTCAGGGCCAGACCCTTCCAACCACCATCGTAGCGCCTGTGCAGCCTCCAGATAGCAATTGTCCCCATCATGCACCCCTATTGCAGATGGCGCAGCGACCTGCCCCCGACGGAGAGAATCCTATGCAGAAGTTCGTCAATGCTCCGCTCTCCGCGCTTCCCGTTGGCCTTTCGGCAAAGTACCGTGTCGGAACTTCCGCATCCGGCGGTTGCACTTGCGGCCACAACACTGGCATCCCAAAGGACGCAATGACTCGCGAACTCGATTCTATGACGCTTGGCACGGTTCACAAGATGCAGTAGGCGGGCTTGGTATTCATTCACAATTTGCTTGGAATTATTCGACGGGTTTCTTTCAATTCTTTGTTGAGGACATTTGTACGATTATCAGAGTTTGATTTCAAGATGGTACGCATGTTTCTGGACGATCTACTTGCTTCTTGCTTTACTGGTTGGCTCCATTACTTCTTTCATGTATTATTACGGCAGATCATAAATGTCAGCACTTCCTGTTCTGATACCACGAGACAAGACTGTCCACACCAGATTCTTCTTATTCTCCTTATTCTCCTTGCAGACGTGCCTGTAGTTCGACAACGAATCCCTGTAACTGCCGCTGTCTTCAGCTGCACGTCCTTCTGTGGAGTTGGACCAAGCGAGACGGATGAAGCCTCCGCGACCAAACGCATCCTGTATTGACAGCGCATACCTAGTTGAAGCAAGACCCCAATCCTCCGACAAAAGCACCGAGATCTGCGCGTATAATGTTATTCTTCGCAACTTCTGGAAAACTCGGAAAGGCGGCATGCAGGGGTGAAGGTTAATCGCGCCATCGGCCTGACATTTCTGCCAGCCGCCCAGGTAACGCCCCAACGCCCAGCCATCTCGGCCCCCAGCCTTGCGGCAGCTATCTGCTGCTCGGCCGAGTCTCGCAGGTCGCGATCACAACAAACTCTGCCTGTTTAAGAGTCTTGGGGCCATGTTTAGTGTGTAGTCTTGTCACGACCGGTTACACCCTCATCGTAAGCGTGTTTGAACGTACGACCCCTGATCCATCTCTAACTGCAGCCCATACGAAGTCTGCATAGCTAGGCTACATGAAGAGCTGCATCAGCTGTACGCGTGATTTATCTGCTTCAGCGAGCCAATAGTTCCTGCCACCACCACACCCTCAGTAAGTCTTCGCTACTGGCGGTCAGTTTCATGGCTCCCAAGACAGTGCTCCAGGAAATTTGGGAGGGGAACGCATGCTCTCGTATCTGTCTCTTCAATAATACACTATCGGATCCACTTCGACCGGTGTTTATGCCAGGTACAAACACACAATCTACCAAGGAATTGTGTGTCCTGTTTCAAAGAGATCTGCAAGTGCTGCAGTATTAGCGTGGGCGTGGATCGTATCACCTTCCTGACTTTTGACACAAATTTTTGACTCTTGAATACTAAGAATAGTGTCAAAGAAGTTGTAGACACAAACAACAAGAACGATTCGACGTTGTATGTCAAGATCGGAAAGGGTCCAGTCCGGCCAATGAGCGCCGCTCGAAGTCTTGGCATAGAGCTATCCTACATGCTGCCTAGCGCCCCCCACGATCGCGTCGGCAATTTTGCACCTGCCATGTCGAACTTCTTCACGCTTCACGACACTCTCTCATCACCCAACCTACAGACGCAGGATACCCATTTCTTTGCGCTCCCCTCCCAGCCGTCAAAATGTCCACAACCGTATGTACAACCGCTTTGCTGTCCGCTGCCGGGCAACCCACCCGCATAAGAACAGTAGGCTAAGTACCAATGTAGAAGCGCAACGCCGCCGCCAAGAAGGGCCAAAAGGTCACCAAGAAGTTCATCATCAACTGCTCGCAGCCCGTCAACGACAAGATCTTCGACATCCAGGCTTTCGAGAAGTTCCTCCACGACCGCATCAAGGTCGAGGGCCGCACTGGTAACCTTGGCGACACTATCCAGATCAGCCAGCAGGGCGATGGCAAGATCGAGGTCATTGCGCACCAGGAGTTCTCCGGCCGCTACTTGAAGTACCTGTACGTATATCTGGGTTCTAGGGGCGTGTGAATTGCGCTAATGCCAATGGCAGTACCAAGAAGTTCCTCAAGAAGCAGCAGCTCCGTGACTGGCTCCGCGTCGTTTCCACCTCCAAGGGTGTTTACGAGCTCCGCTTCTTCAACGTTGTCAACGACGAGGCGGATGAGGATGACGAGTAGATCTATAATACCACTTAGCGATACCAACATGGCTTGCATGATATGGAGTCACGGGTTCGAAAAATAAGGATGGGCTGAGGTCTACATGGCATATAGCACGATCTAATGAATTGATGCATTTGCCAAAACGAGTTTTCCGATGTGAAAAAGACTATGTTGATCGATTTGGAGAACTGGTGGGGCGTGCGCGTAGGTACAAGCGTTCAGACTACCGCAGGTTTTCCGACAGCAGAATGCGACAGGGTTATGTTTGAACACGAAGGGTTCATGCTGCTGTTCGAACCTTTTTTCAATGTCCAGTGACAGCCAGGCACAAGGGGCCCTTGTCGTGTTTAGCAACACGTGGAGTGCAATAATCTCTCAAGTACCTGGTAGTCACCATTGACGAACTGTTATGGTCCTAGCTGGTGGATGCACGGTCATCCACTCAGCTGTTTAGAGCCTCATTCCTCTACCCTAAAGAATACATGTACACCAAAAGAGGCCTTTTACTCTCGGAGAGTGCAGTTTAGTACCTACGATGCCCGCAACAGCTTCCCTGCAGGGATAAAACAAAGTAAAATATGCGTCATTTGTACCCACTACAACAGAGAGTGAAGAAAATCTGAAACAAGGTTCCATGCATCGCAGATTTTGACAATCGACAGATCATGGCCAGGATCAGGCAGGGTTTTGCAGATTCCAGAATTGAGTGGAATACGACCAATGATGCTTGATTTTCCACCGGCTTTTTACAACTCGTCATCCAATTGCGAAGACGTGCAGAACCCTGTCATAGTTCTGTCATGTGTGGGAACATGTGCCGCTGGCAAGTGGTAAGTATACCGGCAGATCTTACATGACCTGACACACTCTTCTCTACTCCTACCATGTGATGATAATACGTATCTGTTATGAAAGAATTGTGGATAAAAAAGGTTTGTTGAGTACGGTAAACGTACGAGATGTTACGTGAAACCAACATCATCTCGCATAAAAGCGTTCTGGAACTGTGCAAGATGTTGAGACATTGACCGGAAGTTTCAGTCTTCTTCACATGAAGGTTTGTTTGTTTGATGACTTTGTTGTTGTTGTCACAGTATGAAGACAGGTACTAAAAAGTGGTGCTGTCACTACATACCGCCCAATTGCGGCAGATCGGCGTCTACAGACGATCCTGGTGAAATTTGCGTGTGGGTACTGGTGATGCGTTCCCAGGTACGGTAGCCACTTTTTCTCACGACAGGCGCGATCCACTTTGACAGGTAGGGCGTACGTACGTACGTGTAAAAGACGTCGTGACAACCAGGATATTTGTAACGCCGATAATTGACGCACACGGGGAAGGAATTTCGGGCTTGAGATTTGCCGACGGATTGCCGTGAGGGAATTGAGCTTTCGTATTCGGAACTTGAGTCGGTACTCTCGCTGCTCCCGCATCTAGGTTCCGAACGCGAGGCGGAGGGGAACTAGAAGAGCTCTGGAAGAAAGGGTCGGTACTTGGCATCAGTAGTCTTCGTGGAGAAGGGTCCGACACGGAGCAGGTCATGGCGGGGAGGCGTGAACCTGCTCTACACACCGGTCGGTATTCCACAACGGTTATGAGTCGGGCCGTCAGTGACGATCGAAGCTTCGCGCGCATTGATGCCCCGAAGAGCCGCATGCAGGGCTGAAGTCTAGACACGACGAATAGTATCAGTTTTAGGTTGGGCCCAGCAGCGGTGAGATGTTGTTCGATGTCGCCAAAGTGGTGCCATGGCACGTTTCACGGACCACTGGATGGCATCAATCCCACGTCAATGTTCGCGATTCTGCGGCTACGCGTGGCATGCTGAATCAGCTCGCACATGCCAACTCCCAACGGGACTCAGGTACCTGGAACGGGAGTTGGAAGCATCGAGTGCGTGCCATGATTACGCCACATGGTCACATGGGGTCCGGTCAGGGAAACTGGGTTGGATAGCCAGTAACATGCAGCGAGTGCAATTGTTTTACCTGTTTCGACCTAACGCCATCTCATAACACCACAAGGCGGACGCCAGCCAGGCGTCAATGTTGTTAAGCGAAGTATCGTGAGATTTTGTGAGGTGGTGTTTAGGTCGTGGTCAGGTGCGATGCATAGACGCTGCATAGACGCGGGCTGGGCCTGTCCGACGGGCAACTATTTGCGTGATCGGAGACAGGGCGCCTCAAGTGGTTTCCATCGAGTAATGTAGAACAGTCTGGTCTCTCAACAAAGTGGATGCTTTGACACGACGCATGGGAGGCCATAACCACATCGGGCCGGGACGCCCAAGCAAAAGTGTGTAAAGAGGCTGCAAAGGATCTGGAGGAGTGGAGCAACCAGTGAGCGCCTGTGCTTGGACCACGGTGTAAGAGAAAAAATTCCCTGCATTACCTAACACCGGTGGGTCTTGGCACAAGCCATGATCGCGATGCTGCACCAACATGACAACAACTTGATGAAGAGGTTGCACAATTAGCAATGTAGACCCGAGCGGTTAGAGCATGTAAGGAGATTCGAGCCACATGTTCGGTGTGCGTCTTGTGACAGGCGCTTAATAAGTATGCGGAGAGGCGATCCGGTGTTTACAGGCCGAGGAGATACCCGATTCATCCCCAGAGTCGCTCTTTCTAGACGAACAGCAAGCCGTGTTGCGGGGAACACGGCATCAGTTTGCGTCAACGAATGAGGATGGGCGGGCGGACAACAAAAACCCCAGAGTCCCGGTGGAGTCAGTCTGGCATCATGTGTGTGTGATGGCCGGCGGCGAGTCACATCATGTTAGCCGGCAACGAGCCACCACGGTACATTTGCTTTGGCATTGTTGACAGCGAACAAACGACTAGGCAGAACCGAGTACCGAGGTGGACACTGGCACAGTATGGCGGTCAGCATGGCACCTCGCTGTTCGGCACAGATTAGAGTAATTAATGTTTTACGGAGAGTGGAAGTTGGAAGGGGGAGAATGCGCCGGCTCAGCACACGGAGATTGTTCGCACCTTCGGTTGACGTCTTTTTAGTTGGCAGGCACGACAGACAGGCAGGCGGCGATCACGAGAGCGGTAGGACGTGCATGCCTGCCTCCTGACCCAAAAATTACACTCGGGCAGGGATAGCCGAGCCGGAAACGACTAGTGCAGCCTAGGCGATGAGATCATGCAAAGGCCCGGAGTGCATCCAGTCATCGAGTTTCTCTCAGGTAAAAAATCCATGAAAAACCCTCCTGGTCTTCTCTTAAATAGGACCACGCCCTACTACAACCCAGGCCCTTGTTTGTATCACAAGCTGTAATATGTTCTTGCCGCAACAACTTATTAACCACCTCAATTCCCACAAGCTCAACTCTTGAGCTTTCATACCTGCATATCGCCTCTCGGTCCACACCTCGATATCATTGGACCGCGCCTTATCTTGTAGATTCTCACACCACGCATCCACTCAGCTTGCATCCTCTCAGCCCTACCCCAGATTCTTTATCAACATGCCCGGTCGTTTATTGAGCACCCTCGCGCGGGTAGCTCCAACGCCATCGCCTAAATCGGACCCTGCTAAACCGCACGCCGAAGGTCTACTTCCGCCTGTCTACTCGTATGATGCGCCAAGAGTAAAGGCAAAGTCAAAGTCCGAAGAGTCGCTCGTCATGGACATCTTCAACCGCCACAAGCATGACAAGCATGCGAAAGAGAAGGAGGACTTGAAGAAGAGTCCCAAGGTTGAGGCTCAGGGTGCTGCTTCAATGAACATGAGTGTAGAGTCGCCACCCATTGTTTTCTACAACAGCCCGCAAGCCTCAACCGGCGCAATCTTCTCCGGTCAGCTCATGATCAACGTTCATGACCCGTTTATTACGGTAGAAAAGTTTGAAATGCGCATGCTTGCCATTGTTACTACAAAAAAGCCCGTGGCTCCACACTGCCCGGAGTGCAGCACCCAGACCACGGAAATTCACAAGTGGGAGTTTCTGACACACCCCACCTCTCTGCGCCACGGCCCGCACAGCTTCCCCTTCAGCCACCTACTGCCCGGTCATCTCCCCGCAACCACACATGGAAGCTTAGCAACTATCGACTATTATCTCTCCGCCGTCGCCACAACCTCATCGGGCAAGATTACTTACAAGCGCAACCTTGACATCAAGCGCGCCATCTTCCCGGGTGCTGAGAAGCACTCGATCCGCATCTTCCCACCCACCAATCTGACCGCCTCGGTCAAGCTACCTCCGGTCATCCACCCAATTGGCGACTTTCCCGTCGAGATGCGTCTTTCTGGCATTGTACTGAACAAAGCGGATTCTCAGACACGCTGGAGGCTTCGCAAGCTTAACTGGCGCATCGAGGAGACCCAAAAGTTCATTTCCCCAGCTTGCCCCAAGCACGTCTCCAAGGTTGGAGGCGAAGGCAAGGGTGTCCTCCACGAGGATGTCCGCGCCATTGCCAACGAAGAGGTCAAGACTGGCTGGAAGACGGACTTTGAAAAGGGCGAGATCGATGTCGAGTTCCAGGCTGCATGCAACGTCGGCATGAAGCCTCTGTGCGACATGGAGAGCTCGAGCGGCATGAGCGTCAAGCACAACTTGATCATCGAGATGGTTGTCGCTGAGGAGTGGGCGCCATTGAAGAAGCTCAGCCAGGCCACTCCCACCGGCGCTGCACGTGTCCTCCGCACTCAATTTCACCTTGTCCTCACCGAACGCTCCGGAATGGGCATCGCTTGGGATGAAGAACAGCCCCCGCTATACGAGGACGTTCCCATGAGCCCACCCACCTACGTCGAAGAATGCGAATATCCATTCTCGAACAGCAGCTCGCGATCTGGTAGCTTCAGTCTTGAGCACTAGATGCGACATCTTCTCTTTCCTTTGTTCAGTATACCCCATTTTCGATCAACAATCTTCACGAATTTCCTTACTAGGCCATTGGCTCATCTTCACTCTGATTTCATCCTTAGTGGGATGTGTAGGATATACCCCATTTGCATTTATTTTGGCGCTGTCGTTTCGTGACCGCCAAATGGCGTTATGGTTCATTGCTGGTCTGCTTGAGTTGAGCCCATGGAGAGCCCCTCTTGCATGGTATACATATCCAGCAGGCGTTTGGAAACACATAGAAAAGTTTGTTTGATTCATCGCAGGTCGTCAGCGTACGATCCTCCCAACAGCACATACTTAGTAATAGCCAAAACATGACCTTACTCTCTCACAAACCTCTCCCATCAATACAAGTTTATGCACCCAGTGAATAGTCTACTCTTTCACATGTGAAGTGAGCAGTATTGATAAAGTCAGCAATATCCAATATGCGCATACCCCCGTGTCAGCTTACTACAGCGCCGCTCACAGCACTCATCCCACCCCCGTGGCCAACTCATTGGAGAACTCACCGCTGCTTGTCTTGCCCCCCCTCGGATCCAACGCCCCGAAGCAAGTACTTTCACACCACACCCCCCCAAATTTTCATCAAAGTACTCCACACTGAACAACGATCTGGAGCCCAAGACCCACACGGAGCCTGATACAAACCAACCAACCCCTGTACCCAGCTCATTCCCATAAAGGCCAATCCCGACGTCGGCAGTGCCGACCTTGGTGCCCGAAGTGCAGTTGCGGCTGGGCGCTAATGACACATAACAATGCACAGAGGCGGGTACCTGCAAGTTGATGTACGCCAGGGGTCCCATTTAGGGTCATCTCCAAGTAGAGAGAGGGAACGGACATCGGAGGTGTGTACCGGCACCATGGGCAAAGTGAGAATCCCATCTTGTGTCGATCCGGAAATACATGTCGGTGGTGTTCGTGTTGTTGGCCTGAGTGTCTGGATGGAGTTTCCTATTTGGGGTATGTAGGGCTGTTGCGGCTCTGAAGGGCGGGCTTCGCGGATTTTTTTTTCGGCGGCGGCGGCGGCGCCAGTTGTTGGGAGTATGTACGTACCGGTACGATATGAGGTAGGCCGAGATGAGAGTTTTTGTCGGAGTTTCGGGGTTGGGGGTCTGGCGCGGCGGCCTCGGTGATGATGATGATGATGATGCTGATTGTTGGAGTGGTGATCGGGCGGATGCGGGCGGCTACGGCAGACGATGCGGCAACAACAACCCATGAATGGCGGCAGTCGGGAACGGCTTTGTGGTGAACTTTATCGCAACTTCGTCATTTCCCGCTTCCTATTATATTACTGTTGCTTGCTTACATGATGAAGCCCTAGTGCTGATTACTCCTATCGACATATGCATGACTTCCTTTCGCAATCATGTCAGGTTCTTCATCAACTGGAAAGCATCTGCAAACTCTGTAACATCCCAATCGTCGTCGTCTTCCGGAACAAAGCGCGAACCTGCGTATTGATCTCTAAAAGAGCCAGGAGGTGGAAGGACTTCCAGATGCAAACACCTGCGCAGCCTCTCGTCCTCCCACGAACATCTCGGCTTCATCCAACTCGCCGCAAGAGCAACACGCTGCTCTCTCGTCTTGTTCACCACATGGAGAAACACCGGCCGCTGGATCTGCCCATTCGGTGGTACCTTTAGCGGTATAGTCAAAGTTTCCAGGTTCGGGAAGCGCTCCAGCATCGCCCGACTACTGCGCAGGACGTCTGGCCAAAACCGTCTCTTCCACCAATAACTCACTTCTTCAAGATGCTTCTTGAACAAGTCGCGAGGATCCGCCGCGCCAATAACATGACGCACCAGCCCGCTAGGAGCACCAAGGTCGAGTTCGCTCGACGTCCAGAAAGCAAACGTGTTGCTGCCGTAAAGCACCGGGCTGCACTCTGCGTAAAGCTGTCGACATGTCCTCACGAGTGCCACGGGTATCTGTCCGTTGCGCATAGGTTCTGGCTCAATTGGTCCCGATCCTTTGTGTCGGATGTTCATTGCTTTGGCCAAGGGCCGCACGGCGTAAGGGTCGCGTGAGTAGATGAGTATGGCGCCTTCTGCACGAAACGCAAACCCGTAGATCAGGTCTCGAAGTTCGCGCGGTAAATCCAGGAAGCCGATCTTTTGCTCATCATCTTTGGCTGATGCGATCCATTGGATCGACGCATTCGGCTGTTACTGTTAGCTTCCAAGGTTCAGAGGTCCTCGTCCTGTTCGGCAACGCACTACATATGGAGACGCCATGTTTTGAACGTCGCTAATGCAACAGCTAGATGGAATGCGGGTGTGTAGATCAGACGGTTGCGAAGTTGGCGGATCTGCAGTCGTGCTACGTAGGACGGAAACTGTCAGCTAATGTGGATGACATGCCGGCACCTGCTCTAACCGTATTCAGCATGACAGGTGGAAACCCCCTCATTCTCGCTTCACGAACCCCTGACCCTCACATGGCCATGTTTCTTCCCGATAGGCTATCTTTAGCCTATACCGCGAATTCACACGAGAGTCATACCGGGTTATTCCAATATCCCGGGTTGTATTGAAACGGCGATGACGACGACATCGGATGATTATTTGTTCCGCAATTGTGTATGTGAGGATGGAAGAACATACCTGCGTATCTTGAGTGTGCAGAAGAAGAGTGTCTGGTGTGCAAGACGCAATCACAAGCTGGGAATGCTGGGCACATATTATGAGCGAAGACCACATATAGGACACATTCGTTATTCTTTCCTCACAATGTTGGACACGTACACGATGACAACACAAGACAATCCTAGGAAACAATTCCGTGTGCACACTAGGCTTATTCATCTAATAGGAGACTCCACATTTGTATTCGCTGGATACATACGTTGTGCACCCGCTCAATCACTCTCACTATCGACATCCTCGTTTCTTTCATCCTCACTCCCTTCTTCACTATCATCTTCATCATTCTCGTCATCCTCATCATCCCCAGTATATGTGCTTGCCTCCGGTGTACCCTCCCGCTCTCGCAATTGCGCTTTCAAACCATCGAGTATCACCCCCATTCTAGTCTTCAGATCCGGGTTGTAAACTTGACTAAGCTGACTCTCCATCTCTTGGATCTTAGTGCGTAGTTCCTCGGCCACCGCGTCTTCCCCCTCTTCATCTTCTGCAGTAGCTTCGGATCCAGGGCCAGCCTCGACTTGGATCGTACCACCGAAAGCAGCAGCGAAGTCGGTTGCCATTTTGCGGTTACCAATTGCGAAAATAACTTCCTTGATACCTGGCCACGTCTCCTGTTCTGCATGACCGTTTTTGCTCTTTTTACTGGTAGAGGATGAGTGGGGCACTCCGTCAAGCACACTTCGGAAAGCCTCAGCGATATCCTTGACGGGGTTTCCATAGGCGCCACAGCCCCAAGCACCCAGCACCACTTTCTCCGCCCCCTTCCTCTCCATAATCCTCAACACGGCCCGGATCTTCGCTTCTGCAAGCCGCCTATCTTTCTTGCCCAACCGCTTTACTTCGTCTTCCTCGCCCTCCAGTTCTGGGAACCGGAGCATACCCGCGCTGGCGACGTCGACGTACCACCTCTCAGTCGGCGATAGTTCGCCCGCGTTGTCGCCAAGGGAGAGAGAGTTTCGGAATACAAGCACGTCGGGCGTGTAGATTCCTCCTAGTTCAGGGAGCCGATAAAAGGTCTCTTTCAGGCTGGGGAGAAGCGTTGTACGCGCGCAGAGGTATTCTTCTTGTGACGTTGCGCCAGCCAGAACACCACCGCCAGGGCGGAGAGGAGAGGCCATGTTGAGGATACAGGTGTTTGGAGACTTCTTATTAGAGAGTTTCGATGGCATGGTAGGGTTGTACAAGGACGGGTGGGTAAGCATATGTGCAGCTGTAAGCGTGTCGGTTGCTATAATGCGTATGCTGCGTTCTTTCTTTGGAGATAGCGGCGCAGTTTGCGCCAGGTTCAAAGACGATAGGTCTTCTTCCAGAGAATCATTGCGCTTTTTGCCTTTTCCCTTTCCTTTGCCACTATCCCTTGCGACATCATCTTTTCCCATATGTTCATCCTCAAGACCCCCACCACCTTTCGCTTTCCGCCGTCCTTGACCTTTCCTCTTGACATATCCACCATCTTCGCCATCATTGGCATGTGCGTCATTCTTGCTTCTAATTCCATCTTTTTCGGCTGTCCCAAGACGCCCAGGGTCTACTATAAGCTCGCTATTGTCTGCGCCTTTCCTAGCCCTTGCATTTGAGGCTAATATCGCAGGTACGATTTTATTGACAACATGGCGTGCTTGTTTTGCGCGAATGTCTTTACGAATAGCAGGTGGCGCTAGACCCTGAGATTTTTCGGTGCGACCCATTGCTGTCAATTACCACTACTGATTGGATATACGAGAGTTGAACAGCTGAGAAGCAGCGATCGAGAGTTAGGGAAGCAGCACGGGAAATTTGGATGTTGTTTGGGAGTACTATGTTGGTTGGTGACCCCATGACGTTTGAGTAGGTGCTAGCCGAGTGGACCCTGGCCTAGCCATGTTTGGAACTCAACTCGACAAGACATGCTTCTTCGATTCACACCAACCGACAGCAAATGTGTATATGAAACACGCTCAAAGTATCCATGCTGACAAGCGTTAATTCCGAGAGTGGCTCTGATAGATTGAGAGGGGTGACAAAATATGTATTGATGGGTATCTTGGAAACTCATGTCTCAGAAGCATCTTCTATTTATTCTTCAACTCGCCTTTTGCTGGTTTGGATGGACTCTCTTCACAAACATCGTCTTCCAAACCTAACTTCTTCATATCAACAGCTAGCGGATCTGATTCCTCTGTACTCTCTGTAGGTCCTTCGTAACCCGGTGGTGGCAACGCCCACTCCGGCAGTCCTGTCTCATAATCCCACTTTCCTTCCTCACACCTGTATCTCCGTGCATGTAGGTAAATGCCTAGTTCGTGCACCCCGGGATCGCTGTATAAATCTGTATCGCAGATTTTGCACTTTTCGCCCGTCATTCGCTCGGCTTTTCTTTTATTGTACGCATCGACCATTTCATCGTGGTAGGCAACAGCGTCAGCAACCTCTTCTTTGCCCATGCGCGATAGACGCGACATGATGTCTTCGTCGTCTTCATCTTCGGATTGTCCTCGTCCCAGAGCGGGGCCGAAGACACGCTGATTGGCATATATGGGGTCGTTGGAAATTGGGTGGCCAAGAAATTGTAAATGGACGCGCAGTTGGTGGGTACGGCCAGTGACAGGGAAGCAGCGCACGATGGAGTAGCCGCGGAGTTTCTTCCAAGGCTGGCCTTGCGGGTCTGTTTCGCTATCCTCTCCGTTGGGCCTCCTGCCATCGTCCTTGGGTGGGTAATATGCCATGCGCTTGAAGACCGTCTTTGCCTCCTTGCCGTTTGCGCGCACGCGATTGAGACCTAGCTTAGGGCTGATTTGCAGTATCGGCTTCTCACAAAGGATCTCTCCTTCTGGAAACTCGCCAACTACACGTGTAATGTACTCCTTCTTCACGGTCCTCCCTCTTATTTGTGCGCTCAGCTCCTCTGCTGCCTGCTTGTGTTTCCCGATGAACATGATACCGCTGGTGAGCCTATCCAGCCTATTACACGGTAATGGGTTCCAGCCGTAGCCTCGATCCGCACGCATGATCTCGATGATGGAATTGAAGTTGTAGCGTCCAGCGGGGTGCACTGGCATGCCGGCGGGCTTATTGATGACTATCATGTTGTCATCCTCGTGCACAATACCAATGGGCTGCGCAGTACATGGAGGTTCGTGTCGATGCAGCGTATGGGAAATGACATCGCCATTCTTTACTATCGTCTTCGTACTCGGCACGGGCTTTCCGTTCAACACAACACGTCCGTCTATTATGGCCTGTTCGTAGTACTCGGCGGGTCGGTCGCGGAACTCGCTAGAGAAAATGTCCAAAATTTCCCTACCCCTCCATCTTTCCTTGCAGTATGTGTTGTATGTGAAATGATACGGCGTCACCTTGCGCAATCCATCTTCGAGGTAGTATGGCGGCGGCCAAGGATCGCACGGCGTGATTGCAACGGCTGGCGGGTCTTTCCAGGGAAATCTATCGTCGCGCAAAGGCAAGTATTTGTCGCGCGTGGGAACAGGCACAAGGTCCATGGAGGGTGAGCCTGTGCGAGTCTTGGGCACGGGCAGACGGCCCTTTGATGCAAGATATGCGAGGATGCGCGGAGAGGGCGCCAGAATCGCGGGGCTTGAACTTGGAGGGGTTGAGGGCTGCGTGTGCGAAAAGTTTGGCCATGGCTGCGCAAGCCGAGGTGTGACGGCATGTGGACCTTAGCCCGACTGTTCGCTCTACGACGCGTCTCTACCCAACACTCAACAAGGGAAATATACAAACATGGCACTTGAGGCGTTGAAGTCACGTCGTCGCAATGACTACAACTTCCAGCTCGAGTATAGGACAAGATGGTACCGCCCCACGCGACGCGTACTTCCCAGCACGCACTGACAGCTGCCAGGAGCGACAATGACATGTACCACCATATGAACAACAGCGTCTATTATTATCTGTCTGTACGCCTGTGAATACAAAAATAACAATATCATTACTAAGTCTTACTAGCTTCGACTCGGTAGTAAACACTTACCTCATCCAACACTGCTCATTGCATCCACCCACCTCATCGCAAATCGGCCTGGTCGTACATTCACACTGTGATTACCTTGCTCCCATCGAATTCCCCGCTGTCGTAGACCTCGCATTGAGAGTGAATAAATTGGGAAGAAGCTCGGTGACATATGAAATCGGTGTCTTTCAAAATGGAGAGGACGAGGTCAAGGCTGTTGGCGAATTCGTCCACGTCTTCGTCGACCGTGACAGTCGTCGCCCTGGAAAAGAGGGGATGAATGAAGAGCTCAAGAGAGGTCTAGAGAATTTGTTAGCGAACAAGTCGAGACTATGAGATCCGGGCCACGAGCAGTCGCAATAAGGATACTACATCAGACACAGTATGGCGACCTTTGCGGTCACACGGGCGAGAAATGGTCGACTTTCCCAGGAAGACCGTTCCGTAATACTGCTTAAATTAGGTCTCCAGCCGCTCTACAAGCCCTTTAGTCATCGAGTCGGGTACATCAGAGCGGGGTAGTGCTTTTACGGCAATCTATACCCGCACCGAAGTAACATAAAATACTTGACAATGTGAGTAAACACCTAATAGACGTGTCTGGCGAATACAGTGGCCTTTATACAATAGTATTTCAAGTATATTATGTCACCCAGGTGTCCACCCTACTCTATCGAATTGGTGAATACAACGTTCTTGTGGCTTGTATTCCCGAGTTGAGGTGCCAACTTAAATCTCGCCTATCTGGCCACACCTTCTCACCACTTTAATACTACAACATGTCCATCTCAGCAATACAAGGCCCAGGAATACTCTTCGTCCGCTCTCGCATCTCGCCCGCGAGTGAAAACATACTCAACGAACCTACGTTTCTCAGATGGTACGATGACGAACATATCCCCGAAGTCATCTCTACATCCAGCATCCGGTTCGCTTTCCGCTACGTTGACGTCAACAAGACCTCGCCTACTGGTGACCTCCAGAACCCAAAGCCCTTCCTCGCATGTTATCCCATGCAGGACTTGGCTTTCACGCTCAGTGATGAATTCAAGAAGATCGGTGTCAAGAGTAGCATCCTACCTGGTAGTGGAGTTATCTATGATTTTGCCGACATGGATGTCAGTTATCTGGGCTTCTTGGGTGCAACGCCTAGGAAAGACGGTGATGGAGGAGGTAAGCGGCCTTTCCAATAGTAGAAATATATGATAAACCTGACTCGGAGGCAGGTCACGCGCAATACATTTTGAGTTCAGGGGTCAGACCAGAGAAAGAGCGAGGTCTTGACAGTATCCATGCGTTCTTCCATCAGGTACATCCCCCGTGGTTCTCACCCTGTACTTCAATCAGCACCTTTAACATTTTCTCCCGACAGCAAACCTCCATTCTCTCTCAATCACCACACTTCATTCGTACACTACGCTACAAGCTCCTCTACGCAAGAACAAACGCACAATCCCGCGCTCTCAAAGGTCTCCCAACTACCGATGAACCACACCCTGAGCCGTGTACCTGGTTGGCTATCCATGAATTTTCCAGGTCACCTGATCGTATACGAGCAGACCTGAATAGTGAACCAGAAACGGAGTGGGGTAGAACAGAGATCGAGGTGCACGTTTGGAAGTTGGATCGTATGCATGCAGGCGATATGACTGCTGAAGTCATGTATACGAGATCAAAACACCCGTCATCCAACTAAAGTTAGCGCGGTCTGACTAGAACTTGTGTTGGAGATGATTGCGCTTGGGGCGACGCTTCGGATGAGATATCCACGCCTTGGTCGGTGTGGTGATAAGGCCTGGCTCTTTTTTGGTTAAAGTTATTACTCAGCTTGGATCATTTCACGGCTCTTGGTCCTTCTATGCATGATTAAGCCCATTCAAGGATAGTAGACTGGTAGCTACACTGGAAGCATAGAATGTTTAGCGATGACAAGTCATCACCCAACCTTATCTTTGTGGCTCCCCAGAGTCTTACGGGACAGCGTCAAGGCGTCTTTGCGTAGAGAAAGTAGAGCCGTTGAAGCACAAATGGCTGGTACGAAGAGTCGGAGCGAAGGGACAACATTTTATTATGAAGCCTCGCTCACGAGCACACAAGCTCCAAAGCTCACATCCATCTAATTTAATTCCCGAATCCTTCTCAACGCCAGCATGAAGCTCCTCACCATCACCCTCACTCTCCTCGCAGCAACGATTACTTCAGCTGGACCCCAAGCCCCAAACACCAACCCATATGCCGTATGGTGCAACGCTGACGGAACAAGAGGAAACAAAGAGTGTGAAGACGCAGGCTTGAACACATGTTGCATAAGATGGTTACTCCGCCTCTAGACTTAATGTCCTCTAACTTAATTCTGTTACTTTTAGTGCCGTTACGTGCCAAGCGGTCCATTCAATATCTGGCGGGATGTTAAGAAACCATCGGTAAACTGGGCGGGGTATCGCAAGTGTTACGTCGGTAATCGTAAGGGAGAGGTTCGGTGTGCTTATGGACCTTGTATGTTTGCGGATGGGGCTGGCGGTTGCGGCCACTGAGGTGGTGGGTCTGTCGAAGATGGACAGGAAAAGTAGTCCAACTACATGGCGGACTTGTGTATAGTACCTTGTTGCAGCTGGACTGGTGTCACTATCAATTTAATTTCATGTAATTCTGTATAGAATATCTACAGCAACTATCCATAGCCGCTTGGTTGCTGGTACCTTCTCTAAAGGTGATGGTTTCTACCGATTCAAGCAAGCCCACAATTGGCTCCCGAGACTTGAAACTGATCTGAACATCTCCACCAATCATCTGGAGGACTTTTAGAGAGTCTTTGCATTACTGTGGATGAGTGTCGTTTGTAACAACGGCTTCTCATAGGTTGCCGAAGTGTCAAAGTTGGTGTAAGGCTGGCGCCTACAATGACCTTTGCACACTAGTATGTCAAGTTTTCCAAGCTATACAGGTGTTCGCTAGCTATCCGTGAGTCCGGACCGAGCCGCGCGTATGTAGCTGCGCATGAAGTCTTGTATTCTGCGAGTAATTTCTCGTGTCAGATCCTCTATCTGGCACGGGGCATATCCAGTGCCTTGGTAGTGCGTTGACTGTTCCGGCATTCGCCCACAGACTTCGTAAAAAACTCAGGCTCGACGGGCATTGCCATTTACATGTATATCTATGATACAAATAAGCTGCAAGAGCCATGTGTCACCAAGAGATGCCAGAAAGACTCGGATCATGGCATGGAGTGAACATCGCGAGTGTAGTCGTTACCCAGGCATGCACTTGTCCTATCTCAATCATAGTAGATAATTGGAACACCAAACAAGTGTAAGAAACCCATATGAGTATGTAATACTACGTTGCCATTCACTGCCCGCCATCGCGCCGCATGGCCCGCTTGGGCTAGCACGCCACCGCTTACATGCGGCGAAACGCACCAGCACTCGGAACCGTCGGTGACGATGCGCAACATTTCAAACAGCCGTATCAGTAGATATGCAGTCGATACATTACACGTCATATCCAATTAGAGCCATAGTAGCCGGCGGAGAAAGAGTCGGAAAGGCGATGAAGTTTGGCCGTCGCAAAGCTTTGCTTGATGAGGAAACAACCTCCACGGATGCCCCGCCCCTAGTTTACCGCAACCACGACGAGGCCGAGAAGGGTCCACTTATCATGCAGGCCGCATTGGGATATTCGATTGAAGCTGTAGTATGTCGTGGTATAAATACGGTGTAGAGCGCCATTGAGTTTTTATCATCACATCAAATCTATCCCACTTTATGCTTTGCGACGACAAGACTTGGATTTTGAACAACATGGCATCGAGCAAACCCTCATATCTTGTCGTTGGCGCTGGCGTCTTCGGGGTTTCGACTGCTTACCATCTTATCAAGAAGTACCCCGATCGACAAGTAACTATTGTCGACCAGGATGCATGGGACGCCGACAACCGCGTGGCAGCTTCTTGGGATTGGAACAAGGTCGTGCGCGCAGATTACGACGATGTCATCTATTGCAGACTTGCTCTTGAAGCACAAGATGTCTTCAAGGAGGACCCACTATGGAAACCATACTTTCATGAAACGGGCATTTTCTGGGTCTGCCGCTCAGATTACGCACAAGAGGTCATCGACAACTACAAGAAGCTCGGAAGGGAGGCAGACCTACAGTCTGTAACTATTGAGGAGGCAAAGAAGTTGTTTGGCGGACTGTTTGAAGATGCAAACTATGACGGAGCAAAGAGTGTACTGGTCAACAAGACGAGTGGGTGGGCACAGGCTGGTGATGCACTAAGAGCAGTGACCAAGTGGTCGATCGACAACGGCGTCAAGTACATCACGGAAAAAGTTGAAAGTCTAGCATTCGACAACACCGGTCGATGCACAGGTGTCAACACCGAGCAAGGAAACACCATCTCCGCCACACATGTCGTCCTATCAACCGGCGCCTATACGGCAAAACTTCTCGAGCAGGCCGCCCAGAAAAGTGGCAACAAAGAGCTCCGTTCTGGATCGAGAATTGTTGCTGGTGGTATCACGACCGGCATGACCACTCTGGACGAAAAGTCGTACGAACGCTTCAAGGACATGCCCGTTGGTGTCCAAGGCTATACCGCCGCCTACGGACCGTTTATCGGCAGTCTGCCACCTACCAAAGACCGCGAGCTCAAGTGGTGGGGCGAGAAGATCTTCAAGAACACTCACGAAGTACTTCCTGGTCGATTCGTCTCCGCACCGCCATCAGGCAAGGACTACAACCAATGGGATGTTCCAAGCCCATTGAAGCTAGACATTGCCCATGCGAATGACGTCTTCTACGGCAAGAAGGGCGCGAACTGGAAGATGGACAAGCACCGGATTTGCTGGTTAGTACTACTTAGAGTCTATACTTTTTTTCACATTTCTAACGTATCACAGGGACGCTTTCACCACTTCTTCCGACTTCATCATCTCGCCTCATGCCGGCGCCAAGGGCCTATACGTCGCAACATGTGGATCCTTCCACGGCTACAAGTTCTTCCCCGTACTCGGAAAGTACGTCATTCAAATGTTGGAAGACGATCTAGAGCCGGAACTAAAGGAGAAGTGGGCCTGGGACCGCGAGAGGCCCGCACCGAGCCTTAACCCAGACTGGCCGAGGTTTGAAATGGCCGATTTGATGGATCAGTGGCCAAAGGCCAAATTGTAAGTGACGGGCTGCTAGATGGATGATGATAATGAGTGGGGTATTATGCATGTTTGTATGGCGTTTATGAGGGTTGTTGGAGTTGTATTGGTGCATCAGTCGCTAGATTCGAATAGCATTTGCTCCAAGATTTTGTTGGCAAAAGCCATGTACAAGACTTTGGCCAGTCAACCAAATAGAAAAATCTATGCATGAAGGCAGTATTGACATATACATATTGATTTAAGTTATATCTACATTGAAGTGTGTTTTGACAACCTTCCGCGGGTGTCAATCAATTTTGTATGTCTTCTTTGCGCGTGCAATACGCGTCTAAGCAGTGACCTTGCTCTTGATGAAACTGAGAGCCTGGTTACCGTAGATGATGACGTACTGCTGGTGATGGTTGGCGTCATTTCCGTTGCAGCAATACGGGTCCTGAGAGTCGCAGTAACTCTGGATGATGCTGGTGTTGGCTGGTGAGCATGTGAAGCCGTTGGGACGGGCGGCAAACTTCAATGCTGGTTAGTTTTGAACACCATCAACAGTATTCATAGTAGACTTACGCCTTGGGCCTTGCATGTGCCGACGTTGTAGGGTAGTCCATTACGGTTGTGAGGGTCGCCCATGAAGATTGCCGCCTTAACGGCAGCAAGGGCATTACCGGTAAGGGTTGAGCCTGCACCACCGCAGAGGGCATTATCCATGATTTGGCCTCCCTGAGTATAGTCAGCATGCTACGCACTTTTTCTTCTCATGTTCCTCAACTCACCTGAGAGTAACCGATGAGAACAATCTGTGTGCTGGGGCACTTCTGGTTGTAGGCGGTAACAGCCTTGACAACGGCTGCAGTTCCCTGGGAAGCAGAGTTGTCGTAGCTGATGCCTCCACAGGCTGATCCTCCACCACAAGCGGGGTATACAATCGCCTCTGAGCCCGCACCAGAATAGGCAGACTTGACGGAGTTTACGAGGTTTGCTGTAGTTCCGTAGCCGTTGCTTTGAGGCACGGTGGTCTCGCGAGCTGCGAAAATGTAGACCTTGGGGCAGCTCTGGCGCTCAGTGAGTTCAACTGGACTAGCGGCGGCGAGGCCTGCAAAAAGAGCGGTGGCTGCTGCGATCTTCATATTGTTGACGATACGATAGGTAAGGAACTGATTTGGTGGTGGTCTTAGAGTGAAGAGTGCGTGGCGATCAATTATGGGTAGCGGACAGATCCGTATATAAAGCAACTTCTATGGCTACGCAAGCCGTCTTTTAGGCAGAATCAATCTTCTCCACAATCATGCCTCGTATAAGAACAGTGGGGAAGTCTTTGCTGTTTCCATTTTCCTGGTGTACAAAAGGTCCTTTCATCCGTTGTCGCAATTTATCTGAGTAGCCCTGTGACGATGACCAGACAGGGATTATTGCCGTAGTCCGTGGGCGCTGCATGCAGAACTAAGCCGCGGGGGTCTGGGGTGCATATGAGTTCCGGTGCCGACGGAAAAAGAGCACTCAAGCGAGCAAATGGAATCGTGCAAGGTATATAATACCAGATATTTTGTTTGATAGCTCCAAATGAACGGCGTTGCGGACGCGTGGGCGGGTGATATACAGTGCCGGTGTGGAGCCGAACGTCGCTGGCTAAAAGGGATTTCTCAAACGAGGCTGCTCTGCACATTGCTCTTCTAGGGTCAAACTTGGATATGCGAGTCACAACGGTGAGGAACATGTCGTTCAGATGAGGAGGGCGCATGAACAGCTCGCATCAAGGAATCTCGAATGCCATCAACTTCGACGTGGCTACGCCGCTGTTTGTTAGTTGGTGCGGTAATGTAGGATTACTCGATCCAGATACCATTGACCGCAGACGCCACTGATCTGGAGCGCCTGGGACGGTGAGCCGATTGAGCCACACAACGAGAAGCTGTGCCGAGCTTGAAACATGAAACATGAAACGATGTGGTATACCCACGCCCTCTTACCAGCCAAACAGTGCATTCGACGAGCGTGTTGCCTTGCATGTTTTCCGCGGTCTGTAAATGAAGTTGTTGTCTCTGGCGGAGAGACACACGCGCATTAGATAGATTGGGATCGAGAACGCCGAGGTTGCGCCAGGTAATTGAACATGCCCAGGTGGGCACAAGGACAATCTCCTGGAAAAACGTCGGCATTTCAAGATAATCCAGGCTCCTGCCACCAGCTGCGGCAGTGTTAACGTCATGGGGTATAGCGCGGGCATCAGCCGAGGGGAAGCTCAATCGGTGATTAGTGACGTATGGACCTTCTTAACTGTGTACAGCATAGTCCTTATAATGATTATAAATGTAGTAGGAGTGGGGGCATATCTTGCCTACAAAGACCGCTTTCATCTCTTCATTCTTCCTCCAACTAAAGCTCAATAACATCATGTCTTACAACTGTGTAGGAGTCGTCACCGGCGCAAACAAGGTATGCGCCGAACGAAGAGCCCTCTCTCATATACCAGACTGACAAATACAGGGTATTGGACTCGCAATTGTCCGCCAACTCGCGCTTCAATACCCAAAGTCACCGCTTAACAACGGGCCCTTTCTGATATACCTTACCGCGCGCGACCAGGGCAGAGGAGAAGCTGCTGTCAAGAGTCTAGAGCAAGATGCGCAATTGAAGCAGGCAAAGGCATTGAAGGCTGATGGCGGACTCTCTGAAATACGATTCCACCTGTTGGATATCACGAGCAGCAGCAGCATCAAGGACCTAGCGGACCACCTAAAGCAAACACATAGCGATGGCATCGACTTTGTCATCAACAACGCCGGCATTGCCATGGAAGGCTTCGGTGAGTCTATCTGCACTTTCCCCTATACAAAGAAAAAGCAATTGGCTAACATGAATAGATGCCAACGTGGTCAAAACCACACTCGACTGCAACTACTACAAAACCCTCGAAGCAAGCCGGACCTTTATCCCCCTCCTCAAACCCACCGGCCGCATCGTAAACGTAGCCAGCATGGCCGGCAAACTCAACAAATACTCGGAAGAAATCCGTAACCGGTTCCTGGCCTCAAAAACCGAAGACGATGTTACAGCCATCATGAAAGACTTTGCGGCGGCAGTAGAGGCAGGCAAGGAGAAGGAGGCAGGGTTTCCCAGTGCAGCATACGCCGTCAGTAAGGCAGGGCTGATTGGTGGGACAAAGGCGCTCGCGAGGCAACAGAAGGAAGCGGGCAGTGGGGTATTGATTAATGCATGTTGTCCCGGTTATGTCAATACGGATATGACAAAGGGGAATGGGGTTAAGACTGTGGATGAGGGTGCTCAGACGCCGGTTTTGTTGGCGATTCAGGATATCCACGGGAAGACGGGCAGTTTCTGGCAGAGTGAGAAGGAGATTGATTGGGTTGGATAGGCATGTGGGGTAGCAGATTAAATGACATATGCACTATTCATCTACTATGCTGTAGTTCGAGGTTGAACATTCTGTCTGTGGTTGTGTTGGTAGCTGTGGGTCGCATTAGAAGCACACATGACACATCACGGAAACGAATAGACACGGCATAGGTTAGGGTAGCCTGCTGATGGTGAAGGAAAAAAGTATTTTGTTCGCAAACTATGGCATATGATATGCCCCCCAAAGCTACCATGGGATTTCAAGCAAAGAGAAAAAGAAGGAACTTTTTCTCCACGCATCAGTGCGCAAGAAAGATAGGATTGGGGAGATCTCAGCCCGTGATATGTAGCAAGGGGAAGAAGAAGAGAAAGAACTTTTCAATCAGCTAGAAAGGGTAGAGTGAAAACAGAAAATGCAAGGAACCATCCGATCTATCAACCGTGATAAGTTCCGGCCCGTTTTCCTGGGGCTAGGGTTGGGGCTGTTTTCTGGAATTAGTATGACGTCTCAGGAGTGTGGCTGGGATGACATACAAAGTCGTATTTTCGAAGGCTGATAAAGAAGAAATTGTGAAAGTATATTTGTGTTGCTGTGAACTTTTGGCGTGAGCACTAGGGAGTGGCAGTTTTGAATGGCTTGTCCCGGACTTGAAAGCTGAGGGCACAGTGATGTGATGTTGAGGGATAGCTTCATCGTTCAGTCGTCAGACAGGAGGTTGTTCATAGAAGACTACTGGCTCCTGAGTTGGTCGAGCTTGGCCATGGCAGTACTGTTGTTTTACGCCCTCGCCTTCTCTTTCTTCAAAGTGCTCTTGAGGTTTGTGATGGTTGGTGCATCGGCTTTGCGTTGTGTTCTGAGAGAATCATTATTATTGGAAGCAGTCGCATATGCATCCTGCCATTGAGAGAGTACGTGCTTTGTGTTCTCCAGTTCCTGTTTGGCTCCCTCTAACTCTCTCTCCATGGCTGCAAGGTTCTCATCGGACGACTCGAGGGTTTTTTTGATCTCCTCAAGTTCATCCTCGGCCGTTTCTTGGCAATTTTGGCCTCCCGTAGTTCTTCAGTGACACTCTCTAGTACTCGATTGGTCATCACTAGATCTTTCTTGGTCACATTCAGTTCCCTCACGACGCGATCGATGATTGTCTGTAGCTCGGTTTGGAGGTTGTTTGAATTCTGCATCTGGTATTTATCCAGTTGTTCTTGCTGCTGAGCAATATTAGTATGTGATTTACTGTGATTGGTGTAGGCATGCTAATACCATTGCGATAGCACGTTCATACAACCCCCCTGCAGGCCTACTCTTGTTCTTAACGCTTGGTGGTGCCGGCATCTTAGGCGCCATGATGATGTTGATAAGACGAAACGTAGTTTTTTTTGATCGAGGGACCTCTTTTCTGATCGAAGCAGTGAAGGAGAACAAAGGTCCAAGTCGACGTGAGTGGAGAAGGTATTTGTGGAAAGAAGTGAGGTGGAAGAAAGCAAGAAAGAATAGCCGAAATAGCAATCCTTTATCTGTGGAGCTACAAACAGGTGAAGGTGGTCCCTAAGCGAGAGAGAGCACGTAAAGGCAGTCTACGCGCAATGTCGGACAGGGAAGAGTAAAGGTAATGGCTTGGCTTCTCGACCTGTACTGTGTTCACCAGCAATCCACTAGATACTCGTACTTTCCCTAGCCCTTCGAGTATTCGAACTGCCTGAAGAAATGATTGCCATCCATTACAGCAGACACAAACTATACTAGATTGAGCCTACCAGCAGATTATTGTTCTACGTTGCCCAACTGGTCCCTTGTCTGAAGCCTACCTCAAGCCAAGAGGGGTAGGCTTGGCAAGACCCCACAACAACGCATGAGCACTACAGCACTACATCACAACCCTAGTTAGGAACATTTTAAGGACTTGGAGAAGAATCAAAAGTGAGACATGAAGATGTTAAAACCTATTGTTCTATAATGGAAGCTGTTACTAAGGCCATACCATCTGGATGGTCTCATATATAGAGGGAACGGCTGGTGACGACGAGGTCAAAGAGTGTACCCCCTCAAAACTAGATGCATCGAATGCATACAGTACCCCCATTTGTCTCATACGCTGGCAATTCCCTCATGTACGTTGTTGCATACTCACGTCGACTTTGATACCAGACCCACCTACCGCTCAATCCGGAAGTGTGCAAAAATGCACTGAGACCCCCCAGATGGTGCAAACCTCTATTTCTTCGAGCAAATCAAATCCCTCCGTACTACTTGTGAATCTGTGAGTCGATTGATGCGAAAGAATAGGGCGTCCGAGGGGCATGGTGGGGAGATTGAGAGCCCTATGGTGTCAGGTGGGAGGGGCTTGGCAGGCTGATGGCCGCACAGTAGGTATATACTGGCGCCGCCCACTCCTCCCGCACCATCACTCCCTCCTCCCACACTTCCCTCTACACAGCCATTCCGCAACAACTCTTTTCCATCTTGGTTCCAAGTTGGCAAGGCTTTGCAGGATCCTTGGCAACCTTTCCAACTCTTCTTTGATACTACATGCTGGTATCTGGTCCAGACTCTATCACCATGCCGTCGTCGCCATCAATATCCTCGGTTCATCAGGCAGCAGCCTCTCAGTTGGACAAGAAAGCGGTGCATGGCTATCGTCAGACGATGTATCGCGATGGAGCCGGTTGCCAGATTGCAGAGTCTCGCCGTCACTCTGATATGGCCCGCAAGGCCCGGTCGTCGACACAGGCATATGTCGACTTCGTTCTGTACCCATCAGACGATTTACCAGTGTCTCCGCGAAGTTATTCAGGCGAGACTTTGCATCAGCACCCCGCACCACGAAGGAGGACGGCAGATCCTATTCCGGGGCTGCACATGACTTCCGCCAAGCATTTGTCCAAAGCCAGACCTAAGCCGGTGATTGTTCAACAAACGACGCAATCAAGTCGAACACTTTCCGATAAAACAAAAGCATCTTTACAGACTGCTTCTGGTTCGAGGCCACCCCCCAAGCCCCGGTCGGCCCGGCTGCCAACACCAGAGCTCTCCGATCTTGACGAACCACTCTTCTGCGATTGTGGCGTAGCAGGCCATATTTTCAAGTGCTGCACCTCATGTGGAAAAGAGATTGACCTTTAGTAGTATCATGCTGGCTCCACGGTCTTGGGTTGTTTTCCTTTGGAATGTTTCCTGGGTTTCATTGTTGGTGTTATTGGCGTTTCTCCACGTTTGAGCAGCACGTTCTTGTAATTTGAACTTTTTTCCCACTGGGCTCAGCACACTACCGCGAGGCCATTGGCGTATGGGCTTGTAATCCATGGAGTGCCGAGATTTCTCTTCTGCTCATAGCAGTTTTTCGCCATAGAAATAATATCCTCAATACCTGGTTGTACCCCGTCAAGCAGTAATATCTCATTCCTGGGGTCGCTCGCTCTCAACAACAAAGTATTTGCCAGACTTGCGCTCAGCTGAGCCTAGTACGTCCCAGTCTTCAACGTCTTTGGCGTCCTTGGGTGTTGTGTCTCGTTGTATGCGCTTATAATGCTGTCCTATGACTTTCTCGCTGTTGAGGACTTCCTTGACCTGCTCCAACCCGATCATCTGCTCCTTTATCGCAGCTTGTCCCTCAGGACGTATAGCCCGTAGGGGAGTTACGCCCGTGGTATCTACCTCTTGTATCTTACCCACAAAATGCAGTTGGTCCGCAAGCGTGTCCAGCATCTTCTGCTCTTGTTCGGACGTCTCGGGTGGCGGGAGGGCAGACAATCGCAGTAGGTGGTGGAGCTGCTCAGAGGTGATTTTCGGGGCATCGGCAGCGCGCGTCTTGGGTGGTAGAAGTGACTTGACGGACCAGGTGGGCTCTGCGAAAAGCTTCTCGAGCTCGTCGGGATGGACTCCCGAATTCTTCTTCGGCTCCTTTGGTACCACTGGATTTATGTACTTAACGTTGTGAAACGAATATGAGCGTGCTTGCAGGTACTGTGAAGGCCTGAACAAACTTGCAGCCACAAAGGCGCGCCGTGAGGCCATGATCCGGTAATTTTGGTGGGATAGCAATATACGCGAGACGGTCGTTTGGCTGTGATATCGCAGAATGTCTACTTCTAGCGTACTCTCGATACCGAGAAGTTTGAAAGCCAATATAGAACCTGAGGGGTGGTAGTGTGGCTGCAAGATCGGCTTGAGGCGGTTGCGAAGCCCTAGCGCAGATGCGGTCAAGCCGCCGAGGTCAGCTTGCTCGCATGGACCAACGTGGGTCGTCATCGCTGGGCATTGAGACAGGCAGTGCAGCCACCTGTCTCAACCATAGTTTCGATTCCAACGTCTACTTACACAGTATTCTCTTCTCCGGATACACTTTTCACTACCAGAACCATCCCATACCGCAGCTTCAGCAAATATGGCTGGCGATCCAAGAGCGTTGCTGAAACAGGTGGGGCTTTCGCTCGCGACTCAACCATGAAGCGGAAAACTAATATTGGGGTGTTGCGATAGGCAGAAGCGTCGCTACAGAAAGCATCTGGCGGCTTCAGTTTCTTCGGAAACAAGCAAGACAAGTGTATTACCTCAGCGGTCGTATAACAACGCTCGGGCTAACGCACGTGACAGATGAGGCTGCCGCAGATCAGTTCATCGCCGCAGCAAATGCGTTCCGGATGCAGAAGATGGGTAGGAAGAGACTTCCACTGCAATCTTACTTTACAGCGAGGTTGGTTCCTCTCAAATACTGACTATTTCTAGGCAAGGAGGCTGGCGAGGCCTTTGAAAAGGCAGCATCAGTCCAGCGCCAACACCTAAATGAGCCCGATGACGAGGCAAACACTCTCACAGACGCCTTCAGTATGCTTCATCGCGAGCCTTAGGCCTGCGTGCTACTAACAACATGTCAGAGGCCTACCGAAAAGACGACCCAGAAGCTGCAGCCAGATGTCTAGACAAGGCCATAGCACATTACTGCAGCAAGGGCAACTTCCGTCGTGCAGCCACTCACAAGCAGAACCTCGCCGAGCTCTTCGAAGTTGAACTCGGCGACAACACACGTGCAGCAGCCGCTTACGAAGAAGCAGCAGGCTGGTATGAAAGCGTACGTCCCATCATTTCTACCCTATTCCTTCTCTCAACTAATCTCTCTGAAAACCATGCTAACAAACACTTAGGACAACGCCGAAGTAACCACTCCCCAAAACTCACCCCACCTTTTGGCAAATACTAACCACACCCTTCACAGGCCCTCGCCAACAAACTCTGGCTCAAGACCGCCGACCTCGTAGCCCTTGAAGGCAAAGACTACTACAAGGCTATTGAGCTCTACGAGAAAGTCGCAAAGACATCCATTTCTAACAACCTCATGCGTTGGTCCGTCAAGGAGTATTTGCTCAAAGCTGGTATCTGCCAGCTCTGCACGGGCGACCAGGTCGGTGTCACTACTGCCCTTGATAGGTACAGGGAGCTAGACCCCAGCTTCCAGCAGCAAAGGGAACACGCGCTACTCGTTGACTTGGCCGCGGCTGTCGCGGATGGTGATCAGGAAATGTTCGCTGATAAGGTACGTTATGACTACATCCGACTGTGCACGAAATGGAGCGACTGCTAACTCCTTTGTTTGTACAGCTGTTCCAGTATGACCAGCTGAGCAAGTTGGACAAGTGGAAGACTACTCTTCTATTGCGGGTCAAGAACACGATTGAGGAGGGCGGCGAGGACTTCTCGTAGAGCATTGTTGACGGAGTTGGGGTACATTTACTCTATCTAGTACACTGTTTTTCCGTATACAAATGCAGTCTTCTTGGTCTTTGAGATCATTTTCATGAATCATGCTTTTCATGAATCATGCGGTACATCAAAGTCATGTATATTCTGGTTATCTAGAGGTTGTATACGTGCTAGTGTGAAGTAGGGTGCACGCTTCGCCTGAAGGCAAGGTCGGTATACGAGAAAGAGACTTTTCATGACGATCGTCTAATGCAGCATGAAGCCCAAAGACAAAGGATACGGTATCTACCCATCCATATGACGGCTACATACCTACAAGTCCATGTTCTCCTCGAGATAAGGCTCAAGACGCTCCTTGAGGTCCTCAACGTCGAGTTCCTCGCCCTTCCAGAAAACCTGCGCACCAGCGGCGTTCTTGGGCGGGATCAGAACATCAGAGACGACCTGAGTAACACCATCATTGGCGACACCGTCATGCACAGTGACGCGCGAGAAGCCGTTGATTCTAATGGAAATGAAGGGTCCGTAGCGAGCCACATCAACAGCGAGGTACTTGTCATCCAGCACAGTAGGAAGATCGTAGTGGTAATAAGGTGGAGCATCCTTGTCATCGACCACATCATCCTTTGTTCCGTCGAAAAAGGCATCAGAGTACAGCGTCTGGTCGACAACAATGTGATACTCGAGCAGAGCCTTGAGGTACTTCTGGCCGTACTTTGAGAACAAGAAGGCGTTGACGCGCGGACCTAGCTTCTGGAAGGCCCAGTTCGAAGGGGCGAAGAGAGTGCCACCGGTGTGGGGATACTCTGTGCTGTTCATCTTGTCATAGATGTCGGTCTTTTGTAGGGCGAGTTCAAGCGTGCTGAACTCGCCGGGGAGGAGGTTGATGATGGAGGCGACGCTGGGGGGAGGCAAGAGGATGGAGTCGATGCCGTGGACAACGCCGTTGGTGCCGAAGATGTCGACCGCTACGATACGGCTGTAGAAGTTGATGGCGGGGCCCTTGAGCGTAACGCGGACTGTGAGACGCTGGGCGTGCCCGAGGTTCTCGCTGGGCGTGTACAGAGTTGGGATGGTGTAGGAGTGGAGCACACGGCCAGCAGGGTAGAAGTCACCGCTGACATGGTAACTGAGGATCTTCTTCAGGATCTCCTTACTTGGGTGTTTGCCGTGGTCGGGGATCTTCTCGAAAGCCTCATCGGTAGGCGCAAAGACGGTGAAGTTGGCAGTTGTGCCATTGAGGAGCTCAACAATGTCGTCGAACTCGTTGATCCACTTTGCAAGCTGGTAAAGTGTTAGTATGCGTGTGAGACTGATTGTATATAGAAGATTCTTACCTTGGTAGTGTACTTGCTCTCATTGATGAGCTCGTACACGGTTCGGGTCGGTTTATCATCGTGATGCGGGTCATGAGGCTTGCCGTGGTGTGGCGGTCCGTGATGAGGAGGCCCGTGGTGGGGAGGCGGAGGATGATGGGGATCTTCATCACAGTGCTTGCCCTTGCAATAGAAGAAATCTTCATCGTCGTCGTTGAAGTCGGATCCCTCCGAATCCTCAAAGTCAATGTCGTCAAATTGCGAGCCTTCCAACCACGACTCTACATCGCAGCCAGCATTATGAATCGTGTTGTAAACATCATTCGCACCCTTCTTTACTTCATCGAATGCATTGTCAAGCACATTCTTCGCGTCATCGAAAACATTCTGAGCTTTGTCGACATAAGGCCTGCCAACCTTTTCAACATCAAGGCTGTCGAACCGGGCCAGTTCGGTAATGACGAAGGCAGCTGCCAAAGGCAAGACTGGTACCACGCGTGAGAAACGCATGTTGACTTGATTGACAGATGGGTAATGGGAAAGTGACAGGACAAGACAAAGAGTGGTAGCGCGAGTGCAAGAACAAGTAGCTTCCAAGAGGAGCTAAAGAGTAAGACGAGTCGATTACACCACCACTGCGTGGCGATGATGTTAGAGCCAAGCTCGGCAAGTAATCCGTTTCGCGGACAACTACACGGACGAAGTCATTGAGCCACAGATGGGATTGCCTTCACAGCCACACATACTGAGCGAGAATCATATACATTGATACGTACTGCGTAGGCAACAGCGCGACGCAGTCCTGTGGTTGGTGAGGACGCGTCAGTCGATACTTCCCCGCGTTCCGTAAACATGCCAGAGATGCGAGTATACGTCATCATCGTCGATGCGTCACACCACTCGAAACAAATGTCGTTTTGAATAACTAAGTAAGCCTTCGTTAGTTTGTCCATACGGATCTCGAGGATGGCGCGCGCAGCGTTGTGGCGGAGGCCACGACAGCGTGGGGTAAAATGGAGAAAGTTGGAGAAGGCGATTAAATCACGTGAAATCTTGCGGCCGGATAAACCTTTCGCCGTCCTTGCTTAGTCAAAACTTGTCAACTCGCAGTTTCGTCATTGACCCGCTCTTGGACTTGCTGCCCGGGCAAGGCGAGGTGCGTTGGTCTTGTTTTGACCTGAAGGTCTAGACTGATAGTTTTTGCGTTGGTGTCGTTACTTTTGCGCTCCGCGCGAGGCTTGTAACGGTAATCCAGGCTGTGGTGGATGCAGGAGTAGCAGGAGTCGTCAGCTTGCGTTATTTTCATTCCACGCTGTTGCCCTGTGAGGTACAAGCTACGTATATCCACCAATGCCTCAATCAGCGTGTACGACTCTAGTTCTGGCGCCGCGGTGGGTTCTGTCAAAGCTTCTAACGGACCGCTCTTATAGCTTGCCTAATTGGCTGCCTGCAAGATCTTTGGATATGGAAACAAGCTTTTTACCAAGCAATTGTCAAGCTTCATCAGATTTTGCGTTGGCTGCATGTTCCATGTTATTACCGACATTGACGTGCAGGCAATAGCAGATATACTGTGTCGTCATATCTACAACATTTACCTGTACTGCGGCGTTTGCATATAAACTACGCTGGAATCTTTGCTACATCAATTCATTTCCCACAAGCTTTCTCACTTTCTCAACTCCCTCTCACTTACCACGACTATCACAATGGCCGGACTCGCGAGACACGTAGACACGGATGAGCTCGTAAAGACTCTCCAGGACCACCCCATGCACAAGGCTGGAGGCCATGCGAACCGAGCGACTTCACACATTACGCCATATTCAAGTAGATACGCTGCCGGTGTCGAGCTATCGAAATTCAAGATTCCTCAAGATGGTGCTCCAGCCGATGTTGTCCACCAATTGCTCAAGGACGAACTTGATCTGGACGGGCGTCCCAGTCTGAACTTGGCATCTTTTGTCGGCACATACATGGAGAAGGAAGCGGAACAACTCATGATCGAGAACCTTTCCAAGAACATGTCAGACGCTGATGAGTACCCTGCGATGATGGATATGCACGCACGCTGTGTATCTATTATTGCTAACATGTGGGGTGCGCAAAAGGGCGAGAAGGCCATCGGATCTGCTACAACCGGTTCAAGCGAAGCCATTCATCTCGGCGGACTTGCTATGAAGCGCCGCTGGCAAGAAAAGAGGCAGGCAGAAGGCAAGGACACTTCCAAGCCCAACATCATTATGGGTGCCAATGCGCAGGTCGCCTTAGAGAAGTTTGCGAGGTACTTCGAGGTTGAGGCCCGCATTCTTCCTGTGAGCGAGGAGTCATCTTACCGTCTTGATCCCAAGTTGGTCAAGGAGAACATCGATGAGAACACCATCGGTATCTTCGTCATTCTCGGTTCCACGTACACCGGACATTACGAGCCCGTTGAAGAGATCTCCGATATCCTGGACGCTTTCGAGAAGGAGACAGGCAACGACATTCCAATCCATGTGGATGCAGCCTCAGGAGGTTTCATTGCTCCCTTCACCCACGCAAAAGCTGGCAAGAAGTGGAACTTTGAGCTTCCGCGAGTCAAGTCTATCAACACTAGTGGACACAAATTTGGCCTGGTATACGCTGGTGTAGGATGGATCATCTGGCGAGACGAGAGCTACCTACCGAAGCACTTGATTTTCGAGCTCCACTACCTTGGTGGCACCGAGGAGTCTTACACACTTAACTTCTCAAGGCCAGGAGCACAGATCATCGCACAGTACTACAACTTGATTCATCTGGGATTCTCGGGGTACCGAGGCATCATGGAGAACACTCTGGCTAATGCACGGCTGCTAAGTAGAGCGCTTGAGCATACGGTATGAGAAGGCATCTAAAATGACTTGAATACACATACTGACACTGTAACACAGGGCTGGTACCGTTGCGTTAGCGACATACATCGCAAGAAGGGCGATTTGAAGTACGAAAAGGGCAAGAAGCAGTACGAAGAAGGCGAGACTAGCGCAGACTACAACGCGGGTCTACCCGTCGTAGCCTTCACCCTCACCGACGACTTCCACAAGGAATTCCCACACGTCAAGCAAGAAGCCGTCAGCAACCTGCTCCGCGCCAAGCAATACATCATCCCCAGTGAGTACAATCACAACGTAGCGGCATAGCCTTATCTAACCTTATCATGTAGACTACCCGCTACCACCAAGCGAAGAGAAGACGGAGATCCTCAGAGTGGTTGTCCGAGAGAGCCTATCTCTCGACATGATTGACAGACTAGTCACTGACATCTGTGGCGTGACCGAGATGCTGATGAAGACGGATGCGGTTGACCTTGCAGCCTTCCAGCCAGGCGCTAGCCCAAGTATCGAGAAGCAGCATGCGAACAAGGGTTTGAAGAAGGAGCACAAGCACAAGGCTCAGCGGCCTTCGTCTGATGGCGTCTATCGGACCGTGTGCTAGTGCTTCCGCTTAGTTCAGTTTTCCACGGATGGCATTCTTTCCGTTTTTGTTGATCGAATTTTCGGATTTGCACGCCATGGAGTGGGGTTTTTGCAACACGAAGGATACTGTGGCTTGATTGACGTCACTGGAGTGCGTTCATATAGTGGGGTGTTTTTTTTTCAAGAAATAAAAACGGTTCGGATGGATGGTCGCCGAACTATCTATGGTTTCCAAGAACATGATTGCCACAATGAGCTTCTCTTGCATATGGTGCATTTTCATTACTTCTTCTATTATAGTTTTCTCCAGTATATCTAAGCGTCATCGTTTTCGTGAATGTGTAGTCCACAAGGTTGGCTGCTGTCATACCTGTCCTTGACCTTTGGTTGAGACTTTGAGCACAGACGTGCTTTCGTTGTCTTTGACGTGCGCTTGAAGCTGACGGCGAATAGAGTATGATATTGGAAACACTGGTCCAAGGAGTTCCCCGCCTGCACCGCCTCTTTCAATGTGCGCTCAACTCCGCATCCACACAAATCTTCGGAGGCTGCTGGTGCTGTGGTGCTCCTCCGGACACCGCGGGCCCCGAGGATCCGTCTTCATATCACGCGTCTGACGAGAATCAGATGACAATCGGCCGTTAAAAGCTCCGTTGTACGTATAGCAATCATGTCTGGTTGGTGTTGATTTGGCCCAATATGTCACAACACCTCGCCCCCCATAGCCTTTTCCTGCCACACCGAGCGGTAACCGGGCCTTTGCTTTTGCCAGCCTTTCCATTTTGGGATGTGTGGAGAGATTGCACTTATTGATGTTTCTTTTTTGTCGGGGCGCGACGTTTTCGGAATCCATTCCCCCGGGTTACTGGGGCGCTGACATTGCAGGTGATGTGCGGCGATTCTGCCGGCTAGTGTTGACGATGGTTGTTGCAGGGGTCGAATGAAGTTGAATTTGGAAGTTATGCTTTTTTGGCGAGTGTATGTACATAGATATGAGTTGGTATGCGTGGATAATTGGTCCAGGTCGGTAGTTGTGGTTGTTATCTCGCGTGCAAGATTCTCGGAGTTTATTGAAATGTGGAATCTGATGATGAGTAAGATACGAAAACTTCTGGTGTAATGAAAATTGTGACATTTCGGAAAAAAACATGCAGTGGATCAGCTGGTAGATGGTTGAGGTGACTGGAGGCAGAGCAGAGATTTGGGGATAGTACCTTGCACAACGCACCTTCCCGTAATACCTCACCGCTGCACACCTTCCCCACGATACCATTCTACGGTGTGCTTTCCAAAAAGTCTTTCCACATGCTCCAACCTTTGCACAACGACCTTTCCCGTTTCTCTACAAATGCCTGTTATCAACACACCCTCTTGCAACGCCTCTGGCTAGAATGCATCCTGCTACGATGCACCAGCCTGTACAGTGGCGGGGCAATCTCAGCCCCACCAGACTATACAGGATCATGTCTCGCGATATACAGAATTAGGCATCCGATTGCTAGGACCCCCGGTGTAGAGGTCCTGCCAAGTGTTTCCATCTCTTTCGTCAACAAGCAAATATGTTGCGCGGAATTGGCTGCTTTGGGAATGTGATAGCTAACGGTGGGTGGTTTCGGAATGTCAGCCCCGGCAGCATTGTACAGTATCTACACGGCGTAAGCACAGCAACTGCAACTGGACCCTGGCGAGCACTTTGGCTGCGGTGAGGGTGTGTTACTCTGTGCAATGATCAGGCAAGCGAGGTTTCACGGCATTAAAGAGTCTTTGTTCCGGCTGTTTGGGGGTACAAGAGACTTGAGATGACAGAAAGAAGAGTGCCAAGTGACATATGTCATCCTTCTAGCCACGCCATGCGGTGCGTCCACGTGTACGTTGCGGTACCTTGCACACGATTTCCGCTCCAAATCGACCAACATCTCGATCAAGATCAGAGCAGCTAAGATGAACGATTCGCGGCCCCTGCACCGTATGCACCGGGCGCCGAGCCAGCTTAGATCTGGAACTCTGTTCATCCCTCCCTAACCCTGGTGCGGTCTGGCGCGCAGGCAGCATGGCTCGCGATCTCGTCGACTTTCCATGACAGCGACCATCGCCAGCTGTCGGCTGTCCATGAACGCTCGGCCCGTCCCCAACTCGCTCGTTTTGCGTCCCTGCAGCAAGGATGGGCATATCGTGGCGGCGCGCTAAACTGTCCCTCACGTCATAACCCTGGTCAGCGATGCTGCAGCAAGCATCACCAATCTTGAACCGAATCTCCTCATTTTGACTATCTGCGCCCCTTCCGGTGGAGACAGCCTGATATGGTTGACAGATGACATTTAGGGCACCTTTTAGTGTCCAGCCGCCTCGTGGTCTAGAAATCTCGGTGCGAAGCCTTATTCTCGCCAAATCCTGGGGTCATGACGTGCAATAGGCCCTGAAGCGTCTCTTTTGCCTGTGGCACCACAATGTTTCTATCTCCTCTCGCATCAGGTCCTCTATGAACCGTAACCTTCATGTTACGACGTAGTTGCTCCTGGCCGCTGTGCAACACCTGCGATCTATTCGTCTGTACTTCTTGCTCAACACGCGAGTTCTGTGCTTTTAGCGAACATCACCCGATTATGTCAAGCAAAGTACCGCGCATTCTGCTCTACGTACTCCGTCGCGATGTCCGTCTCTCCGACAATCCAATCTTCCATACCGCTGCCCTCCAGACGGCCCGCCAGACCTCATGGAGAAACTCTGCAAACTCTGACCGGCGGCATCGCGATGACTCGTTGACTTCGGAACATGGCGGTGCAAGCTTCACCCACCTCTTACCCGTATACGTCTGGTCAGCCAACCAGATCGAAGTCTCCGGCTTTCTCCCCGCATCCACACCCAGCCCATATCCAGAGGCGCGCAGCGCCGTCGCAAAAGTATGGCGGACGGGGCCCCATCGCGTGCAGTTCATCGCAGACGGAGTTTGGGATCTCAAAAACAAGCTAGCGGACCTGGATTGCGGATCCGGTCTGGAGCAGAGAGTGGGGAAAATAACTGAGGTCGTGTCCGACATACTCGACTGGTACGCAAAGGATGAGAATGAGGGTGAGATCAGTGGGGTGTGGATGACCGAGGATGACGCTACAGAAGAAAAGCGGGAGGAAGCCGAATTGGCAAAAATTACAAAGCAACATGGCGTCGACTTTAAAGTATGGAAGGACGAAAAGTTTTACATAGACGAGTAAGTCTCCTGTCTCATCCATTGGTGGTTGCAGGGACCTTTTGCTGACAGATTGCAGTCGCGACCTACCTTATGACAACATCGCCGACCTACCCAATGTATATACCACATTTCGAAAAGTTTTCGAGCCGCTGCGCGATCGACCCCGAGAGACTTTACCCACGCCAAGCCTACTCCCACCGCTACCGCCGAGCATACCACCACAAAAGGAGCCTTTCTCGATACCGTCGAGTTTGGCGGATTTGAAGAAGGCACTCCTCTCTCCTCTGGAGAAGGACCCAGCGTATACGCTCAAAATGCCGCCGAAATGGCCCACTGACGCCCAGTCGGCACATCCGTTTTCAGGGGGAGAAAGCGCTGGCCTGCAGCGCATCGCACATTTGGTCGCCTCAGGTGCGATGAGCTCATATAAGCAAACACGAAACGGCATGCTGGGTCTCGATTTCAGCACAAAGCTGTCCGCATACCTAGCCCAAGGCCACATTACAGCAAGGCAGGTCCATTGGGCTATGCTTGACTTTGAGGAAGGCCGCGGGCCAGGAGAAAAAAAGCATGCTTATGGGCAGGGTGAGAACGAAGGCACGGCAGCCGTCCGGTTTGAGTTGTTGTGGAGGGACTACATGCGGCTGTGCATGAGGAAGTTTGGACATAAGATGTTTGGACTTTACGGCATTCAGGATCGTGGTGCCAAAGGCTCGCAGCACAAGAAGTGGAAGAAGCTATACAAGGGGGAAGATGGAGAGGACCCGCAGAAAACTATGGAAGTTTTTGAACGGTTCCGGTCAGGGCGGACCGGAGTTGGCCTGATCGATGCGTCGAATCGTGAACTTTTCGTTACCGGTTACACATCGAACCGCGCTAGGCAAAACGTCGCTTCCTTCCTCTCGTCACATCTCAACATCGACTGGCGTGTTGGCGCTGAGTGGTACGAATGCTTTCTTGTTGACTACGATGCGGCTAGCAACTGGGGCAACTGGCAATACGTAGCCGGTGTCGGAAACGATCCACGCCAAGGACGTGTCTTCAACCCCGTCAAGCAAGCCCTCGACTACGATAAACGCGGCGAGTACATCAAGGCATGGGTGCCAGAGTTGAGGGATATCAAGTTGACGCGCACGGTCGGACCCGGGAGAGAAGAAGTGGACCAACAACGGTTGATGGGCCTATACCAAGCTTGGAAGCTGAGCGATTGGGAGAAGAGCAACTTGGGTCTCAAGGGTCTGGATTGGGTCGAAGAGCCACTCACACGGATACAATTTCAAGTAGGCCGTGGACGCGGCGGTCACGATGGGAGACCGAAGCGTGGAGGAGGAGGAGGAGGAGGAGGCGGAGGTGGTGGTGGTGGATATTCATGGCGAGGAAGAGGTGGTCGTGGTCATCAAGGATCCGACCGGAATCAAAGGCGGAAAGGCGAAGAAGAGAAATGGCCAAAGGGGGAGCCTGGTGATGGCCCCACGATTGTAAGTAGTAGCGAGAGGACATAAGCCTCTTGGCGGGTTCTACTCGGTATGGGTCGGTGGGTTGCTTTACTGATCTGATTCCCCTGTTCGAGTATGGTAGCTGGCCACCGTGCTGTGCGCGTCTGGCTGTCTGTCGCGTCTTTTTCAATGCATCGTAAATACTTTATTCAAGATTCTCTGTTGTTAATGATGACTCGTGTTCTGAGTGTATGGTGTCGTGAATTTGAAATATCTATCTTGCTTCCGTATGACATGCCAAGACTACCATCATGACTGTCCAAAACTCGTTATAAAGATGGAAACTATACGCTAGGAGAGTACTCGAGAGTTACACGGATATTACCTGCCGTACATCACCCCACCGTCTCACTCATCCACTCCTGAACCCACCCCTCAACCCACTCCCCCTTCAACGGCTCCAAAGTCCTCAAGGTCTCACTCTCCCCCAATGTCCCCTGCATATCCAACTCCACCCCCAACGTACGTGCCCCAATTTCTCCCAACAGCCCCTCGTAGAAATCCAGTAACTTCATTGCTGGATTCCTCATTGCCAGCGCCTCATGATCGAGTTCCGTATCTTTCTCTGATTCTGCGGTTTTCTGCTTGAGTAGCGCGACCCATTCTGCGTAGGGGATGATTGATACCTGCGTTCGGGAGGAGGAAGAAGAGAGGGTACGTTGGATAACAGGTAAGAGGTCCGCCCATGGCGTTGGTATGGGATGGACAATGTGGTTTACCCTTACCTCCCCCTTACCCTCCCCATCCCCATCCCACAAAGCCAACTCACAAACCACGTCCGCCAAATGATCCACCGGCACCCAATCCGCCCTACTGCCCTCATCCTTACCCAAGGTCCTTGGCAGAGCCCCTACAAACCCCGAACTAGCCACCAAACTCGGCAACCACTCCCACCTATTCCAGCCCTTCTTACTCTCCGCCGCCCCTGCTATCTGGCCCAGCCGCACGACACTAGCACTAACCCCCAGCGTCTCACATGCATGAGCAAGAAGCCGCTCAGACACGTATTTCGACTGCGCATACCCCATCCTCGCAGGTGCAGACAAGTCTGTGATGATTTGCTCTGGGACACGCGCTGTCACGACGCCCGCCACAGAACCAATAGAAGATAGAAACTGTACTCTTGCACCGTATTTACTGCTTGCGGCGAAACTAACCAAGCCCACAACCCCAGCCACCGACGCAGCGAAAGAGGATAACGGGAGGTTGAAGTTCACGGGCCAGGCGTTGTGGATGATGTGGGTGACGCGGTCGAGCAAGTCGGCGTAGGTTTCGGTTAGTAGGCCGAAGGAGGGGAGGGAGAGGTCGGCTGTGAGGAAGGTTACTCTTTCTGGGGGGAACGTGGTGGGCAGGGAACGTGTTTTGTGGAGGGCGAGTTGGCGGGTCGGGGCCGAGGAGGTGCGGTTTACGCAGATTATGTGAGGGGATGAGGGGTGCGTGAGGAGGTGGGTTAGGATGTGGGAGCCTAGGGCGCCGGTGGAGCCGGTGAGGAGGATTGTTGGTGTGGTGGGAGAGGGGAAGGATGGAGGAGAGGGTGGAGGGACGGTGTTTATTTGGGCAATGTATTGTTGGAGCATTCCTGAGAGGTCCGAGTTTGGATTGGGGTGATCGTATAGTGTGACACCGTTGGTCGTCGTCGTCGTTGGGGCACTTAGTTTCTCCACTGCTGTGGCGATTGCGTTGACAGAAGAATTAGTATAGGCGATGTTGTTTGGAATATTCGCCGTAGGAAAATGACGTTGAAGTGCCCTTCGTAATCTGAGTGCTCCGAGGGAATCCATACCCATTTTGAAAAAGTCGAGGTTGTCTAGATCGAGCATTTCTGCTACTACGTCGCGGATAATGCTCTTAGTAGGTCTGGTCCCGTTTTTGAGCGCACTGCTTACTTCATCTTCTTGTTGGTAGAGCTTATCAATCTTGGCCGCATACAACTTCAACGTTGCCTTTCGCTGCACCGTTCCCTTGCCCGTTCTCACCATTGGAGTTTCCGGGTCGACGAGTAGGATCCTTGACTTTGCGATGCGTGCATGTGCTGGAGTGAACTTGTTTGCTTGTTCAACGACAGACCAGATTCTGTTTACGGCTGCCGTCTTTTCCTCGTCGGAGAGTGGTGTAGTGCTTGCAAGTTCGACTAGCAGTGCGGCTTCTTCGCGCTGGGCGCCAATTACCAGAGCGGCTTTGACTTCAGGATGGCTAATCACTTCTTCCTCGAAAGTAACCGGGTTTGTCTTTTCGCCGTTGAGGAAGACGATGATGTCGTCGTCGCGACTGTGGTAAATCCAGAGCCCTTCTTTCGTTGGATGCGGCTTGAATAAATCCTTGGAGCGGAACTCTTCTGTGTCTGGAAACATTTCAAACACTGCCTGAATGTTCGAAGACTTGTCGCGCGGAATAACCAACTCATGCAGGTCATCGTAGCAATGCCGCATCTCGAACTTGTGCACTGGATTAAAGCGCATGTAGTTCCAGTCCTCGGTGTTGTCGCCGTGTACATGCATCAGAGGAATACTTCCAGCTTCCGATGAACCGAGGATTTGCCAGAGAGGGATTCTTTTGGCGACCACGTCTCCGGAACGTTTGGGTGTAGCGCCTCCACCGAAGGCGATGTATTTCAACCGAATCGCTGCCACGTCCAGTAGGTCAGGCCGCTTCCCCAGTTCATCCACAAATGCTGTGTTACGAAGATAGTCAGTTCATGCTTTGTACATGTTGCACGACTGGAATCTCTACCTGGTGGCAAAAAAGCCCAATCGACATCCGCATGACTGATAGCCTGTACCATATCTTCGGTCGTCGGCGGTAGCCCAGGCAGCATAAACACAGGCACCGTCCCAAAGAACAATGCCACAAAGCATGTGAAGGTAACCCCCGCCCCGTGAAACGGAGGCAGAATACTCACAAACCTCCCTCGAGTAGTATAACAACTCAAATCTACAAACCCTTCTGGAGCCTCCAACTGACACTGCACCATCAAGCTCGCCGCCCAGGCCGGCGTATAAATGAGTGGTTTGGGTATACCAGTCGTTCCCGAAGTATGCAACACATGCACCGGATCCCTCTTTGCCTCTTCAAACGTCTTTGTATATAGATACTCCTCGACATCCCCCACATCCAACAACTGCCCTAGCTCAGGCAACGTCAATGTCTGCATTTTCCTGCCTTTCAAAATCATGCCAACGCATGGGAGAGGCGACTCCGTTACTACAATTTTGTGGCATTGGAGTCGTTCCAGTAGAGTGAGATGTGCTTCCTCGCTATTTCTGGGTGAGGGAAGAAAGGCCTTTTCTTGCTTTTAGTACAACATCTACGGTGTTTCGTAAAGCGAGGGGTGGAATTGAACGGGCGGTGGATTACCTTATACCCCGTGATCATCGCCGCCATCAGCATAATCGTATATCTAGGATCTGACGGCCCAATGAACGCCAGCGTCTCAAACTCTTTGCTTTCCCCGAAACGCTGGCGGATGAGCCCAGCGGTATAGTTGATGGCATTATATAGCTGAAGGTTCGTTATACTTCTGAAGCCGTCTGAATACGTTGTTCCGGCGGGGATTTGGGCGAAGACGCCATTGGGATCGTTGCGTGCGCGTAATTTGACTATCTCCGGGGCTAGAGTGTCTGTGATTCTATCGGCGTACATGCTTGTGAATGTGACTTTTAGGATGATGGGTGGTTGTGGTTATGAGTAGTACATCAGAGAGCCGGACATGAGGGGTTATAGCCTAGGAGTAGTGCTGCCAACGGTACACTACGGACACTACTCCGGATACATCAGGGCTGGGTATAAACCTATTCTAGAACTTACCAATATGATTTGATGTTCTGTCCAAGCAAGTATCTTCCCGAGGCATTGCCGCTGCATGCAACCCTTGGAGGGCGAGACCATACACCGCTACCGGAATCTTTCGGCAAGAACTCCATTGCCTGTATAACGGCACCACACAAACTCTTCTAACAATCTGGAATCATTGTCTTCATCCGAGCATGGGTACAAGTCATATGTACACGTCTCCTCTCGGGGAAACCAGTCTCGTGTAAGCACCGCCGGCATATTCCACAAGTGGCGTTGACAAAGGTTGTATGATGTAACAAAAGAAATATGTAGAATATGGCTGTCTCAGCTCGGTGCGTGCCACGAAAGAACTTTGTGGCTCCTGAACTGAAAGATCTAATCAATTTGCATATAGTTGTTGGGTCAAAAGCGACGCTCATCTTTGTAGTGGCTGCATACATGTAGGTAGATACTTCACGTGAGTCGGCCCTTTCAATCATTTACCCGCACATATAGCCATTACTTCAACACTACGATAACCTTAGGCTTCCCACTTATAAACCGACACAGGCTCACTGTCGTGACGCTCAGCGTGCAGACCGAACCGCGAAGAAGTAAGCTGTGAAGTAATAATCATTTGTGTATACCATTTTCTCTATCGCATACACATGCTCCTGCGTAAGAAAATGCCCCACTATTCATCCTCACTTTTCCTGAATACTACTTATACACCCTAACGAAACCTTCCGGTACGTTTTCCAACACTACAGCAGCAAAACGCCTCTAGGCTACTGAGTAGACTTGCTGAACTGAATCAAGCGCTTAACTCCAACCTAAAAAAACGGTCAACACATCGTTCAATCCATATGCTTCGATTATGACTTACCATCCAGTTGCTACCCTCGTCTGTCTTGTTTGTCATCAAGTCCGAGAAGATGGCAGTAGCAGTGTCGTACTGTCTCGCTTGAATGTTCATCGCTAACTCGTTCATCTGCTGAATGGTGTCGGGTTTCAGTAGGTCCTCGTTATTGAGATGATCAAACAGGATGTTGAGTCGCTTCTCGGTGTCGGCTACGTGCTGCTTGTACTGGGCTGGGGCCTTGGCCTTTACGCGCTGGAGGTCTGCTTCAAGGATCTCATAGATGGGCCGAGACGCGTCGGGGATGTGTGACCGATCACCAGGAGCTATTGTATGTTAGTACCGATTCTGGTGCTAATCACATGTTTACTTACGATACTTGGCCGCGGCTGCTGGAGCCGCTTGCGACTGTCCTGTGCCAGGCCGCGAGTCAGGTCTCGGGGGTCCACCCATAGGAGGACCGCCAGGAGGGGGACCAGCACGTGGGGGACCTTGTGGTGGGCCCCTTGGTGGCGGTGCCGCCGCTGCAGGTGGCATTTGTTGCATCTGTTGAACTGGAGAAGGTGCATATGCCGACCCAGCAGGAGTGAACTGGCCTGGTGGTGGTGCAATGTTTCGAGGTGGTGGCATGCCTCCCATTGGTCCTGGTGGCGCTGACGGCTGTGTGCCTGGAGCAGGAGCATAACGGGTTGATGGCGGTGCGGCAGCGGTTGGAGGCTGGTACGGCGATTGTCCACGCTGTACAGGTGCTTGTGATGGTGGCACGAAACCAGCAGGCGGTGGCTGAGCATATGTGTTTGCTGCTGGTGATGGTGCGTATGGGTTCGGGGCTCCTGCCTGTGGAGGTCCAGATGGGGGAGAAGTCATCCTAGGAGGGCCTTGCGGGGGTCCCTTTGGCGGAGGTGGAGGCGTTGACCTCGCTCCAGGCGAAAAGGGGCCCTGAGGCGGGCCTGCGAGAGGCTGCTGCTGGTTAGGGAACGGAGAAGCTACTGTGTTCATCGGAGTACCACGACGTGAAGTTGCCTTTGGAGGGCCAAAGTCTGGTGTGTCGTTCCAGGCTGGGATGTTGCCTCTGTTGGCTGCTGGTACAATGGAGGGTGAGTTGGAAAAGTTGCGTGGCGGGGGCGCAATGGGGTTTTGCTGAGGAACCTGGCCGTAACCATAGCCCTGCTGAGGCTGTGATGGCTGATAACCACTCGGAGTGTATGCATTATTACCAGCCGGTACTCCTGTTGATGGAGTGTATGATGTTCGCACATTAGACTGAGCTTGGGGGGCATACGCATTGGCTGGTGTGTATGGTGACGCTGCTGGCTGTGTTTGGAGAGGGTTGACTGGAGCGTATGGTGTCTGCTGAGGAGGTGCTGGTGTTGCTTGCGCAGGTTGACCGTATGCGGGAACCACAACCTGACGTCTGCCAGTTGCAGCAGGTTGGGCCTGTCTCTGAGTAGCTGCTGGTTGCGCTGCGACCTTTCTCGTTGCCTGCTTGACGCGGTTCCTAGCAACGTCTGCTGCCGGGTACTTCTGAGGAAGAAGATCTAGGTACTTCTCTGCAATCGCCAACTGTCCGTGGGCAGATGCGATATCAGCATACTCGACGTACTTGGCGTACAAAGGCTCTAGTTTCCAGTCATTCTCCTTGTCCTGCTCGGCGTCCTTGAAGTTGACCACCTTTCGGAACACGGTGACCTTTTCAATAAACTCCTGTAGCGATCGGGCATGAATGGAGAAGCTGTTGTCGCTGTCTGTTTGTTCTATGCCAGCTTTTTCGCTTTCCTGGAGCTCCTGAGCCCAGTTGACCACAACTTTCTCGAGCTTGGAACCAGCCAAGTAGCAGAAGGAGGCATCCTTTCGGTACGAACCAGTATCTTCGGAGATGGCCTCTTCCAGACGATCTCCAAGAGCCTCGCAAAGATCTGGGAAATCAGCCTGGTCAGCAAACGTGCAGATGGTGGCCATGACTTCCTTCCAGTCCTTGAGGTCGGCATTGTAGACGAAATCCCATAGGTTCTTTCCGACCACAGACGCAAGTAGGCGCAGGTAGTTTGGCGCATCAGACTGCTTCTTGAAGTATGCAGCCTGTGCCTTGGCAATGCACTTCTCGCCACCACAGATGGCGATCATGAAAGCATCGGACAACCGGTTCTCCTTTAGACAGACATCTAGGGCCGCATTGAAGTCTCCCAGCATCAAACTACGGGTGATCTTGGTATCAGCTTCTGACTCTGAGCCAGAGTAAATCTGGAAAGGGTTGTTGGTCTTTGCACCCTTTGAAGCCGCGAGATCTGACAAAAAGTTGCCCTCGTCGGTCGCGTTGTCGAAAAAAGAAGCTCCTTCATCCACATCTCCGTCTGCCTTGGCCTCCTTCTTCTCTTCTTCGTTCTCTGCTGGCTCTTCGGCCTTCTCTGAAAAGCCAAGGTATTCGACGAGTTTGCTACGGGGATTCTCCGATGTCAGGGTCTCGATGACGGTCCAGTCGGCCTTTTCCTCGTCATTGGCTGCCTTTGAAATCTTCGACTCGCAAATCGACGTGATATCACCCCTTTCCAGTGCCTTGTCGAACTCTTCGCTCGCCGCGCTGACCTCCGAGTCAACCGCAAATGTGGATATCGAGACCTTTGACTTGTTGTCCACAAGGCCAAATCGTACTAGCTTTCCACCAAATCCAAAAGCCACACCTGCTCTTCTCTTCAGCCACTTCGGGGGTGTCTTTAGTGTGAAAGATGCGCCCTGAGGTTCTGCGTGGGTCTGCGCAAAGAAGTCTTCGCCTTCTGGTGCTTGAGCTGCCGCCTTGTTCTGGTCAGTGGCAGCGCCAGTGCTCTGTAGTGTCTGAACGGCGATCTTGCCATCAAACGACGCGGTAGCGAGGAGGTTCGGGTTCGAGGGGTTGAATCGTGTCTGGAAGGTCCAGTTGGTCACGACCGGGAACTCGCCCAACTGCTCTCCGGTGTGCGGGTTCCAGGCAATTGTCCTATTATCCTTGCCGCAAGACAGGAGAAGGTCGCTGTCCTGCACACACCACGAGAGGGAGAGAACGCCCTGGTCGTGCGATTGCAGTGTCTTCTCGGGTGCATTCGTATTACGGAGGTCCCATACGAGCACGAGCGGGTTCTGGTCGGTCGGAATCGCGGTGACGAGCCGTGTGGGAACGTTAGGATCCCAAGAAACAGCGCTGACAGTTTTGCGCCCAAAGTGGTTCAATGTCAGATTCTCCTTCCTGAGTTTCACGTCCCATACAGTGACAAAGCCTCCACTGCTTCCAGTTGCGAGGATGTGTGGCACCTTCTTGTTCCAATCTAATGTAGTGTACTCGTCGGGGTTCGCTCCTGCCTTGCCCAAACGGTAGGACTTGGATTCGTCGTCGGTGTCGTGGATATAGAGTTCGCCTTTGGCGCCTGCAGAGGCGAGGATGTTCGGACGGAATGGGTTGAACTGTATGGCTTGGATGGGACCGGTGTGCTTGTCGATTTGATCAATCTCGGCATCTTCGCTGCATAGAGTCAGTACTCCAATTCAAGAAAGTACTGCATGATGTTCTGACCCTTCGCCTGCGCGTAGCTTCTCCGCGTCCCATAGTACTAAGGCCCCGCTGTCGAGTGCACCGGCTATTATGCCCCGCGGATACTGCTCGGTGGGCTGGCTCCATGCAATGTCGTTGAACCTGAAATGGCTATTAGCGGCGTTTCCGGGTCTTTCAAGAGCGATTGGTTGTGTACCTCGATTCTACGCTCACAGCAGCAACAGGCTTGAGCTCAACGCCCTGCTCGCTATCATCCAAGTTGAGCTCCCAGAGCTCTAATTGTGTTTCGTTGGAAAAGTCGGCATCCACGGCCCCAGCCTTTGTTCCAGTCGCAATTAAAGGCTGTGTTGAGCCTGGCGACCAAGCGAAAGTGGCCGTCCTCGGAATTTCTCGTAGACGGACCATGGCGTTGGGCGGTGGTGATGGCACCACAGTGTCCAATCAACGAATTGAGGAAAGCGACAAGGAAGAAAATAAAGTGCAATTGGGATGATTTTGTAGAGCGGACAAGGAGAGATACGTGGTGAAAAAGGAATGGGCAATGTGTCAAGATTGCGAATCTGGATGTCAAGGCAGCGACTTGCTTCACCATGGAGCATCCACCTGTCCTTGCTGGTACATCGCGGGCGCTAAATGTGGGCCCCCGCTAGCACGTGATATCGAATTTCAGCGCAACTTCGGAACGCGACCATTACACCGCGTCACGTCTCGAATCAAATCTCTCGGGCAACCATGTCGAACTTATCGGATACATCACGACTAAAGGCCACCGTTTTTGTCGGCGGTCTCGATCAGGCAGTCACTCAACAAACCCTCTACCACGCGTTCCTGCCTTTTGGCGACATTGTCGAAGTCAACCTGCCGAAACCAGAAAACCAAAAGCAGGGCGAAGAACATCGGGGGTTCGGCTATGTCGAGTTTGAGGCAGCAAGTGATGCGATAGACGCCATTGATAACATGGACCGGAGCGAGCTGTACGGTTCCGTCATCAAGGTAGCACCAGCCAAACCTCAGAAAGATGCAAATGAAGGATTAGGCAGCAAGACTGCAGTTTGGGAGCAGGTGAGTTCTAGAAATCAAATCATGCTTATGATGAGGTTGCTAACAGTAGGTAGGAGGGCTGGTTGGCCAAGCATGCTGTGAGCGAGGAGGATAAAGCCAACGAGCAAGCAAAAGAGGAAGATAGTGGACCTATGGACCCTATGCAAGGCTTGGAGGGCCTAGATGAAGCAGGACCGAAGCCAGCGTGATCTCCATTTCCCAAAGACGGACAGTAAGGCGTTTCTAGGCGTACAGGGAAAAGCATATACGATACCACGTGCTGCTATTACACCATTTACCATGATGCATTAGCCTCCTACATCACATGTGCAGTTATGGTTCAGGCATCACAATATCAAACTCCCGTGCCCTACCGTGCCGTGACATGATGTAACACGTAATCTCAAGGGTATCTCATGTAACACTGCACAAAAGAAACTTGATGCATCAATTGTCAACTTAGTGCTCTACCTATACACAATGGCCTGCTGGAGCCCTTCCAAGCCCGCCTATCCCATCTTCATCTTGTATATATCCCCTTTCGAAGTATATCTACTCCTTGCCCTGCCTCCTGAGGCGGAGAGTCTTGTCGACCCAGAGCTTTCGGGTAATGGAGAAGAAGGCCATGCCGACGGCGACGCTGCAGATGTGTATTAGATCATGCGTGTGTATTTGGTGTGCAATCGAGGGCTTACCCGAGGACAATAACTACACATTCAGGGTTAGCAAAGCAACTCTCACAGGGAACCATAGCATCGACGTACTAAGAGGCCAAATTTCAGTGGGGATGTTCTTCAGCTGGCGGAGGCGCTGAGACACGGTGTGGGCTATTACATTGTCAATTCAAGCCCCGAGCATCATGCTCATATCGCTGTGGTTATCTCACCGCCGTGGTCCTCCTTCTACACCATTGTCAGCATGTCCATTAGTAAAAGTGTTGTCTGTAAGCCCAAGAACATACAGGCACAGGCCTGCGCATCTGAAGCGTCTGCCTCATGAAGAGTTGCGGGCTCTGGCGCATGGCCATGAAGCGCGTGGGCTGCATAGCCATCATGCGAGTCGGCTGCATCGACAAGGCCCTGGTAGCTTTGAACATGATTGCGGATGTTTGGTAGTGAATGCAATTGGAGTCGAGAGTGGCGAGTAAAGTCGACGTGGTGGTTTAGACCGATGTGTAGCTTTCGCGGGTTTCGTCACAAGCACGCAGATGCTGAGAGAGGTCGCGGGACACTTGGGCGTCTTTCCCGGAAAACGCCGAGCGAATTGTGTGTGGACAATGCGCTTCGGGTCCAAGCATGGCGCAACCTCACCACTTGACTTCCGTCACCACTTCCCAAGCCTCATCCAAGCCCTGCCATTGCTGCGACAACACCACAAACCCCTTCCCGTAAACAATCGCAATAATGTCTGACAACGAGAACGGCGAGAACGGCGACGAGCTCGTAACCAAGCCCTTCAAGTTTGTCACTGGTGAGCTTTTCCCGCTACTCCGCATCCCCTCGAATAAATAGCTAACCCTTCACTCCGCAGCTGGTACGCCACCTCCAAAACCCCATTGCGACCTCAAGCGCCCCCGGAACAGTCGTTTAAACGGTCCCCAGACACCCCATGAGAGATACTGACAAGCTTCGGCGCGCATAGGCTTCGATGCCCGCTTCCCCAACCAGAACCAGACCAAGCACTGCTGGCAAAACTACGTCGACTACCACAAGTGCATTATCGCCAAGGGCGAGGACTTTGCCCCCTGCCGCCAGGTGCGCAACACCCCATGAATGAATATGCCCCGAGCATCGGACTTGTTGTATTAACGGGAAACAGTTCATGTTGGCCTACAGGTCTCTATGCCCCAACGGCTGGACCTCGCGATGGGACGACCAGCGTGGTGAGTTTGCCTCCTTCATGCGCGCTTTGCACATGATGACGTGAATTGTCTTATCATGTTATATCACACCACCGACCCAGGAAATATCTAACACGTGAAATCCAGAGAACGGCAACTTCCCCGTAAAGCTCGACCAGTAGACAATCACTTTCCCATGGCACTAGTTTCAGCATGCGACAAATTCATTCTAGAGCGCAGGGAGCGGACAAACTGGATCAGAGCTCGACACATTGCACAGCTTAGAGCACTTTGTATCATAAAGCGAGCGGATTATCAGCAAATTGCAGCTCTGGTTCCATGTGTTTTTCGCCTTAGCCCTAGCGAACGTAAACCTAAACTTTGTGTGATGTCATTGACTTGTTTGCGCGCAGCACATGACACAAACCTGAGCTGTCAGGGTATGCAAACGCTCAAAACATGACATGATTGACCACCAGAAGCATCTTGATAACCTTGTGCTATTAGTGTACGCGAAAACTGAGAACATGACATGATGTACACCACCAGAAAACCTCTTAGTCCGACCCGATAACCTTACGAGTGTCAGAGTACGCGAAACCATGTACCCCAAGGACCGTGTCGTTCGCACGGGCACACGTCTGTTTCACACATGGCCTACAGTAAGCCCGTGAGGCCGTGAGTCGTGAGGCATGGTTGAACCGTGAGCTTTTTAATTACTAAAATTACGCGTATTAACACGCAATGCATATATGTATGCATTAACGCGACCTATGCCTTTACATAGTAACAACGTGTTCTAGGATTTGAGTAATTTTCATAAAATAAAACATCTCATGTGCCTAGACCCCCTCCCGCACAGATTACGATACCGACAGTACTTGTGCTGTTCTCGGTGGTTTTGATGATTGGATAACCAGCAGAACAAGGGATGGCGAGCTGACATGTTCACATGTGGCACAGTTGTTCAACAATCAACGGGAACTTGTCAAAAATGGTCATTCTATTCTTCTTTCATTCAAAGACATTATTCATTGATATGTAATTGGTTTCTCCCATAAGCCAGGTATGAGGTACAATTTGCTTTACATATAAGGTGGTAGGGTAGATGATCAAACCTTTCTTTGGTGGTGGTGCTGATGAGTGAGAGGAAAGAGATGAAGGGTGAGGGGCTCTCAGTGTAGATAAGAGTTGTATGCAGATACGCATATAAACGCTCGATCGCTTTCGCTCAGACAGATGTGAAAAAAAATACACGCTAAGATCGACAGATGAGATTACCATTTCCAGGACACACAACACACAAACCTCTCTGATGCCTCAGACAGGTGTGGGGGGAGGAGAGAGATTGCGAAAGAATACGCGGGTACGTAAGGAAAAACATGGGTGAGGAAAACAGCGAATTTGTGTTCCAGTCTGGTGGTGAGTTGTTGACATAGGAAAGAGCGACCAACGAGAAAAAAGAGTTGCGTCTCTCTTCTAATTTGGCAGCGCATAGGCGGCGTAGACGCCAAGGTACGACGGCTGTCTACACTTGGGTAGGGACTGCGTGGGCAGCGGAATGTAGGAGAAGTAAGGCTCGGAGCCGAGCATGGGGTTGTGAGTGGGTTGGTAGCGTTTGAGGCCCCAATTCGGGTCATCGTCACGGACCTCTTCTTGAATCTCTTCTTCTTGAATCTCCTCCAGCATCTCCTCGTCCTCATCCTCGTCTTCCTCTTCAATCACAGAGTCGTCGCCGTGGGCGCTGTCCTTGCGCCAATGCTTGCCCGGCTCCGGAATCTCGCCGATGCTAGCGAGAGATGAGGGCTCCGGTGCACGTGGCATGTAATTTAGATCGTAGACTTGGCGGGCTTCCGGGTCCATCAGCACGTCGAAGGCGGCTGTCAGACGACGGTATTTCTGTGCATTGCTTGAGAAGTAGACGGCTCGGAGTTTGCGGTACGCTGCCTTTACTTCGTCCGTCGTGGCCGCGGGTGTGATTTCCAGGATTTTGTAGTGGTCGATGGGTTCCGCTGTTGACTCCTCGTTGGCAAGCAGCGAACTCGCCGTCTTGACTGGTGAAGCAAGAATGATGGAAGCGTCTGAGACGTAGATTGAAGCTCGCTTTGCGTGTTGTTGTGCCATGGGTGAGGGGGCTTGGAAACTGATGGGTCGGATACGCGGGGCAGCCTCGGACTGGTTGCGTTCGTGGTTGAATCGTCTTCTCGGAGACGGTGATCGTAGAGGGCTGAAGTTCAACTTGCACATGTCCTCAGGGGGAGGGAAAGCAGGCGACATTGTAGTATATGTCTGGATCATTATGAACTATAATTATAGTGTGTTGCGAAGTTCAGAAACAATGGAAGGTGAAGTCAGAGTGCTGCAAGGCGTGGTTGTGTCAAAGGAATGCTGTTGTGTTGTGTGGATGGGACTCAGTGGGAGTGAACACAAAGGTAGGAAAACATTCTACGAACAGACCCAGCGACGACTGTCTTAGACAGGGCAAGGTCCAACGATGGCTGAGCATAATGCAGGGGGTTCGCTGCAATCACGGGGGCCGTGAAAGTGGGGCTTATCCACGGCGATGCGAAATGACGACGGTCGTGAATGGACGATTTCAAGCAATTAACGGACTAGGGGCGGCGCTGATGAAACAAAATGCCATTGTTGGCCTGGATGTTTGTGTAATTTAACAAATCGCCCGTCGGTGCTGAAAGGGTCCAGTCCTTTTCGGTTCGCTCTCGGCGATTCGGAAGAGCACGTGCCATCGTGACTCTTACGATACGCTAGGCGGTTGGTGTGGGGATGTATCGCGAAGAGAATTAGCAGGCCAACAAGCTTTTGGTTGCCATCGTCCCCAACGAAACTTAGCTAGACGAACCCACATGACGACACCTGGGCAACCACCATGGCCGACACGTCAAAGAAGAGGAAGCAAGCTTCACACCCCGGCCCCGGCAACAATCCAAAGCGCGCCCGGTTCCCGTTGAGACCGCAGCATGCCATCGCCGCCACGCCGACTCGTGACGCGTATCCCAATGGCGAGCTCAACGTCAAGAACTTTCTCAAGTCACATGAGACGGAGATTAAGTCGCTGGAGAATGCCATGCGAGCCGCGAAGAAGGGGCTTTCGCGGAGGGCATTTCAAGAAGTGCCTAGAGAATTGCGCAGGCGTACTGCGAGCCACAATCCGCAACGCGTACCTAAAAGACTGCGGGTGAGGGCACGACAAGAGGCAAAAGAAGATAATACGCCCATTTCAAGAGGTACGAGCGGTAGTGGTATTGGCAAGGGAAAGAAAAAGTATCTGCGCAAGAAAGGGAGGGAGAAGAGTAGACAAGACTGGGAGAAGAGGGCGAAGAGGCGGAAGGATGCAGGTAATGTAGTGACAGGGACAGGCGAGAAGGACCAGGATGGTGATATATCCATGGAGAACCCTCCGAAGGAAGTCATGAAGCCTGTATCCAACGCCAGACCGAGGCGCAAATTCCCTGCCCTAGCTACACCAGCTACCCCTCCGTCACGGTTCCGCAGACGTCAGCGAGATAAGACATGGTTGCCCACACATTTATGGCACACCAAGCGCGCAAAGATGACAGACCCGAAAGAGCCCCTCTGGCGGTTCGCAATCCCATTGAAGCCAGTCACCAAGGCCTATCGTCTGACGCACCGAGCTGCGACCCAGCGAGGAGCGGTGGCTTGGGACATGAGCTACATGTCTACCATCAGCCTGGAGGGTCCCGAGGCCAGCATACTTGGGATGCTAAAGGGCCTTCACTTTGGCATAGATGGTGGAGAGGACCCTTGGCAAGACAAAGGCAGGGCTAGAAAGTGGAGAAACGGTACTCGGGCATGGGAGGGTTGGATATACGAGAGAGAAGCAAGGCTACCTCGGAAGATTGCTCGCGTCACTGTCATATGGTGTGCATCAGCAAACGATGGAGACAAGAGGAAGGTCTTCATTCGGGCGCATCCAGGTGTGTTTCTGCAGCTCTGGAACGAGGTTATCCGGATCTCCAAAGTGCAGAAGCCAGCCGTCACCGTACATGATCTCCGCTTTGAGATCGGCTCGATTGAGATAACAGGACCTGCAGCTGCGGAGACACTCTGCTCCATTCTCGTACCTTTGTCTACTTCGGATGCTGCTACAGACTCTCCACAGTCTTTGTGGCCTACCTTGGCTTCTGTAACAGACGCTGCCTCACTACCAGCCGGTGCTCTGTTGGCATTCGATATACCGGATCCTCGACTCCGCGATCCTCCTGCCCCCACACCGATAGCAAAAGACCAACAGTCTCTGGACACTTTGACTGAGATTCTGGCTGCTTGGCCGATTGACAAGACGCAGACTGCCGCCTCGATTTTCGACACCACTTCCCGATTGACAGCACAGCGTACGATGCCATCTCAAAAGTCCATCAACCGCCGCAAAAGCATGTGCACACTAGGCCAGGCGCTTGAACCTCGATCGACCGACCCACGTATACCAACACTTATATTCACGTCGCGTGAAAGCAGATCCTGGACCATAATGCTACCTTGGAAGTGTGTCATGGCAGTGTGGCGACAGATGATGCGCTACCCAGTATCTACAGGCGGCAACCCGAGGTTTGGCGGTTTGAAGGAGAGGCGCCAGGTCGACTTTGAGCGCTCGATACCCCATTTTCCGTACGATCATCCCGGCACAGATGCTGGTTGGACATGGGAGCTGCATGAACGAGAAGCTAGAAAGCACGAGTGGACGAAGCGTCCGAAAGGTAAGCGAATCGAATGGTCCACTATTGACCTTGGTAGAGGCAAGAAGGGCGAGGTCGGAGATCCCTGGGCGTGTGACTGGGAGCGGTTACTGCCTGCACCGACTGAAACACGCATTCAAAAGGTATTGGAGCAGTTTGACGCGCCGTTTCGTCAGCTCTCGTGTCGCCAGGCAACCAATCTAGTGGACGGACATGGCGATGCTAGTGAATCATCACGCTCGCTCTTCACTGTGAAGTTGACCATGATACAACGAGGCACTCCAACGGACTGCGCTCGCATCTACCGACTACCAACAGACCCAGAGCTTCGAAGCAAATGGCTATCATTGATGCCTCAGCCCGGCGTCAAACGTACGTCTAGCAAAAAGGGCCATCGAACTGTCGACAAGCCAACGCCCACACAGCGTCAGAGGCTTGCGCAGAGTTTACTAGAGGCTCCAAGGTTGAATGAGGGCCCGCCAAAAGCTGGCGAGGAAAACTATCCCATGGTACCTGACGAAGTGGACCTCATCGGTTTCGTCACGACTGGTAACTACAACCTCGGCGAAGGTATGCCGACGGCTGTTGCCAATGTAGCTGTAAACAGGGTATGTAGTCTTGGGTCTGAGCAAGGCGTACCACGAGCAGAGCGCGTGTGTATTGTAAGACAAGCCGGAAGCACCATCGGTAGGTTGGCGCGGTGGGAAGTGGTCTAGACGCACTAGATGGATGACCAAAGTTTATCAAAAATACAATAGCTTCATGGCTTTGACACTTGCAATGCCAGCAACGCCAACAATCATGGTGCATGCAGTGGAGAAGGTGAAAGCTGTGGTGGTGTGGGGTAGTTCAGATGGCTTGCATGGTTAGTAGATGCGTGGCGCTAATCGGGACCGTGACAGGGGTGCCACGGAGACGTACCTAGGTACCTCCCGTAACTGACGCTAGCGTCTCAGCACATGTGCAGTTGGCAGCGTCGCTTTCTCCGTCCTTTAGCATCGCGTCGCATCGCAAAAACCAGCAGCGAGCGATCGACATGTCGGAGGATCGGCCGGGAGAAGAGCAGGGCGAAGGCGTCGACGCTGCTATCGGACTACCGTCAGATGTGCTGGCAGAACTGGTAGGCTTCTACATCTTATCTTCTAACCGCAAACCGCAAACCGCCTCCTCGGCTATGCTTTGATACGTGCGCCTGCTAAGAAGACGGCAGACGACGGGTATTCTAGAAGACTTGGTGAGCAACATTGTCTTCACCACGGCATTATCATGTCACCGATCCGAGAAGCTGCTCCGTATGCAGTCGGCTGCCACCCAGGCCGAATCCATCGCCCTCCAGAACCTCGAGCCGCAGTCGCAGAAACAAAACACAAACGGCGCCACGTCGATACCCATCGCCGACACGCCCGCCGCAAAGTACGAGAATGGGCGCGTATTCCTCAAGGGAAACCCGCTCAAGACGACACCAGAGATAACATGTCCGCACTGCAAGCTTCCCCGGTTAATGGCCCCGATCATGGGTAAGGGCATGCAGAACCCAGATCTGACCAAGGAGTACTGTCTGCTATACCCCTACGTCCAAAGACCGGGCCATGATTTATACGGCAATCCGTTCCCGACCGATATGGCTAAAAGCAAGAAGGAGCGAGAATTGATCAAGCAGCAGCAGAAGAATGCAGAGAAAGAGAGTGTAGGCACACCAGGCTCACAAGACACGGACATGGCAGGTGGCGACACCAAGGAGATCAAACTCAACACCGGCGGCAAGCCAGCCTCATACATCCCATGGCACACATGTCCAAACTGCAAGCGCAGTCTACTCATCACGCGATTCGCACAACATCTAGAGAAATGCCTAGGCATAAGTGGGCGGCAGAGCTCGCGCAATGCAATGGCAAAGCTGGCGGGACACAACGGCTCAGGCTCAGGTGTAGGCAACACGCCACTGGGAAGTCGCATGGGCACACCCGCACCCGACACGTCCAACCCGAAGAGCAGCAGCAAATCAAAGGGTATCTCGCCCATCAAGAAGCACGCCGACGACGACGCCGACGAACTCGGCATCGACAACGATACGCCCGAGCGCCGCAAAATCAAGAAGAAGAGTTCCTATATCAAGAAGGCAGATCGCGACAGATCTGGCAATAACGGCAGTGGCGGTGGTGGCACACTTAAAGTCAAGCTCAAGACGGGTAATAGACCAGACTTTGATCGCAAACACAGCGAAAACAGTGAGAGGAGCGAGGGTAAGCGCGATCGTGAAAACGACGACGGGGGCGAGTCGCCCAAGAAGAAGAAGATTAAACTCAGTCTCAGCAGTGGTGGTGGGGCAAAGGAGAGAGCGAGGGCGAGTGCTAGTGTTGAGCCCGCTAGTGTTGCGTCGCCGGATAATGGGGAGTACTGAGTAGGGATATGGTGTTGTGACGAGTGAGTGAGTGAGCCACAGGCGTGGGAAGAAGAAGTACCATCCGTCATCCGTCGCTTCCACACACACGACGGGCCAGCAAACCATGACTAGCCCCGTTCGTTCATCACAACAACCGCCTTCATACGCGCGAGGAGTCTAACTGCTATGTTGTTCTTTTACACCAAACCCCCTCATACCGGAGTCTCAGGCGCATTCTTCCCTTTTTCCGTTTCCTTTCAAACTTGTACCTTGATTCCCCCCTACCTACCCCACACGCCCCGTTCTTCCTTTCTAACTACACATGTTGTTTGGAAAGTGGGTGGTGTTATACATGGCGTTTTTGTGCTGTCCTTTACGGGTTTTTTACAGAGTAAAAAAGAGCTCATACATTGAGGGCGTTTTTTAGCATGTGGATGGGTAGGATGGATGGATGGACGGTGGTGATGACGACGATGGGTTTTTGTAAGATAAGTAGTTCTGTTAAGTTTTTTATTATCGAAACTTGCATCTTTGACTTGGGTTTTTTGGTGGTGAAAGATGTGTGTGGCTGTGGTTGTGCATGTGTGCGGATGGCGCAGGACAAGAGCAGCAGAAGCAGGAGTAGTATGTGGAATACTACATCTCCAGTAAGGAACAGTGTGTAGATTAGAGCTACATCGACTTTGTACTCTTTTGCTGCGCTCTTATCCGCCAGTCTTGGTACATTCACATCTTACATGTGAAAGGCGGTGGACCGTAGTAGACTATGTGCTTACATCTCCCTCGTCTCTCTCTTTCTATTATACTTGTTGTTGATGATAAGCATGGCCTAAATCTTCGCCTATGCGTCTCTCTCACGTTTGAGTAGATCTCGGGTAAGCAGTTATAGGGAGATGTGCTAGCTCTTGTGAGCTGTTATACTTATACGGAGTAGGTGAGTTGATGTATCGTTGTGTTCCACTTGACATATTAGAAGAAAATATAGGGAATAAGCGGTGGAAAAGTAAGACAAATTAGACGGAGATTGTGGAGAAGAGGCGTCGTTGGCGTCTGATAGAGAAGGTCTGGGTCAGAATTTTGTGACTGTAGCGTGGTATGACTTGCGTGACTGCAAGGTAGGAGGATGATTGTAGGAAAGTGTGGAGAGAGGTGGAGCTGGTGCTGTGGAAGGCTGGTTGGGGGTTTGGATGTGAACAGAGAGTGTGGTGTGATGTAGAAAGTGAGCATAAAGTTGTTGCTTTTGTGCTTTGCTATTTGTGGCGTGTTTGATTGTGGTTCGAAGTGCAATATGGTGGGGGTGGGGTGCCTTTTTTCTAAATTTATGATCTTTCTTCAAAGACTTTGCGACATGTTGGATACTGCTGCCGTGTGGGAGAAGTGATACTAGGGGAACTAGAGTACTCGAGTGTACGTAGAGATAGAAACGACGTCGATACTTGAAGAGTTGGACTACCAATAGTAGCAATGTATAGAAGCATGCCCCGGTATATATAACTATTAACATCAGCCTTGGCTCTCAGCCCACGGCTGAATCACAAGCAAAGCGTCAACTATTCAGATCGCCGACCGAGCTTTCCTCCATATTATATCAACAGCCGCTATTTTTCGTAATCTAATAGCGCTACAGTGGGGTTAATGGCTTGGAGTCGTAGGATCTGTGGCGGCCTCTAGCCCGCTTATACACACCGCTGCATATATCCATGCCGTTGAACCGCCACAGGTTGATATGTCAAGCTGATCGACGCTTGCAATATAAATTTCACGGCGACATGTCTTGTTTGAATTGTCCTTGCTGAAGAAGAACCAGAGTGTCGGCTCGCTCTGGATAGGGCTATCCTATCTCATGCAAGATCGGCCGCATGATCGGGGCCTACTCTCCTTGCAGTATGCAATGCTGGGTCGGCAAGCATCACCACGTGTCGAATCGTAAGCCATAACTTCAACCGCATCTCGATTTAGTCGGCGAGCAGCGTGTGGTCGCAGGTTGGGTTCAACCCGGATGGTTACATACAGTGGCGTCGTGTATACACCGGTTAGTGGGCCGCCAATCAGATGCCTGCAGCTTTAGACGTCACTTGTGACATGTGCGGAGACTTTTGTAAGTATCCATACTGTTGAGATTTAAGCGATGAACACGCGACAGGCTGGTCAGGTACGGGTTTCGACATGAACAGGGTGGTGCATATCTCCTGACGGAACGCTATCATGCGTTTCCGGTGGGATTGTTAATTGTTTAGACGAGGTGGGACGAAAAAGGAAGGAGAAAGCCAAGTATCATGACGACACCCCTGTTTTTTGTTGTTGAGCTGTCATTAGAAACCAAGAGATGCATGATAGAGGGGCAATGAGAATCATGACAGCATCGGCTTGTCGGAGCCAGCCACTGTTTGCTGAGTCGCTTTTTTTTGTGTTCCTTCCTTCGCGTGTGTATCGATACCTACTACTTCTTTTTCCGGCGAGAGCTGGTTCCGAGACATGGGCCTGATGCTCATCCTCATCCTACGGTACTTTCATCGCGGCAATCGCGCAGCATATTCAAGTACCGGACGGATGATCATGTCAAGAAATCCAAGCGTTGTTGGTCCGACATGCAGGCCGACTCAGCTGCCTCTTTCAAGCCTCCCACAAGCCTCATCGGCTGTGACTCGACATGCAGCATCTGGGCAATACATTAGTAACGCCAGTGGCACCCAGCAATGAGGCCACTCGATTCGCTCGATCAGACCACATATGGTCCCTCTGTGCCGCACCTTCTCGAAGACACATCTGTGACCCGGCTATACAGGTTCAGCCGTGTGGTAGGGCAGTCCTTGATTTTAGGACACGAAGTGGACATGAGATCACCGCCTCAAACGCCAGACTGTAATGCATTACGGGCCGCGATCCAGTACTGTGGGTGGAAGAACAACAGCCGTAGGGACAGCAGAGCGAGGTGTGAAGGTCGCACGAAGAAAAATGAAAGCCCTCGCATCCTGACCAAGCTAGCGCGAACCACTTGTCCATGACATGTTCGCCCCCTTATTTCCCGCACTGTCAGGTAAACATGCCACTTGCAACCGTCGCACATCGAGTCAGCAAACGAGCAAAAGCATCGAGGCTCACAAGCTTCCCTCCCACTTGCGAAACAAGAAGGTCGTATCTCGCATTCGGGAACCACAAGTGCTAGTATAGTAATCAACACCACCCAAGCCCGCAGTAATGCGATCCAGTACAATGGGTCGCGGGTCACGCCGTCCTTCACCGCACGGACTAGACCACTCGTCTCCCTTCTTTGCATCATGCCGTCATTGACAACAGCCTTTCTCGTAAACCGCTGTGTAAAAGAAGGGATATGGGACCGCCTGACGCACTGTAAGGGTGGGAAGTGCAGAGCAGATTGGGTGGCCTGTGCAACGTTAACTTGCGTTCCGGTGTACTTGCTTTTTTTCCTTTTGATCCAACGACATTTCAAAAACCATGGTGGCCGTCGGGGTTCAAGTCAAGAGCAGACAGGCCTTCTTTTCTTCTCCTTTCCCCTCTCTCTCTTTGCTTCTGCCTAGGCCTGCATCTGCTCACGAGACACGAGTAATTCTGGGGTGGTGGGCACATTCCTTTTTCGACAAGTTTGTTTTAAGAAAAACCCGTTGCGACATCTCAGCGTACGAGGCTTGCATCATCGACAGATTCTTTAGCAGCTAGAGCCCCAATTCAAAAACTGCCCCTCTGGCAGACAATAAAGATTGCAAGAAGGCTCGGATCTGCATTACTGTGTTGTTGGGATGTTGTCTCAAGTTTGTTGAAGAGGTGGTATTGAGAGGCTACGAAAGAACAGAAGACCTGGTACTCGATCACACCAGCGAAGCCCTATTGATTCGTATTGTCGCCTACAATCGCCAGTATACCACCTTGGAGTATAGCCTCACGACAACCACGGAAGCGCTCGCAACCTCAGGGTCCACTCATCGTACGATTTCTCTACCAAACCGACCGGCACTGTACGTACGACGGCAACCTCGCGGACCCACACAAGATACCATCCTATCGCCGACTACAACCCTAGAGCACCCTGAATATGTGCTACATTTTCTACACCTTACACGTGTGCAACCACTGGATACCACAGCCCCAGCCCAACAACGGTCCTGTGCTGCGCATATGCGAAGAAGCAGAGAAGCTGCGGCTGGGCCACCCATGCCCCGAAACACAACGAGAACACAAAGTCATGAATCGAAGTCAAGGCATGTGCACAAATTGCATGTGGAAGAAGGTCTGCAAGTAAAGTTCACGCACCTGCAGACACTATTGAAAGGAAGGAAGACGAGCAGCAATAAGTGGGTCGGAGAATTTCACTGCTGCTTACAACTTCCTATACCGCCTGTCACGAAACCGAGCCCTAAGCTGGGAGCGGAAAGCCAAACTGAATCAAGCACGAAAGCGCTACGCCAACTTGGACACGGAGCGGTGCGGTAAAGAAACGGTTTTATCACGTCAAAAGTATCTTATCGGCGTCTCCGAGACAGGGCCGCCATCGCCAACTCTATCAACCGAATACCCGCCTACAGGGGGTCGAACGCGAATAGCACGTGCATTGAATTGCCATGCAGCTACAACGGCCCGAGTTTGACGTGTCGGTCCGATGATGACAAGATTAATTTTCAGAGGCCCAAGTCCCCTTTCCCCAGACGGGGCTGAGCCGGCTGACATTTGTGGAGTTTCCTGATTTTCTGGCGCAAACTGGGAGTGGGCGGGAAATGTTGGAGTTTGGAAATATATACCCTGAAGATTTTGGTCTTGTTTGTTGCGAGGTAACCTTGGGACGATTTGCTGCATGGTACATACTTATATACACATTACTCAATAGCACGGTACACTACAAAATGCGATTTGCATGAAACATGGGCAGAGCCTGCGTGAGTGGAAACCCTGTATTCTATGTTTAGCGGCGGCATTTTCGCATGGACCCAGAGGAACGGGTTATAACAGGTCTTCAGTATCGATACAAAAGAATAAAATTTGGAACAAACCCTGTTACATTCGACCTCGCTCTAGTACCGTTGCGGTTCGGAAACCCATTGTTCCAGTTCCAGTTCATCACATCGACCCTCGACCATAAGCGGCACTGGCCGTGTCAGGTGGGGGAGTAAGACCACCAGGAAAAATGCTGGCTTAGTTCTTACACGAACGATCATCATGATGGAAGGCATCTCCGCGTGGAGAAGAAGAAGACGATTAAGCTTCTTTGGCTGAGATAAGACGTCATTTCCCTTCTACGATGCACAGACACAGACACAGGCGAGACACAGGCGCATGTGAGAAGCAGATGTGATTAACAGTGCCTCAGTTCGGTTTGAATAGCGAGAAAAGCACGGATTCGGCGTACTCAAGTGCCGGTTCAGCAAACCGACATGTCTATCTCACCGCATACAAACACAAACAACAAGATACAAATGTACCCATTTTCCTACAAAAAAGCGAGGACAGACATTCACCAACCACAAACAAACTTTTCCATCACCACATTCACAAACCCCCCATCCACGCGTCCAAACCTTCTCCCCTTACCGCAAGCAACTCACCCGAGCCCAGACCCCTCTATCCTCCCCACCCCAACAGCACACAAAACGTGAGACATGCAAGGTGTAAGAAGCTTACTTAAACAGCATGACCCATCCATGCCATCCATGCAACCAACGCATCGGCATATCCGAGCGGAACAGATGTCAGCACTAGACAAGGGGCTAAGAAACTTTGGCACACTGTCACGAAGGATAAAAAAAAACTGCCTTGTGGTGGGTTGAGTTGGGGGCGCGCCCGCTTGGGTTGCGGGTTTTTCCAATTGGGAAGAGAGATCCAGAGTGTGGGTGACGAATCGGGTGGGCTGCCCGGTTGGGGTGTGGAGGGTGGGAGTGATGATGGATTGGGGAGGTTGGGTTGGGGGTGTTTGTACCTGCGTCTTAGAGGCACGCTGTCGTCGGAGAGAAGGTGTTACACAGATGTGGTAACTATTGCAGCATGACTAACTCTGGTCGTTCCGTCCCGTCGCGCTGCCTTCACCCCTCCCTTTTCTTTACTTATACATGTTCTATCAAACTCCGGAACCATCCGCTTCACAAATTCTATTCACGATACCCCGGACCCCAGCCCGATTGTCTCACTTGCCACGCGTTAACGGATCCTGAGATAGCCGCGTCTGTGTCGGCCGAGAAGACACCGCTGACAGGTGGCTAGGAACGTGCAATTTGTTTGGTGGAAATCGCTGGCCGTTTAGAAGCTTGGGAGGACGCCGAATACGGTTGTTTGTGGCTTGCGTGGGAAAGTGTGACGGCAGTGCGGGTTAGGGCTCGGCTGACAGCGTGATATGAGAAGGTGAGTGTTTGAGGGAGTGGATTGGGACTATGAAGAGGTATGGCTGAGAAGAGGTGTTTGGGCAATGAGTATTTGGGTGTAGGGACGATGTATGGTAGATTACTAGGTTGGATGTGAAGAAACTGTGTAGTTGGTGACTCTCTGCTACCCATACCGAGATATTTCAAGGCTCCATAAACGGCAGGTTAAAAGTCTGAGGAAGACTAACGACAGTTTCCGCAGTTACTCTTACATTCTGACGTCGTTATCATAATGCTTGTAGAGATTCTAGATGCGATATACTTATCCAAAATTATAGAGGCTCAACCCACGTTCATTCTATACCTCATTGAAGTTAAAAAATATGATCAAACCAACAGTCTTGTCGGACCAAGTACACATGAAAACCTCACACTTGCAGGAAAATGGACCCAAAAGCCCAACGCGCAGAAACACTTTACCTCGCAAACAGCGACATTCAAACTCCACAGTCTTGTGGGTCAAAAGATCCACCACCACCCGAACCCACCACGCCGATCAGACAAAACCCAAACAACAATTCACTCTAACCCATACACTCAACACACCTTCCTCCATACCCCCAACCCTCCATACCATTCACACCACCCATCCCGTCTCCCTTTCCCGCGCGCCTACCCCCCCTCCCCCCCTTTCTTCTCATCCACCAACCCACCCACCCCCACACACACCAACGCCGCATATATTCTTAGCAACGCCGCGCCCCTTCAGATCCCGCAGGATATATGGGGCCAGTCCTCGGATCGGATCGGGCAAGGAAAAGCAGCGCGCAGCAGGCAAGTCAAGCAAGGCAAGGCAGGCAGCGGCGGCTAGGGCTCGTACTACTCCACCGCACCGCCGCCGGGCGGCGAACCCCTCCGAGGTTGCGAGTGCCGTGACGGAGAACCCCACTGCACACGCTGTCAGCGAGGCAGCTACATACATACAGTATGCAGCTGGGTAAAATGTATTGGTTTTGTTCGTGTGCGACAGACGGAGCTGTGGGGATTTGTTGTATAATTTTATTGTGGTTGTGGTGGTACTATAGGGTTGTTGTGTGCGTATGCGTAGCAGCTCGGGGATTTCTCCTCCGCTTCATTATCGTTATTCATCATCATCATAGTGAAGCGAGACTGCAGCCAGCTACCGCTACGTAAGTATGTAGCTACCAAGTAAAAAAAATGTGGGTAAAGAACAACGGTATCCACACAAGTAATCGGTTCGTTGCCGGCCCTTTTCTACCCACACTACCTACACCAACATGCACATGCACAAGCATCCCGTTGAGAGGCACCCGTTGAGCAAGTAAGCGAGCGAACAACTGCAAGTTTCGTCTTTCTTCCCCCACGGAAGGAGTGAGTGAATTTCACGTTGCTCACACCAGAAAATAAAGTTTTGGAACACTTGGAGGAGAAGTGGATAACACGGAGATTATATATTAAGGCAACCCATTACGAGGATTGTTTTTGACACACACACCAAGGCCGTCAAAAGGGAGGGAGCGAGGAGATGGTCCGGTAGATTTACGAGTCGTGTGGGTGTGGGTGTGGGTGTGTGTGGTGTGTGGAGGGAATGCAAAGGTGGTACGACGCGCCACCCCATTTCTTCGCAGCGCCTGCCCTTTTCTCAGCTCCACACAAGCGTGTGTGATTGCAGCAGCAGCGCAGGATTGCAAGCAACAAGCAGCAAATACCCGTTGCCTCGAAACAACGGCAATGCCGAGTCGAGGGAATGGATGGATGGGGATGTGCTAAATATGTGGAGCCGACATACAAGGGCGGAAAAAAAGTGGAGATGCAGAAAAGGCTTGTTCCTCCTCCTCCGTCTTTCCACCACCAGCAGCAGCAGACGCAGGACGGCTGCAGCTTACTTAATTGTGGATCGCTGGGCGGAGAAGGGTCGTCTTGGTCGGACAAGACAAGAGCAAGAGAAAGTCGTCGTCATGCGCGACCTGTCAGCCAACGGCGGTTGCCAACCACTCACCTACCTCGCCCACGCGGGGTTCTGTCGATCGGCTGCATTAGCGAGCCCATGCAGGCCCTCGCCGGGAAGTGTTGTGTCACAGAGGGAGGGGAGGGGAGGGGAGGGGGGGGGGGTAGGTAATCAATCTACCGTACATAAAAGTTAGCGAGGAAAAGGCATGTTGGACATGTGTCGGCGGCCAAAAGACGAAACGGTTATTGCAGTATATGAGGCAGCTGTGGGCAGCTCCCCGGAGTACAAGCGTTGGCTAGGTGGTAAAGAGGGATGCCGCCGCTGCATGCAGGTGGGTATAAGCGTTTAAGCGCCGTGTGACATTCGGATGTATATGTATGTTGGACGAGGGGTGTTGGGTGTGGGTGATAGTAGGGGTCGTCGGATGGGAGAAGGAGTATTGGCTAAATAGGTGAACTGGCAGCCATTTGCCGGCTGGGGCGCGCGGGCGTGTGGTTGCAGCGAGGGCAGGGGAGAATCGATATTGATAGAGGCTTTTGTGAGCTGGCGGCATGGACCATGTTTGCTTTTTGAACGGGCGCTGGGTAATACAAGATTACAGAAGCAATGTTGGGGTACCGCATGTTGGACAAGCACTCCACCCAGATCGACGACAGTTGGCGATTCCTGACTCTAAATTGTGATATAAACCAGCCACCGTATTCGCAGATGGCGCGATTAGGGCAGCTAATGTAAGTTGGACAGTGCAATGATGCGCACCTGCCTACACATGGCATTTGGGCTAGCACGCGACACAAGGTGCACACGGCGACAGTGCTGGTGTTCTTGTGCGTGTCCAATGTCACTGCGGCTACCCTAGGTGGTCGAAGATTACACGATGAAGTTGAGGTCACGGGCTGTCGCGCCGGTGCAGATCTGGGCCTCGAAAGCGTCACCACACAGGCACGATGAAACAAACAGTTGGTGCGTTTCGCAAGCGTGCCCGCGCTCGATGCGCTGCAGAAGTCAGTAGCGGTCGCAGTAGTATGGCGCAGTGAGGCAGCCATGACTGTGGGTTCTGAGGCGGTGGGCTGTTCATCGCGACCACGACGACAACGACGACGACCTTCCGGATTCGCAGGGCAGCGTTCGCTTATACCGGCACGGCTGGCTCTGATGACGCGCAGGCCTCCTCCCCTGGGTCCACTTGGTGTGGCTATGGGCCGTCGTTAGTTTCACGTGGCCAGTGAGTGGCTTGTTCCTAGCGGCGGGCCGATATTCTTATTTCGGTCAGGCTGTTCGGTGGAACGCCAGGGCCCAAAAGGGTATCGACAGGTGCGCCTCTTGTCACATATCCGCGAACGGTGCCGTGGGCTTTGCAGGGCCAAGGCCAAGTCGACGCAATCACGGCTCGACTGGGGCGGCGGCAGACGCCAGCGGCCTGGTCTCGCAGCCTGGGGCGACGCAATCCCGGCTCTGGTGCTCATGCGCCAGCTCAATGATCGACTCCTTGTCAGATTGCAGGCTGCGGCAGGGATGGATTGGGTGACACGAGCTCGCGGGAGCGGTCACAGCACTGATGCATGCCGAGACTAAGCAGACGACCGGAAGCTTCAGATGTGGAGGAGACGTGCCGCTTGGCGAGGGATCATCGCTTCCTCCCTTGTGCCTTGCCTGCCCCCGTAGTCCTTTCTGTGTCAGTCTGTGTATCCCGACAAGAGCCTGCAAAAGGCCTACCCTACAAGCCCTGCACGCCCTGCAAGGTGCCGTTGCCCTGAGCCAAGCCTTTGACGGCAACCGTCAGCACCAAGCATGCGCGTGTGCGTGCAGCCCTCCAGGTGTCCACCAAATGTCCGCCCACTACTGTACTGCTCCACGTCGCTATGTCGCTACGTCGCTACCCACATTCCGACCACACCCTCGCACTGGCCTTGGGAAGAGTCGCGTGGCTGGCAACTGCCTGCCCTCATCACATCATAAACCTCCGCGACGCCATCAGTCTTTGCCGCTGAAAAGAAAAGAAACCTGACCGCCCAATTCCAGATGAGCTGACAGGCATGTCGAAACCCATTGTGATGATGACGGTAATGACTAAAAATTGGAGCAGACTTGTGCATGTGGAGGTAGCTCATTCTCGCCCACTGCGCCCAAGAGCTGCGAGTTGCGTCGGCGAAACAGATTGATCTGGCCTCCGCATATAGCGCAATAGCGGTACTGGTACCGTATCCATCGAACCGAGTAGCGGAGCCGATAGAACCTTGGAACCTGGCACGAACGCTACCGGATCGACCACGCCCTCGTTTCCTGACAGAGGCGCATCAAGTAGTCATAATAATCATTGAATAAATGCCATGGTTGCAATAACAATACTGTCATGATTTCTTGGCTTCACCCACTGCTCGTGGACACAGGCGGCGGACACAAGGCTGCCATGTAAGCACGTGTAAGAAGGTGGGCGGCGTGTCTGGGCATAATTTGTTGGCGGGTCCCGATTGTGGCTTTTGGTGTTGACAGGGATCAGCTTGCCCATGGCTCGCACAGATGCAATCGTCCTGGAGCATCTCGTAACCCTAACCCACACAGAAAGAGCGTTGGACCGCCCTGCCCCTTCCCTCTTCGCTCCGTCTGCTACTTCCTCACTTGTTTCTCCTACACGAGGCTGCATCCCACGACAGTCTCTCTCCCACACGCTGTCAGTGACGAGACATCAGCTTTGCTGCTTCCTCCATATCCAAGCCTGATACGAGTTGGGGTCCACATCGTCCGTGTTCCTCTCTGCGCGCTGCTGCTCTTCTCCGCGCCAGCCTCTCCACGCCTCGACTCTCACCCGTCGGCACGCTTGCGAGACGCGCCCGCCAACACCTGTATGTATCCTCCATTCCCACCATCGAATCCCATCTAAACCCGACCAGAGCAGACACCCTGGCCATACTACCCGTGCCTCTGTTTGGTTTTGACTTGCTCACCACCATCCATCCCGTCTTCGCCGCGGCTTCAGTAGCGCACTTGTCGCATTGTAGGCAGCGCTGTCGCGAACAGCCGTCATGGCCCAGCACCAGCAACCTTCGCCCACCACGGGCATGCCCCTACACCATGTAGGCCAGCATCCAGCCCACGCGCAGGTCAACGGACATCCGCCCCACGCAAATCAGCCAAAGACCCCGTCGCAGTACTTGGGACAGCTGACCGAGGCTGTCTGGACTCAGATGGGTAAGTCACACACCATCGCATATATGCTACGACTCAATTGACGCGCCGCAGGTTCCCTCTCCGAGCAAATGCAGGACTACGATGGTGCTATGCAGTGCTACGAGCAAGCCTTGAAGTTCAACCAGTGGTCTGTACCAGCCATGCAGGGCATTGCCTGTATTCTGCGTACCAAAGATGCTTTCCCAGCCGCTGTCGAGTATCTGCGCACCATTCTCAAAGTCGACTCGACCAACGGTGATGTCTGGGGTAGCCTCGGTAAGACATAGCTTCGCAAATTGTGCGCGACGCGACTAACACTTCCAGGACACTGCTACTTGATGATGGATGACTTGCAGCAGGCCTACTCGGCCTACCAGCAGGCACTTTACCATCTTCAAGATCCCAAGGTATGTCTTGTCGCGCATTCTCCGCCTTTTACCATATTCTAACAAAAGAACAGGAGCCCAAGCTCTGGTACGGAATTGGCATACTCTACGATCGCTATGGATCGCTGGAACATGCCGAAGAGGCTTTCTCGCAAGTCATGCGCATGGAGCCGACGTTCGAAAAGGCCAACGAGATCTACTTCCGTCTTGGCATAATCTATAAGCAACAGCAAAAGTTCAACCAAAGTCTAGACGTAAGCGCTTCCAAATCACAACGCATGAAACCTGCTAACATGCCAGTGCTTCAAATATATTGTCACCAACCCGCCTCGCCCACTGACCGAGGAAGACATCTGGTTCCAGATCGGTCACGTGTACGAGCAACAGAAAGAGGTTTGTCCTACCTAGCCTGGTAACCACTCAATCACTAACATGCCGATTAGTTTGAAGCAGCCAAGAGCGCCTACCGTCGGGTCCTTGAGCGCGATCCCAATCACGCCAAGGTGCTGCAACAGCTGGGATGGTTACACCACCAGCAAAGCACCAATTATGCAAGCCAGGAACAGGCCATCGAATATCTCGAAAAATCTGTCAACTCAGGTATGTCTTGTACTCCGCTACTAGTGTGCGCGTGTCTAACGACGTGTTCCAGATCAAACCGATGCTCAGAGTTGGTACTTGCTGGGCCGCTGCTACATGTCACAGCAGAAATACCCCAAGGCGTATGAGGCCTATCAACAAGCCGTGTACCGTGACGGACGGAACCCAACGTTCTGGTGTAGCATTGGTGTTCTGTATTACCAAATCAACCAGTACCGCGACGCTTTGGACGCGTATTCCCGAGCAATTCGCCTGAACCCCAACATATCCGAAGTTTGGTACGATCTCGGCACATTGGTATGTCTTTTGTTCTTCCCACACTTCCAACATACCACTGACCATGTCACAGTACGAATCCTGCAACAACCAAACTGCCGATGCGCTCGACGCATACCAGCGCGCGGCCGACCTAGACCCGTCCAACATCCACATCAAGGCTCGCCTGCAGCTTCTGCAGAATGGGCAAACTTCTGCTGGAGCCCCCAACCAGGGCAATGCCCCGATCCCGCAGGATGTACATCCCCAAGCCTACCAACCTGCATCGGTTCATGGTCCTACTGCTCCACAATGGGGTGCTCCCCAGCCTCAGCAGCCTCCCCAAGGCCCTGCTCCCCCGGCCATTGCACCTGGATGGGACCGACCGCTCGCTCAAATCCGCGAGCCTGGCCTCCCACCTCAGCAGTTGAACCCATATGAGCAGCGTGAGGCTATTCGTCCTCCTACTCATGCGCCTCCCAGACCTGTCAGCCCAAGACAGGAGGCACCCAGGTCATACGCAGAGCCACCTCGTCCTCCCACCAACGGACCTGGTCCTCAAGGTCCAGCTGGTCCCCCACCTCCAGGACCAATGCGTCGCGGCATGTCGCCTTCTCCAAAAACACACCATGTCGCGCCTAGCCCCTACCACCCTCAACCACCACCACAGCTCACCCCACAGGCGACTCATGCGCAGCCGCAACTGCCACCTCAGCAGCAGCAGTCTCAGGTACCGCCGCAGCCCAACCGGATCTCGAACCCCAACTACGGTCCCCATGCTGGCAGTGTGCCACCCCCCCCACCTCCTCCACCTACAGGTCTTGGTGGGCCGCCAACTCAGGCTCCTGCCCCAAGCGTGTTGCCTCCCTACGCTGTTCGTCCTGCCAGCCCTCCCCCAGAAGTCCGCCCGATCGTCGAGAACCGAGCGGCTTCTCCACGCAATGGGTACCAGGGGCCATACCAGCACCATGCTGACCCCTCTGCCACTGGTGGTATTGCCAGTGGTGCTCCTCCGCCAGCCTCTGCTCAAGCAGCAGCGGAGCAGGCAGCTCGTGATCGCGAGGAGCGCCCACCAACCGCACCTCCAAAGCGACACCGCGAATGGGAAGACAGTGAGCACATTGCGAAGCCTCCAAGCAACGAGGAAAAGCGCCAAAAGATGGAAGAGCCTCACAGCCGCCGTCCAACACCCCCTCATCGCATGTCGTCGCCGCAAGTGCCTCGTCACAGCCCACAAGACGGCCCCGACCCTCGCCGTTTCAACGATGGTTACCACCCGTCTGAGGCCGCTCATCATCCACCATCGCTTCCCCCAATGACAACTACGCGACCATTGTCTCGCATGTCAGAAACACCAAAACAGGAGCGGGCTGAGCGGCCGATTGAGCGACCAATCGAGCGACCTGAACACCATGAGCCGGCTGCTCGCCACATGGATGTTGATGAGAACTACGATGATGAAGGCGATGAAGTCAAAGCAAATGGCGCCAAATCCGAGCGAAGCAGCCCACGCACTGCGCCTACCAACGGCGTCTCCCATGCTCCTGCTGTCGTAGAGCAGAAGGCGCAAGGAGCTTAATGGCAGAAAACTGTATAGTTCAATTTCGGATGACGAGCAGCGGTACTTTTGTTAAATCTGTTTCCTTTATCCATAACAAAATATTATTTGTTTGAGCTTTGAGAGCAACGGTTGGTTGATGGGTTTGTTGGGAAGGATTGAGCGGAGTCAAAAGACAAGAGGAACGTGGCAGCGTTCCTCGGCATGGCGATGATACCCTGCGCTTTTATATTGTGTTGGCGCTTGTGCGGGTGTTGTGAGTTTGTCAACACCAACGAGAATGATATAGCAATTTGGCATGTTAGGAAAGAATGTAATTTTTATACAAACCTCTGTTGATGAAAGCAAAGGTGCAAACATTGAAGGTGGAGTTGGGCGGTGCCCAGGTGACGGATGGTGGGGTCAGGCTTTCTGACTGCGCATGTGTACAGCGAGCAGTTGCGTCATGGCACGGCGCATGGCAAGCATGAGCAAACCACTCCAGCATTTGTATCGCACAAGCTCGCAACCTGTGCCTAACACAAACACGATCAAATCTTGTAGAATCGTCGGTCTCAACAGGGGCAACATCTGCAGGAGAGAAATATCTTCACTTCATCCAAGCTCCAACACGAAAGTCGCATTTAGGCATCTGTCACCACACAAGGCGGTCCTCAGCTTGCGCACGTCAATCTCGCAAGCCCACGTACAAATTTCTCGTCGAAGCGAACATTTGCGCATCATGTCGTCGGATGCAGACTACGCGGCCTTCTTGGACAAGGCTAACCAAGACATTGGATCGGCAGAGACAAGGGACGCGTCGCAGAAGCAGGGTTATGGCACCAAGAGCGTGAACACGGCAGTGCCCAAGGTGCTGGAGCAAGTGGAGGAATACTATGTTAGCGATGCGGACGAGCCTTTTGAGCCTGTCGCGCTGAGCTTCGAGGGAAGCAGTGTGTCGGCTGGTAAGAAAGCTTCGACTTGCACCCCACGATGATCGTCTTGCATACGCACGGCGGTGGAGAGAGTATCTCGCTTACAACAAAAGGCTGACGTACTTGTAGACGATCTTGAGAAACTCATCGGCAGCGACAAGGTCGAGGAGGTCAAGGGCACCGGCTTCGAGAGCCAATACAAGAAGGTCGTGGACGCGGTCAAGCAGGCAGGAGATGGCACGGTCAAGGTGTTCCGAGTAGAGCTCCAGGGAACCAGGGCAGAATACTACGTAGTCACGGTAGACGAGAAGCAAGGCAGATTGGTGGGACTCAAGGCTCTTGCGGTGGAGTCGTAAAGGCAGCAGCTGGATTGGAAATCAGACAATATAAGACATGAACATGGGCAAGCACGTACGGTTTGGTGCAGTTTCAGGCACTATAAGAAGGCTCGAATGGCGTATATGACGATGATGGCGCAAAAATAAGGCCGTTTGAAACGTTGCGCTGGCATGGATAGGGTGGTTGCGCAACGGTTTTGCTTGACAGATTGGTGGAGCATGCCGTTCAAGTCGCGACGATCACGATTGTTATTTGTTGAAGATTGGCGGCAGGCGGGCAATTTCCGTGGCCCAAAGCCTTGAAGTATAGTCATGGCATCCCGTTGATCCGAGCCTACAGCCAACATTGCTATGCCACATGCACTCGTGCACGAGTCATCTTGTCATGACGTTGTCATTCGGAAGCATCGAAGTGAAGACTTCAACAAGCCGCTCGTTCACTTTTTGGGTGAGGGCATCGTGGTGGTCAGCCCTGTGGCGCACCGCATCATGTGCGTTTGTTATTGGCTGGCGGGGTGGGCCTAGCGCGTCCAATTCGGGCATGCCTCGGGCGGACCTGTCCATGTTCCAGAACTGGCTGCGCCTTCAATGTCGGGTAGTCCCTAGCTCTTGAGTGAGCGACCGGCACTCGTGCTCGTATCGGCCTCATCCGCCCTGATGTGCAGTCACGGACAGTCATGGATGTAGATGAGTGGTGTGCAGAGGAGATGAGCATGTGATGGGCAGAGTAGAGCAGAGCAGAGTAGAGCAGAGCAGAGCATCAGTTGCCTGGAGTGGGTACTTGTCTTGCCAACATAGTCGACATGATGTGCGGCTGTTATTTATTGACATCGTATCTGCGAGGCTTGGTTTTGACCCGTTGGGGAGGCGAAAACGGATGAGGAGGATCAAAAAGGATGGGTTAGATCGTCGAGCTATTCTCGGCAGCCGGGCAACGATACGATAATCACGATAGCAGTAGCGAAGTCGCATGTGGCTAGATGGATAACATGGCAAGTGCAGGCTCAACGGGCTCGCAAGACTGGTACCAAGATGGCGCTTGTGAGGTTGGGCATGGCGTTTATTATATGTGGTGCGACGCGTAATAGGAAACCGATGATCTCTGGGCTATCGAGTGGCCCAAAGCAAAAACACAGTAGCCATCAAGTACACAGGTACTTGAAGACAGCAGACTTGTTGAGAAGGCAAGCGAACGGGACGGACAAGACTAGACAGCGCGCGTTTCTGTAGAAACACGAGCTGGGAGCATGGCGAGGCTGGAGGGCGAAAAGCAAGCGTGATGCAACACACGACTCGGACGGGTGAGTGGGTGAAGCTGTCGACATGTTGCTTCGAGTTACGGCGCTGCGACGCATGACAGCCTGTGAGGGTTTCGAACAAGCATAAGGCATGGCAATTTGCATCTTGACAGGCTCCACCATAATAGGAGACGACAGGTGCAAAGTGTTGAAACGTGCGAGTAAATTTAGCAAGCACACGCCTCCCGCCGTGTGCGTAAGCGGCCCTTCAATGCCCGCCGCATGCAAGCGCCCTGCCAGCGACCGATCTTCCCTCCTCCCCTAAAGCTTCGACTCAGGAACAAGGCCCCGGCTTGCCACACCGCCCGTCGCTTCTTGCTTCATTACCATCTCGCTGCGACGCCTTTTGCATCTTTTGCTACCGACCCCATTTGCGCAGACTCCTCCACGCTCTGCTTACCCTCAGAGGCAAAAGTCGTGCGCCGCTCGCTCCTGCCGCTGTGACAGAGTGCCAAGCCAATCCAGGCACGCGTTCCTGGTCGATTTCCTTATCCCGGCCATCCCCCCGTTTGGGCCAGGACCGATACACCCACCCCTAGATCCGACGTCTGCCCGTCCAACTCGACTTTCGACGCTCGACACTCGCTTTCTCTCCTGCAAACCGACAGAGCAACTTTTGGTCAGGTCGACTCTCCAGAGGTTGAGCATCACCCGGAGCGCCACTTCACTCCCCATCGTCATCGTGCCCGTGCCCTCAAACGACTACCTGGATTGCCCTCCCTTGTTTGATTTTCGGCCTGTTGCGTGCCATTGCTTACCACAACACTCGTTTCTACCCGCATACCGAATACGAAGCATCAGCGCATCGTCAGCTTGGCTCTCTGAGTAGCAGAAAGCCCTAACAGCGCAAATCCTCACCCTATACGCTCGCTAGCCCGCCCGCACGCTCCCTTTCCACCATGATGCCGCAATCGCCTAGGGGAGACGCCCCGCCCCATCTCCGCCTCAACTCGGGCACCCAAGAACCGCTGACCGACGAGACGTCCTCGAATGCGCGCCCAACATCTGCACGAACAACCTCTGCGCGCTCTTTGACACAACCAACACGTCCAGGCACTGCCCCGAGTCCTGGCTTTCAGTCACCGACGAATTCCCATGTATACAGCAATGCCACCATCGCAGAGTCCTCCGAGATGCTGCTGCCGCCCAAGAAGCTCAGGACAACACGGTCGTACCGCGACGAATCTCCCATGCAATCGCCGTCTGCCTTGTCGTCGAGACGAACAAGTTGGAGTTCAGACTTCACTGGAGGCCCATTTGGTTCGCCGTTTGACGACTCAAGAGCGCCGTCGCGCGCAGGCAGCGAAGAGGACCTGAACACGCAAACAGTATCAGAGAAGTTCAACATATTACCTTCGGCCGGTCTGCTACTCTTCCCCGAAGATGTCGAAAAGGACGACTACCTACATAACCCCGACCCCAATGACAAAGACGTCAAAGATTGCGACATCTTCACCCGCAGAGGTATGGTCAATCTTGGAGGTCTGGGTTTAATGGCTCTCGGTCTTCTCATGCTGTTCATCGGCTACCCAATTCTGTACGTCCCTTCTCATTGCCGACTGCGTTTTCGCCGTACTAACATACTGCAGCACATTCGTTCAGGATATGACCAAACCAGAGATAGGGCCGTGTACAAATAATCCTCTATGTATAGCAGGCAAGCAAAGCGAGCCGTTACTCACAAACGTACGCAGAGGGCTCATCGACCCGGACACGCCCAAGGAAGCCATGACTCGAACATCAGCCGATGGCTCAAAGCAAGTACTGGTCTTTTCAGATGAATTCAACACGGACGGTCGCACCTTCTACGATGGTGACGATCCGTTTTTCCAAGCTGTCGATATCTGGTACGGTGCTACCATGGATTTGGAGGTATGTTTCATCAAGCCATGTTTGGCTTGGCAGCGCTGACACTCCGCAGTGGTACGATCCCGATCAGGCCTTCACCAAAGATGGTTCACTCAATTTGAAGTTCTCCGCCGAGCCGAGTCACGGTCTTGACTACCGTTCTGGTATGATTCAGTCTTGGAACAAGCTCTGCTACAAGGGTGGACATCTCGAGGCCAGTATCTCGTTACCCGGTCGCGGCAACGTCAGTGGTTTCTGGCCCGGTTTCTGGACAATGGGTAACCTTGCCCGTCCTGGTTATCTCGCTTCCACCGAAGGTCTCTGGCCATACAGCTACCACGACGAGTGCGATGTCGGTATCACGCCTAACCAAAGTTCCTACGACGGTCTCAGCTACTTGCCCGGAATGAAGCTGCCCGCCTGCACTTGCAAGGGCGAAGACCATCCCAGCCCAGGCAAGTCCCGAAGTGCCCCGGAAATTGATGCTCTTGAAGGTTCCGTTCACTTCTTGGGACCCGGAGAAAGCAACGCAATCGGTGTTGTTTCCCAGTCATTCCAAGCTGCACCCTTTGATACTTGGTACATGCCCGATTATGGTAATTATCCCAATCTCTGGTCGCATTCATTCTTACTAACAACAATCAGAATACATGGAGGTTTACGATACTCAAATCACAACGATGAACGCCTACAAGGGTGGACCTTTCCAGCAGGCCATCTCTGGATTGACCAACCTGAACAACAACTGGTATGACGGCAAGCAATACCAGACTTATTCGTTCGAGTACAAAACTGGTGAGGACGGTTTCATCACCTGGTATGTCGGAGAAGACAAGACCTGGACTATGAATCAAAAGGCCATTCGACCCAACGGCAACCTCGGTACAAGAAAGATCCCCGAGGAGCCAATGTCCATCATTGCCAACTTCGGAATGTCGAACAGTTTCGCAGCCATCAACCTCGAGGAAATTGCCAAAGACCTCCCAGCTACCATGCGCGTCGACTACATCCGCATCTACCAACCAGAGGACAACCAGATCATGACCTGTGATCCTGAAGGTTACCCCACCACCGACTACATCAGGGCACATCCAGAGCCTTATGCGAACCCTAACCTCACGGATTGGTAAGTGCACAACGTAGACCTCTATCTCTCGACTAACAATCTGTAGGAAATCAACCAAATACGATTGGCCGAAGAACTCTTTCATGCATGACTGCAAAGAGTGAGTCTTCGCGCTTATCTCACACGGAGACTGCTGGCTTCCGGTCTCTGTACTTTTCCTAACGTGGCCACGGCAAACGACAATACCCACAAGAATGGATTCATCGCAAAAGCACATAATTATAGACTGTTTTATTTTTGGTCCTTTCCGAAGGCTGATTCAGCATCTACATGGAGCCTGGGGCGTTTTATCTAGGATTTCATATCATCGCCTATCCGTCGACGGAAATCTTTCTGGCACGCGCACGTCATATCATGGCACTGGGACTTGCAAATCCACCCGTTTGTACTACCGCCACGCCAACACCTGGTCCCCTTTTCTGGCGGTACCCTACAACGACGTGGCGAACCCAGTCCTTCTCCCATATAAAACGGCGCGCCTCTTGTATATCACGGCATTTGTTCTTCTATGCATCGCCTGTACAGAGTATACTGTCACTTATGAAGATGGGTATCTCTTTTTTTTTTTTACTTTACCGGGAGGGGGTGGTTTGGTTCTTGGGGAGTTTGCTGCTGCTGGACTGCTTTCGCACACCAACAACCACACCAATACCTTGTTTTGTTCATGCTTTTAATGCATTGTTACAAACTTTACCCTTTTTTGGTTTCGTCTTTCTTTTTTAACATTTCCCTTCTTTTTTCCATATCCGTCTCTGGTTTTTGCGTTCAGACTTTGCCCATGGCAAGGAGAGAAGATGAGCGCGTTGCGTCTTTGTATCGCAACAATAGCAACAAGCGCAATTGGAGTAAACTTTTGGCAATGGGTGGGTATGAATGGGTGGTTGGATGGATGGGTTGGGGGATTCTTCGGGGGTGTCAAGCAACGATGCGATGAAGTGGTTCTGGAATACTTTGTGCACAGGGCGTTCTTTTTAATGTTTAGCAGATGAGGAATGAAGGGGATGGGTTGGTCGGTCAGTCGGTTAGGTGGCGGTGGGGTGGGGTGGGGGGATTAAACGGTTGTGGGGATGCCATGGCAAGATGATGGGGGTTGTGGTATGCGCAAGGCTGGCTGGCTTAGACGGGAAAGAAAGCGTTCCTAGACGCATGGCGTGGGAAGAAATGAAATACTACCCTGATTTCAATCAAATGCTTTGAAAGACCATTTGTTCTTTGGTTGTTTGTCTGAAGACATTTCGTGCCATCCGTCTTCTACTGCCTATCCGTCCGTCAATACACGAAACGGGCACCGTTGATGCCGCTACTCGGAATCCCAGAAGAAGAACAAGCTAGAAACACTCCCCAACGCCAACACCAACGCATATTTCTCCGTTACACCCGTTTCGTTTCACCGCTTTTGAAAATCTTCCTTTGCGCCTGCGTTTGGTATTGCCTCAAGCCTCAAGCCACCCACCAAGCCAGAGACGAGACAAAAACCCGAGGCCGGTAGGGTAGGCGAGAAGACGGCAAAGGTAAAGCAAGAAAAGCAGTATGCGATAACAGTAGCAAGCAAGCAAGCAAGCAAGCGACAACGACAACGACAACGACAACGACAACAGCAATTAAGCCACCAAAAAAGAAGAAGAAGAGGAAAGAGGTAGTGGGGAAAAACCAAATATCAAAGGCGTAAGGCTGATGTGTGGAGGAGGTAAAACAGTAACGGTAGGTGTTTTCTGTTCTTGCTTTTTCCACGTTCTGCGTTGGCGGTTTGATTGTTGTGGTTGGCGAAAAAGCATGGTTATCTATCAAGTCGTTTTTCACATGTGTTCATCTGCGAGGGTTCTACTGAAAGGACGGTGAAGATGAGGTTTGGATGATATAAGAGGTTTGTGTTTTTTTCTTTCTTTCTTTCTAGTTATGGCTTTGTATGTATGTATATATCTGTGCGTGTTTGTGTGTGTTTGCGGCGAGTAAACGCGACTGTATCAGTCCAGCGTCTACCAAAGTGCCATGCGCTGCAAAAGATGGTAAATCCCCCCGCAAAAACATGCCCGATTCATTCCCAAACAACTCTATCATCACCTCCATCACTCTCACATGCAGAGAAGAAGGGAAAAAAATAATGTGACTAAACCACTCAAATAACCACCTTCTTAAAAAGCAAAGGCTTGGTCGGATTCGGCATCGTCATCCTCCCAATCTCAATCTGCGGATACCTCTCCGTCACGCCCTCGGGCATCTTGATATCGTACTCTAGAATCAAGCGCGCAACCACCATTTTGATCTCGTTTGTAGCGAAGAAGCGACCGGGGCAGGCGTGGCGGCCGTAGCCAAAGTTGAGGTTGGCCTCGTTTGTCGTGACGAATTTGGTTGCGGGCAATGTCTGCGGCTTTGCCGAGGCGCACAGGTTTGTAGGCCGCGGTAACCTTCGAAAGACGTCGGCGTTGGGGTAGTTGTCTCGTCCGAAGTACAATGGCGGGCGGCGGGGGCTTCGAAGGATGACACCGGCGCGGGGATGTAATTGGCCATTGCTGAGGGGTGAAGCCTTTGAGAACCGAGGCGGGCCAAAGAAACCTAAGGGGGGGGGGGGGGGGGAAGTTGTGTTAGTGGGTTGTGTTTGAAATTGTTGAGATTGACAAGACTTACTGATGCCGGTAGGGTAAAACCGTGTTGCTTCCTTCATGTAGCTGTCGAGTTTCTCCATTTTCTGCAATGCGCGGAATGTGATGGTGCCACCGTTTTCGGCCATTACCTGGCGGATCTCTTCGCGGAGGGGGTTGATGTACTCGGGGGTGGAAACTAGAGTGTACAAGATGTTGGTGGCGGTCATTGTCGTCGTGTGGATGGCAGCAAAGATGAGACTTAGTTGCAAGATTGCCATTTGTTCAATCGACTCCTTTCCGTCATCTCGGTTGATCATCCATTGTACCATGTCGTCTGGCTCTTGCCAGTTGGGATCAGTGGCCTTGAGGTGTATTCTCTCTTGTGTGATGGGTTGCAGCAGCTTGTAAGCGGCCTTCTCTCGCTCGCGAAGTTTAAGAACCTCTGGCAGGCGGGGTACCTGGATTGGCTTTAGCCATGGGCGAACTTGCTTGATGGCTGAGACTGCTGTCATGAGATCCACGGTGTAGTTGCTGCAAGCGTCGAGATATTCGGGGTTTTGAGACATTTCCCTCCCAACGAAGATGGCGCCCGAGACCTTGGAAACTACATCGACTAGTTTCTGGTTGATAAAGACTTCGGTCCAGTCATCGCATGGTGGCATGTACTCTCGTACCGCCTGGTCGACCTCTTCGCAGACCATGGCGTTCAAGCGAGCTGATGTTTGGTAAGCAAATCAGCCAGTCATCAGGATTGTCGAAGACTTACGTAATGCTGGCGTAAGATCAGACTTGACCGCATGCGTTGTCAATTGTGCATCTGTGTTGACTTTGGTATACTTGGTCTCCAAGATCTATGACCAATGAGCTTTGCCGTGTCTCAAGTGAGGGGTGTTCCATGCTTACATTTGCAGCGAACATGGAAAAGCTGAGACAATCATCTGGGAGCTTCCGCAATTCAGGTAGTAAACTGGGGGGCACCACGATGGTGTTTCGGCCTACAGGTTGTGAGTTATGCCTGTCACGTTGGCTACGGAGACAACGAACCATCATCAGTATGAACTCTGTAGACCCTGTCCTTGAACTAGTCATATTGTGAGCAACATGATCTCAGCAAGATAGAGATGATGCCTACTTTGGCATATCCTTCTTCATAGATCTTCCTCGCAGACGAGAGAAACTCCTGGCGCTGCTTCTCTCCTGATTTACCGCTCGTGTTGTGGACTGGTAATTTGGAAAGCTGGATCTTGCGCTGGATGGTGGGAATGTAGAAAAACACTGCAAAGATGAATGCGGCTATCGCTGCTGTTGACAACGATTGCGACAGTGTTCCCAGCAGCTGAGTGTCGATGGTAGTGTGACCATCATCGTGTGAGGGGACAGCCGTGGCCGTGTCCAGGTACTGTTTGCTAGACATGTTGAGGCAGGAACAATCGACAGGATAACCACTCCAAGTCGACGAAGATTGGCCGGTCTTATATCAAAGATAGGAAAGGAGACTACATGACAACGGACGAACACACAACCGCTATTTATCAATAGGCGCCTTTTAGCGTTAGCGGGGTGCTTGACACAACGATCAGCGCAATACGGGTGCATACGGTGCATACGCTGGACATGGTGTGGCCAGACTAGAGCGAGGTTGTCACCTATAGCGCTCGCCGATCGTTACGGCATCTTGACTGTTCAGCCTCCGTCGCAGCTTGGCCAATGTCCAGACTTCAGGCGTGCAGGTAACGGTCCAATCGAAGGTTTAGCATTACGGCCAGGGCGACCGCTACAGAGAGCCACAGTAGAGCCACAAACCGGTACATAGTCCGAACGCGTGTCGGTTAGGCTCCTGAAACGCTCGATCCTTTCCCCGAGCGTGGCGAGTGACGTCGGACAGAAACAAGTACACAGCATTGCATGCATTTTGTGTACACTAAGGGGTAAAAGGACCTTGCAATGCATGCGAGTGACGGTTTGCTGCAACGCAACGGCTTGTTCGCTTGTGTGGATGCTATAGAGTTCCGTAAGCGAAAGCGAAGTAGTTAATTGCATACTGGTACATGTCGGAAGGAGCTGGACCCTGTTTGCGGCTGATGCCTCTATTTTAATGGATGCCAATGGCCGCCCTAGCCGACGGTCCCCGGAAGGAATCCTAGTGCCAGCTTTCGCTAAAGAGCCTTCATGTCTAGGATGTTTAATTATCTTTCTCTAGTCCAAGCACGAATAGACGCAACTTCTATACGGTGTTGGATCTGTCGCCGTACCCAACGGCATGTACGTAACATTCGGCAGAGTTTAACCCTAGATCCAGCATGCTCCAGGGCAAATGCAACATCGCCATACATGTGCGTCTTGATCCCAACAAAGTAGCCCAAATATTGCGGGTCAACTGCTTGACTAGCCGACGCTGTCACATACATGCCGTGGGCGCTTTACCCACCGAGGCAGCTGGAACAGGGTCCAGCGCTACACGGAATAATTAGGCGCGTTTCCATATATCCTCTGTGTGATGAGGTCTAGGTCATACGACTGACCTTGTCCTACACGAACTTTTTCTCTCCATGGGTTGATACGTTGATTACCCATATTTGATTGTCCTACCTAGTCTAAATCCGTTATTGGATTAGTACTGTACGATAGAACTTGGGACCAAGACACCAAGTGTTGACCGTATCAACCGTATTAACTCACAAGCACCGCCTTGCGCTGGAGCGAAACATCTCGTGAGTATGTTTCACATATCGTTGAGCTGAGGGGCCACGGGTATCCTTCCGCGACTGTGAGCATTGAGAACAAGGGTTTGCATATGAAATGCGTGTGAAGCAGCGCAACTTGTTTTGCTTGACGTTGCAGAATGGCCTATCCTAAGAGAGCAATAGTGTAGATGCCGCATTAGCAGGCATCACATTCCTTACAACTTCTCAGCCAACATCATTGGTCCACCAATTTCGTCTCGCTTTTCTTTCCCACAGATGGCCTCGACAATTGTGAGGGCGAATAATATGGCGGTGCCAGGCCTGTACGCAGTTAGTATGCCGTCTCCACAGGTGGGATGGATGGCTGCGCCTACCCTCGACTCGTAACAATCTTGTCATCAACGACGATTCTGTCCTCACTATACTCCCAGCCAGCTTGCTTGATTTCCTCTGCCACACTTGGATGGCTGGTGACTGTCGTCTTCGCCCCTTCAAACTTCTTCGTCGAAGCAACCAGAGCTGTGGTAGCTGCGCAAATGGCTGCAACCCACTTCCCCGCTTTCTGGAACTTGCTGATTAGTTCGAGCACTGCGTCGCTCCCACAAAAGGCCTTTGCACCCGGCGCCCCGCCAGGCAGGATGAGAACGTCGAAATCCTCGTGGGCAGTTTGGAGTGGTACGGATGACAGATTCGGATGGTCGGGTACGATGCGGACATTCCGTGACATGCTAAAAGACGCGTTAGTTGTAAATTCGCATCCTGACCTAGGTGAGCTGTTGCTGACTGAGCGTATGCTTCGTTCTTGAGTGATACACCTGCCGAAGTGACATCAAATCCAGCTCGAGTCAAGACTGCGGCATATGTCAACATTTGCACTTTTGGTATAGCATTTCTGAGCAAGCTCTGCAGGACATACCGTCATAGGGAGTGACGAATTCAATCTCCTCAGACCCATCCGCGACCAATATCAACGCCTTCGGCATCGTGTTTATGATGGTGTGTTGTATTCAGCGAATCGAGGACACACGGATGACTTGGTCCGTGGATGGTGGACTGCAAGATGGTTTAGAAGTCGGTGATGGTGGTGCTTGAAAGCACAACACTGGTCGTGTTCTGTCCTTGGGTACATGTGACGTATGCTGATATGGCTGGGCCAGTGCCGAGATCCGGAAACATAAGCCGAGCAACTACCTGTGTATTATTCGTGTCTTCGGTAAGCAGACGCACAGGACCTCACCGCCCAACAGTCCTGTGCCTAGATCGAAAACTAGACATAGTCCACACTAAAGCAGATGGAGTGAAGTCATTAAAGAATAGCATTCGCTCGTTTGCTCCGAATTGCATGAACTGGGCCATGAAGGATCTCGTAAAAGCACACTATAGTCCCCTATATACATCCACAAGTGTGTGCTTCCCGTACAGAATCCACCTAGATTCATCCCATATGGAAGATCGCCCAGTCCGATGCCAGCTTCGTCAATACTAGAATGTGCAAGATACATAGCCACTCTATGCGTCGTCGAACCCAGGATATCTCTCATAAGCTCATGCAATGAAAACGGTTTCTCCAAAGGAATAACATTTGAAAATGTAAAGGCCAGTCGTCGCCAATTTCTCCCCACGTTGTCGTCTCCCTCGCCTGATATTAGAACGGTGTGCAGCGTGATGGAGCGCCTGCCTCCTCCATCTACTGGCTTGTGAAAAAGCAAACAGGGTATGTCAGAAAACAAAACAAAAACAATCCGTATCTATCGTTGCAGGGAATTGCATAGTAGCAAGTTGAGGTATCAAGGGCGTGTGAAAGACATTTGGAAGACAAGCAAAAGGCCACGCCCATGCTTAAGAACTCCAAACACCATATCCATAGTGGGAAAGCAAAACAGTGAATGTCGTAACGAGCCCCGAGGGGTCTCTGAATCATATTTCGACTTCAACGCGGGGTGGTCAGCGATTACAAGCTCATGGTCAACCATTCCTGCGCGGCAATGATTAGTAAACGGTAAACGACACATTGGAGAATGATTCTTACCCATTCAGCTGGACCAGATGACTGCAAACCCTGGCCCATGGCACCCATAGGCAGGGCACCGAGGCTCTGACCTGGAAATGGATTGGAAGTCGCTATACCGGTATCCTTTCTGCGTAGAGGTGCCTTTCCGTTCGTATCGTCCGCATCCGCCATTTCCAGTTCCTGTGGCTCACTCTTGCTTTGACCACGGGCTCGTTTGGGCGCAACTGCTACCCCACGTGTCTGAGCCAGATTGACGGAGCTATTGGATTTTGGTGGACCTGGAGCAATTGGAACCACACCGCTCGGTTTCGACGAAGTCGGTGTAGTGGCTGAGGATAGATTGGAACCACCACCACCACCACCAGATCCAGTGGATTTTGGAGACTCGGAATCAGCCGCTTTGTGGGATGTCGGCGTTGTCACTGGCGTATGCGCAATCGAATTCTTGCGAGACGACTTCTTGGACGATCGGGTTGACGCTGTGCCTACAGGAGCATTACCACTGCCACGATTGCGCTTCTTAATCACATCGGTCTTGAGTGACAAGGGCCTAACAACACCGTGCAGTTTCAAGAACAGACCACAGGCATTGCAAAGCGGATGTCCCTCTGGGTTGCGACGCCACAGAGGCGTTGTTTGGGTAAAGCAGTTGGTACATGTCGTGGGTGCACCGCCTTCGCCCTGTTTTGAGCCACCAGGACTTGGGGGACGTGATGGCGCCGCAGAGTTGAAACCCGACTCTGGAGGTGAATTTGGCGATGATACCAAGCCATGCATACCCTGGTGCACCATCCCAGCAGCATTGGGGGTTGAGCTAGTGCGGGGTATCTTCTGGCGTCGTGGGTCGTTCCCTCGATTGCGTATGTCGCTGACGGATGCGGCAGAACCGTGTGTCCGACCAAGGCTTCCACCCCCAGGGCTCCAGTGATCTTGCACCATCTCTGTTCCGCCAATGGTGACGGTCTTCCGTGGTGGCCCAGCGGGATATCGTGCTTGCATGGGATTAAACTGGTTGGATAGGTTCGTCTCCCACTGATAGCCGCCATTGAAGTCGAGAGATGCATCCTCCATTGGTGAGTAATCTTGCGATGGCATGGTACGATCTGCAAACGCGCTCCCCTCATCTTCTTCGGCGTCTGAATCAGCACCAAAGGTGAACATGTTTTCTTGACGGCCCATTTGCATCTCGTGCTGCTGTCGCAGGGGGAGATGGCTATGGACTTGGGAAGGATCTATGTGGCTGGAGTGGCCGAAAGACGAGGCTGAGAAGGGTAGAGAGGAGCTGGCGCTCGTTACCGGACTGAATACAGAGTCTGGACCACCGCCGCTAGGGTTGAAGATGAATTGTGGCTGCATCGAGGTGGATAGGTTTGAAGGTCGGTGGGTACCATAAGAGGCTGCGCTGTGGGTGTGGCGCATCTCCATGCCGTTCCGGTCAAAGTACATTTGGTTGTCCTCGGGGATGGGCTGTGGTGTTGAGACGGTAGAGGGAAAGGCGGAGCTTGGGGGAGAGTAGTAGTCGGTGGAATTGAGTGACGAAGCCATGGAGTTGTGGTTGAACATGGTCGAGTTGAAGGCGTTGTGGCTCATGAGAGGCGAGCCGACGGGAGAGAAGCCAGGGAAGCTTTGCTGGTAGGGACCGGCGGAATGTATGACGGGATCCTCATGCATCTGGTAGTTTTCCATGGCGAAGGGGTTCTGGGCCTGCGAGGCTGGGAAGGTGGGTGGCTGCATGGTGTTGTGGTCCAGCGAGTACTGGTGCAGGTCGGCCTCTGCCTGGGCATCAGTGGGTATCATGATGCTGTTGACAGGAGGCACTTGGGGCGAGGCTTCAGCGCGCCGCTTTGGGGGCTGATAAGGTGTCAGTGAGGCTGTGGAGGGGACATGGGCTGGGGTAGATAAGAGACTCACTCGTCGCTCGTCGATGCTGGTCTTGCGGACGTGTCGCGGCACGTAGCCAAACTCATCCTCCCTACTGATGGTAGGAGGCACTGAGGGAGCGGAAGCGCGGGCGAGGGAGAGATTGTGGTCGCTGGCCAGATGCGGCTTTCTTATCGGTATCGCTGGGGCAGGTGGATTAAACGGAGCCGCATCCTCATTCGACAATTCGGGCGACAGGCCTGCAGGACTGGCGACAGACGAAGGAAATATAAAATCATCTAGATTCATGGCGTCCTGGGATGGCTGAGTGGCCTGGGCCTGCTGGTCTTGAGATTTCCTCAACTGCTGTGCGATGCCGCTGGGGGCGGACCTAGGCGGCGGTCTTGGACTCACTGCTGCTGGACCTGCACCCGCACATGCTGGGGGCGGCGGCATCATTTCGTTGCTGTATGAATTTTGGTCGGACCTAAAGCACATGGCATGGTCAGCAGCTGGTTGAGGAGCATGGGCTGGTAGCGACGCAAAAGCAAGTGGCGGGCATCCATACCCTTTATTGTTGCGATGCATGTCGGCGCGGCGCATATTCATGGCCATCATCCGCCAGGTCAAGTTCTCCATGCGCTCTGCGTTGGGCAGCTGCGTCTTTGCCCGTGAGTAGAGTTTCCAGATCTGGGTGCCCAGCGGGTCGTTCTTTTGCATTTCTTCTGGGGAGTCCGCATTGGGCGTGCCCGCATCGTTACCAAAGGCGGGAAAGATGGCATCCTGAAGCAGGCCGCGGCGGGCACTGTCTTGCTGGGGCGAAACCTCCATGGCTCCCTCTGGCACAGCACAGTGCATCAGTCTGGGGGAGGTGGTGGTGTAGCCCGCTTGTTTTGCGGTCGTGGACTTGACAATAATGTTGCTTGTGCGAACAAGACGATGATGTAGCGGCGTCGGCGCGTGCTCTCAATCGGACGGGTGCACCCCACGTTAGCTGCGGACCTCAGCTGCAACCACAGCCGAAGTAGGCCCTGAGCGCTGTGTACAGTGGGGATGAAGCTGAGCGTGTCTAGGTCGGTGACTTTGACTTTTGTGCGGTGTGTTGACGATGTCGCACAGCGACTGGCGGCCTGGTCAGTGGATATTGAATTGCTTGTGTTTGCCCTCCACGGGGAACGAGGCTTTCAAGGTTGCCCTGGTTGGGCGACCCAGTGAGCGGCGCAATAATTCAATTGCTGCGTCGCGGGCTGCTCCAGCAAGCGTGCGACGGCAGCCGGGGGCACTCTGTGGGTCGTGGGTCGTGAGTCGTGACGCTGGGCCTGGGAGAGGAGAATGAGATGCAGAGGGTGGAGCGTTCGGCACCCACGCAGCCCCCACCATTCACTCTCGGACACCAATCACACGTGCCGCTGGCTTGCTATCCCTGGTCCATGACTGGACGTGCAGCCGAGCCTGTTGTTTGGGGCCGTTCTCTACCCTCGAGAATGCGGCACCGCCTCTCCACAGTGTCGTCAAACGCGGGTCTCGACGTAGCAATCTCCGGCTGCACACGACACGGCTGCTAACCCGACGTGTTGAGTCGGCTGGGAGCTGCACCAGGTGCAGTGTGTAGTGTGCAGTGCAGCCCACACGGCGGTTGAGGTCATCGGCTGCCTGTGGCCCTGTGGGCTGAACGGGAGAATGCTTGCCCTGCCGCTTAGCATGCACGCCCTTGTCTGCTTTGAGACGGCGAGAACATGAACCGTGCTGTTGTGGTGCAGACACGACTTGCACTCACACACTGCGTCGGGCGTGGGAAGACTCTCGCGGGAAGCTTTGTCGAGCATAGGCGAAAAACGACAAAAGTCGGCTGTGTATCGCCTGCGCACAACAACCACTGACCACGTTGATCCCGGGACGTCATCTTGAGCCAGCCGCTCGTCAATGTTCCCTCTTGACTTGACATGTCTTAGCCCTAGTACCGTACGATCCACCGCAACAACAGCCGGCTCACGCGAATAGACAACGGTGCCATGGCCATGTTCATTGGCCGACCACCGAGACGCCTACTTGCTTCCTTTGACCGCCAATAGCGTCTAGCACCAACAGACACTCGAGACGATGGCTGCATTGACGACATCCACGGCCCGGGTTTGCCCTGTCGCTGCTGTCGCTGCTGCCTTGAACAGCTTCATGACTGCCACTGCAAACAAAAGCCTTGGGGCGGTACACATGCCGTCGACAACCTTAAACTCCACTGTTTACCCGAGTGTGGAGTATCTCATCCGAATGGTGCCGAAACGCGTCCTGCATTCGGCACTTCCATTCCTAGATTTCCCGGCAGCCTCACCATCTCAGGGTCTTCTGTTTGTGGTAGCAGTCCAAGAGGTCCACATCGACGCCCGGGTTGTACGCTTGATCTCTTCATGCGCCATGGCGCAAGAGCACGTGGTAGCCAGTGAACTACGCTTCTAGACTTTTCGACGCCCTCGACGCCAGCGACATCAGCACTACACACGACACCTGTTTGCTGTACCCACCGTCACAAGCAACAAGTCCGTAGCAGCTGACAACTTCACACCCACGAGCACCCCCATGCCCGTCGTCACCATGCCGGGTCATCCTGCCTCCCAGCTCCTCCCGAGTGGGAAGACCCGTACGCGCGGTACATGCCCGAAGCTTTCCAAGATCCAACGGTGACGCGGAACGGTGGAGACTAACAATAAGGTCGCGAAGACTACACAACTTGCAGCTACCGCGAGCGGACCAAGCCCTACTTTGGGACCTTCTCAAATCCTACTTTTCGCCATCTTTGAAACCGACGGGAGGCACACGAAGCAAACACGACCCGTATAGTGCCCCTTCTAGACATGCTTCTCGCGCGTGCCTACCATTACACGGCGCTGAGCAGGAATATCGACGTTTGACCCAGGCACATGCATCAATTACCGTCTCTACATCTTACACCGCTCATCCAAATCGAACCAGAACAATGTCGCTCGGCTTGAATTGATTTCTCCGTCCCGCACAGCGACTGTTTAGCCGCGAGCGGGTCTAATAACAGAGCAGATAGTGATAATTCATTGGTGGCCTTACAGAAAGCGACATGTTGCATTTCTGCCATGGTCCACCAAAGGGTATCAATGTACCATGTACCATGTATCACCCGTCTAAGGGTCCAGCGTTATATGAATGATCTACACGCAATCGCGAGAGTGGCATTACTTCGGGCGCCAGTCATCTAACAAGCATGGGCACGACGGTTTGACGTCGCGCCTCCGCTAACTTGGGATCGGTCGTCTAGACCCCGGCTACCAGTGCAGTCGAGTTTCACATGTCAATGCACCACAAGGCCAGACTAACAGAGATACAAGTTTACATCAAGTGCAGAAGATCTACTACTAATTTCTCATGTCATCCCAAAGCCCGAAATGCCGTCTTGTGTTTACTGATCCCCAGCATAGCTATTGCATAGACAGGGTTCGGTCGATATTGAGCGGCACGCCCCCACGCTGCCTGCCCCAGAGAAGCAAGCGGCCCATGCGCATACCCTGCTCATGCGAGCCTTGAAAGCCACACACATCTTACTTACATGCATCGGCAGGGATATTGAGCCTAGATCCATTGCTAAACCCGACATAATCCGCTCTAACTTCGCTTGTCGCCGCGTTGCTGACGAGCACACGCTACAGACGCAGCAGCCGTTCAACACTCTCCATTTTTTTGGTGCTATCTCCCATTTTGTATCGACAATCTTGATTACAGAAGATACCTTCCACTCCGTCCGATCCTGCAATAAATAAGGCGTCCGGAGAACGGCGGAATTATCCGGTCATGTAGCCAAAGTCCGATGCTTGCACGCTACCGAACTCCACCTCCGGAACTGCACATCCGCTCGAAACGCCGACAAGCAATACACAGCCCCCAAGCACATGCAATTGCTTGCGCATTAGGTCGCAATACCTTGTTGCAGTGGGGAAGCTTTCGAGGTCGCATGCTTTGATATGAGGCGCGGGATGTTCGTGGGGGTTCAAGTACGTGATTCGTTTAGATGTTGAATAGGGCCTATAAGAGACTGCGGGGGATATTGCCTCGATTGTCAAGACCACAGTCGCCGATTCACAGATGGATGCCCAGCAGCTGGCCATCGACAGGGTCACTGTGGGCTATGGCGGGAGAGGGTACTGAAAGGGTCTCGAAAGGGTCCTGCTCGTGTGCCTGTTGACGATGCTGACGAAGCTCGCTTGCTCTGGTCCTGGGCGAAGAGCTGATTGGCCGGTTCTGGGTCAGACTACATGTCACTGCAGGGTGCTGTAGCGATGGAAACATTTTCGACCTTGTGGTGCTGGAATGACGTTGGGTCGGCGGTACTCTCTCTTGGAGCTATTGAGCATGCATGAGAAGGACAGTGCACGGCTTCCTCAACGCCGCTAAGGGCGTGAATGATTTGTCCTTTGCATTCGCGCCAGTCGAGAATTGGAGGCTGTCGGCAATGTTTTCTTTTTTTTTTCACTCGGCTTCAATGGTCCTGTTGTCCTAGGTCAAGAGTTGATAGAATGGCGTCCATCCTCTATGGCCCCTTCGGTTTGGGTATGTCCTAGGATTATCCAGTCTTGGCATGTCAACGAATGGTCCAGCAAAATCGTAACGGAATCGGGTCGGGTCGTCAGCAGAGAGGCATGAAGGATTTCTCCATCCCTCAAGTGCAACGGCGGAACCATCAAAGTACTTATATGCGGCAGGGACGCAGAGACAACAAGGACACGGTGAGACCATGGATCGTTATCATTGCGCGATTGATAGCGACACGCTTAGTGGTCCTCGCGCACCCCTTCCAGCCTCAGAAACCTTCCAATCTTGCATTCTGTAAGCCAATGATACTGTCGATCGTGGAGAAACGTGGTTTATTTGGGTCAGCGCAGCAGCGTGAGCTTCCTATCGCGGATGTGAAACAAAGATAGTTTATCAAGAGATAGGCTTATCTAATGCAGGCGAGCTTCTGCGGCGGTACGGTAGGGACAACTCGCCTCTTGCTGGTTCAGTACATAGGGCTAGCGAATAGGAGAGTGGTGGAAAGGGTTTCAGCCGGATGATCTGCTTGCTGAATTATCCGAGCAGTGGTTTTGCGGGTTGAAAACATCTGTGCTTTGGCACACGGTGCGCGTGCGACGATACCTGGCCTCGCCGTCGGCCAGCAGACGTGTGCTGAGAGATCAGCATGTTGGGTCGACTGGGCATGTTGCGAGGAGACCCCCACAGTTGCACAAGGAGAACATGGGGAAGTTGGCGTGTTATAAATTTCGCATTTGAGAACCATGCTGGTTTTCTACAGTCTGCCATGTACCTGACCACGGCCAACATGTTGTACTTTTCGGACCTTGTCCGGTTGACCATGTTCAAGGCCGTTTGAGCGCGTTGACTTTCCAATGTCTCTTGCTATCGCGCCCAAGTCCAAGCTCGCTTTCATGGATGCCGCGTATCCGTGGGACGTGGGCATTCACTCTCCCTATCGTTGTCACCCTAGCTGCCTGCCGTGTTTAGACATTGCTGATGGACTTTCGCGTCGAGTTATCCGGGTAGTGGTATATCATCGTGGCACTTGAGCATCGATGGGATGTACTGCATTATCGCTATGCGGCCTCACTTATCTCCCTCCTTCTTATCATCAGCCCCTTCTCCGCCCTTGACAGTCTCCTCTCCTAGGACTTTACTTGCTGCCATAAACCTGCACAGTCAGCATTAGCGGCCATGGCCCTGGTCCCCCATGTTATGCCATCTTGAACAGATGAAGCATGAGTATTGCACTCACATAGCACCAGTATATCCTCCCAGACCGCGTATATCCTGTGCCTGACCAGCTGTCATACGCACCAAGCTCTCGAGGTCCGACATATTCGCTGTCAATTGCGCAAGTTGGGCTTGTAGGTGGGAAAGCTGGCGCGGCTTCTGCGAGGGTACGGTGCTGAGGCGCGAGTTGGCCGGGGCGTTGGATCGTGGTAGGTTCGACATGGTGGCTTTCTCGTCGTATCTTTGCGCTCGTGCAGTTCGATATCGGGCCGGGTTCGCAATTTCTTGTTGGTGAGCTTGTTTGTTGTGCGGGTGAATGTGGGGGACGCGTCGCAGCATATCTTGGTGGGACTCCCGCGGCGAAAGGGCTTGGCAGTTCCGACGCTTTCCCACCAGGATTTCGACTTTTTTGCCATTGCCCATTGCTTACTGTCGCAACAAGGTCAGGCAACGCCATTATCGCAAGAGGCTAGACATCATGTCGACACACCAAACCGTGCGTCGGTGGATCATGACGGGCGCTGTCGCTGCCATTACCGTCACTGGAACTATCTACGGCGCTGACCTGAAGGGGTATCAGGAGGCCAAGCAGGTATGTTACGCTCTGTCTACGCAAGCAACCTTTTCAATCGCATGCATATCTCTATATATCAATATGAAGACATTTTTATTTGGCTTTTTAAAAGAGCGTTCTTGCTAACATGACGTCCTCTAGCAAAAGCGACAACTGCTCGAAGCTACCCCCGAGGAGCGAATTGCCCAACTCGAAGCAGCCCGCGCCGAACTAGTACTCAAGAAGACCGAGATGGAGAGGAAGATTGCAGGAATTATGGAAAAGAAAAAGGCGAGAGAGGAAGAGCAGATGAGGAGATGAGGGGCATGTTAGAGGCTATCAGACAGCTTCTACGATCCGCTACACTTTCAGGAATCATCCAAGGATCGGCACCTTCTGGTACGCATGGAAGAAAACACGGGCATATTCGCGGCCCACTATGATGGGCCGGAAGATTGGCAGGTCGGACTGCCCACAACATCTTGAAGGTCAATGGATACTGGAAGATACAGCACAGGACGCCACGCGGAACCGTCTTCCAACACGCCACCAAACGCTTCACCACAAGGATCAGAGCTCCAAGATGAGGCCGGTGACGTTCGCGACCTCATTTCGGTCCTCTTGCGCCATCCCGCGACGATCGGTCCTGGCCAAAACTCATGGTAGGACCCGATATATGAGGCCGAAATCATTCACCTGAGTTGCGCAACTTGTTAAAATTTGGCATGTGCTATCCGCCAATCTTGGACGCCCGGATAGACGCAGATGCGTTTTCTCATTTCGCTCCGCGGGTCGTTATTGCTGCGATGGCAATCTTTGCCATTCCTATCTTTTTCACCGCAAAAATTCCCAGTCTTGCTTCCGCCCCACGCTATCTCGATTCAAAGGCCCCTGCAGCCGCGGACAACGGTCATATTCCATGTTCAGGGATTGGCTTTCATCGAGATGGTATGCAAGACGACGAAGCTAGCATGCGGCTCATCACGCGGCATTGTTAATATCATGTACAATGACACCACATGTTGATCTGCACGTACGGTACACGGCAGGTCTCGCGATGGACTTCACACCGGACGGCAATACTTTCCTACATACATGGCTAGCCAAACGAATAATTCCCGGGCACCGTTTGATGAACTAGTCCAGTCTGCTAGTCGCAGGTCACTGACCGGGTAACCCTTTCCATCTAGGCCGACTTTGTAACGACCACGAGACTACGCCGACATCGCGCCTCAACAACGCTCGTTCTTCGGTTCGCTACGAGTCTACTCCGATAGTTTAGGGTCACATGCAGTACATCTCTCAACACTTCACTTTGTGTATCTACTAGAGTCATGTCGAGTTTATGACGCTCTGCTTGGACTAGCCATGAATCCCGGAGACGACGAAGTCTTGCATTCGGGAATAAGGAGGGGTTTTTATTCTGACAGTCTATTCAATCGCGTCTTGCTGCGGATCATGTCGGGCGAGCAAGTACTTAACGGTTACATACGACGGCAGATGGAGCAAAACGACAGCTTTATGACATGTAGGCTTATTTTGTGGTCGACAGATACATCACATACAGTTTTCATTTCATTCCCGAATTCCCCCAACTCTATAAATATCAATTTCACAAATTTAAACATCAAGATGAACAGTCCCCCACCCCTGCTGTTTTCTCCCAAGACCCTCTCAACCTCCACAACCCCGCAAATGTCTTAGTACATGACCATCACGATTCTTCATGTTCGTCCTCGTCCTACTCCAACTCCACTCCCCCAATCTCCTCTTCCGGCTACTCTTCTGCTGCGTCTCCCTCATCCAACCCCCGAAAAATCTCCTTGACAACCTCCTCAATCTCCGCCACATCATCGAATACCACCACGATCTTCGTCTTTCGCTCGCCATCAATCCCGTCAATATTATCCATCTCTGTCACACACATTATTAGCTCTTTTCCTCCTTTCCCCTTCAAAAAATACCCTCCGCCCAGTTCACAATCGAGGGGAAAGAAGACTTACCAGCATCTTCATTCGAGGGGGTTTTCCGAAAAGTGAGATGATCAAAAGTATACCACAGACCCAGCGCGAGCAAGCCGGTACACAGGAAATAGAGGCCGTGGGGGACGGGGAGGCGGGTGCTGGAGGAGGGGTAGGGGATGTTGTCTGAGGGGTTGGCGTAGAGTGTGTATGTTGATGGTGGCATTTTGGAAAGAGTTTGGTCGGGGAGTTTTATCTGGTAGGCTTGGATGGAAATATAGATGTGGGTGTAAATGTAATATTCCACCGTTTTAACTTATTGTCAATCGAAGAGGATGAGATGGCAAACACCACCATCTTGCGTGAAGAAACAGTTTATATACAACTCCCGACGCTAAGTTGGTCTGTGTAATTTGCATGTTGGCGTGTAAAAGACAGCATCTTTGGGAGTGTTTGCTGTTTTGTTTTGTTTTGTTTCGTGTGGTGGCGGTGGTGAGGGTGGCGTTCAAGTCAGTGGGCAGCGCAGGGGCTGTCTTACATGTTGTCTGAGTTTCGACGATTTCGATGACGACGCGTACACACACGTTTTTCTACTTTTTCGATTCTTCACTGCTGGTATGTCGATCGTGTCTTGTTAGGAGTAAGGCTTGGGATATGGTCTTGTGTGTGAGATGTTGTCTCGAGAAAACCTAGCCATGTATGTGTGTATATTTGCATATCTGTAACTGTGTGTTGATCTTATTTTCACGAGCATCCGACCACACCATTTGAACACACGCTCATGCACGGTTCGATTTGCAATAAAAGAGCAAATTGTGATTGCCATGAAACGTGTCATTCTCGTGCACGTTTACGTGGCTTGTTCATGGCTGTGTATGTGAACGGTGAGCGTGTGTCAAAGTGCGCGGCGTGGTAATGAGAGTCAGGAGCGCAGGAAGAACAGAAAGCCACTGCATGGCAGAAAGAGAAGAAGAAGCGTAGTTTGTTTAAAATTAAACATAATCTGATTTGGGTATCGTATTGTAATAATAACTAATAAATCATCGAGCAGAACATACATCTCCAGCTCTAGCATCATTCATGACAACGGCATGCAGTATGCCATTCATTGCATCGCTTGAAACAATCCATCAAGCACCTTTCAAGTCCCTCCGTACTTCAACATCTACTCCTCGCGACGAAGACGGCGGTTGTTATCAATAAACACCTTCTTGAACCGTCCATGGCAAAGATCCGTCGTGACCTCCCACGAGTTCTTCGCATTCTCCTTGACCAGCTGCCTCGTCGGCTTCTGGAACAACTGGTCGATTTCCTCCAGCGTAAGATCCTTGGTCTCAGGCATGAAGAAGATCTGGTAAAACCATCCCAGCACCGCAATACCGCCGTAGAAGCCGAGCGTCAAGCCTGTGCGAGTGAAGGCGTTCTGCATGCCGGTGAAGTTGTAGGTGACGATGAAGGAGGACAGGAATAACCATCCGGTCGAGGTGGTCATACCGTAGGAGCGGAGGTAGGTGGGGTAGACTTCTGAGGGGACGACCCAGGTGAGTGCGGCGTAGGAACCGAAGAAGAGCATGTAGAGGATAAGGCCGCTGAGATAGAGACCTAGCGTGGCGCTGAGCGTAGTGAGGTGGTAGGAAATTCCGACGAGAAGTAGGCCGATGAAGAAACCGGGAAGCATGGCAATGGCCCAGAAGCGGCGGCCGCATGTCTCCATGAGGAAGATGGCAGGGATGGTACCGATGAGGAGGGAGCCACCGCCGACGAGCGACATGTAGGTTGCGTCGTAGGTGTCGAAGCCGACTTGGGACATGAGGACGGACATGTAGTACCTAGAAAATCAGTTAATATTTGTGTGAAATAGAGGTTTAGCCAGGGGTCATGCTTACATAATCGCGTTGATACCGGTGAATTGACCAAGGAAGATCATGATGTTGGCGTATATGATGGCACGGCGAGCACGCGGCTTGGTGAAGAAGTCCATCCAGGGGAAACGGTTTGTGCGACCAGCAGCAACCTCGGCCTCTTCCATCTCGGTGCTAACCTTCATGACGAAGAACTCCTCACGAGCTTCGTGAGTAGCAGTACCACGGATACGCTTCCAGACCTTGAAGGCTTCAAGCGGCTTGTTCTTGTGCATCAGGTAACGAGGACTCTCGGGCATGAAGAGAATGCCGATACCCATGATGGTGGAGAAGACGAGCGAGCTACCGAGGATATATCTCCAGCTGTCGTCGAGAGTAATGAACATGGCGGCAACAGCGTACCCAAGGACTTCTCCGAGGGCAATGTTGAACTGGTAGAGCGAGACGAGGTTACCACGGAGTCTGGATTCGACAGTCTCGGCAACGTAGACGGGGACGGTTCCTCCTTCGAGACCGACACCGGCACCTAGGACGACGCGGGCTGCGACCATCATACCGTAGTTCATGGCTCCGGCTTCGAGAGCACCACCGATAGTGTACAAGATGCAAGAGATGATGATAGCCCAGCGGCGGCCAAAGTACTCATTGCATGGAGAGATGAGAAAAGCACCGGCAACAGCTATGTTCGATCAGATTCCATGTCTTGAGAAGGCTTTCCGGAATGGTTACTTACCACCGAGGGGCATGCCAGAGTTGACAAGAGAGTTTTGACTCGCCGTCAGACCCAAGTCTTTAGGCAAAGTCAAGTTCGCACCTGAAATGAGCGATTGATCTAAACCAGAGAGCAGACCACCCATGGACGCAAAAGCAACAATCATCCAGGTAAAGTGCTTTGGGTTCTTGAACTCCATATCAAAGAAGCCCAGCTTGTAGTTTGCCTGCTCCAACTCCTTCTCCAGATCCTGGATCAAGTTCTCGGATTCCCAGCCTCTTGCATCTTCAAGCTGCTCTGTCTTTGCCTTGGGGGCGGAGTAGTCAGGAGTAGGTGCTACTTGGATGTTGTCGGCCTTTTCCGTCTTGGACGGCAACGTGGTGTTGTCGACCTCGACCGTCTTGGTATCCTTCTCGTCCATGATGGGCAGTGAAAGCAGCACGAAAGAGAGAAATAGGTATAAGAGGGCAATCACAGCAAAAAGGCTGGTAGCTCACAACAACAAGCAACCCCCAAGCGGACGCATCTCCGCCCTTTATAAACCCCAGTGGGGGGAGAGAGAGAGAAGCGGACCCACAGGCATGGAGAAGCCATCCCCATGGCACTTCCTCGACACCCGACCTCTACCGTGACGTAGACGTGGAGACTCCATGGCACACACGTCGGCAAGTAGAAAAATTTGTCTCCGCAGATCGCACGTTTGCCGGGGGCCTTGTCAAGCCCTAATGTTGCAGTTATCACCAAGTCGACCAGGAACAGTTTGGAGGGGTGGAGACAGTACAAGCATCGGACCGACGTCTTGGTGGAGCTTGGTCTGCAAAGAAGCTTCTAGCGGCCCACCTAAGCCTCTGCCATTCGATTCAACCACCTCACAAACCCACCCGAGATACTCCCCGATTAGCAGAGAGCTGTCAGGAAGACTGTGCGTGTGCTCGCATCAGACCCGGGGTGCGATCAAAAGGCCGCGGAGACATACATTACCACACCAACATCATGCGATCAGCCCTACCTTTTTACCCCAGAATACGGGCCAAGCATCAGCACGACTGGTTTAAGCATTCACTCAAGACGCGGGAGTGACGGGCGGCTGAGGGGAATAAACGTTCGCGCTGTGCACAGTCCAAGACTAAAGCTGTACCGGAGTTCTGCCCAACCAACCATGTCCAGCCTGCATGCCCTAGTCCTCAACCGTTTCTCTGCAGCCCATGACGTCGTGTCTTTGCAAACTAGTAAACAAGTTCAATTCGCGGCGCCAATTGCTCTTGCACCCCGGGGGGTTTCTGTGTGGCAGCCTGGCAGTTGGAGAGGAGGGGGAAGGAGAAGGGCCAAACTACAATCCAAGCTTTCACGGGACAACGAACTAAACTCAAGAAAAAAAAGTCGGAGCCGCGTTTGCCCATGACTCTACCAGACCCCGGTATTGACCCTCATCGGCGCTTGTTTTTCTTTCGGCGTCCATACCGCTTTAAGCCGCACCGTTAGCAAAATGCTTAGGGAAGCGTGTCTTGCAAGAGTACGCCGTCCGACATGGTCCGCTTCTTCTCCCCACTCTACCTCTCTCCATTCTCCACATGCTGGTTGACGGGGTGCGGCCTCGTGGGAGTGCATGGACATTTGTTCGGGGAGAATCGGAGGGTCGCGTGAGGACAGGAGCATCAACAATAAACTTTCTGTCGACCTGTGTGCCGTGGATCCGAGGAGTACGAATGCACAATTACTCCAATGTAACACTATCCAAGAAAAAAGAAAGAAAAAAGAGAGTATGTCACAGCGAGAAACGAGGACGTCGCGACAGCCCCCCAGATCCAGACTCCCTCCACCTCCGTCATCGACACGATCTCCGTTACACCCCAATCCCCAATGCCAATGCCAATTCCTTGGAATTCTTGGAAAAAAAGGCACTAACCGCAGAGCCTCAAACCGCCCAAGTGGAGCCACCAATACCGGTGGCACCTGGTGTAAACGAGAAAAAATCTTGTGGGCCTAGAGCGGCTGGCAGCGGCGGTGAGCGAGTGAGCCGTGGAGCAGCTACACAAGAGCCTCATTGTTGCCAGACCAGCTATGGTATAGCGGCCGCGAACGGTGGGGAGGGACCACCAGTCATGTCCAAGTTTCCGACATTTCCAAGATGTTGACTACCATCCAAGATTTCTATTCTGCGACTGCCAGGTTTTCCTCTTCGATCAAGAATATGGATCAGAAGTCCAGCATTGAAATTGGTAGTGTGCCTAGACCACAACATGACCATTTCCTAGTCACCATTCGCTATTCACGGTAGAAGATTGGGGGTAAGTAGGTGAAAGCAAGGTATCAGAGAACACGATAAGATCTACTCAGACATTCGCTGGTATACGATAAGTGCGGTAGATAGGTCATGCACAGATTCTCGCTGAAAGTTACGAAAAAACAGGACGACGAGCACAGCGAATAAGCAAGTAATCCCATCTAACCATTTACTACACTTCTAGAACCAACACATACCAACCATAACAACATATATACTACGAAACCACACCACATCAAATCACACCATCACCCCCCAAACCCCCCGTAAGCCCCTTCATCCGCCTGCCCAACAAATCATCCTCACTAGCCAAGCTAACCAAACTCTTCCTCCGATTCCCCCTCGCACTCTTCTGCACCCTGCCCCTCCCCCTCGTCACACTCACCTCCCTCTGATGCTGCTGCGGCGGACTCCTCTTCCCCTTGCCCAGCACCGTCATTTCAAGCGGTCTATCCTCATCAGCCGAGCTAGCCGTGCCAGTCCTACGATGATGCCTATGCCGCTGAGGAGAAGTAAGCCCATCAATCGCATCCGCCAAGCCCACGGTACTGAAATAATCACCCCCAGCGCCAGTACCACTCCTATACCGTCTGGCCGCCGTCTGCACCCCCGGCGTAAACATGGGCGTCTCAAACCCATCCCTCCCCTCCTCCCTCTCAAACGCCTCAGTAATCCACCTCCCACAGCGATAAATATACCGCCAGCCCTCTGGGAAAACGCCCACAAACTGTAAAAACCCATGACTAATACCCGGGATCAAATCCACGTTGACCCAATCCTCTTCTCGAAACGTCCCCCGCGCCCAATCAAGCCCCAGGTCGTGTGCTGCGACCCAATCGGCGCGTTTGGCTTGGCGGAGGCGGCCCGCGAAGATGAGTGTGTCGTCGACGAGGGGGTCACGCTCGCCGGTTAGCATCCAAGTTTTTGGGAATTTGGCGAGCAGGGATTCGGGCGCGAGGAGTGGGGAGAGGAGGTAGTCTGTGCTGAAGTCGGGACGGTGGTGTGGGCCGATGTAGAGTATGATCATGGCGCGCATCATTTCTGGAGTGAGGATGCGGTCGTTGAAGTAGGATATCATGCTGGAGGTTGCGAGGCGGGTCTTGATGGTTGTTGCAGGGGGTGCTGGAGCAGTAGCTTGGGGCGTACCGTTTGCCGGGGTTGTTTGGCCTGGGGCTTTGTGCGCAGTATGTCCATTGGTAAGCGTGGTATTGCTGACATCTAGACGAGGAACGGAGTGGCTATCCTGACCAGTATGGGCGGCGGAGAGCTTGATCATCGTCTGTGGAGTGGGCAGAAGGAGAGAATCTGTCGGCATCTTCCCATTCGGCATGCTGGGTTTGCTGGACTCGTCCTCGTTATCCGAATCATCCGATGCGTAGGGCGTGTTTGGTGCGAGGTTCCGGTAATCCTCACTCTTGTGCCGGAGCACTGGTGCGTTTGTCTTCCTCACCCTGCGGTCACGGATAAGCGCCATTTGCTCGTCACTCATCCAGTTGCCAATGTTCATGTCAAGTGCGGGATACACCAGGATCATGCCAACTGGAGGCGGTAATGCGCGCTCGCCCTGCCATCGTCGTGTCTCAGTCGAGCCACTTTGCAGAACCATGAGCACCATGGCCACGGCAAGGTTTCCTCCTGCCGAGTCACCTGCAACCACAACCTTGGGTTCAGCTTCTCCTGACAGCCCCATGCAAGTTCCTCTCGATGCGATAATCATATGATAGACATCATAGCACTCGTTCAGAGCATACGGATACGGGTGTTCTGGTGCCTTTTTGTAGTCCAAACTCAACACAGGCAATCCCGTCTTCCCAGCCCAGCCCATGAGCTTATCGTCATGATTCCTCGGGTCCATGGCAACGAAGCCGCCTCCAGGTACATCCAACACGACTTTATCCTGCTTCTTTAGCGCACTCCGCGGCCCGTTAAAGTACAACCATCCCGTCACTGGCTCCTGGTACGAGCTTGCCCTCGGTCTCGGTATTCTAATCTTGCGCGGCGGATACACCATCAACCTCGGACGCATGAGGTTCGTCAGCGCACCCAAATAAGGTGTTGTTCCTTTGTTCCACGCCACGCGCAAATGATCCACAGTGAGCGTAGCCCTAATCTTGCGCACCTTCTCATCCGCCTGCTCAGCGCATATCATGTAGTATATGCTAAAGACAATGGACAAAAGATCTCTCAGCCCCTTCCTCTTGATGCGCATGGCAGACCAGAAGCCCGCGTCCAGCGCAGTCGTAACCCATGTTGCACGAAAGTAAGAACGCGAGTAGAGGCTAGCGAGCGGTTCCGGGCATTCGAGGCCAACGAGCTTGCCGAAGTTGCGCGCAACATAGAGGTACAAGAGTGTCACGAGCACGGATTGCCACACGGTGAGCTTCTTGGAGAGGAGGGCGGATATGCGTCGGACAATTGGGGGACCGTGGCGGTCGCCTCTGAGGTTTTGTCAGTAATGTGCACACAAGTATGAGTGAGATGAAGGACTTACCTGTAGAGGTAAAAGGACCAGAAGGATACTACTGCCAGCACCTGTATCTTCCTAAACTGCACCGACGGCCGACCAAGTACGTGATCTATCATAGCTGGAGCTCCTCACTCCTCTGCACGCCACGCTCGAATCTTCTTATGCTGGACCCGGTAGATAAAGCCGTGGGCTCGTTGTGCGTCATGAAAGGCGTTGTGTTCTCGGGTCTCCACTTGGGCAGGGTCGTTGGTGGTGGTAATTTGTTGGCAAAGGATCAAGCATGTGAATGCGGGAATGCGAAATCTGGGGTATCTCAAACTCCGGGCTGGGGTAATGGGCACCACACAGTAGCTCATAAAAGACGCATGGTCAGCCGTAACCAGCCATGCTACCCTAATGATCCGTTCAGGCCGTCGACAAGCGCGGCGCATTCGCTGTATGAGGCTCTGTGGTTGGGCGAGGATCCGGCATGTGACAAGCTGCGGTGGATGCGGGCGTGCCATGTGAAAGCCGCGCTATGACACTTTGTCGGCTTTGTTGCTTTGTTCCGACCGGCTTTGTCAGCCTCCGCGGCGCCAGCCTCGCCAGCCGCTCCCGTCACCATCCCCTTCCGGCGTCCTGTGACACTATTTTTACGAGCCAAGCATCGTATGATGCGAAAACTTGTATAGTACCATGTCACGTTGTCTTGGAATAGCGGACCCAAAGTTGATCATCACGATAATTACCCAAACGCCTCCTTGTATTGTATTCTACACCACCCACTACATCGTCTACCGTCTTGATCTGTGTAACGACTTGTAGTAGGATCATGCCAACTTCATCACGAAAATATACCACATCCAAAGGAGAGAAGAAAATGAATTAACCCTCATCGCTCATTTGATCCCCTTGATCCACTCCCCAACCTCGAACCCAACTCTCCTCAAGTCTGCCTCTAAAAACATGCCCTTCTTCTCCTTGAAAATGGTTAAACACTTGTTCACATCATCCAGATCGGGCTTATGTCCAACCTGGCCCTCCTTCGCATCGTAGCTCTTTACATATAGCGTAAGATCTGGGCCAACGGTGCCACGCCAAAGCGTCGCCATCCATTGCCAGTGATCCGTTGCGCTATACGCGTCTTGAATAGGAATGCGCGATGCGTATGCAATCGACGAATGAAGTTGGAAAGTGGGGAGGATGATTACTGGTTTGACAGTCGAAACACTAACTGCCGAAGGTGAGTCAGGAGGCGTGGCTGAATCTTTACGAGAGGCTGTGTCGATCGAGTCTTTATCTGACATGGTCGTATCCTTGGGCGAGTCGGGCGGGGTAATGGGTGTAATGATGTATTGAATCATTTCTCTGCTCTTGCCGTGCCATTCCTTGATCAAGTCGAGATAGTCTTCAAACGTAACATCTTCGTTCTCGTTATCTTGGGGAGCTTTGGGCGGCTCACTAATCCGGGGTTCGTATTCTCTCTGCTTGATGAGGTAGTCGTTGAGCCATTGAGAGATCTCCTTAACGGCAGTCAAGTCATCTCCTTCAACAGCGATAATGGCGCCGCGACCTCCTTTGATCAATGCGCTGACAGGATTACTCTCCTTGTAAGGGGGCGTTATGCGACCGAGTAGCTTAATCTTGTGTGGGTAAGGGAGAGAGCTGAGGACCTCTTCCACACTTTTAGGACTGGAGTCCTGCGGTAGCGGGCCCAACTCTACCACCGAGCTCATTCGACCATCCCGAGGAGTGCGAGGAGGAGGCATGGTTGCGCTATTCGGCGGTGAGTACCGCACGTTAATCGGTGGCAAAGATCCTCGCCGCTCTAACTGCATAGAGTAATAAGACCCATCCGGTCGACGGCCTTGAACTTGGTTCAATGGATTTAATGGCGGGGGGATGTCACATCGACGTTTCTTATTCGGTGTGAGAGGACTATACATCATCGAGTCTTCTCGCATTGACGAAGTCACCTGGATGTTGCTAAGTCCTGACGGGCCATGAGTTCGGCGATGAGCCACTGGCGAATTAAGGGTGAGACCATTCATCACGGGCAAGTAGCGCGTCGTTGGCGTGAGTCCCTCCGAAATGTTTGGAGGTGGCAAGGTGGGAGTACCGGAGGCGTCGAGAAATGGGCTAGTAGGAGTCTTTATACTGCGACCACCACACTTATGGCAACGGTACTTGTCGACTGTGGTATGTTGCCCAGTGGGATTCAGTGGTGAAGACCCAGCCTTGCTGATACGACGCGGCTGATAACGGTAGTCGGGATATGTCTCTTGATGTTTAGCTTTCTCTCTCTGAATTCATGGTTAGCAAAGCGAGGAGAAGAGGTTGGCTGCTGTGAAGTACTGACCTGGGCAAGGTCTTGCCACTCCTTTTTCGCCTCGTCACTTTCAGCTTTCCACTTCTCACCGATAATCTTCGAGATTTCAGGGTTGTTCAGACCAGGATTCAACGTGATGACTCCTTGCTGGTGATACTGTCGATACAGGATGAACGCTTTAGAGGTGTGGTTAGCAGGTGGAGGATAAATGATTGCCGAATAAAGAAAGCTGCTCTTTGTCGTTTTCAAAATCAAGTCATCACGATCCAAATAGGGAAGACGCCTTCAAATAGACAAAGAAATGAATGCATGCTTACCATTCCTTGGGCGGGGTATTTTCGGCTCTGGTTGACACAAGCAGACGTGGTCTGTAAAGTCTGGAGATGTAGCCGTGGTAGATGTAGCACTCAGAGGTGGCACGTCTTCTGCTGGACTCACAGACTTTTCTCTCTCAGGCACTTCTGTGAGAGAAGCTAGTCTCTTTCTCGTAGCTCGAGGGGACGTCAAAGCGGGTGAAGTTTGCTCTTCCTTCTTGTTGCGCTCGGCAGTGGAACTTGATGTAGGAGCCGAACGTGTCTCATGGATTCGACTGCTCTTACGCAAGTTCCGAGAAGGCTTGGAGTCATCCATTGGAGAAGCTGGGCTCTTGTCTCCGCCTTGTATGCTGGTTTTGACGTACCGTCTAGGTACGTGAAAGAAAGTTGCAACAGGTGGTGGAAGAGAATGAGGAGAAATCCGGGCAATTGGCAGCAAAGTACTTGTCAGCATCTTGGGTATTAATGACGAGGCAGGTGAACTAAGAACTGTGTTGGAGAAAGGCGCGGTTCATTGTCCCGCTGAACAGGAAGGGAGGGTCCGCGTTGGACGAACCACCTAACATTCTAAGCTTCTTTGAATGCATTATGCGGTACACGGAGTTGGAGCCTTTGCGCTTTGATGGTCGAACCGCTGCGGTCCAGTAAGACGATTGTTTCCAACAGATGCAGCCGATCTCCACTGGGGTTTCTTTGTTCCCGAAGCGGCCAAGACACGCTCCAACCACGCGTGAGACATTGCCGCATTCTTGCGCCCGCTATGCAAGGGGGGATAACAATGCAAAACGGTCTTTCACCCACTAATATAGAGTGCACAGTCTCGGAAAATTGGCAGCGGTACCGCGGGCTGAGCCAACATACCCGTCCTTCAAGTGAGGCGCAATATATGCAGTATCGCTGGGCACAGGAAGCCTTTGAAAAGCCTTGGTCATGTCTTAGACAGTGGCTTTGGCATGACGTGCTAGTACCCGGGAGGGAATTTCAAGTTGAAACTCTGTCCCTCTTCTACATCTGCTTCCTCTCCTTTGTCGGAGCCCCGCAGCCCCTGCTGGATGTCGACGGTTAGGTTCCCGCGTACGAGGAGGGCGGCTTGTTTTCCGATTAGTTCATGGGCAGGCCCGCTGAGCTGAATATCGTCCCTGGGACTTGGTCAGTATGAAACAATGCGTTTGTGTTTCAATCGACTTACCAAAATAGGTGTTCGGCAGGAGCGGAGCATTTGTGAACGTCGGCTACCTGCAGCGCGATCGCATTACTTCTCTGCGAAGCAAGACACGGCTGCTCAACATATTCGAAAAGAGGTGCTTGCTTGCCCACGCCGGCCGCATCAGAGATCTGTCTCATGTACAGCTGCTGGGCCCGAACTTCCTGCATGATCAAGTCATTCGGCTCTGGCATGTATACGGTGCCATTCTTCCAACGAGACGCGGCTTGGACTAAAACACTGTTCCAGTACGAGTACAGGAGTACCAGCTGATGTTGAGTCTCTGCGAAGGCAGCCCCACGCATAGCCTTCTTCTTTGATTGAAACACGGGAAGAAAGGTGACGTCAATCATCTTCGGGATAATGACTTTCGGCGGAAAGATCGTGTGCTGTGCCAAGACGTCAAGTTCGCGGAAGAGAGCGTCGATGCTCTTCTCAATCGCGACCATGCCTTTGCGCCTCTCCACCCCCGAGTATTCCAAGAGATCCCACAGGCCGAAAAAGACGGTAAAGTACGTCCACTGATCCATCTTGCGAAAGCGTTGCGGAATGATTCGTCTTCCTTTGTTGTATGTAATGAACTGTTCCACCTGCGCCTTGAGGTCAAACGGAATCACCGCGCTGTTGTTGCTTTTCGCGCCTTTCGCTTCCGCATGGACATCTGCATCGACCAAGGCGCCGGTTTGGAGTCCACCAACCGCATCCGGTGCTGAATGTGCAAAGTTATCAATGGTATCGCATCCGAGCTGTGGAGTGTCAGAACGTGTTCATCTGAGTACGCGGTAGTCACTTGCCTCTTTGCATAGTGTCTCTACCCACAAGTCGCCCCGATCAGCGTCGCGAGCAACAACCGCAGACAACCCAGAGGGCGCGATCCGGTAGCTTCCAGTATCGGACCAATCGTTACCAAATACCACGATTCGATGGGCGTTACCACTCCAGGTGTGCACCGTGTTTCCAATGTCGTTTGATCGAAGCCATGTACAGTACAAAATGGTGAGGAGCGCAAGCGCTGCGCATGCGTGAAGCCGTGAGACAAACCGCATCACGTCCCAGGTTGATTAGGATAACGTTGGGTGGGCGTGAAAGTGAAAGGAGAGTATTAGGAGCAAGCAAACAGATCAGGGCCGCGGTCATTCTCTGAGACGAACAAGAACTGCCAGCGACGAGAGCGGCCACCAGAATCCTGGCCAGTGGGTAATAGCGACGTGACGACGCCTGGGCTGAGGGAGCGTTAACCCCGGGGTGACAGGGGCCTTGACCATGCTGGTACGTCTGGAAATGGGCGTTGTGTCGCGTGCACAGTATAGGGTAGACGTCAAATCCGTCAGCGCTTGTCAAACGTGCGCGGTCTAATATTAGCCCGACTGCTGCTCCTAATTAATGCATCCTGCTACATCCGCCTGCAAATAACGAAACTGCCAACCTTTGACCCCAGACCCTTTGCTACGATGCCATGTATGTACATGCACTTGAAGCAGTTCGTGAACGTTGGCGCTAGTTGGTACGCGCGGACATATCGGCACGTTGCCCCACTTTCCGTGGCGTAATCTGTGGACCGCTACTTGAAGACTTACGTATGCGTTCATGATTACCGGGACGTACGCGCTTCGAAGCCACACGCCAAAGGATGCGCCATCGCAACCTAAGTATATGCGCCGTTCTAGGCCAAGCACGGAATTCGGCATGAACTCACCGGCTCTTCTCACTCTTCGCTGAAGCTGAGCTTGGAGAACCTGCCCATGAGGAAACTTCTTGTTGCACCACCATCGTCAATCCATTGTGCGAGTACAAAGGCCTTTTCCGCCCATTTCTTGGCTGAATCGTCAACTTCTTGCAAGTAGAAATCTATGGCCCGGTTGAAAGTGGTCGTCGCAAGCCATTCGAGCTCCGTCTTTGGGTAGCTTTCAAGCTCCTTGGTGTCACCATCAGTCGGGCTTACATGATTCTCACCCACTGGAAGGCCTAATGATGGCGGCGGCGTTTCCAGACTGGGTATGATGGCAACAGGATGGAAAGGCTATACGGGCTTAAGAATATGCTGGGATACCAAGAGAATGAAAAACTTACTCCTTGTCTGATCTCTGCAAGGTGTGTTACTTGATCGATGCATTTGAGACTAAAGCTCTGATCGTACTGGAACGAGAGGCTGAATAGACAACGGAGCCAACGGGAGAGCTTCGTCACGTCGCTGCCGGGTTGTCGACTAGTCAGGCTGATGATCTTTTGGAGAACTGAAAGCACTCCTGTCAATCCCGTTAGTGTATTTCGGCAACTCCCGCTTTAGTATTTACTTTTTTTGTACTTGATATCCAGCTCAGCTTTCACCATACAGTCGTGTATGATCAGGACGAGATCTGCCAATGTCTCGTAGTGGTCTGGAATCTTATACTTCCAGCATTGCTCGAACAGCTCGTCAAGGTCGTCCCACCTCTGAAGCTTGAGCACTGCCTCTAGTTCCAGTTTGACAACCTGAAAATGCTTAGAAATGATGTCAGCCTGAGAGGACCCGCCGAGCTTGTCTATCCCTTCTGCTGCAACGCGTCGGAACTCCTGACTGTGCTTCCTGGCTTCGAGATAATATTGCGTCTATTCCAATCAGCATTAGCGGTCATGCTGAAAACACACATGACTCACGCTTTCTTCAATACTGTCTTCGATACGCGCCAGAGTGGTATAGGTGCATGCAGAGAGAAACTCGCAGAACACGAGCCGTAGGCAGAGGTCTCCATGGCTGTGCTTATTCTTCTCCTTGAGCATTTTGATGAACTAGATATTGTCAGTATCGTTTCCCTTTGGTGTAAACTTAGACATACCTCGATACAGCAACCTAGTAGTCTGACGAGAAGACTTGGAGGCATCTCTGCGCAATACTTGACCGACAGATTGTAAGCGTTCTTGGAGAACCACTCAAACTCAACGGGGGTGAAAAGTTCCTTGGCCGGAGTACTTGGCCTGATCCGAGATGCTTTGGCCTGAGCGCATGCCCCTTCGAAGACGTTGCAAAGCTGGTCCATGATGCTGTTGTCAATACTGCCATCCTTGGTGAGTCCAGACTGGAGCATTCGAGCGGTCGATCTATATCGATCAGAAGGTTAAGCCACATGGAGGAAATGACTTACCGCAGGAGTGCAGGCAGATGAATACCAGCTGGTGCACTATGCTCATACTTGTCGAGAATTTTACCAAGGGCGCTGATGACTTGTCTCTTACTCCCTGCACTTTGAGCTTCCATCACGCAGGCGTATAATAGAGTGGCATCTTTCGCAGAACTCCGACAGACATGGTCCAAGCATTCTGCGGCTGTACTCATTAGAAATTCCCAGCTGTGGAGTGTGTGGACATACCGAAATCTTCGTCTCCGCTTCGTAGACCTACTTTGTACATTAGATATCGAGTCACTGGTTCATCTCTGCCACTCTCGGACATCTGAAGATGCACATCTCGAGCCACATCGTAATGTTGACGTGAATAAGCACACTGAATGATCTTTCTGCACTGTGTCAGCTCTCTCTCCCAGATGTAATGGAGGTCCAGAACTACCTCGAGACTTTGGCTTTGTTCTGTGCTCCAGCCTTATCGAATAGTGGATGAAGGCAAAGCCGGCACCACGCCTCAGCGACATCGTGATGTTCCTGATTAGCTGCAGCCTCTAGGCTTTTCCACAGCAACTACAAGCTGAAATTAGTCACATCTCCAGAGAAATCGGGCGTTTTAAACCTACTGTTTGTGCAGCGTGTGTGGCGGGAGCAGTAAATGTGACATTCGAGTTCTGCAAGACGGTATCGAAGAGAGCCTGAAGTTGCTCGAGCGTGTTCTCGGAGATGCCATCGCTAGAACCAAACCAAACGCGGGTGATCACGGCCTTTTCTATCCAGTTCTGATTCTCTTCTCTGAAGAGCCGAATGTCGATCATGTCGTCGAGGGCCCTACAGGCCGTGACATTGCTGCAGATGGTCAGTGGAAATATAGGTAAGTTGATAAGCTCCCGTACCTGTGGTCCTTCAATTTGTGTATGTGATGCATGATCCTGCGCGACATTAGCTAGAGAGAGCATAGGGGTGATCAGAGTGCAAACGTCTTGAAATTCGTATCGTTTAGCACGACTGTACGTATCATTCGCAAAAGAACTAGTGCTGTAAGTAGCCAGACTCTCACCTGGAGCGCAGAACTTACCACTGTAGAACTCGGCAGTGTCTATCGTGTGAGCCTCGGAAAGAAGTTCGACCTTTAGCAGCGAGACTACCATCTTATCTCCAAAGTCCTGGAGGCGGTCAATTACTGTCGTATTAACCTATGGTTCATGAGGCTCTCACAGTGTCCATCAGGTTTACCATGTGCCACGCCTTTTCCTGTGCATCGGGTGTGTTCATCTTCATGTACGCTTGGACTAGCACTGCTGTCAGCTGTGATCATTCCCATGACATTTAGGACTCACCAATGCTCTGCATGGTACTAAGCCTTAGTTCACCGACCTCGGGACTGAGCATCTCCAGATCCTGTTCCCCAAGGACATCATATGCACGCTCCAGCCACCTACAAGCAATCTCGTAGCTGCGCTTTGCCAGCGCGCCCTTGCCAATTTCGTATAGTAGATCTGCCAGAGTCTCGGCTGCTGCAGAGGTAAGGGCCGTCTTGAGCTGCTTGCACTTTGAGAACATGTGCTCTGCCACATCCATACGGTCTTGTCGCCATGCCTGTACACACATAAGTCTGATGTAGACTGTAGAATGCCAAATTGTCTCTGCACTCACCAGTGTCATCCGCATAGCGAAGTAATGAGCGCGGTGGCCCTCTACAAGCTTAGCTTCTTCTCTACGCTCGCCCTCGGTTTCCTTGCTCAGAATGGCTTGATACTCAGCAGCACATTCAAGCACCTTTGTCGCGATTTGTAGTTCATTGCTCTCAATGCAAACTCTTGCTGCTTTGAGTGCAACTTTGATGAGTCGGACGCAACTCGTGCGCTTAGGGCCCTTTATACCATGGCCTCCGGCCGTGGCGAGGAGGAAGAATGAGAAGACACGAAGGAGAAGTATACTACGGTTCTCGAAAGACGTTGCATCGTTTGGTTGGTCATCGGCTCCAAGATGGTTGCGACGCAAGCGGGTAGCTTGGTTCCAGAGCTCCGTACCAAGTCTATCAAGTTCGTCTTGCTTCGCGATCACAATCGGGGAAGCCAGAAGAGGCAGCCCACGGATATGGGTTTGGAGATCATCTAGGAGCGCTGGGTCACGACCACTCTCGATTCGCTTGGTGAGGCTTGTGGCGAAAGCTGCGAGGTGGTCAGTATCGGGAACAGCAAGCGCGCATTACACTTACTAAGAACCGCCTTCAACTTCTTCTCACGCTCTGCTTTTGCTGCTTGTTGTGGAGGCAGCATTTTGAAGACCGGCAGCGATGTGTTCGGCGTGAGTGATGATGTGACAAGTTCAGGTCAGAGATGTCAAGATCGCAACTGCTGCTTTCTAGGATGACGCCTCGCACACAGACAACGGCAAGGAAGGAGCAACGCAAGTACGACCAAAATACAAAATTACATTATGACTTTTTTTTGACAGATTCAGCAAGCAATAGGACGTTAATCGGGCCTAGGGATATCTTTGAAATGGCAATTACCTCCCCATGTATGTACGCAACCCAAGATCCGTCGAGACATATGATCAAAGATACGGCGTGCTATGTCATAGTGTCCCAAATATGTTACAAAGCCACCCAAACTGATGTAAAGTCATGCTAAGATATTATGAAGCCGGCAGCGGACCGGATGTAGCCTCTGTGATGGGAAGGAAGTTTCCCACAATCAACGCCGGTCTACCAACAGTCAGTATACTACAATACACAAGGCTCGCAGCCACTCACATGTTCCACGCGTCGCGCTTCACGGTAAAGGAAAAGCAGCATCGTATCTCGGGATCTTTAGAGTTTGGGTCTGGATTCTTCAAAGAGCAACTTGTCAGAATCGCTTTCTGAGTGTGATCAAAGGCGATGGCACCAAACTTCTCCCAGTAGGAAACTAGTGAAGGCTCGGCGATGATCTCGTGCAGAGCGATATTACCCTTGACACGTTAGTTTGTTTGACCCAATGAACATATAGGGTGGACTCACGTCTCGCAACTTCGACATCGGCACGTGGATGAGCCGTGCCATCTCCTTGTTACCCCGGTATATCTCGCCTGTTCTTCGCCAGCAGCATGCGGGTATAGCCATACTCGCGAAGACGCGGTCGTACTCCATCAAGCTCTTGTCGAACCACATCTCTATGCGTACGAGATCCACATCAGTCAGACTTTGCATTCGCTCTCGAAACTTTGGGCGAAAGCGGTCCAGCTGGCGCAACACTCGGACACGAGATATCTGCTGTAGGTTCTGCTCCATGTACTGATTCAGCCGCGCATATCCCTTGACATAGTTGAAGGGTTTCAGAAGTCCTGCATCAACTTTGGCCTTTAGAAGCTTGTTCATGCGCTCTTCAGGGCTGTCGTTTCCAGCAGGATCGGCCGCTGTAATAAGATATCTCTCTCTTGCCTTGTCGATAGGTCCCCCGCCCGATCTTTGTGTTGGATTACCGGCAACATTTTGAGCAGGGGGCGGAAGTAATTGGGGTGGCCTCAATGGATTGGAATTGTAAGTAGAGTTGTTGTTGAGTGAACCCATGGAGTTCATAAGAGCAGCATCGGTGAAGAGACTCTGAAAGTCATTGCTTCCGTAAAACGCACCGTCATCCATGAGGCTGTTGTTGAGGAAGTCGTTGAGAAGATTGTACTCATTGCTAACCTCGGAGGCATTGAACATATATGCTGGGTGGAACTGGTGCATGTCTGGGTAATTATTTTGGGACGACGAGAGCATGTCATCATAGTTTCCAACTTCAGCCATGTCAATGATGATTACAACTTGGGGCTGAAGAGGTGTAACTTACAGGGCTGACTACCAGACGTCAAAGCAGGCAACTGTGGCGCTGAAACAGGGTCCGGCTGGGTGACTGATGCCGTGCTGGCATCTCCATCAGGGGCAAGTTGATGCGGTCCCATGCCTAGCCCTGCATCCGGAGCATTCGCCGGCTGAGGCGCAGCGGTTGCAGCGACATCGGACGTTGTTGGTTCGATTTGAGGGGGCTGGCTTTGTCTATCACCGTTCTCTGGTTCCGATTTGGATTTCTTCACACCCTCACGTGGCTCGTCGTGACACAGATGTCCAATGTTTCGCTTTACACAGCGTGTGCATGGTCGCTCCTATGTTGGGGCCAATGCAATCAGCTTGCGATTAGTGAATACAGTGCTGAGGTCACTTACAAGGTCACAGGTCATGTGCTGACGGGTGGAGTTAGCAAGCAATAAGACGTGTGCTGGATGGAACAAAGAGTCATGTATCTGATGCTAGGGAGACGGGCGCGACTCACCGAACGTCTGCAGTAGATGCATGCTTGATTGGAAAGTCAAAGTTAGCACGGCTGTGGGGGCATTTGTGGGTACACAGCATGGAAGGCTTACCATGATTGACCTTTCTACGCTTTTTCGATGTCTTTGCCGGCGCATCGGAGCTGGGTGCAGTGGGCTTACTTTTTGAGGGGGAGCTGTTATTCGAAGTACTAGTTTCATGGGTGGCTTTGGACGACTCGTCGGCCTCGCTGTGTTCCGTCATGGTGAGTGGTGAAGGTCCATTTGATCGTTTTGTGGCTTCCGGCATTCAGGAAGCTAGGTGGACGGGTCTCAGGGCCGGGTGCTTTTCTTGGAGTTGCGCAGTGCATGTACCACGGCAGTCGCCACACGGTATCGGTCCGGAAGCAACAGAAAAGGGTCAGAAAGCACGTTGGATGGTGGCACAACAGGGTTTGGGGACGAGGTTAACGAGTGGCGGAGATGTGGCTTCTGCGGCGCGCGCGGGTCAAGTGAATGTCTGCGGTCGCGGTCGCGCGGGTCTGCCGAACCGAGCGCTGGAAGATGTCGGAGAGATTTCACAACGCCAATGCCAACGGCGGGGAACTGGCCTCGCCAAACCTTTTTAGCCACCTTGTGACAGCCACCCGGCCTTCCATGGAACCTCACCAAGAACATGGCTAACTGCATCTACTCTGACTCGGATGCTAGACACGTTGTAGTTCGCCCGAGTTTTGCATATCAGAAGACGGGAGCTGCAGGTGGCTCCGCTGTGCCGAGACGACTGTGGAGCCAATCCCCGTCTAGTCATGCTACACTACGTGCAAGTAAGGTACTCGGCCGCCAAAGTTTCTGCATGCACGTGTTCCGATGACCATTCTGTCGGATGCTCACTTTCTAAAACTAGGCGGGAATGACATGGGAAACGGATAGCCTCTGTACTGCTTGTCCGTAGTCCGACCAGCTCGTACAGAGCTCGCTCCAGCACTCTGAACCAGTGCCGGTACGCAAAAACGCCATACATGCTTAGATCCCGAAGCCCCTGCGCCGTCGCATATCGATAGTTCAAAAGCCCGCATACTGTGCGGCATTGGCGTGTCGAAACAACATATCGTCCAGCGCAGCCCGCGCTGCTCCCATTGCAGTATCCAGACCCTCTACCTGCGCATGATTACCCTGCATGTTTTCAAGGCTGCGCCGCAATTGCTCGAGCACGGGTGCAAGATGATTATCGGCCGCATCGAGGCGTGAAGCGTCTACTGGCTCTGAGGACTTGAGCCCAATATCGTCAGGTCCGTCTCCATCCATGTTGGCTTCGTCGCCGTCGTCGTCGAGTAGGGGGTGGAGCTGGGGCAGGTTAGTAGTGGCTTCAGCCCGGCCAGAATAGACTGGCACATACGCGTCCATGCTTCTTCTGGTGTTTCCATTCCGTCCTCCACTTCTTCGCATTCTTCTTCAGCTCCTCTAGGTTCTCCTCTTCCTTCTTGAGGAGGTGTTGAGCAACATTGACCTGTTCGCTAAGCAGCTGCTTTGCGTGTCGGGCTGTTGTGACTTGTCGCGAGACTTGGGCATTGCGCTCCGTCAGCTTATCGATATTGAAATGGATATCTTTAGCCTGAGGAGGTATCCGTGATGCTGCCAACTGGCGTGACAGTCGCCGCACCAGTGGGTTGAGCGCATTGTGTGCGGCCATGATCCTGCGCTCATCCCGCTGTGTTCGGCGATGTCCTTCTTCGCATTGCGTATCACAGTCGTCATCTGCTCCAGCACCTGCGCTGATACCTGTGGCCACGTATCTATTTGCTCCTGCGGTATTTTCTTCGTCCGCACCTCCAACTGCGCGTATTGCTTCCTCGACTTGGGTTCAGCTTCGGCGATTGCGTCGGCTTTGCGCTTGCGAGGCTTCGAGGCTTGCGAAGGGGCCGCGTCGGCCAAGGAAAGCTCATCTTCAGTTTCCTCTTGTATTTCTTTCCTTCTAGGCTTAGGTTTTTTTGTTGTAGGCTTTGCTATTGGTTTTGCTACTGGTTTTGGCGCAGGCTTGGAAACACCTTTGGAATTGCGACTACCAGGAGGCCGGCCCCGTCCTTTCTTCACTTTGTTATCGCTGGATCGTTTAGGCGCCTGGATTAAATCAGCGTGCATACATGGGTTATTAAGGGGGCTGATAGTTACCATGACGTTGTGGTTGGGGTGGAACGCGTCGGGTTAGTGTTGACAATCGCGTTTGGTGGGGAAAGAGCGGCATAGCGTGGCCGCCATTTCACGTGCTCACATCTTACACATCAATTCAGATTAACCGGTCGATATGAAGCTTCGGCCCTTCACATCTGGGCGCACTTGCTTATTTCTACGACGCTGAACGATATGTAGACACTGTTTTGTGGACTGCTTGCGGTCTTGTTTGACAGAAGATTACGATATAGTCAATTTCCACCCAGGCCTCTCTACACATGTAGGTACATCAAGATCGCCACCACAACACTCCATCAGACACCACCCACACATCCACCTACGTGTACTTAGCAGGAGCCTTGAGCACATCCTGCAGTCTAACCACCGTCGCCGAAAACGGTGTAAGCAATCCCAAAGCAACATCATCATACGTCTCGCCCCCATAAATCATGAGATGATCTGGCCTCGTCTTGAAAATTTGAATCGCACGCGAGTACACCGCACCAGCAGGAGTAATATGCGCCTCCCACTTATCTAGCGCGCCGCCATGCGTGTTCGTATACACCTGTCTGCGATCCGCGTCCGACACAACAATAGTTCCGTTAGGACCGCCGACCGGACTCCAGACGACGTATGGACTGGCGTTGGGAACGCTGCTGTTGCCGATGACAATGGGACGGCCTTTTTCCTTGCCAAATTCTAGGGGTGAGTCTGCCACGACGTAGTAGACGGGGTAGTTTGAGCCATATGAGGATGAGTTGCCAACTGGCAGCTCGTGTACGAGGATCCATTTCTTTAGGGGTGGGATGTAGTCGACAACCGTCATGCCGGGACGCGCAAGGTATTCATCGTAGGCTACATCATTGACGACGGGGCCCCAGTTCTTCAGGTCCGTTGAGGTTTGATGGGCTAGTTTCTGGCCGTGGAGAGGGTCTCGTTGGTCAGAGTAGTAGGCTACTAACTGGCCCTTGTATTGCCTAAGGTCGGTTAGTATTAAATATCTGGAGACGAGCACGAGGGGCCATTTACAGTAAATAAGGTTCCCAGATAGGAGTCGCACCGTTCGTGGTATTCGCCTTGCCGCCCTCAGCGATATGACTGACGAATTCCCAGGTCCGCGCTCCATCTCTACTCGCGTAGAGATCAATCCTTGTCGCATTCGGTCCCCAGCTATTGCCACTGCCCAGGATAGTGCCAGCGTCGTAGCCACCCATGGGCTCCGTCAGCTCTGTGAGCGCCGGCTGTACATAGAGACCCCAGCCATTGGCGGTGTCTTGTATGTTCGAGATCTGCTTCCACGAAGCGCCGCCGTCCTTTGACTTGAAGATGGGCAAGTAACCAGGTGAAGGGCCTCTGAGCGAGGTGGTAGCGAGGATGCTGCCATCCTGCAGTTCCACGTAGCGGGGGTAAAATAAAGATTCATTACCCTTCGGTTGGTAGATGGTGTTATTCGTGAAGAAGCCCCAGGGTTCGGCACTGTGGGACAGAGGAGAGCCAATGATACCAACTGCCGCTGTTGCAACGAGGATAAATGAGTGGAGCATCATGGTTAGCAATATCTTCAACTCAAGCTTGCTGAATTTTGGCCAATGCAAGTCTGCTTCAACATCGGTCGATCCTGGCACGACTTTAAATACTTTTGACACTGCCGTCGCCTTCGCGACGCCATGCTGACAAGCCTTCTCCAAAGCTTAGACGCGGTCAAGCTATCCCATTACTACCGCTGGTTTCTATGATATACCCGGCCGAGAGTCGTGCACTAAACGCCTAATCCAATAGGTTCCCTGTGGGGCATTTCTGCCGGTGGGTATCGACGTTGTGTTTGTCACATACGATGTTGGTATTCGTAAAAGTAAGCACATCGAATAGAGGGAATCCTTTCCGAGCCGAAGCTACGGCGCCGCCTGGGTGAGATAGAATACTTGACAGTATAGAGAGTCTCCTAACAGGCATTTCTAGAGAATACAGTGACCTCTGTATCGTATACCAGTATGTCAGATATCTTATGATACCCGGAGAGCGGGGGGGAGGGGGGGTCCAAGTTGTTGGGTTGGGACGATCCCGGGTATTCTCGCGGAGATCAACATTTAACGACGATCTATATTTGTGGTCAAGCGATGGCAAAAGTACCCTAAATGTAGTACCGCGGCGTCTGATTCCCAATATAGAGACGGTATTATGACTAGACTTCAAAGTTGCTGAGAGCTGGGCCTACTCAGCTGCTTGAACCAGAACGGTCTTCAAATGGTTACATCGACGCAGCAGATTTGCCATCGAGGAGAACCACCAGTCGAACCAGAACGGATTGAAGCTTGAAGAATAGTGGCAGGTCTGAAGTTCACAGGCACCTCTTCGCGCAGACAGCTGGAGACTGTACTAGCTTCTACATCTTCTCGTGAAAGAACCCGAGTTCAGTAGAGGCCGCGTAATTAGTTGTTATAAGAATGATCTTCTTTCTCGTGTCATCAAATCCCTCAAACTTCGGTCGTATTTGCAGGCATCGCAGGGGTAAGTAGGGAGCAGATCATTAAGACTGCGGGGGAAAAGAGCGCTAGGCACTTTGCCAGGCACGCCAACAAGTGTTGGCGCAAATGACGAAAGTACCCGATCGTATCATCATCAGTGAGTGGCAGGAAGTGCATTGAGATGAACAGCCGCCGGACTTTATATATTCGTTCATGCAACATGAATTGGTGTGGCTCCAAAATGTGGAGAAATATTTTCCGCGTGTGAAATGAACGCCCCCAGCCTTGTTTAGACATCGCGTAATGGCGAAGATGCACATAACAATCAGCCTGATACCAACATACAGTAGGTGGACCGGGCTAATTTAGCTAATTTAGCTAACCTTAATTTAGCGTTGATCAGCGCTTTTGCATGACGGTCCAACCTAAGCGCGACAGGGGATGCCACCGGCAAACTTGTCGCTTTCCCGCGCGCGATGAAGCCATGTTGTTGAGTGTTGTATGTCATCTTCCGTGCATGCCGCTGCCGCTAGATCCCACCCCGTGGGGAAAGTCAGCCTTGTGAAGTATTCCGAGATATCACTCTTATCGCAGCGCTGACCTCGTACAGATCAACAAAATACATGGGTCCTCTTTCCTCAAGAGAAAGCGTTGTGGAGCCCCGCCTGCGTTCCAAATTAAGAGAGCGAACCTTGGAAGTGCCTAGTAGAGTAAAGCGGAAACAAGAAAAGACAACGTCCTTAGCAAATCAAACGAGACCGGTATCAAAACACTTGAGTGCCAAGTTCAATGCCAAGCTGGCAGCTGGCAACGTTTGTTACGTGCAGGAAGATCATGCACCTTGGCATTGTTCACGTCAAGCCTCATGGGAACACTTGAATTGCAGGATGGTGTCGTGACCCATTCGATTGGAAGTGTCTGGAAGAATTCTCCTGGTGGGTTATATAACAGTCTTGGTTCATGCATGTGACAGATGTGTGGAACCTTTAGCCTTGCGAGAAGAGGAGTTGCAAAGTTGCTCGATTGGACAGAGCTTGGCCGTCGATTGACAGCGCCAGACCAAGAAGTGGATCGCGACGTTTGCAATTGGACGCCTGGGTCAGGCAACGAGAAACCTTCCTCTAGAGGCCATATCCAAGTCTTGGTTTCACTCTACTGTTGTTTTAGATAACTGCCGCCGCGGTGATTACTTCCTCAAAGGCAATGGTTTGCAGTCTGGTTCATGTATTTTCCGAAGCTCCGGTATACACGCATGACAGTTCGCCCGATTTAGAGAATGGGTTTTGAAGTTGGATCGAGGGGGATAGAGTGAGAGGAAATGTACTTAAGCATACCTAAAGTCCAGACATTGCTGGACACAGACAGTGAAGCATCCCACCTTCCTCACTCCTGCAACATGTTTCGATCAGCCTCTTTCTTCGCACTCGGTGCCCTTCTCATCCTAGCTCTACTCGAAAATGTAGCAGCTGCCTCTGCCGGTTGTGGCAAGACGCCGAAGCTAACCAACGGTGTCCATACCACAACCATAAATGGCAAGCAACGCCGTTGGACACTTCGCATTCCCAATGGCTACGACAAGAGCCGTCAATACCGCTTCATCTTTGGTATCCATTGGCTCAATGGTGACATGAATGCCGTTGCTGGAGGCTCATCACCATACTACGGCCTGGCAGCTCTCGGAGGCGACAGCACCATCTTCGTGGCACCCGACGGTCTCAACAGGGGATGGGCAAACCAGGGCGGCGAGGACATTACCTTTTTGAACACCATTAGGAAGCAGGTGGAGGATGATCTCTGTATCAATGAGAAGCTCCGTTTCTCAGTCGGCTTCTCCTACGGTGCTGCCATGTCCTACAGCCTGGCCTGCAGCAGTGCCCAGGACTATCGCGGTATCGCCGTCTTGTCTGGAGCTCAACTCTCTGGTTGCAGTGGAGGAAACGCCCCAATTGCTTTCTACGGCCAGCACGGCACAAGGGACAGCGTCTTGAACATCTCAGCTGGTCGACAGATCCGAGACCGCTTTGTCAAGAACAACGGATGCCAGGCCAAGAATGCGCCAGAGCCTCCCGCCAACAGCGGACGGTCCATCAAGACTGTTTACGAAGGCTGCAGGTACCCTACGCAGTGGACTGCTTTTGATGGGGACCACGTTGCCCTTCAGAGCTTTACATCGGGCGATGTTTGGAAGTTCTTCTCCCAATTCACTTGATCCGGTCGTGTGCTGAAGTTGTGAACGGGCCAGGCCGCCATCGAGCGAAGTTGGGGCCGTCATAGCGCAAGATTGATGATAACGGCCGAGACAATGTAAATATTTGTATATAGCTTGTAAATACATGCTTTCAAAAAACGTACTTTCCATAAAATGTTCACTCGGCAGCCGACTGCTCTTCCTCGGACAGCTCTACCTCCGCGTCACTTACCACGTCGCTTAACATGCTGCTTTCGGCGTCGCTCAATCCGCTACTTTCTGCGTCACTCTCATAGTCATCAGCGATCTTCTTTTTTCCCTTGGTCTTCTTCGCGCTTCCTCCTTTGACCGGACTTGCGCCAACGTCTTTACGGCCCCCAGTCCTCTGAACAAGATGGTCGATCGGGCAGCCCTCATCCCATCCTTCACTGCTCTCCCCAGTAATTGCTCGACACCTCGGGCACGTCTTCCCATGCCTGATCAGCAGTTGATGTAGTGGATACTTCAGGTGGTCTGGAACCCGAACTTCGCAATGCGCATAGGTTGAGTTCCGTGTGGGCCCGGCAAATGTGCCTTTTGCGCCTGGTGCAAGGCCGGCAGGATCTCCTGGAGGAGGTACCCAGCCTAACCACTTACAAAGACGGAAGACATGTGTATCGACAGCGAACGAGGGCCGTTGGAGACAGAAGAGGAGCACGCAAGATGCGGTCTTTGGGCCGATGCCGGGGTATTTCGTCAGCGCGTTGAATGCATCGTCGTTTGAAAGCAAATGCAGATGGTCTAGTGATATAATGTTTTGCTCCGCCTTCGCGACTTCTGCATGCTTCTCGCCCTCAGCCTCGTTCGCTGAGCCGGGGGCTTTGTCTGACGAGGACAAAAGCTCTTCGCGGCGCGCTTGATTCTCTTCCCATACCATCTGTAGGATCTTTTTAATATCCTTACTCTTGACATCTGCCAAGCCACCACTCTTGATTGCCTCAAATACCTCTTTCTGGTCCGCTTGACGCACCCTGTTCCAGTCTACACTTCCCTTACCGACGCCCTCTTTCAGGATACCAAACTTAGAGACCAGGCCAGCAAACGCACGTGATGAGTTTGTGCCAGATGTTGCTGCTGAGAGGCGTGTTCGGATAAGGGCATCGAGAACAGATGGTACTTCTCCACACCCGGAGACCTCGAGTGATGGGGCAGGTATTGTCTTGGGTGCCTCGACCTTGCCGTGCACTTTTGAAAGAAGCCTTGTGACCTCTTCACACTCTTCGGCTGTTGGATGAGCATAGTTTGGGTACGGGGTAAGGCCAGGAGTGAGGCCGTAGCCTCCACTCTTAGCCTTTGTCTTCTTTTTTGGTGACTCGTCAGTGGTTTTGGTGGCTTTAGCAAGAAGATCATCAACATCTTCCTTCTTCGGCTCTGCAGGCTTCTTGGACTTCTTTGCTGGAGTTTTGCCTTTTCTCTCTTCATTTTGAGGAGGCAGGTCGGGAATTGCACCAAGGTTGTGCGGTAGCTCATTGATGTCTTCTTGTTTTACTGTTGATTTTTTGGCACGTTTTGTGCTTTTGGGCGTGACGGGAGCCTTGCTAGTCGAAGCTTTCGGAGAATCTTCGACTTTCACTGCTTTCCTCTTTCGCGCATTGCCTCTCTCTGGAGTAGGCGGTGGACTTGAGAGCTGCATTGGCTTCTGGTTGGCCTCTGGCACTGTCTGGATAGTTTCAGCTTTAGCTGCAGAGCTTCTTGTGGCTCGCGCCATGACCGAGGGGTGACAAGAGCAGTGTTGAGGTTTGTAGATAGCTAAAGGGGCTAAGCGCGGTCGCAATAGTAGCTTGAATGGAAGTTTAAACGCAATGATTGTAGAAGATTCAAGGCAAGTGAGGTTTGAGCTGGGGATGAGTGGTGTCTTCTGACGTGTTGTTTTGAGCTGCAAACAGAGCGAATTGAAGGGTGAGAGACTCAAGACGTGGCAAGTGAGAGTGAAAGCTTATGGAAGGTCATGACGTCGATGACAGTAATTGGAGCTTGGACCCCGGTTCCTGCCTTAGCGTGCATGACGAAGACGCGCCGAGGTCCACTCCTTGGGCCAACCGCCTCAGAAGGCATCTACCCCACGTTCGTCTCTACCGATACTTTGTCCTACATCACCCTAGATCGCAAGTAGACATGGCTCACAAAGCTCCACTAGTCGTTCCCGCGCTCAAGCGGCACACTGCCACTGTTATTGTTGCGCATGGGCTTGGAGATAGCGGCGCTGGCTGGTATGGCGCATTCGACTGCGCCGTCGCATAGGCACTGACGAAGGCTTAGGATCTTTCTTGCAGAGAACTGGCGCAGGCGAAGCAAGTTTGAGGAGGTCAAATTTATCTTTCCTAATGCGCCAAACATCCCGATTACCCTGGTTCGTGCACCGCCATCAGACTTCACGCGTTGCAACGATGCGGATCGATGCAAAGATACTGATACTGATACATGGCACAGAACATGGGCATGAGCATGCCAGGATGGTACGATATCAAGTCGCTCAGCACTTTGGACAGCCGGGCAGAAGACGAAAAAGGCATCATAGACTCTCAGAAGTATTTCCACTCCCTCATCGACGAAGAGGTTGCCAAGGGCATACCCGCAAATCGCGTAGTCATCGGGGGCTTCTCCCAAGGCGGAGCCATGTCGATTCTCTCCGGTGTCACATACAAGGAACAGCTAGGAGGCATCTTCGGTCTGAGTTGCTACCTGCTGCTGCAGAAGAAGATCAAAGACATGATCCCGACAGACAACCCAAACCAGCAGACGCCCATCTTCATGGGTCACGGTGATGCTGATCAGGTAGTTGCGCACAAGTGGGGAAAGCTGAGTGCAGAAGAGCTGGAGAAGCATGGATACAAGGTTGATTTTAGGACTTACAAGTACGCTAGTTCTAATTTAGTTCAGGTCATATTGCTAACAAATGTAGGGACCTCGTTCACAGCGCCGACCCTGAAGAAATCGACCACCTTGAGGCTTATCTCAACCAGCAGATACCTCCTCTCGGCGATGACAAGTCGGACACGAGCCTTTGACTCACGACCAATATACCGCCCGCTTCGACCGAGCTGACGACAGTTTTTGTGATGATGGTTACCCTGGCTTTCGCTTGGTTCGCGTGGTACAAGAAGCGCGGCGATGCATCCCGAACAGGGCACGAAGATACGATATAGCAGGAATTACATGGCACGCGTTTGATTCTGAGACGCACGCACAACTGGGGCCTTTAGACTTGGCGGAGGTTGCGCGCACGAGATGGCTGTTATTCAGAACAAGGGATATTCAGTATTTACTTCGGTGTTGTTCCGAGCAGTACATGTCCCACCAGCGAAAGCATATAGTAAATATCTACATGTAACTAATCTTATTTGTTCAACGCTCTCGCTAGCCAATGTCTCGTCTGGGTTGGTTCCCTAAATTCGTTATCGTTCGCAAATTTTCACCTCGTGGACCCGCCCCGCACCTTCCCATACTTACAATGAGCCTGACCCTTTGCAACACGAACTTTGATCCAAATGGCTTTTGCTATCTCTATATTTACTGAATAATTAAAAAGTCTCCTATCAATTCCAGTATGGTACAATCATCCGATATGTTAGTCTATCCTGAATCCACTTCATTACTCTTTCTAACAAATCTTAAAGGGTCTAGTGGCTAGGATTTGCCGCTCTCATCAGAGAGTCAGTTTCACTGTACAGTGCCGGCAAGGCCCGGGTTCGGTAAGTGCAAAGCACCTTGTAACCTGCATTCGACTCTCAATTCTAACATTCCTCAGATTCCCGGTGTCGGAAAACAACCATCTTTTTTTGCTCTTCCAAGGGTCATTTGTGAAGGCGGGGTCGGTCCTTCTTCGCGCAGAGCCCCTCCCCACCTTTACTTCTAGCCTTTTTGACACAGCAATTGTTATTTTTTACATATAAAACAGGCTGATCCAACAGGCTAGTGATTCGTTAATAATTGATTTTTACATCTGAAGAAGACGTGGGGAGATCGGCACGTTGAAACGGCAGTCCGGGAATCATGTTTTTGCACTTGCAACGATATCCCAGCTATTATCACTGAAAAACGACTGAATATTACAAGGCTGAGCTTGTTAGTCAGTAAGCAGAGACGCCCCCCAGTGCCGCGCCGCGACCGTGGATCTCTTCGTGGCACTCTCCAATACGATGTTTGGTGACCGAGGTCGGCAATCATCAATATAGTGATGCACGCAGCACGCTGAGCAAGAGCAATAAGGTTTCGAAAGGTTGTTTCTTGTGGCTGAGCCACAGTCGCAACTCAGTTGGAAAGATACATGACGCCGGGCGAGCATGACACGCCTTGCACATTCAAGAAGTTGAGGTGATGAGAGCGGATTCATACTATCAATGGCCGGGCTCATTCTATAATAAGCATCTCTATAACGTCATGGGTCCGGCTTGTGCGGATACGAGCATCGTATTCAACCGTCGCCGTCTTGTCTAGTTTTGCAAGCCAAGGCCACGCCTCGAAGCTTTACTTGGTGAAGATGTCCTGTCAGGAGAGGGAATCGCCAGGGGTAGCTTCCGGATCTGCTTCACTAAGCGGCGCTAACCGACGACAGGAATGCTTAATTTTGTCCGGCTCCTCACTTAGTCTTTTCCTGCTTCTCCGCGCACGCATTCCTTTTTGCTTTTGTGCACAAAAATCAATCCATATGCTTCAGACGGTGCGACAGAAAGCGTTTTGTAAAGCCACCTTGCGGCAAAAGAACTGGCATCGATACAATAACGTATATTCCTATTTCACCGTCTCAACAGCCGCAAAAACCCAAACATACGGCGAGCCCGTTTATTTTTCTTTTGGAAACAGTAGAATTTTCCACCATTGTGGTCTAGCCTGGCCGAAATGGCCCGCTGCTAAATTTCCGACAACTATGACGCCCTTTTTTGGGACGTCTTTAATCCGTGCGTTCAGGCATAGCGGTCTTGGACATGGATCTGCCTCGTTGTTTAGCGCCGGCTAGGGGGCCAGTCGCCCTTCTAGCTGCAGCCTCAGCGCAAGCATAGGAGTTCCGCATGATGCCATGTCTATTGGATCGAGAAGGGAGAGTGGGGGAGGGCCAAGCGTAGAATACGAGGAGCGCGCGATAGTTAAGAAGAGGTCCAGCTGCTGTGCAACGTTGGCCCTTGATTTGAGTACCTCTCTATCTCTATCTCTATCCATTCACTAGTATTTTTTTGTATTCCGACAGTCCCTCGCTTCCTGTTGAAAACACGTACCCGTCCATATACTTAATAATATTCATAATGCGTTTCGCTACTCTTTCTGTTCTTTCTCTGGTCTCCGGTGCCTTTGCTGGTAACTGTGGACCTCAGAACGGAAACGCCAAATGTGCTGCATCTGAGTGCTGTGAGTTGAAACCATTACGTCAGCATCCAGATGAATCAAATACTGACTTTCTGTCTCAGGCTCCCAATACGGCTGGTGCGGAACCACCGTCGACCACTGCGATGCAGCCACCTGCCTGTCCCCCTTCTCCGGCTCCTCATCCAAGTGCAAGTCGACACCCACAACCATGAAGACGTCCACCACAAAGGCCGGCACCTCCCCCGCCACCGGCTTCCCCAACGCCGTCCCCGAAATCGATGTCTGCGGTCACGCCCAAGGCGGTGTCACTTGCCCCGGTGCCGGCGCAAACGGCTTCTTCTACCGCTGCTGCTCCTCCGCCGGCCACTGCGGCCCCAAGAACGACCTCCAGGACCAGGCTATCTACTGTGGCGATGGCTGCCAGGCTGGCTACGGAAAGTGCAACACCATGACTGCGCCTCCTGAGCCCACTGCTCCCAAGGGCACCTCGCAAGCTGGCGAGGAGTGCGGTCCTATTGTCAACAAGAAGTGCGCGACTGGTCTTTGCTGCTCTGGATCCAACTTCTGTGGTACTGGAGCCGACTTCTGTGGCGCCGACAACTGGTGCCAGAGCAGGTACGGAAAGTGCAACTAAGTTGCGCCTTGGGGAGAAAGGTTTTTTTGATGATAGGTGTGATAGAACAATCTTGGGTAGATAATGAATAGATCAAAAAGGGATATGAGACACAATATAAAGTCTCGGCATGCATCAGCCTGAAGTTATACTGCAGTGAATTTGATTGAGTATCTTCTGTGATTTCGAGTATTGATATAGCTTGTTTCTTTATGTGACGTGACGAGGCTGCAACCGCTTTAAGATGATGGGAATGAAATCGCCAACGTGACCGATCGAACAGATATCTGCCCAGGATTCCACGGGCATCTGGGTGACATGTAATACTTGACACAATGGTATACAAAAGCTATTGTAGGCGCCAGGTATGTCTATTAGGGATATGATAGCGGGGTTTACTAATACTGTCGCTGCCAAGTATTTCATGTCACCCAGGTGCGGGTGCATACTGCCCGGGCTGAAGTAGTAAAGATATACTTTGGTTTGGCAATGCATGTACTCGCGGAGGGCGTGTCTATCAGTTAGTGTCATATGTGGTACAACCACAACAACAGAGAGCAGAACCGCATTTACCAAACACCCGAGCCTCATAGTTGCTTCATATACCTCTTTTTCAACTCGCATTACTCTTCCTAGGGGTAGCAAAGGCCGACGGCTTGGATAGCTCGAGGCTGTCAAACATGACGAGTATTGGTAGATTGTGACTTTCAGCTAAGTTGACGGACAGTGTGCTCTGGGATATACTGTATATGATCATGTCTAATTGGTAGTTTAGTATTCTGTCTTTCGACATCCTCGCGGTCTTTTTCGGTCTGTGATCCGCAATCCGTTTCCGTCCGTCAAAACTTCTGTATGCAGAATTCCACCACCGGGAGCCATGGACGGAGAGAACCGTAATTGTGTTTGGACCTTTTCTCAATCAACTAAATGTATTTGACGTGGTGCGACGTTCAGATGTCAGGGATGGAAACAAAGGGACATGATGCTGTGATAGTGTGAAGCCGAATACTGGTATAGGAAGGCGTAGACCTGCACGAAATCGAATCAAGGAGTACTGAGTAGGATTGCCCTGTCCGGACTTGTAGTCCTCAAACGTCTTTCCTCAACCATGCTCCATGCTCATTGCTCATTGAATCCGGATTCTTGCTTGTACAGATAGAGAAAGCCATGAACCCGAAGCTTTTCGTGTGCTTATAGACGAACCTCCATATGTGCAAATAGGTGTAATCACTTGGCTGCCTCAAGGTCCAGATCAACAAGCCACGGCGCATTCCAAGGCTTGTACCGAACGGTCATGATGCTAGCGTTGACCATTAGAGTCTGTTTTCCGAATTCGACCGCAGTATTGCTACCCTGACTGATATTCACACTCGCTGCTCTCCCTTCTTTCGCCGTCTCATGGTCTACATGCATAGCCTCAGCAGCTTCTATATGCTCCTCGATCTTGACGTCCAACTCGTCACTATTGTTCCATTGCACTCTTTGCGCACCCCACCCTTCATGTATGTGTCCGAAACAGTATAGTCTTGGCTTGCAGCGTCGAGCAGCACGTAGTAGATGTTCGCAACCAACGTGTTCACCCCTATCAGTCTCGTCCAAGACTCCCATGGGCGGCCCGTGGGTCATCATAACGTCAATGTTGGGGAAATCTGGGACAGGATTATCGGCGATGGGGACGGTATAAGGCGTACACTGGTGGGGAGGGTTGAAGCGGTCTTGATTTCGGAAGTAGGGAAACGCGAAGTCGCAAAACTCTGGCTGGTATGGAGATGCGTAAACCTTGGACATGTTAGCTATGAGAGTTTTGGGTCACTGTAGAATCACATACCCGCAGATTCGCTCCATTCTGTAGCGCAAATTGGTGTGTTCCTTCGTCCAAGTATGTTACACCGGCTTTCTTAGCTCGTTCGCCCGTCCACATATTTCTCGCTTTTGCTGGCAGGCCCCTATCATATCCGCTTCTATGCATGTGTGGGCCTTTTCTGACGTAGTACTCTTCGTCGAGGGTTATATCGTGATTGCCAGCTATAACAAGTTTCAAATCCGCATCGATGCTCTCCAGCATGTTGAGGGTTGTCTCATATTCGTCCAGGTGACCGATCATAGTCAGGTCGCCGCAATGGAGTAGCACGTCCGCTTTTGGTAGTGGTGGTCGGAACGATACGTCATTGTTCGTGCCATTGTCGGAAGGAGAAGCAGAATGAGTGTCAGAGATGATGAGGAACCGAGTCTTCACACGAGCGGACTTTAGTGAAGTGGATGTTGTTGACATGTTGGATGTGAAGTTTGCAGCGAGGCTGTGGCGTCTGAATCGATGAGGGGTAGTGGGGTCACGACGTGTTACCCTGAGAGCGTTCAGATACCGTCGACCAACACAAGAAACATGCCAATGTCCCATCTATGGAGCCTGCTGAATCCATCGCCGATTGAGAAGCTGAGTTGTGGTCGCCGAAGGTTCGCATGTACGACAAGCTGCTTCCTTACACCGCCGAGGCACCATCGTTCTCTCCTCAACGTCTTCTGACTATCACCATGACAAGAGAACTAAACCTAAGAGATGACAAAGTCAGACATATGAACTAAAATTGTGATGGTCAAGAGCTCTGATGGGTTTTCTTGGACGCTCAAGAGACTATCCCAGTAGACCCTGTCGGGCCAGTGTCACGCCACTATCACGAGTTGATCCCGCACAACACCGCCTCGCCTATAGGCAAAGGGATCATCGATCCTAAGACGAGTACAATTTTTTGCCAGAACCAAGTAATCTCCTAAACTTGTGAGACTAGCGGGAACGATGGTAAACGCTTTCAGATCGGACACAGTTTTCATTTCTGTTGACAACGGGAACAAAGCTGTTTGTGGAAGTTGACGTTTATCAGTATTAGTTCGCTCAAAGCAAACAAGGTATGCGTATATGCTATACTCTTTACAGTCCAATAAGGCCTGAAATAGAAACTCGCATCGGCATCTCGGACCCAGAGTATGTGTCACAGCATCCGAACTTCGGCACGACGGAACTTAGGTTCACGGCAATGCCCGAGATGCTGCCCCCACCGGACTGTGCCGGTAAGGCGTGAATCGTTCGACACACGCATTCATCGTAAATCTTGAGTTATGATCAAGCACTACAGGTTTTAGTCAAGTGTTCGGAAGCGAAGGATAGCTTCGCCGTTCCAATAGTAATCCAGGAAAGAAGCAAGGATCCACACACAACTTACGATTTGGGTTTGCCGTACAGCCCCTTCAAGCATCTTCACCTGACTGAACCACTACACCGGGAGCTGACTGGTCTAGGATGTGCATCGCGCAAGTCACAAGGTGCTATTAGCTACTCCCCAGGCTGTGCACTTCTGGAATCGTCGATACCATTACGTCCTGGCGGCTACATCAATTAAAAGCATCGTCATTTGGAGCGTGGTATACTTTGTCACAGCCCATCGAGCCTCCGTCTACCAACAACCACCATAACTCCGAACAAACTTCGAATTCCTTCCGGCACCACATACCTAGACTTTATACAACCAAGTCTTGATGAACTTCCCAAGCAATATCCAAGGGAAGGCGGACCAATCTCCACGAAGAAACAACATGCCGTACTCCAATTACTTCGACAATCCATACCTCAACGAAGTCTTCGACTCAACCCCCGACTACTCTCTGACTTCCTTCTTCGACAATGATTCGTTCTTTGAGCAACCAGTCACACCTGTAGAAATGTCGTCCGCTGTGCCATCGAAATCATTGAGGCCGAATTCGACATTACCGGTTACCGGCACCTCAACGAACAGCAGTCAGCAATTGGCGCAAACCTTCAATCCAATTGAGCTTGAACCATTCGACCAGCCCCCAGGTGCTTTCTTTACGCATCATACAGGGGCACATGTCGTTGCAAGCGAGCCGGCATGTTTCTCTCCAACGACGACGACTATATCACAAACATCATCCTTTTGCGATGACGCAACACAGCAAGCTTCCCCATCTCTATCGCCCCACATGCTAAAGCGCGAATCCCCATCATCACCAGCTTCGGAATCTGAGTCGTCGACCCCCAAACGCCCCACGAGGAAGCGGGGTCGACCGAAAATGGACCGCAGAAGTACCGATTCTCAACTAGTAACATCCCCATCAGCGAAGAGCCAACGCACAAAGCGCCTGCCGCACAACCAGGTCGAGCGAAAGTACCGAGAAGGTCTCAATGCAGAACTAGAGAGATTGCGAAACGCAGTTCCGATTCTGAGGCAACGCGATGAGCCCGGCCACATGGCGCAGCCCAAGCCAAGTAAAGCGATGATTCTGGCGTCTGCTATCGAGTACATTCAAAGTATAGAGAAGGAGAACGAGTTGTTGAAGGGAGAGAATGAAAGACTGAGATGTCAATCAAGAGGTGGAATGGAGGGGAACTGGGAGAGAAGAGATGGATCATTGGAGTTCTTCAAACACGTATAAGCAGACTGGTCTGCGTGAAGCGCTGGATGAATGAGGTTCATAGTGGTGCCTACACAGACTGCAAAAGCAAGAGATGGATGATTAATGAAGATACATACGGACATGGGCGCATTGGTTTGAGCTTGTACACCCTGAGATTGCCTTTTTAATGGCTATAGAACATGTATATTATACCCCTCGTACTACTATTACGACCGTTACGATACCCCGCGCTCGCTACATGACAGGCAGCCTAATAACACCGATGAATTTTATGGAAATTGTACAGTAGACACGACAAATAGGGAATCCCGTGTATCAATAAACTTCATGAAAGCTCGGCAAATCGTCGATGTGATGCATACAATCAGCGCGGAGATTTCAAAGAAAACCTCTACAATAAACACGACATGAACGTGGAAGATCCTAGAACGTGGACAACTCTTGCGCAACTACACCAGATCCCGCATCCCCAAAGTTGGTGCATGCACACCCTGTTTTAAAAGCAGGCAAATCGACGATTTGTACAACTTTGGTACACAATGACAACCGTGCATATCCAGCATATGCCCTATTGTAGTCTCCAAAGCTTACCGGTCGATACCCGGGGTAAACAGAGTATATTAGCAATGTACAGCCACCATTTTCAAGTTAACAAAAAGCCTACAAGAGAAAAAGAAGCCGCATGAATCGTGTCAATAGCAACATCGCGCGGCTGACCACTCAGCATGTGTTATGTTATCTCAGCTCCTCCCAGCGAGCGCGGAGACGTCAAAATGCCTCAACAACAACGACGCACCGACACACACACACAGGCTCAATCAAGCCCCTTGCATGAATCCAACAACCTCTTCGACGCCGGACCTTGGCATTGGGTAAAAGCAAACACATGAAGAACGACATGTGCTTGTTTGCATGCCCGTACACGCAAGTACTTCGGCGTGTTTAATGTGATGTTTCCGTGACGTTTCCGTTAGCTCAGAATGATGTCCGTAGTTACTATACGAATAAACTAGGTTGTGGTTGGAAAAAGTTTTCTTGGTCTCACATCCCAAAACCCCACTTACCACCTTACCGCTCTACCCCACCTGACCAACCAACTAACCAAGAAAATTCTCACCAAACCCGCTACCAAACTCACCCATCCTTGTTTCAACGTAAACTCCCATTATTGCCTCTGTATCTATCTGCACAAACACATTATTCTTCCATCAAATCAGCTTGATCACAAACCATCAAGCCCGGCTAGCTCAATCGGTAGAGCGTGAGACTCTTAAGTCCTTCACGTCCTGAAACAACGCGATTGGTGTACATCTCAAGGTTGTGGGTTCGACCCCCACGTCGGGCTTTGAGGATCATTCATCTTTTTTTGCGCTTTTGTTGGGTAGTTGGCGTGGAATGGTGGTGTGAAAAGGTTGGGTGGGTCACGTGAAAGCCCATCACGTGATGAGATGGGGTTTCTTGGCAACACATGCTGATTTCCGCGTGCTGTAGCACGTGCTAGCTTTCTATGTCACGTGCTAGTTTTTTGCTTCACGTGCTACATGTAGGTATCACGTGCTAGCTCTTTCTTGTATCACGTGCTACCTTCCCGCATCACGTGCCATACGCGAAGATCCAAAACTTTATTTTTCAAGACGGGTGGCTGAACGGGATGAAGAGTCAATACAGTGGGTAAGTAAGCGAGTGATATACTGCACGACATTGCATTGCATATGTGTAGTCTCTAGTAGCTTGTATACAATATAATAGGGCAAGGGTGTGCTTGTTTTAAACGTAGAGAACGTGGCTGTAAGCTGAGTCGCTGTGGCTGAAGAAGGTCCTTGTTATGTTTATCGTGTGCCATTTCATGACTGGGGGAGGGGGAATGGGTGTGTGTGTGTGTCACTAATGTAATTTGTAATTGCCGGCGAAAGTGTCGTGGTGGTAAATGTATGTATGTAGCGACATGTCTAGGTAGATGGTATTAGGTAAAACCTCGTTTTTGCTCTACCTCCTTTGGCTAAATGCGGTATCCAGCTGCTGTCTAGATGTAGGTATAATCTCCTTTTCTCCGCTGTCTCACCTCACCCTTGTTCAAGAGACGAGACAAGTAGTCGGCGACTAGATCGGGAGTATGTACAAACCCCCACGCTCATCCGTATTTGACATGTTTCATTTGGCAAAATTCGGCGAGGACTCGTTTTACTTGCTCGAAACCTTAATTACTGAGAGCGCATGAGAGTGGTTCTGGGATAGTTGAGTGCAAGACATGCGTCATGGTCATCGGTGAAGAAGAGACGCAGACTTTTACCATTTGATATCCAAACAGGATAAAGTGTTGCGCCGAGTTACCCTCGTTCTAGACTGGTAGTGGGTCCAGGTGATGTACTTACTTCGCCTCTGACCACTTGGAAATGGCCCTTTTTTTTCACGCGTGTGCGTGTATCGGATACCCAGAGTCCCGGCACAAGCCACCATGGCTTCGTATGTAGACCCCTCTCTTGTCTTGCACAAGCGTCCATGCCCACTATTTACGGTAACTCCCACTCCTTCACCGATCTGGAGCTATCTTTCTCGTCATGCGATCCGGTAGCGTGGATTGCCTCACTCAAGAGAGGCGAGGCGAGTGGGATGTGGTTCCGTGATACAGTGGCGTAGATAGTCGGGAGATAGCCTCATCCGCGGATGCAATGACTCGGCGTGCAATGTGCTGAAGCTATATCCTCTTATCCACCAAATCTGCCAAGTCGCAATGTGGGCAGTCTGGTCAGTGGTAAGTCTGAGTGAGATTGCGGAGATCGGCGTAGATAGGCGACCAGCAAAGGGACCTGGTCAGGCCTTGGATGCGAGTTTCGTCCGCGAGGTGACGACCAGCTTGAGACGATATGTTCTCTACCAGATATAGCAGGGTTAGTCAACATTCGGACCGGCTCCCCGATATAAAAGTTCTAGAGACGTCGGCCAGGGTTGCAAAGAAAGCTTGTATGCAATGTTCGTCCTCCGACTCCGATCTGTATCTCGGATGACTTGCATCAACTCCTCTCCACTTGCCCCCTCCGCGGACCAGGCATGGCGTATGCACATCATTGCAAGCTTGCTGGCGTGTCAAAACGCTAAACCACACAATGCAGGTACTCGGACGCTGTCTATCCTGACACTCTTCGCACGTCTGGGAGGCTTCGTTTGGCGCGCGGAAGCAAACTTGCGCAGTAGACCGTGTGTGAAGCCAGCAGGCTGGAGTGCAGGGCTGCACATGTGCGTGATGAAGTCGCGAGCGAAACAGAAGGCCCGACGGCGTACCCGAGCGTCTGTAGTGGAGAAGCGAGTACCTGCCCACAGGCGCATCATGGCGTCTGCGGTGGAGCAGAAAGACATGCTTACCCAATGCACCGTGAAAACATGTACTATGGCGGCGCAGCTCGGATGACCTGCCCGGAACGGATCTAAGTATGAAGACCAACGGCTAATGTTGCGCCTGTAGGCTGCGGCGTAGTGCAGGGCAAGCGCATTGCGTCCAAGTCACGCGGCGTAAAGTGTATGCAGGTTAGAGTGTTTGACTTTTGTAAAGGTTGGGTCTTGTGGGTGATGGGGAGAGGATTGGGTGAGTAGCGAAAGTGTGGTGGCTGCATATCTTCTGACTCAGGCGAAAGTGGTTTTGGTCTAGTGGTCAAGGATGGCGCATGCGTTGTCTTGTCCGCAGACTGCATCATAGACGAGGCGGGCCATGCTTCCATCGTGGAGTCAAGAGACCAGGCGGAACGGGAGGTACGGTGCGCATTGGATGACGACTGACAGGAGGCGGATGAGCGGGACTGACAGGGTTTTTCCTCGAGTGACGGGCCGAGGGGCAGCTCGAGGCGTTTGTACCTGGGTGTTGGAGGATGCTGATGTTGGTCATACCAAGCATCATCTCATCATCTCGGCGTTGCAGCTTACGAAGGAATACGTTGCCAGGACCGTTGCAACCTTCGGTTACAGCGACCAAGTGCCGACCGGCTGTCACATTGCAACAGCACAACCTCGTAGCACTAGTGAGGTTGTGTTTGTGGTGTGGATGGTTGGTAACAAAGCTGATGGTGTGCGGACAGACCGAAGGACGGCGAAGATGAGGAGGATCAGGGTGGATGCAGGCAAAAGACCCGCTGTTAGCACGCCTAACCAGCGACGTGCTCCAACCCTGCAAGTTGGGCGATTGGACAAGTTGTTCCCCTCGGAATCCTTTGAGAGACACTCAAACTTGTGTCGCATGTAACGTCATGTAGTGAGATAGGGCTGCAGGGTGCCATGCCTGTCGTTGTACAAACTCTGTCTTGTGCAATAACGCCGTGCTGTGTTGGATCAATCAAACTTGCACTCACTCAGCAGTATACGGAGCTCCTGAACACGTCAAGTCTGGCCAGCTCCATACGACACCGGGCTCCACTGCAACAGGCTGCGAACTAGTGATTTTGACGCATGTGCATGTGCATGTCCTCTACGCAGACCCTGGACGTGGGACCCGCTTCCCTAGCCTGGAGCACGAATCCTGCAGCGCAGCTTGCTGGGAATAAGCAAAAAAAAAGGTGAACGTCTTTGCAGACCATGTTGTTGAGCCCACTTTCATCCTCTTTGTCGGAAACAGGCGTGTCCGACCCACCCCAGCCCGTTTCCAGTAACAGCGCCGAAGCGGAATGGCAGTCGAGGCTATCATAGTCGACGGCATGATTCAGGCCAGTACGATCGGCAAGATTATTAGTCGGAAAGGATCAAGGGCCTTTCCGAACCAACGTCGACGGGCCTCCTTCCCGGCTGTATGGTAGCGGGGAAAAAGGCAAGTCCATGAGAACGGGGGAAATGGGAAAAGCAATTTCCGTTCACTCCGCAACCATGTCTCATCCTCCGGAATTGAAGGACATGGTCATGTCTTGTTCAGCACGACCTTCTCGCCTGTCGTAAATAACTGACATGTGCCAAAAGTGGACTGACTGCCATCTATCAAAGACCGAGGCCCGGACGATACGAAGCACGCGACAGTCTGAGCCAGTCCGACCAGGGGAGGCCTGAGCCTCTCTCGTCGCGCAATCTCGTCGAATATACTGAAGCGAGCACCTTGTTCCGACACTGGGATATCCGCATCGCTTACGCAGCTTACGCAGTAGCTCAAACGTCATGGAAACTTTGCTGGGCACACATGAAATTGCAAGGTTTAGCACAACGCGAGACCGAGGTAATAACTCCACAGCCTATAGATCGTAGATGCAGATGCGCCCGTGAACGAAAGCCCGGATCCCGTATCTCGACGTGTCTGTGCCCTCCCTGTATTATTGACCACTAAGTATGTCATTCGTTACCTCCCGGTCCGGACACCAGATACGGTCATATATTTCTGGTCGCCAGACCAATTGATTCACACGTGTGGCCGAAGGATACGAAGTCAAGTTAACATTGAATAGTGCATGAAATCTTACTTGTCGCCGAACACGTGGAGGTTTGTAAAGTGTGGGGTCTCGAAACTGACAGCTGCAGCTTTGAACGCTGTTCTGAGAGACGCAGACCAGCATGGCGGGCTGGAACATTGGGCACTCCCCAGACTAAGGAATCCGGAAACCGATGCGGTCGGGAAGGGCCCTGAAAAGCCTTGGAACATAGTCTGTGGCTGGATTTGCCCAGTTTCGACAGGTCAAAACTTGCATTGACGTCCCCACGGTGAAACTATGGGGGTAACAAACCTATCTCAGTTGCGGGGTCGCCACGCAACGACCAACCGAAAACTTGTGTCATCCGCATGCCGAGGCCTGATAATGGTCATGTAGCAATATCATGAATTGTGGGTATCATATTCGGCGCATATGCTACAAGTGTAATCTGCGAGCTTCACGTCCTGCTCGTCTAGATCATGGTCCAGTCCGTGCTGTTTATACAAGTCTTGAACGGATGGAGATGCCGATTGAAAATATACAGGAAATGGGGAGAAAGAAATTGCCCATGGCAAATCGGCCTTGAAAGATTATGCTCCTGAAGTCCCCATGGCTCGCAGAAAAAAAAAAGTCAAACTCTCGCCCCGTGGAAAAGCAACAGTACCGGTCCGAAGGTAGTAAAATCCAGTCATGTTGCGCCCTGTAACTCCAGAAATGATCCTTTTTTGGTGACAGACACCCGTTTCGCAACGCTGCCGAATGTCACCTTGTAATCCGGTCCCAAATGCCTGTATGAAAACCCATTAGGTGTGAACTTCACGGAGCCGCCCAGTAAGCTATAATCGCTGGACTGCACTTGCAAAAGAGCAAGTCGTCGGTTTACTGCCTTCTCATGATCCAGAATAGAACTGTGGAAGAGCGTGATTGTATGCCATTGGTGGTGTAGCCTCCTCTTGAACTCGATCCAATTGTCCTGCGTCTCCGTACCATTGCGCACTCATCGATCGCGCGCCCGGGGGCATTGGAAGGTTGTGGTTTTGCATGGCATCGTACGAGTTCCATGTCGGTGCATAATAAGCGTGGTTCGGAACAACAGGTGCCGAAAGGGGTGCTGATGTGGTACTGCCGAGCGTGGTCGCGTGCACGGTCGAAGGGTTGGTGTCTATCGTAGCCGGAAATGGAAATGGAGACGTCCGTCGGTAGTGTTCGTGTTGAAGTCCGAGCCCTTGACCTGGGTACTGCTGTGGAAGGCTGTCAATGTTGCCGTAAGACATGGATCTCGCGGGTGGCTGGAAAGGTGGTTGTTGACCCCAGTGACCGTCCTGGTGGCCATACGACATTGTCGAGCTAGTGCTCATGGCTGCGGGAGTGTGTCCGCCTGAGACGTTGGATTCACTGCCGTATGCCGAGTTTACTGTAGAAGGAGAGTGTCGCCATGATGGACTTTCCGCTACAGTAGATGATGGAAGATAACCATTTGTTGGGGGCCACTGTGTTTCTATTGGAGGAGGAAAAGGATAAGGAGGTTGTTGTACGGGTACTATTCATGTTAGCATTTGGGAAGCATAGATTCCAACAGCACTTACGGCCATTCGAGGTAGGCGCATGGTGAGGATCGCTGTCGGTGTCTCCATGGTACCCATAACTCTGATATGGCGCGGTAGGTCCAGAGAGAGGTGTGCGGAACTCACCCATTCCATCGCTAGATGCTGAAAGAGGGTTGTGTGGTGAAGTCGCCACTGGTGTTGCCGGCTGAACTGCATTGCTAGGCTTCGAAGACATGGCTTGAGGCTGCGGCATGTCTGGATTGTGTTCCACGGGGTAGAAGTTGCATTCTTTCTTTAACCGAATGCAGTTGGAGCATCGACCCTGAGGATCGTCGGGAGCCAAAAGGCATCGTATTTTCCTCCGTCGACAGTGCCCTATAGCATATGCATCAGTGGCTGAACATGACAAGCTCCAACAAGATGGGTTCCTTCACTTACCGCAGGCGACTGATGTTCGGTGATAGCCTAGTTTATTACGTGGCTTGTTACTTGTTGGCGACAGCTCGCCAGGAGTTCCAAGTGGTACGTGGCGCATGTGTGGGGTGGATGAGGACTTGCGGAGCTCTCCGGGTACTTTTGTTTTCGAGGAGCGTCGTCTCTTACTCGAGTGGTGATGAGTGTGAGAGGCTTCCTGACCACTTAAGGGACCTGGAGCAGACTCGAGTCGTTCTGTGGGGCTTGGCGTGGACGTAGTGTCGGTAGCATGGAGATGGCTCAGGCCAGAGTTGCGGTTCGGAGGGTTCAAGGACATTGCGTTCTGAACGGGCTGCAGAAGTAGCGACTGCTCTAATCTCGATGCCGTCTTCTTCGCACGGCGTTCTGTACCCACAGCCATATGAGGCGCAATATTGTCGCAAGACCCGAATATCAGTGCACGAAACCCCGTAGTGCATTGAAGGACTGAGGATGTAAGCATGAATTGTTTAAAGTTGGACAAGGCCCCACAAGGAGAGATGGACAGCAAGCTAAACAAGAGACATACCTAGGATGTCAGGCAGGGCGACTTCTCAAACGTTGGAGCCGGCACTACGATCTTATCCGCGGGAGCAGTTGGCGGGACACTTGCTGATCTACCGTGCCATGGGATTCCTGATCTGATCAATGCTTTGTAGGTGCACTGACAACCGAGGCCAAGAGACCGTAGGGATCAAGTAGTAGGAGGCAGTGGTGAAGCAGTCGCGCATGGGCAATGACAGCTAAGGCGCTCTAGTTGTAAACGCTCTGGCTTAGCGGGGGGCACATTGTACTCTTTCCAGCAACAAGCGCCAAAAGCAAAGGCTGCATACAACGAAGAGGTGTAGGGACTGAATACAGAAATTTAGACGACGTCTGTTTGGTTGAACCAAGTGGATGATTAAAAGTGGCGAGGATATGTCTGCGCTACTACGCAACTGGATTGCTGCGTTAGGGCGCCTTTTTTTTGACCAAAGGATTTCACAGGGTTCCTCAACCCTCCTTCCTGACAAGCACAAGATCATCTTGTAGAGGCCAAGCGGCCAGGCTGCTGTTGGTGGGCCTGCATGGACCAAGTGATGTGCGGGATGGATGGGTGTGAAGGCCAACGCGTCCGAGCGTCATGACTTTGGAGGCCCGGACCCTTTTGCACTGTCGCTGTTTGGGAGGCTTTGCCTGTCATGTCTCGACGGTGTGATGCGATGACAGCCAGCGGTAGCCGTCTAGCGTCAGCGGCGGCGCGATCCACTTGGAATGCACAGCGTGGAGCGGTGGTTAAGCCAGTGTATTGACGTCTGGTCATTGGCTCAAGGGCGGTAATCTATTCTAGCCCCGACATGTGGTCCGTATGTAAGGGGCCAATACCAGGCATAATTAGCCTCATCACTTGCGTGCTCCTGGGAGAGAGAAAGGCCCAGGAAGCGTACCGGTAGTTTGAGCCAGGGTGGCGTTCAACAGTATCCGGATCTAAGATGACGAGGACGCCGACGAGGGCCTCGATGGAGACAGGGCCGAAATGCCTTTGCCTTGAAGCTGACGCAGACTGGAGACTGGTCGGCACTGGTTGCGCAAATGGGGACCTAGGACCTCATTCGCACCAAGGCAGTGACGTGACTTGCTGAGTAGCGAATTGGCCGCTTTGATGATCCCCCGACGCCTGTGGTGGTTGACGAGGTGGACGAGTGGGGATCAAGGACCACAAGGGATAACGCCGACGTGAACTGCTGGCGCCGCCATGGTATGGGCAGTCCTGCGACAAATTGGCTGCAGAAGCGCGTCCTTCTCCACAGTGTTCATTTCGCTAGCAAGGCCCTGGCAGAGGCTCGACTAGGCAATCTCCACTCGCGTCATCGTGATTGAGGACAATCAGCGTTCCCACAGTTGCGTTGCACAAGTCTGTCAAGCGTGTATGTCACTGGCCACGGTCCATTTGCGAGTACGTGATAGTCTCCAGGCGTCGGTTAATGCGCGCGCGAGGCCTGACCCGACACGCTGGCTATGGTGTTGCTGCATGACTTGCAAGTCCAATAGTCCGGGCATCAGTCCAAGACGAGCCATAGCACGTGGGAGTAGCGATCTGATACAAAATGTGCTGTCGGGCCTATTATTTGGTCTCGAATTTTCCCTCGTCGGACGCTGCCCCCGTGGAATACATGGCCCATTTCAATAAAAAACGAGCGAGCGTTTGCTTGCCAATATTCCCCGACCACGCCAGCTGTCGAGGTTTCACAACACAACACACCATGTTTCTTTGCTTTTCACCACCATCCTTCGCTGACGCAGCAAGGAGAAAAGAGTAGGTACATGCCATCCCACGTTCTCCATGTTTTCTTCTTCCGTGCGTCCGCTGTGCATGCGCCTCTGGCCTGGTCAGCATGCCGCCTGGTGCCGGTGCCGATGCCGACAGCAAGAGTTAGCTTCTTAGCTTGCTCTTCCTGAGACGACCTTGGGCACTGGACGCCTGTTTTTACCAGGTCTTCGGTAATAATCAGTGTCGGAACCTGTCGTCGTCGTCAGGTTCCGGACTTGGGTACTTGCCATCATCTGCCCACCACGTCGTCCAGCCATGCATTTTGGCTAAATGGTAGTGTATCTGAAACGTGCCGGACTTCAACCGATCGATACGGCGCCGCCACGGGCTGCGCTGGAGTCGGGGATAAAATGGTGATCAGTAGATGGTGTCTGCGCCGCAGGGCAAGCGAGAGGCGCTTCATCCGCCCGTGAACGCTCGAGCGAGGCTTGCACTTGCATCGTGCCATGGTGCCTTCCCTGTCACCGGTCTTGGCTCGCTTAGTTGCTGCTTCCAAACCCCGGCACTGAAACTTGCGCCTGCCAGTTGCGGCGTAAGCGACCCTTGCCAGATAGCAACTGCGACTCAGCACCCCAAGCCACCCGATCTCTTGCCCTCGTCGTATCTCGATCCGTTGATTGGAGGCTTCGTCCTCTCCGCCGCCGGCACTTTTACCTTGGAGATACACCATGGCATCATCATCATCATGTTGCACCCAAGCTTGCTTAGTGGGACCAACATCAAGACAGCCATCGTGTAGGTAGCTCCAGCTGACCCTTTCCGCGCCTTAATACCACACTTGATCTAGAATATGGGCCCAGCGACTATCAGCAACACCCACCGTCGGCCACCACCGACAAATACTGTACGATACACTATCCCCATGCTGCTTGTTCCAGAATGTCACCCCTGCTACTCCACGTGCTGCAACGTGTTGGAACAACTATCGACTTGCATCCTGCATATCTGGAAGAGGGTGTACGACCCTGGCTCAGCTACCTACCCCCGCATCGCTGACCTTGCGTCTTTCGCTGGCTAATACGCGCCTTGGAAGCCGTTCGTTATTGACTTAACTGCAGATACTGACAAGAGCAGGAAGGCCCGGGGCGTTCTTCACCTACCCAAGTACCCTCCGTGCATAAAACCACTAGTTCTCCAGCAACTTCATAAAATACCAAGGCGCAGGGCGAAAATGACGCGGCGGATCAACCGGATCCGAAACTCAACCATCTACCTCGCGGAGCATATACCATTTACGATGGCCGCGTTGAACTCATGACTCAATCTCTAGATATCGGTGCAACGCTCATCAATATCCAACACGGCCATATTCAGCATCGACATCTCACTGGCAATCTATCGATTCGCCTGCTCATCCTGGCCCACCACCAACATGATCGCGTAAATCCAGCAATAAGGAAGCTGGAGATTTCGACGGGCCCCACACGTCACAGGCCTTCCAGACTTCCAGATAGTACTCACATGTACTACAACACAGTAGGCTGACTACCAGATCATGGGACCCCTATTTCCTTTCTCTCATCCTCTACACCGTCTTTCCTACACTACTTTGCATGCCCATGTAGGCTCATCACCTGGAAAGAGCTAGTTCAGGCACACGTTTTTAGACCTGCATAGTAGTGCACATAGTCAGGGACATGCGTACACGAGGGAACCTGCCTGCGCAAATCTTTCCACCCCAGGTGACTGAAGTATGTTTCCGGTAAGGCTGGATTGCCGCTGGCCATCGCAGTCAACACTGAGAACCCAGTCTGTACCGACAGAGTCCTATTAGTGAAACCATGGCACGAGGATCAAAGCTTAGACACCGTGCATTGCTAGTATGGACTGAAAATTGCCCGGGCAGCCATTTCAAGTAAAGACTTGCTCTGTGGAGATGCATTAACTCGTATCCAGGGCGAGATATCAGTTGACACCTCTGATGAAGGAGCAGCTTCACGGCGCAAGCAATTCCGGTCCCATCTTGTTCCTCTCCGGCTCCTCAGCAACCCAATATCTACCCGAGAATACTTCCTTGCTGTTTGTATGGTCTCGGAAAAAATCGCGACGCAACCAGCCCGATATGGACCCCTATCCCAGATCTTTGGAGATCGACATAGTCTCGACTAGTGTCCGCTCCAGCCCTCTCAATCGATGATCAACGTGTGCGCCAGCGCACGACGTTGGGCTCACAGCTGCCAAGTCACTAGACATGACGATGATTACGTCGATATCTTCGTTTCCGACGTTTACGGACCCTGGAACGTCCGCATTCGGCCGCTCGACCATGGAAGATACGCGTACACCAATAACGAAGTATGATTCGCGGAATTGTCTCCGAACGAATCTCAGGAAAAGCCACAAACGATCACCGCATCACAGTGAGGGCCCCACAACCGTCTGCCCTACGATTAAAGTTCAGCCATCATGGACGGCGTCTGCTTTTGTTCATCGAGGTTGAGTAAGGGCATACGAGAGTCACGTCGTTAGTGTCCGTCTGTGGTCCGAATGGGCTGTCCGCCTCACGTCCGCCATGTGTAGTCAACATGGAAATCTCCGCCACAAGCTCTATCGCGAACGCAGAGGCGTCGCCTATCTACGCGGCGGCAACACTAAAGACTTCTAGGCTCCCCACAACATTCTTACGACTCGAACACGTGGTTTGCGGATAGCAGAAGCAAGGTCTACATATCGGCCCTACTATCCCCTATGACAAGCCAATACTGCATCTCTGGTGGTTTCACACGAAAAGCGAGGCGCGTGGAAAGTCCCGTGCGACTAGCCCGGACCGGCCGACATGCATTCTAGCCCGTAAAAGTCGTACGGTTGTTTGGAGGTTTGGAGGTAGCATGGGGGACTAAGCTTCGTCTTGCTCACAGGCCCAGGGGACATGGATTCCAGGGTGCAACTACTGTACCTAGAATAGCTTGATTCGGCGAAGTCGCTAGCACAAGCATCCGAGACAACCTTCCGAAGCGTCCTTACGGCAGTTGAACGGTGCTTGAACGGAGGTGGACGGAGGAAGGGAACGGGGTCGGCCACTTGATCCGATGGTGACTATTCGCCCAAATTACCGCATTCCGCACCGCTATGACAAGTGCAAGTCCCTTATATCTGCGCGCCCCTACACTGTAAACATTGGCCCCACATTGCGTTACAATTTTTTCCGTTTAGCCAGCTCACATATGAACACTTGCAGAGCAATTGCAAGTCATATACCAGTGGCTTGTCGCGCGACTCAACACCGAAATGACACCCCCAGACTATAACGTCAACGGCAATCTCCACGGCAATCAAATTCCCACGATCTCTGCCCGGCGGAATTTCTCCCGAGCGATCGTTGCAAATACCCATCGCTAAAGTAGAGGATCTTCACGCATGGGGACCCAAGTGCGGGGTGCCGCTAGCAAGCGCGCGCGCCCCTTGAGCTTGCTTCGGTAAGATAAGATCGTCGGAACCACAGCATGGGACCGTGGTACCATGAGCGGCTCTCTAATTCCGGCTGTTTTGATGATCACCCACGACCGTAGAACTGCCATGTGCGCCATCAGAGTCATGGGGGGTGGAGAGAGAGAGAGAGAGAGAGAGAGAGACGAGATGTTGTGATTACTCGGCAGCATGGGAGTGGGACTTTACCCGGTGCAAATCAGATGATTTGAGTAAGTCAATGGTGCGGTGTTTCGCGGGTGGGTACAGTAAGAGAAACAAAAACAAAGGAAAAACTTCGCCAAAACTTCGCCAAAAGCTGCGAAATGGTAAGGGGTTGAGTCGAACGACCGGGGGGGCGTTGGAGGTTGGGGGGTGGTTGCTTATGCATGGATTTGAAATCACGTTGGAAAGTGCGATACGTATCCGTATCAGCCTCACCCACCTACCCACCCCTATCCGGCGCTAACTCCATTCCGAGGAATGTTCGCATTTATCCAGAGCAGATGAGAGGGTAACCAGAAAACTATTATAATGGTCCTATTAATTCCCTTGCTCGGGCTTGGTCAGGCCTTGGTGTTTTGCGGCTGAAAGCTGAAGCAAGGTGTATGAAGAAAGGGGAGGGGATTCGCAGCTTACACTCGCTGTAGACGAAGTTCCGAATGCCGAACACGAGATCGTCCAGGGACGATGAACGTGTAGGTTCTGTAGGTGCAGTATGTACCAGTATACCAAACATGGGTGTTGGGTGCTAATTGAAGGATCGATTGAGGAAAAAAACAAAAAGAGTTGTTTAGTAAACATCGACAACATCAATATTACATATGCATACTTCTTAAACACCCCAAGCCACGTCACGTTCCGCGCACCCGCCCCAATCACATCAACCCATCACAACCCCCGCGGAAGCATGCGTGCTTTCCTTCCCTCATCACCTCACAATACCCTACCCTACATCACACACTACTACCTACCCATCTCTCTCCACCCCCCAAAATACCCTCCTGCATACGCCCTCACTCACACACGCACGCAACGCATGCATACCCAACATCCATCCCATCTCGCACCCCCTTACCGCCGCGGAGAAATAACCCGCCAGAAAGCATATGCATGTATGCGTAACGTCAACCACATCCCAGCCCCAGCCCCAGTCCCAGTCCAGCACAGCCCCCAGAAACCAAGCTGTTGCCAAACCCCTTCAGCCAGCAAATGTACGGTAACTAAGTAGGTCCCACACGCATGGGGTGGATTGTCTCAGATCTCGATGTGTGGGATCGCGATGACTGGATCTAGATGCGATCGCGATCTAGGGAAATCCACGGTTTTGGGGGGGCGGAGGAAAACATTGCCTTGTTTGGGTAAGTTATGGAAAAGGAAAAGTGGGAGCTGGGGAGGTAAGTAAGTAGGGGGAAGTATGTTTGTGGTTTTGAAGTTGTGTGTGTGTGTGTGTGTGTGTGTGGCTGAGGTGGGTAAGGGCTATTTTTTCTATTCATTGCTTTTTGTCACTTTGCCCACACGTGCATGTACACATTCATCCACACAAATCCTTCTATACCTCCTTCTACACACCACTAATGAAACTTCGCGCTCACGCCCCCATACCTCACCCCATCAACCCTCAACTCAAACACCAGCCCCGCACTCTGACACCGCATATCCAGTGTAAAATCCAAATTCTCAAACTCAACCCCCTTTGTCGTTGTCAACCTGGTAAAAAGGCTCTTAGGCACAGTGTTCAAATCCGTAGTAAGTGTGCAAACATTAATCAGTCCTTTTTGGAAAGACTCGGGCGCTACGTCTGCGTCGCAGGCGATGAGGTCGTCTTCTACGATGAGGGATTGGCCCGGGCGGAAGTTGCGTGTGTAGTGGAAGGATATGGGGCGGGATTCGGAGACTTGTGCGCCCTGTGTTGGTCGGGGTTGTTAGTATGCGGCAAGATAGGGTGTTGTTGGTGAGAGATGTGCGGGTACCTTTGCGATGTGCCATTGCATGCGGTCGGATACCATCCAGCGCTCCCAGAGGGGGCTCCAGTATCGGTCGGACATGGGATGTTTTGTGTCGTCGAAGACGGTGGCGTAGCTGGTTCCGTAGTGCCAGCGACTTCGTCTGCTGATGACCATGTTGCCTTCCAAACCTCTAAGTACCGCGCCGCGCACGACTGCCGTCCAGGCGTGGATGGGCTGGTATATCTCGACCGACTGTGACGCGCTGAGTGCTATGGCGTGCGTTGGTCTTTCGGTATATGGAGGCGGGGGTGCGCTGTTGAAGTGCGACTTCATCCGGCTGTAGAGGTAATTGCTCTGTCCAAAGCCACCTACCAACACGATACCACACACGAAGCCACCTTTTGCTCTTATGCTATACACCTGGCCTTCAACTAGATGTATGACCTCCTCAATCACCGGGTCAAACAGTGCTTTGACCTCCTCGGCGCTCATGACTAGGAATCCAGAGTCCAGCCCCGCCTCTTCGTCGTCTGGTAAACCGGGAAACGGTATATTCACCTCGCTGTGCTCCTCCTCATTGAAGTTGCGCTTCACGGATTCTTCAAAGTACTTCATGCCCATATTCCACGTCTTTGCCTTTTTCTCCCGCATCCAATTGTAGCGTTCGCTCCCTATGCGCTTCTTAACGTGGTCTTCGAAGCGGTAGTTGATAAAGGTTCAGCCACAGAGGCCACCGGTACCGACTGCTGACTCCTCGACACGAAGTGGATGTAGCTGAGTGATCCTATAGGCTATAAGGTCCACCGTGCCACCACCAGCATCGCAAACGATGATGTTGTCTCCAACCTTCAAGTGGCTCGGTTGTATGGCCTTTAGCGTATATACTGCCGCGGCTTCAGGCTCTGAAATGAGCTTCAACTCGTGTTTCTTGCCCATGCCTGCCTTTTCTGCGGCTTTCAATGTCGCATCCTTGGCCGAGTCTGACCACACAGCAGGTACTGTCAAGACAAACTCGACCTTGGTCAAGCTTATAAAGGTCTCTCCATATCTTCTAGTCAAAGTCTCCATTGTATGTTTGTATATCTGCGCGAGGTAGTCTGAGACTGCCTGCATGACCGTCTTGTCAAATTTGCGTAATTGAGCAGCGGTTTCGAGCGGCGACACGAAATGTGGTAGCTTCTGATTGCGATCAAGAAATAGCTTTATACATCGGAGACGCGTCTCCTCTGGCTTGAACTGAAAGCCCCATTTTATATTTTGCGCAGCTTTCCCAGTCGGTCCAAGCGAGGAAGATGAACCATGGGAGGAAGGGATCTCGCTGTAACCGATCTCGGTGGGTACTTTGTCCGATGTGATACCTAGGGGTATTTGTCAGTTGAGAGAGTCGTCGGGTATAAAGATCATACCATTTCCGCTTGGCCATGTTTTGATTATGTCGATGTCATCAGGGGTCGCACTATAGACAGCTGCAACACCTGTTCAAAAGTCAGCATTGCGTCATTGTACAGTATCCATTGGATAGCACCAACCACTGTAGGTAGTCCCAAAATCAACACCAACAACGAGCCTATCTTGCGTGGTGTTGGCTGGTGAAACTATGCCTACGTCCACGCTAGCATTGTTCCCTGGGTCAAATGTATACGGGATATTGCTGCCTCGGTTTGGCAATGTGCTGTTCATGATGCCGATCGATGTCTTCAAGAGACTCTAGTCGTGTTTATACGCTGACTGATGAATCGCGTAGTCGGCGCGTGGGGCAAAACGGACTGCGGGGTTGAATTGCTTCTAAATTCGACGCGAGTAATATCGAGGTGAGATTTCGCGTGGGTGTGATCTTGAGGTCATCTTCTTGTTTGCCTAGGCGCCATTGATATCTTCAGGCACCCGCGAAAAGGGCCATCTGAAGTTGAAGCCTGAATTGGCGCCCTGCCTGCGCCGCAATAGGCATTAAGCTGCAGTATCGTCCCTGGTCATACAAGCGGCAGGATTTGGTCGTATCCGATACGACCGGGTGCAATTATCTATGACATTAAGGGCTGGGGTCTTGCCAAAGAGCGTGTTGAAGTTTGTCTGATGTGAAGTTCACAACAAACCGCTCCGATGCGACCCTGAACTCGGAACGCTCGGTCCCAGCCATGACCGAACGAAAGAGCGGTGGTACGCTTGCACATCTGCCTTTGACTATCTCCTGACATCTTCAGATTCTCCACCACAACTAAATATCAGGCGCGCCGCCAGATTAACTTCGAAATCGTCCAAACCCTTAACTAGTACCGCCACCACGCCGAAAGCCACAGTAGTTGCTCCTAATGCGAGGAAAGAGGAAGTGCGCCGACGCAAGAATCCATTTAATGATATGCTAAGACACAGGGATGGAGGTGCAGTTGAAGCTTCGACGGATGCTGTACCTCCAAACAGTAGCAAGGAGCCCATGAGAGAGACTAGCGGGGTCCAACCAGAAGGACTAGCACAGAGAGTCGCGCATCTCGAGAGCGAGTTGGCAGCTGCAAAAGAAGAGCAGGGGGCATTGAGAAAAGAGCTCGAGGAGGAAAGAAGTTATAGAAAAGCTGACTTGGACATGATTGAGGAGTCGAGGCAACGACTTGCTGGAAAAGGCTTGGACGAGGGTTCGTTGCACCAGAATCACGAATCTCATTACAATCTGGTGGGGCTAGAGGAACAGCTTATATCGCGAGAACATGTGGATCATAATGATTCTGAAAAACCAAAACCACAGAGGGAAGCGGATGATCTCAGAGTGCGTCTACACACTGCAGAAAAGGAATCAAACGAAAGGCTCCAGCAGCTTTTGTCGCTCAAGTCCAGCATCTCATCACTTACTCGAATGGAATCACAAATCACGGACAATGAGCTTGCAGACTCCTTCACTCAAGTCGCGAACCGTATCAGAGAATGGACCGTCTCAAATTACAGAAGGTCGAAGCCGAGATTTGACAATATCCCTAAAGAGAGCCATGTTGCATTCGGGACGATATGTCCTCGTTACAGGACTGACATAAAAACTACCGATAAACTTACTTTTTACCAAGCCATCGTCTCAGACTCGTTGATGAAAGTACTTGATAGCCCTGTCATGTTTGGACTACCAAGCACAGGCCCGCTTGCAGCCATAGTACCGCTGGCCAAACAGGTACAAGACGCTGGTGGTGCCTACCGGGTGTAGATCCGCGCTACAGTCCAAGCTCTTGAGCGTAGTACAGTATACGTGGATATCGAAAAGGAAAAAGAGGCCGTGCTACACCGTCTCTGCGGGGAAATTTGCCATTTACTTTTCACCCTGACGTCAATCACCATCACAACAACCGCACAGTCAGCACTGAAGAGCATCCTCAAAGATGCTGTAGGTCTACAACGTACCCTCATTCTTCAACGAGCTCGATATGAGTTGCTGTTCTTCCGCAATCAAGACGAAGTAATGGAGTTTGACGATTACACAATGGAAGCTATCAACGACCCTGATCCTTCCGCGGACGAGGATAGCGATATGGACATGGATCACACACTCAAGTTTTGCGCATTCCCTGGTCTAGTCAAATACGGGGATGAGCAGGGACAATATCCTGATATGCGGAATGTCTTGCTAAAGGCGAGGGTGTGCTCTGGTGTGGGCTGAGGGGTTTGAAATCAAAGGAGATCATAACTTGATGTCTTGAGAAATACAAAGACTTCTGGAAAGACTGTAATATGGTGGAGCTACGAAAACGACTCAAGAAGGCAAATCTACGATAGAGACACGTCATTTGAATAGAAAGACAGCGGCTCAATACCATTCACCTGCTAGGCCTACCAGTCGTGACATGTGTATTCATAGATCATGGGACGGAGAAATACTACGCCATGTACAACGCAGACTTGGGTGTTTTGGATATGGTGAAGGCTGCAAGATAATGGATTGTGTACAAAAAGCTGTTGAGAGTCCTATGGTTGTCAACGTTCTCTACCCTTATCACGGTTTTCCGTGCTGCCCCGCATCAAGACACGTACACTGAGTCGTGCAAACCCGACCCTGATCTACCAACAGTTTCGGGTAGATTAATATGACGCATTCGACTACTACCGGCGTCCTCCGATGCTAGCTACATCAGATTCTAAATCGCAAACTTCGCTTGATATGTTCCTAGCTGCTAAAGGCAGGTCTTGTACTATGTATTGCACATTAGCAGGACCTCCCGCTTCTTTGTCCTCACGCGGACATGCTCCGGACCTGTCTCCATCGCTTGGCTTCTGCTTGTTGCCCGTCTGGGAAAGAGACATATCAGCGCGTAGTACCACTGGTTCGGTGCAAGTTACCAATTGCCTACGAATTGTATACACGTGGCTACGGGATCTACGGCGCTGCTGCGGCCTAGTTATGACATCACCGTCAGTAAACACGAAATACCTTTTCTCAGTCGTTAGATTGCCATATCACTACAGTCACAACTGCAAGGATCTGAATCATGTCACCTACACGCATAGCGGTATATAGTCAAAGTACTCTTGTAAACGTCACAGTCTTATCTAACTATTTCCGCTAGAAACAAAACCAGGCAATTGAGGATGTCATCGCAACGACACAGAATGAGGGCGAGCAAATTGATGCCATAGCCAAAATAAGGGGCTGGTTCCGACCAGGAGAAGATAGCATCTTCTACCCGACCATTCAAGATTGCCTCAATGAGAAGATCGACAAGAACGAAGCAGTCTCCAAGCTCTGCAGTTCCATTGACGAAAATATCAATGCCGCCAAGCTTGACGATGTAAACTTCATGGATCTTTGGTACAGCATCATTCACTCTGCAAAACGCCTCAAATTTTGCATGGGCGATCATGTCTGCAGCCACGCCAGACTACTCGACCTTCTCAAAGCCTTCAAATTCCATTCCATCCCCAACAATACGACGTACAATTACCTCTATCACGAGATGATCGACTTCACCATGGCCTGTCGTTCGGCCTATAACGACAGTCCCGTCCCCCACAACGGCTTCATCGCCGCAGAACGCTCCGCCTGGGCGAACCTAAACTTCTTCTACGCCCGCATCACGCAAGAGAAGATCCAAGATCTGTCCCTCTACGCCATCTTCGCCCTACGAACAGCCTTGGAAGAACCCCCAACCGACGACGACGACGCAGAAGCGACGCCCGCACAACAATGCGACACCGACCTGCCCGCGGCCGCAGCATGGATCCAAGGCTGCGGCGACGACCTCTTCCGCAAAGAACAAGACCTCACCCCCTCGGACCCCAAACAAGGCAACTCCGCACGCGGCGGCGCCCTCTGGACGGGTACACCGGGCTTCACCAAGGCGCGCTGGGCGCTGTGGAAAGAGCGCTTCGTGACGCTTGCGGATATGCCGGATGTGGAGGAGAGTACGCGGACGGTGGCGAGGGATGCGGTCGAGGCCATGGAGAGGAGTGAGACGTATGCGCATATGCGATGAACCGTTTACATTGTTTTGAATGTGCTGATGAAGTTTTGTGAGCAGGTTCATTTTCGCGGTGGAGATGGGGGTTGGTGGGGATATGGGGCGGGTGGGGCTGAAGGGGGGCTTGGCTGAGAGGGTGCACGAGATTAGGGAGAAGGAGAACGAAGAAGGGTTGGGGGGTTGGGGGCTGAGAGGTGAGGGAGTTGAATAGGGTGAGCTGGGTAGGATTGTGGGAGTGTATTTTGCAACGGTCCGGCGCTCTCAGTGTCAGTTTCTCACTGAATCAAAAGTGTGGTTTGTTTGTCTGCGTATGTGAGACGACTATTTCGACAGCACTTTGTTCACAAACCGCATATACGCCATCATCCAGCCACAGAACAACTATTGCACAAGATTCCCTCTCCGAATCTTCCAAGTGGATTATCTCAACCCACACATACTGGCATTACCCACGTTCCAGCCCAAAGAAAGCCGTTCTCATCCCTTTCACAAAAGCCAGTGTTTTGCATGGAACTATTGGGAAGCTACAGTAACGAAAGGTAACCTGTCTATCAAGATACACTAATGTATTGTAGAAACGCTCCTCGCCCATCAGCTTTTCTGATAATCCTATCTTTCGCCTCTATAATCTATTCCTCGCTACGAACCGAGTAGAAATCGGCCAGGAAGCTTTATCCCAAATCATACTGCGCCGGAGGCTTCTTTGCGCGCGGCAACTGTATATAAGACGTATATGTCTAGGATAAGTCGCCAAGTCTATTCACGTGGTCTGTTGGATTGCAAGACATGCGGTGGAAGACGTTCTCGAAGGTATCCTCGAACGGGGGCGAATTGATGCTAAAGCAGTAATGAAGATGTAGAGATTGAGGTATAGCGTCCGCGAGTATTGCAAGACTTAATCGTATCTTAGTAGTGTAGACGGATGTTGTTAAGAAGAATGGTAGAATCGACTGTAAGAGAAGTCAAGTTAGAAACTCTAGGTCGGAGAAACTAGAGCCATCTAAAAGTAAGAACTTGCCCAGAACCTACCTTTCTGATACTGACCATGCTAGAACGACTCGATCTCGGTGCTTTTTGGAATCTTCGGCACCGGCATATTGCGAATATCTAACAAGCTTTTCGCAACTCGTAGTTGCATCGGCTTCTTGGAATTGGACCTGGCCGTCTTTGTATCGCGCCATGCAACGAGCAAATTTTCCGGCTCTATTAGAGATGCTGTTCTAGATGCAAATCCCATTACGGAGGGTTCCGCGAGTAATATGCCCGCAACATGCTGCGTGATGAAGGAAAGCTCATATCCCGCCACGTGCGCGGCACTCTCGCTAGATCGCCGGCATCAATCTTCCGACCTCTTGTTATCGAGGCTGTACCTTCCTATTCATCTCACCCAACGCCAGCCTCTCCAAATAAATCGTCATCAACTATATGCGACGTGGTCGATAGAATTAATGTCCAGCGGGGAACAGCCTGCGGCGCGGAGCCGGCACTTCACTCGACCCAAGACACCGGTACCACCGTCTTTCGCAGCTCCGCAATGACACTGGTGCAATCCCGCAAAAATGACTCGCCTAAACATAAAAACTTACTGAAGAGTCTTAGTCAAATCGACAACAGATGCAGGTCGATAAGGCTACAGCAGCGCATTGATCGCATCGCAGATACGCCCGACGGTGTTTGTCGTCATCTAGGCCTTGGACTACATGCATGCTGCTTCATTCGTGGCAACCGCATGCTATGCTCTTCATGGTAGGCTAAAGCTCCGTAGTTAGACCGGTTTTGAGCCGTACGGTCAGGTGGTATTGTAAGAGCTAATGTCATGCCCGCTCTATCTGGGCGTTCCTTAGACTTTGCAGTCGAGGGTGTTGCTGTACAGTATGCTGCCTTTTTGCCTTTTGTGCTCTGTGGGTATCGGAGCCGAGAGGGGAAGAATCTGGCGTACATATTCATCGTCTACTTTATAAGGAAAAATCTTCTTTCTACGGGATTGCTGTTCTATTTGCACTACTTCAACTATGGATCACGAAACGAGCAAGTCGAGGTCTTGGATACCGGACTTCCTGAGGACATCGAAGAAAGATACCGACGCCCCAGATGAGCGGAGTCCCCTCCTTCCAGACTCAAATCATGAAGAGTGGTCTAGTGGCGAAACCTACGAGCTGGATGATGAAGAAGCATCGAATTTCCAACTCGTCCTGCGCGAGTTCTGGATATTGCTAAAGGGATCACTACCGGTGGTTGTGGCATACGCCCTTCAAAACTCTCTACAGACCGTATCAGTTCTCATCGTCGGACGTCTCTCGCCAGAAGCATTGGCTACAGCTGCCTTTTCATACATGTTCGCCATGGCTACTGGTTGGCTCATCGCTCTTGGTGGCACGACAGCCATCGATACACTAGCGTCCGCCAGCTTTACTGGAAGCAAAAACCGCCACGACTTGGGGACCATCCTCCAGCGCTCATTCGTCGTCCTCTCTTTATTCTACATACCCGTCGCTATCCTCTGGTTTTGCTCTGAACCACTTTTCAAAGCTCTCGGCCAGGAAGACTACATAGCGCGCGACTCGGCGAGATTCCTGTCTGTGCTGGCTCCGGGCGGTATTGGCTACATATTTTTTGAGGCGCTGAAAAAGTACATGCAAGCTCAAGGTATATCTCCAGTCTCCAAACAAGTTCCTTCACTTACACGCACAGAAATCATGCGACCTGGAACGTACGTTTTGCTCATCACTTCTCCCTTGAGCGCCGGTTTGAACTACCTCTTTGTGTATAACTTCAAAATGGGCCTTCTCGGTGCACCTCTTGCTACGGGCATCGCATACTGGGCGTCGTTCTTCTTACTCCTCGCCTATGCACGCTTTGTGAATGGGTGGCAATGCTGGGGAGGTTGGGATCGCAAGTGCCTACAAAACAGTTGGGTATTTGCACGCCTGGCTTTCCTCGGAGTCATACACGTTGGTACCGAGTGGTGGGCATTTGAGATTGTTGCGCTCGTTGCAGGCAAGCTTGGCACCATACCGCTGGCGGCGCAGAGTGTTATCATGACTACAGACCAAGTCATGAACACTATTCCCTTTGGAGTCGGCGTTGCCACCTCTTCGCGCGTCGGAAACCTCCTCGGATCGCGAGACGCAAAAGGTGCAGCGAGAGCGGCTAATACTGCGGCCGTACTGAGTATGGTTCTCGGGGCGCTCGTGTTGGCCGTCCTCATGGGAGTCAAGGACTTTTACGCCAAGATTTTCAACGACGACGTAGAAGTCATCAAGCTCACTGCAAAGGTAATGCCTTATGTTGCGCTGTTTCAGATTGCAGATGGACTCAACGGCAGCTGCGGAGGTGCTCTTAGAGGAATGGGCAGACAGCACATTGGAGCAACAGTCAACATTGTAAGCTACTATTGTGGAGCTTTGCCATTGGGTATCTGGCTTGCATTCCACGGTTGGGGACTTGGAGGCTTGTGGGTTGGACAGTGCATCGCCCTCTACCTCGTTGGGTTTGCGGAGTGGGCGATCGTTGCTTGGAGTAACTGGGATTATCAAGTCAAGAAGGCATTTGACAGGATGGATTCTGACGACAGGGCGGAGATTGGCATTTCTCCGGAGGAAGCCACGCCGATACACAGATAGCTGTTCACTCGGGACCTTTTGGCAACTCCAACGAGCATGATTACATGGACATGCGGCAAATACACATAGATAGTAGCCGAATGACGCCAATGCAAGAGATGTTGAAAAATTACCAGATACATTAAGCGAACGTTCTAGTGCGCCCGGTATCTTTAATCCCTGTTCTGCGAATGGACCTCACTCCTCATCACCTCCGCGTAGCTACGGGACTGCTGCATACCCCACGTTGGGTATACGATCAATGACGGGCTGTGGAAGATTTCAAGCTCACGACGATCTATCTGTAGTCCACGAATTCTGCCGCGTGACTTTCCCAAGTATTCACCTCACCTCACCGCTCGGCCCGCCATGTCCGACGTCAACTTGATGGATCTCGTCAACACAGCATAAGTTCCGGGACCAAGAAGATGCTTATCGAGCCAATCTGCGTGCTACATATCTTGTAACGCAAGAGTGTTACGTTGTCGAATAAGACAGGAAACTACGGCACAAGATTGACCGGAAACCTCAACTTGCATGCATGAAGGACGCATGCTTCCTACGAATCCCGACCCCGCTTGAGATAAGAAGTGATTGATGAGATGCAGTCCAAAGTGCTGAATATCGCCGTTACGGCATGATTCTATGGGGAACGCTACTGGTCGGGTGCTCGGTCCTCGATCGTGGCGCCCGTCATTGCACATGGCGGGGTTGGTAAGTCTCCACAATCGATCCCCAACGCCGTGTTGCAAGATATGTATACATCGGTGGTATAACGGGGTACTCAAACATGTCTCAAGAAAGTGGTCGTGTAGCCATCAAGGTCTTCTCTGGCCAATGTTAAAAGGGAGCGTGGTGTGCCGTGGATAGGTCGCGGTGGTTACACAGATTGCCAAAGCTGCACTCACTGGCTCAGCACGCCACGACAAGACGACTCCAACCGTTTTTTTCCAATCGGAGGCATATCGAGATCTACAGCTTCGACAAGGAGCGACTAACGCATTGGAGGCAGTTCGGTGCCATAGGTGCAGAGAGTCATCATCATGGACAGGGGTAGTTATGGGAGCTGTTTACATAACGAGGGTTTACCTAACGTGAGCTGGTCAACACACAACTGATAGAGACAGCGCGCGCGTGTGAGTTTCAAACAGTTATCTACTGCAGAGTTTCCGCATTCTTCTCAGACCATCATCTGTAACTTCTTCATTTTTCCTCACTGCAAAGCATCGTTTGTTCCTGCGAGAATGAGGTTTACTCCTGCCGTCTTGAGCTTTGCTGCGGCTGTTGCTGCACATGGCGACCATGACCATGATCAAGAGCCATTGGCTGGCCCACACCAAAGTCTTTGGTACAACACGCTTCCCGGTGATGGTGGCACACAAGTAGGCCTTCTGCATAGAATGTCCGACGCAGCAATTGACCACCATACAGGCCGACTCCATCTTCTCCGGAATCTCCACATTCGGCCGTCTCCCATACCATCCGTGTCTGTCGAGCGATGTAGACTACGACATTGCATTCATCGGTGCTCCCTTTGACACTGGTACATCATACCGTCCTGGCGCTCGCTTCGGCCCCAGTGGCATCAGACAAGGTTCTCGCCGTCTCAATTTATAGTAAGTTTCCTCTACACTTGCTTACTTTTTGTACCTCGGAAACACATGGCTCATACAAAATGTGATTTAGTGGCGGCTACAACGTCCCACTCAAGGCGAACCCGTTCAATTCGTGGGCCAAAGTAATCGACTGCGGAGACATTCCCGTTACCTCGTAAGTTATCGCTCTATACTTCCGGGGGTTGGTTTGGTATAGATACTGATATTTATAGATACGACAACGCCTACGCCCTCCAACAAATCGAACAGGGCCACAACCTCCTCCTCAGCCGTGCCCCCCACACCCACGCCAACAAGCCCGGCCCCTCCAAACACGGAAAGACACTCCCCCGCATGATCACCCTAGGAGGCGATCACACAATCACACTGCCCCTTCTCCGCTCCGTTCACCGAGAATACGGTCCCATTACCGTCATCCACTTTGACAGCCATCTGTGCGTCTCTCTCCCTCTTCCTACCTTCCTTCTAAAAAACCCCAACTAACACCAACAAAGCGACACCTGGCGTCCCAAAGTCTTCGGCGGCGCCCCCAGCGAACAAGCCAGCATAAACCACGGCACCTACTTTTTCCACGCGGCCCAAGAAGGCCTCCTCGCAAACGACACCAACATCCACGCCGGCATCCGCACGACGCTGTCAGGACCTTCAGACTACGACAACGACGGGTACTGCGGGTTTGAAATCGTCGAAGCGCGGGCAATCGACAAGATTGGCATTGATGGCATTGTGAAGAAGATTAGAGATCGCGTTGGGTTGGAGAGACCGGTGTATTTGAGTATTGATATTGATACGTTGGATCCGGCTTGTATGTCCCTTATCCAGTTCTCATGTCAACACAGACGAACTAATACACACACACAGTCGCACCTGCAACCGGCACACCTGAAACCGGTGGCTGGACCACGCGTGAACTCCGCACTATCATCCGCGGCCTCGAGGGTATCAACCTCATCGGCGCTGATATTGTAGAAGTGGCGCCGGCGTATGATACTAACGCTGAGTTGACGACTATGGCGGCGGCGGATACGTTGTATGAAGTTATGACGCTTATGGTGAAAAAGGGACCGCTTAGTTATATGGGTGCGCCTGCTAAGGAAATTGAGTTGTAGAGAATTCGGGTGGAGGGGGTGGTGCCGGTGTGTGCTGTGTAGATAGGTGATGACGATGACGACGACGACGATGTAGGTTTCTGCGAAACCGTGATATGTTGAGTAGTGACAGCTATCTCAACAACGAATTAATGAATGAGTACACAAACGATTCGCTTCGAGCCTGCTTCAAGAAACCACCCTCACATGTCGAAGTCGCGCCTCAGCACCAACAGTGTTCCAACTTCATCCACACTCAAAATACAAACCTCAACAACAGGGTATATCCATCCATCCATCCATCCCCCCATCAAGCACCCCATCTCATAAACCCAAAAACAGCATTAATCAAAACCCCCATAACAACAGCCACCTGCCTCCTGCGCGTCCAAACCCCCTCCTCCCTAAACCCCCACACCAACCCCCCCAGCGGAAAAAAGAAACCCGTCAAATACCCATACAACATATCGTCCAACCCACCCTCTTCGACCGCAAATCCCGCTCCCCAGCCCGCATCACCTTGGGCCGCGCCGCCGCCACCGGTAGCCAGCGAGGCCGACGGGTCGTTTGCAGATTCGTCGAGCCAGCGATCTTCTAGGATGCGGATTTGAGCCGGCGAAGGCATCGTGTCTGGGGTGTGTGTGAAGGAGAGGTTGGTGGTGAAGTGGGAGCGGAGGGAGGATATTTCCTGTGGGGTAAATCCCGAGGCGAGGAGGCGGTCGAAGCCTTGGGCTTGGGGGAGGGATGGTGTTGTAGCCGCCCCTGGTGGAGTATTTGTACTAGAGTTCCGTCGATCGGATGCATGATTACTTGTGGTGCTGTTTGCGGCGCGATGTGCTGAGGAAGTTGAGGACGAGGAAGTGTAATACGTTCTCAGACTCGTTTCTGTTGCTGCGGCCAAGGTGGCTTCGGACGCGAGTTCAGAGACTGATAGCGCGTCGCCGAGGGAGCAGTGGATGTAGAATTTCTTGGCTGAAGGTGGGATTTCTGCGGTTGTGCCGTATTGTATTGCGGGGGTGGAGCGGAGGGGTTGTTTGCCTTTGTTTTTGCTGGGGGTGCTGGCATCGCTGGTGTTGCTTGCGCTTCCTCCTCCTCCTCCTCCTCCTCCTCCTCCACCATCGCTACTACTCTTTGTATTACGTGGTGGTGGTGGCGGCGGTAGCTTTAGAGACCGAGATACTGGTTCTGTGTCTGCGAGGACTTTGCCTGCATAGATGAGACGGAGACGCGCAGAAGCATGTTCGGATGGGAGGTGTTGGCGTATGAGTTGCTTGAGGGAGAGCGTGGAGATGGTTCGTGGTGTGTGTATTGAAAGTGGTAGATCAGGTGCGGAGGCAGTGAAGCGAATTATTAGGTAGATGAGTTGCTCTGGGAGAGCTGGCGCGGTAGCCATGGTGTTTGGAATGGAATGTTGCGACGGCGTTTGAGGTATGAGGTGTTGGAATGCGATCTGAGAGTTTGGTAATAAATCAATGGCAATATGAGGTCATGGCGGTCGTATCATCGTTTTCATTTGTCCTGCGACGTCTATCTGCGTTGTTGGTGGTGAGGCTTGGTCTGCTGTATTGGCGGGATTGATAGCAGTATGCGACGCGGTAGATTTACCGGAGCTTACCGTAGCAGCGCTGAGGTCATTACCTCCGAAACAGCCCACCCACATATATCACCCCTCATTGACGTCTTGTCGCATAATGCTCGATTTCTCCTTACACATCTTTGATTTGGATACATATACAAAATGACGGTTGTTCACATTGTACTATTCGAGTGGAAGTCTACAGCTTCTCCTGAGCAAATCTCAGAAGTAGGCCTACTTTTGTGTAATATTCGTATGGCTAATAGTATACAGGCATGCACGCGTATGCTCGCTCTAAAGGAAGATTGTATCCATCCAACGTCCCAGAAGCCCTACATCAAATCATTCTCCGGTGGCAAGAACATCAGCCCCGAAGGCAAATCCGTGAGCCCATGGCCACAAATCCCAAGTCTATATCTATGCTGCTGACAAAGCATAGGGCAATTTCACCCACGGATTCGTCGTCGAGTTTGAGAGTGAAGAGGACCGCGACTACTATGTAATTAAGGATCCTGCCCACCTAGAATTTGTGAAACTCGCCGGTGAGGTGGCGAGTGAAGTCAATGTGTTTGACTATGAACCGGGCAAGATGTAGATGCAGCAAAAGCGAGGGAGGCTCGATAGCTACAGAGAAGGAAGTCTAAGCATATTACGTCATGTCTGTTGAGAGGTGTAACGCCAAGATGCAACGCCGGTAATGCTTCTATAGTGATGGAATCGTAAGGGTATCATGCCACGCTGAAGGACTCTCCGCATCCGCATTGCTCAGCTATTCATGTGTTAGCGATGGTTGTAATCATTGCTACGTCACCACTTACTGATGTTTGGGTTCTTGAAGATGAAGCGCTCGTTCAGCTTGTCTTCTAGCCAGTCCATTTCGCTTCCGATAATATTCAACAGCGCCTTGTTGTCAATCAGCACCTTGACGCCATCTTGCTCTACCTGCTCGTCCAAGGGGCTCGGCTTGTCCACGTATTCCAGATGGTATGCCAGCCCTGAGCAACCCTTTGCCTTTGTGCCTATCCGAATGAGCTTTGGTTCCGGGAGTTCAAGGAGTTCGCGCAGATGGGCGACAGCCGAGGGCGAAAGCTTGATGGTCGCTTTCCGGGGTCCGAAGTTGTAGCGGCGCGGTCGAAGGGGTTTACTCGGCGCTGCTGCTTGCGACTTTTGTGCTTCGCCTTCTGGTATGCTCATATTCGGTTGTTCGGCCGTCGAGGCTGTATTGCGCTCGGTTGAAGGCGGTTGTGGGGCTGTTGTTTTGGTTGCCTCGGTTGCGCCTCCTGCTATCGAAGTATCGGGTACACCAGCATTACGCGGTGGCGGTTCAGGATACAGCGATTCAGGGCGATATGCAGTTGCTGTCTGCATCTGTCGCTTTGCCGACTGTCGATATTGTATCGATGAGGCGAATGTCCTCGAGCATTGCGGGCATCTGCGGGGAGGAAGCGATGGGGAGGCGAATCGTCGGAATGCTGAGCTTGAGCGCGCGAACGCTCCGGTGGTACGAGGTAGTGACATGGTCGTAGGTCGGATATCCAAATGTGTTGCGACTCGGCGAGACAAGGAGTGTAGTGGTGAATTTCAAGGGGGACGGATGACTGATGCTGTCTGTTGTCACCAATTTCGTTGAAAGCTAGGTTATGTCATGTGCGGCAAATTCCGCCTCATGGTACAATTAGAAAGCACACCATTCGGATTGGCTAGTCATTCCGATGCTTCCGAATCGGAATTCTGCCGGTCATGGTCATCCTAGCTTCCACCTAGACTACCTCAATCTCACTTTATAGTACATCACATCTTCTAACCTTTATAACCGACTTGGGATCCTACACCATCTATTTGAGTACCCGCATCTATTCCGCTATGGATAGTCAGGTACCTTACCATCTGAGTCCCATACTCTTCATCCCAAATCTGAGCCTACCTTGACACACCATGATATTTTCAAATCATGATCTGCAACATAACGGTGACTCCGAAATGCCTCTCCAAGTGCTTATTGCACATGCACTAGATTCTCAAATTTCTAAAACGACAACAACACAGCTCGCGAGCAGTAAAGGAACAATAATCACAAGTGCAAAGTCAATGTCTTTATAGCAGAATATACTATTATCAACTCTTGCATCCCTAATAACTCTAGTATTACCCCTTCTCCCCCCATTCAAAACTCCCACCAAGCAAAAACTTTTGTTGTCCAAAAAACGCCCATTATCCATCTATTTCCCCCCTAAAAAACTGGTATATCGCACCCAAAAAGTCACTTTTGTCCTCACTTTTTTCTCCACATTCCTAAATCCCTTCCATTACATCTTTCAACCTCTTCTTCTCTTCTTCAAAAAAGGAACCCATCTCACCACCTCCTGTGTGCACCATAAGTCTGCTGGTAAGCAGCGTTAACACTCCTGTGGTGGTCCACGACCTTGGTCTTGAGCGCCTTCCACACCTTCTGGTAGTTCCTTGGCTTCTGCTCGTCTCCAGCAGCAGTGACAGAGACATGGGTCTGCACGCTCTTCCGGGGTGCCTCACCGCTGTGGCGGGGGCTGGACGTAGTGCTTGAGTTGCGGGATGTGGAAGGGGTGTGGCCGGGGCTGTAGTAGGCAGCGAAAGCAGCATTCATTTCATGGTGGTGTTGCTTGAGTGCCTTCCAGGCCTTGGAGGCGTTCGTGGAGCCGGCTTTTGTGGAGGTGACGGACGTGTTGCGGGAGGCGTTGAGGGAGGTCGAGGGAGAGGTTGTGGTTGATGAGCCGCCGTAGTAGGTGTTGTAGGCGGCGTTTAGGCTCTCGTGGTGGGCCTTTGCTCGGGCGGCCATGGAGTTGAGGTAGTTTGGCATTGTTGTGGTTGTTGTGGTGTTTGTTGTTGTAGTGTTGAGGTAGGTCGTGAATAGTAGTAGTAACAGTAGTAATAACAGTAGTAGTAATAGTAGTAGTGGTAGAGTAGTTACTTCAACTGCTTAACTGATGCTTGATGCTGAATACAAACACAACCTCACCCGTACCACCCTCTCCTTTATACAAAAAGCCCAACCCAAAGAAAAAAAGCCGCCTCCCCAGAAACTTCCCCCTATGACACCTGCCAAGCATCGTCACACGCCCTCCATCAAACCAAAACCCCATAACTCAAATTTTCAAACCCAGGCACACACACACACACACACACACACACATGACACCACATACGCACACACACGCCTTGTGCACAAACAAAGATCGTGAGATGCTCCTCCCCAACCCAGCCCTCTGATTGGCCACACGGCAGCCAAACCCACAAAGAACGCCTTTCACGGTGCGTGATGGAGCCCGTGCCCCCAGTCATCATGACACCACGGCCACGACGACGCCCTGCGGAAAGCCAGGGCGGCGCGGCTTCGGTGCGCGCGCCCGTTTCCCGTCGGCGGCTACGCAGTAAGGCGCATGTCGGTCGTCATCCGGCCCTCTGCAATGTTTTCTGCGTTTTGTTCCGTATTACCAAATGCCTGATTTTTTCCCGCAACCACACCAAGCCGTTAAATGCTAGAAGACTGCCCTTGGAGGCATGGCGCGGGGAAAACTCTGTTATTGGCCTGTGCCTTTGCCCACCGGAGTACCACCCCAACAACAACGCGCGCGCACACACCCTTTTCCGCCTTTGTACTTGCCCGTCGGATACGCTTTTGTGTTGGTTGGTTATACTGGGTACTCATAATAAACCTTTTTCCCTCGATCTAGATGTTTCCGGTTGCGTGTGAAAAGTGGATGTTTGTACGTAAAGTAGGGGATGGCTGACATTGCGCTTTTTTTCACGTGTCCGTTAACTGTTAGAGGAATGCCTTTGGAGGTTTGGTTGAGTTGTGGTGGTGAGATTGATGGTGGATGCGTTGGGCGTGGTGTGATTTACTTGACGGTGTGACCTGGCGTAAGTACCTACGTGGTCGATTCAACAGGAATTTGATGTGTGCTGGAAATAGATGCATTGAAGTTTGCATTACGGGATTCTAGGGGGTTCGTTGTGGTGCTGGAGTGTTTTGAGTAGCTGATGGATGGTTCGCGCACTTTCTTCTCAACATGTGTCGTTGTCATTCATTGAGCAGGAAAAAAAGAGCTGCAGATTTCTCTGGAAAGTATGCGATTGTTTTCCGAAAAACGGCATGTGACATTGGAAGTATCTTTCGGCGATGCGGTGCTGACTTTGCGAATCTTTCATGAGTGGCGTGATGGGTGGCGAGTATCCTTCCGACCTTACCACACCGTTCACGAGACTCACCATAGCTGCTTTTACCATGAGGACTCAATGTTTTCACATTAAATGATCTTGAACAACAAGGCACCTAGGTGTCATAAAATACTTGACAGTGTGGGTAAGCCCCAATAGGCGTGTCTGGCGACTACAGTGGCCCTTTTACACTAGTTGTCGAGTAGTTTATGACACCTGGGTGGTAGGTATCTTTGTAAATCTTCAAGGATACTTGAAAACGCTCGCCATGTTGTGTACACAAAGAGGGCGACGGGTCATTGAATTCGTTTCTAATATTTCTAGGCCAGGACTACCAGCTAATGTTCTCAACGCCTTCCGGCGCATCGACAAAATCTACGACATCATCGAGCAATTGCGGATTCAGATGACACTTCATATCCGGAGAACAATGCCAATACCACACCACATCAACAATATCACACTCCCCAGCCAGCCATCCGGCACGGTCCCATAACTCCGTATCCCACCCGCGGAAACCGGAGTCGCAGTCGGATACACATAAACATCGCCTGTCGATTGTCTAGGGGCGCCACATCCAGTTTTCAGCGCACCAGAACCCCTTTTCAATGTGACAACCGTGGTAACAGGTTCCAGAGATTGTGTAGTGCTCTGGATGAGTACTGCCGTTCCGCTATGCTCCAAGCTTAGGGTTGTACCGTTGATGGTAACTGGCGTCCCGCCGGGAATGAGCGTGGTCCCTGGGCCCATTACAATGTAGCCCGCGTGATTGGCTGTGTAGACTTTGTTGTTGTAGTTCAAGGCAGCCGGTACTACTTTTGTGTAGATGGAACCGGATACTGTGCTGATGTTTGATGTTTGGCCATTCACAACGAGCGCTGTGGCAGAAGGGACCATGCCAACTTCGGTCCCACCTGTCGAAGTCGGAATCCCGATAGGAGTATCATCGACGATGATAGTCTCACCAGGTGTCAAGGTGCAAGAGTCACCCATGGCGAAATTTGAACTATCTGGATCTGAATCGATAGCAATGCTAGTCGAACTAGCTGATGGAGATGCTCCTGCAGGAATTGTTGTAACCGCCTGCGGAGAAACGGGCTCAACTGTAGAGCTCGTCGCCACCCTAGTTGATTGATCGAGCCATCCTGCTGCAGTTATCAGGATAACTGGAGAGCATCCAGAACATGGCCTAGTAGCGGTAAAGTCCGGCTCCGAGATCTCATGATGACCGTAGGGATCTCCAACCTGCGTTGGAAGTGGTAGTATTGGTCGCAGACCGTGATGTGTCGGACTCATTGACGACGTGCTTGTAGCATTTCCTTGAGACGTGATTGCCACGGGTGCTGCATCCGTCGACGCTGGATGAGTGGGACTGAGTCCCGGATCGAAACCTGGTGCGGGCGCGACCAAAACAGACCCACGCGGGGCAAGCGGTAAAGATATAAACCTCAGTCGCTCAAGCGACTTTTTGAGACCAAATCCAACAAATTGTAAAAGTGCCGGCCCCAGAGAGGGCGAAGTTGATTCTTTGGTTTCAAAAGGATGTGGCGGTGACGAAATGCTCGCAGCCGCTCCAATGCTGAAACCTGGTGGACATGGTACATCAGTCTTCGCCCACACGTTGAATCACACCACTTACGCGATTCTGAAGTCAGAAGACAAAGTCCTCCAGATGCCGTCTTTAGTCCATAGTCGGATGTCACTGTAGTCTTAGGGTCAGCGCAAATGGTCTTGGCGAATCATGAACCACCCGGCCCGTCGCATACCCGCTTGAGGTATGGCAGAAGCAACCTCTATCCGTATCGCACATGAGCACAGACTGTGACATGATGAAGGCAGTTCTACCCGCCGATGAACATCAGAACATACATTGGACATGATCAAGACAGGGCAACCACATTAAAACATCTTGACGTAGGCGATGAAGGAAAGAAGAAACAAGTGCGCATTCTTACAAGACTCCAGGCGAAAAGCCTACTCAAAGTACTGGATTAGGCGTTTGAATTGATGGTAACAAGTGATTACTCCAAGTTCTCCGCTTTCCTCCCAACCCGACAAGACAAGCCACTGACGGAGAAGAGGCGAGGAGAATGGTACGCTACATCTACTTAGATTGCTGTTGATTGAAACATGATAGATCCTGGGGTCACGATGGTGCCGATTGGAATTGCCCGGAGTGTGGAGTTTGGCTTTACCCGGACCGGGTTTCTGCATGATACGCCAGCTGAGTGTTAGCGCGCGCTGGTGTCCACTGGCGTCTTAGCGAGTCTGGAACCCCGTATGATACCCGGTCCGACGTGTTGCATAGCTGAATAGCTGACTGCGATGAAGGAGCGAATCGTGATTGCGCAAGTTTCCGATGGAAGTTTGAGAAAGTCATGCTGACGGACCGTGTCGGAAAGGTTTGCGAAAATGCCATGTTTCTGTCTCGGTGCGATGATGCCCGAAGGGACTTTTGCCTGTGTTACTTCTGCCAACTATACCATGGATGAGTCGGTGTTGAGTGCGCATACGTGGCGCAAGCCCACTATTAGCCCCAGTGCTTTTTGTGCGAATGTCACTCCAATCATAAAATGTTGAGTCATTGAGATGGAGCGCCATGAAGAAGATACTTGGGTAGAGTTGCATGGCGATGCGCCTCTGACAGCGCTCGTATGTAGGTAGGACATGTTCTGAAGTGCTCTTAGCGTTTATAGCATTCAGCCGAGAGAATTTATCCATTAATTCATCAAACACATGTGGTGATGGATATGTAAAGGGTGTTTGCCAGACTTGTCCATTGCTGCGGCTCGGAGAGTTCCGAGGATCTCGTGCCGGAACGACGGCAATCCGAGATGCAATCGTCTATCGTTTTCGTAGCTAGATGAAATCGTTCTCGCGCATCTAGTTGTGTTGATGCGAGCGGCCTGAGTCTTTGTGAGCCATCACACAAGGCCGTGTCTTGGTCCGCCCTACGAAAGGACCATGAGATCAACGTACTCATACTCTCTTGAACAAGCAGCAGCAATGAGGTGAAGTCACGTAGTTCTGCTATAACCCGAACTGGATATGGCTAGTGGCGTCTTAATGCAGTAGTGATATTGGTGTCGCCTCTGATATCTGCCGGTTCAGTGTGACCTCTTGCGACGGGGAAGTGACATTAGCGTAGTGGATGCGGGCGACGGAAGCTGCAACTTGCAGCAATGTACAGCCAAACCTACCAAGGAAAATCGAGTCACTGTCCTATCTGCTAGGGAGATACTCAAGTATGATGCTCAGTCATATGTGAGTGGAGCTGATCAGGACCTTGGCCCATCACACAGCTCAGATCACAGTTGCAGCTGGTGCGATGGTGTTGTCGCAAGGAAATATTATCCTCAAATCGAGCGTACCAGCCTGAGAAATGTTGCGACTGATCCACGAACAAACTGCGACCAAAGAACAGGAATTGGAAAGGGAGATTGTGACCACTGTGGCTGGTGTGGCTAATGCTGCTAGTGTGGCTGGAATAACTAGGGCGGTCCGCTCGCTTAGCAGCTAGCGCACCTTTCCATCAACAGTCGAAAATCAGTCTTGAATTTCATCTTCCTGACAAGCGCCAACTAACCCCACGACAACACAGATTGCACCAGAAGACCCGACACAGGTACGCTTTACAGAACGCCTTTTACTCGAATGACCGAAGCCGTTGAGCATTGCGACACCGAAATCGCCCCCGAATTGTTCCCCGCCATGTTTACGCCGATTGCATGTATGGTCGCACGCGAGTGCTCGATACATTTACATCTATAGCGGGCTATGCAGGGCGAAGAATATGGGGGCGATTCGAGCGATGCTGCGGCTTCAGAAATGATAATGGAGAGCAAAGGCTAATTTGATTGTGGACAGCAGTCTTCTGAACAACCGCAATCATGGGGTATCTATCTAGCCTTCTCCCACAACCATTCTACATCCACTAACACTTTGCAGTATCTCACGAGACTCTCGTCACAAGCGTTCCGCGTCCGGTGCGAAGCGCGCATACTACCGCAAGAAGAGGTATGCATAACCCGATCGCTTCTCTAGTCATGTCTAACATGGCTTCAGGGCTTTCGAGAAGGGCCGCCAGCCTGCCAATACCCGTATTGGCACTAAGCGTGTCCATCTTGTCCGCACCCGTGGCGGCAACCGCAAGTTCCGTGCTCTTCGTCTCGAAGCCGGCAACTTTTCCTGGGGATCAGAGGGCATCGCTAAGAAGACCCGTGTCATCGGTGTCGTCTACCACCCTTCCAACAACGAGCTCGTCCGTACCAACACCCTGACCCGCTCCGCTATCGTCCAGATCGATGCCGCTCCTTTCCGACAATGGTACGAGGCCCACTACGGCTCTTCGCTCGGCCGCAGGAGGCAAGCCAAGGCCGGCGAGAAGGAGGAGGACAAGAAGAAGTCAAACTCAGTCACCAAGAAGCAGTCTGAGCGCTTGAAGACTGGCGGCAAGATTGAGAATGCTGTCGAGAAGCAGTTCGAGGCCGGTCGTCTGTACGCCGCCGTGTCCTCCCGTCCCGGCCAGAGCGGTCGCTGCGACGGTTACGTGCTCGAGGGCGAGGAGCTTGCTTTCTACCAGCGCCTCCTCAGGAAGTAAAGGGTGATATTTGGGGCTTCTTCGGTGCATTGGTCAGGTCAAAATGGGTGTTTAGTCATGTATCTGGTCTGCAGAATCGCGCGACACTGAATGCACTCGGCATGATAACGCCACTTCTCTAGATACCACGAGACTATGAATCATGGGTTTCAATGTTATGTGATGTGCCTGTGTTTGTCTTTGTGTACTTTGTATGGTGTCGTTGCTTGTTGAATTTTCCAAGGCTAGGCTTCCCTTGTCCATTAACACTGCACGTGACCGTCATTGTTACTCACATACATGTAGTATCATCAAGTCAAAACAAGTCTATCCATTCTTATACCCTACACTACCAAGACAGAAACCCCTCTCGACCCTAACCCCACCCCTCATGTACCAAAAACTCAAAGCTCAAAGCTTACATACCGTGACCCTCCCTCCGACTTTCACATGCCAACCCCTCTTTCTCCTGCCTCACAAACCAAACACCCGAACCACCCATCTCATCTCATCTCATGACAATGACGACAACGGTACCACAGTATCGGATCCTGTACATCGCTCGCACGCACGCGCTACCTCGGCCCAATAGATTTTTAAAGTTTCGCAGCCGGAATGGGTGGAATGACCTACAAGGGGAGAGAAAGAGAAGAACGGTTAGCTTACGATCACATGCTTTTTTTGTTCGAGGTTGTGAGGAGGAGAATGATGCGAGAGTGTGTATTTTAGTTTGTTTGTAGGCGATGAATTGAGCTTACAAGCTGTGATGATGAATGAACTGTGATTGGTATACAAAATATGTTTCCAACCATCACCGACGACGGCCACAAGCAGAAAGACGATGATGATGATGATGGTGAAGGAAAGGAATTACAACTTCGACGCCCCCTTGGCTGGACCTACATTTGTGATTTCATTGTATAGCAGACTATTCCCACATGTTAGCACAACACTCTCCTCAACATCATGGATGCGAAAACTTACGAAGTCAAAAACTCTGCATAATCCTCACCCGTAACCTGTCCTTCAAAGTACTTGGCCGCGAGATGAAACTTATTCCCCTTGGGCGCCTTCTCACTCAACGCCTTGGCCTGTTCATGAAGCAGCTTGAGCGCATAATCCTTGGTAACCCTCTTTCCCTCAGCAGTCTTGACGTTATGTCTAGCCCACTGCCAAAGCTGGCTCCTTGACACTTCGGCCGTGGCCGCGTCTTCCATGAGGTAGTTGATGGGGACGCAGCCGACGCCACGGACCCAGGCTTCCATGTAGGCGAGGCCGATGTCGAGGTTCTTGCGGATACCTGCTTCGGTGATTTGACCGGGGACGTTCATGTTGAGCAGGTCGTTGGCGGTAATGTGCACGTCTTCGCGGCGGACGTGCATTTGGTTGGGCGTAGGCATGTGCTCGTTGAAGATTTCGCTTGCGATGGCTGCGAGGGCTGGGTGGGCGACCCATGTGCCGTCGTGGCCGGCGCGGGCCTCGCGGAGCTTGTCAGAGCGGACTTTTGCCATGGCAGCATCGTTTGCTTGGGCGTCGTTCTTGATGGGGATTTGTGCTGCCATGCCGCCCATGGCGTGGACGCCGCGCTTGTGGCATGTCTTGATGAGGAGCTTGACGTAGGCGTCCATGAAGGGCGAGGTCATGGTGACGGAGTCGCGGTCGGGCAGGACGAAGTTCGGGTTCTGGCGGAAACGCTTGATGGTGCTGAAGATGTAGTCCCAGCGACCGCAGTTCAGACCAGCAGAGTGGTCGCGGAGCTCGTAGATGATCTGTAGACATGTTAGTGTGTATGTTGTCATGTTACAAGGTTGTTACATACCTCATCCATCTCAAATGCGGCTGTGATGGTCTCAATCAAGACAGTAGCACGGATAGTTCCACGCCTCATGCCAATGTAATCCTGAGCCAAGTTGAACGCATCGTTCCACATCCTCGCCTCGAGATGCGACTCCATCTTGGGCAGGTAGAAGTATGGCCCGGTTCCACGCTTGACAAGCTCATGTGCGTTGTGGAAGAAGTACAGTCCAAAGTCGAAGAGACTGCCAGACATGGGCTCGCCGTCGACGGTGAAGTGCTTCTCCTCGAGGTGCCATCCTCGGGCGCGGGCAATGAGGGTGGGAAGTGTTCGGTCGGTGCGTAGCTTGTACTCCTTCTCGCCTTGCTTGAAGTCGACTTGCCTACGGATGGCATCGTACAGGTTCACTTGGCCATTGATCATATTGTCCCATGTCGGCGCAGACGAATCTAGACAAAATCAGCACTCTATATTCTCACATAATGAATATCATTTACCTTCGAAATCGGCCATGTATGTCCAGACGTTCGAGTTCAGGGCATTGACAACCATCTTGCGATCAGTCGGGCCTGTAATCTCGACACGCCTGTCGACGAGACCTGGCGCTGGTGGTGCGCCCTTCCACGTATCATTCTCACGAATGTGCTTGGTCTCTGGGAGGAAGTCGAGAAGGTTTCCCTTGTCGAGCTCAGCCTGGCGGATTACCCGTCGCTGTAGAAGCGCTTTCCGGCGCTCGTTGAATGTGCGGTGGAGGAGGGCAAGGAAGACACAGGCGTCCTTGCTGAGGATGTGACGGTTCTGGTCGTTGAGTTCGCCGAGGATGTTGACCTCGCGCAGAATACTGTCAGGGTTGGCTGCCATTGTGAAGTTTGTATTTGTAGTTGTGTGATATGGGTTCAAGACAAGGGAGAGAGTGATGCAATCGAATATATGGCGTGCGGAGTTGGGAATCGGGCGGCAGGTAGATAGTATTTATCATACACTGGTTACACATCTTGACGTCTGTACCGAGGATCATCTTTGTCGGTACCGACTGATGCAGGCTAGTCGGGCTGCTGTGAATGGTGAGCTAGAGGCCCAGGTTCGGCGACAAGGAGCTTGTGACGATGCCAAGCCCCGGGCGCGAACGCGGGGATAACTACCATGGGGCACCACTAACTCAGTTCCATCGGCACTACACCCCTGGATAAGAGTGGATTGCGAGACAATTGCCAGGCATAATTTGTTGCGCTACTTTGCTATCCCAGTGATTTGCAGCTGATTGCGTGGATGGCGCAGGCTGTTGACGGAGGAGCCCGGAAAATGACGGAAGTGATGCAAGTGGGTAAGCACCTAATTGGCGTGTCTGGCGACGACAGTGACTACTTGAGCCTGCAGTGACCTTTGTACATCAGCATGTCAAACATTTCATGTCAAGCATTTGTCAACCGGATGGACCAAGATCAAAGAATACGATTGCGATTTCTACTATCTAGGGAAAGGTATTAGGGATGTACTCGCATCATCAGATGGAAACCTTGTGAGGAATAATCTCGACCGTCTTCAGATTCAGCCGCCATCCACAAGTACGGTCATGTCCATGATTGCAACCGTTCGTCTTCAGATCAAACCTACCCCCGGCCTCGTACTTCTGCGGCTTCACGCCCTCGTTGAATTTACTCACTACATGCGTGAAGTTCAGGTAGATGTCGTCATACGAGAGTGCGGGTGGTGAGTAGGGGATAAATCCAGCCAGGGTGATTGCCATAGTCCAGTATCCGTCTTTGACGGGCTCGCAGGCCCAGGCGCGGTTATAGAAAAATGTATCTTCGACCGTGTCGATCTTGGCTTCACACTTCTAGAGGTTTGTTAGTGGGATAGAGGGCGGTGAAGGGAGGTGTGGGAGCGTACGACTGAATGCTTTCTAGCCTTCGAGGTGACACTGCGTCCATTGCCCCCAATACCGAGGTCATAACTGTTGGGATCCTTTATTTCTGCCTTGATAACAGACCAGGGGGCGCGTCCAGGATCGTCCGAAGGTTCTTCGGTTATGACCTCGGTGACTAGCCAGTTGCGGAGTTGACTGCCACCTGTGGCTGTAGCGTTCTTGGTCGCATCGGCGGATTGTATGGAGACTGGAGAAAGCGGTGCGAGGACGTCGATGACCTGAATGTCTGATTCAGCGGCCCGGAAAGCACCCTCGGAGGTGATGGCAGATGCGTTGGTATGGGATGGGAGAGCAGATGCGGCGGTATGGGATGTAAAGGCCAACACGGCAGTGAAGAGGACAGTGGAGAACTGCATGTTGTCGTTGAGGAATATGGTTTGTGAAAGAAGCACCAATGTTGATGTTGATGTTGATGGTAATGGTGATGAAGAAGAGAGACAGTCCTGGGTTCTGAGGAGCTATTAAATACCTCCCAGGCTCCGTCGTCATCGCACACGGCCCTTATCGGGAGAAGAAAGAGACACTTGCTGCTTGCCATACCTGCTCGCCCCCGCCTGCGTTGGTGGCATGTTTGGGAAGTGACGATGACGGTTGCGCGGGGCTAGACTCCAGTGCCGCCTGCGCTTTGTGATTTTGGAGAAAGAAGAGGAAGGCATGCTACGATGCAGTGACACGGCGACCTTTTTCTCACCTGATATGAGGCGGAGGGGCCGATGCATTCACGAGATTTGGAAGTGAGGTTCGATGGGCGTGGCAGGTACGGACGTGTTGTTGCATGTTAGGTGCGTAAGTCGCTGGAACCTTCTGGTGGGTTTCGTCCTTGCATTCGTAGACCATGCAAGTCAGCGTTCGATGCAGCAGCAATGGAGGAGGGCTGTCGTGGAAATGAAGCGGTGAATTCTCTTAAAGAGTAAATCGATGAATGCTGCACAGAGAGTCCAGTGAAAATGCTGAGACAACAATGCTATGCACGTCTTCTTTTGCTGAGTTGTAGACACAACTTATCACCAACGCATCCATCTTCTCTCACTGTCTTCCTTGTCACTGGTGTCTCACCATCTCGACCTCAATACCTCCCCCGTCTTGTTCTCAACAACTCATCATATTGTTCTTGTAGCTGCTGTCTCACGACTCTCGGATCTCTCATCTCCCAATTACCAACAATCAGAGGTTGAAGTGTGCCCAGCTGGACGTTCGTGTTCTCAGCGTCTGATTCACCTGTCAGCTTGATCTAGCTTAGTGCTGCAAGGAATGACGTACTAGGCTGCATGCGCCTCCTCCGCCATTGGAAGGGTCTGCGCAGCCACTCGCGTAGCTTGCACGATGAAACCAGGATAGTGGTCAATGCGATTAAAGCCGTAAAAGCCGTGAGAAGTACGCCGACGAGGGTCAAGATGTCTTGTTTGGACCAGTACTGGTGGGTAGCACTAGATGGGACTAGTGCTGCACTACTTTGTACTCTTCCGACGTGCGAGTGAATAGAAAGTGCCGATGCGTGTGAGAAGAATTGTATAGACAGAAGAGATGTCAAGACCAAGTATAACATGGTTTGCATGGTCACGTTCGATATCTTGGTATACAGCTATGTAAACTGTGACTTCTGGTTGAAAGATTCACTGTTAGAACGGGAATCCCCTAGACCATGTAGGTTGGTGTTTTCAGCCTCATCTGAAAGGAAGGACGATTGCGAGCAGGCAACGAGGCAACCGCCAAGCTCATGCGGGTGGCCTTAGGTGGCGTGGGTAGGTATAAGCCACAACCAATTCAACCCTATCAAACCCGTCACTTTCAGCCAGACATCCAGTTACTCGGAAATGACACTAACAAGTGCGCTGTTCAAGTTTCCTGCCTATCCGTCATTGGGCTGCACCTCGACAAGCGAGCACGAAGCACCGGATTTCTGCAGACACGGCCATCTTCCGGAAGTGTAAGACGAGTACTGACGATACTTAGGTGCCATGATAATCAGGTCCGGTACAACGCGAGACCTCCCAAGTAAACAATCATCGAAGAAATTATCATCGACCAGCATGTCGAGAAGGAAGATAAAGTAAGAGGCAGGCGCGATTAACGGCCCCGGCAGCGCTGGAGACTAGGCTGTAAGGCTTAAACGTCGACGTTGTCGATGGGGCGGAGCGGTTTGCAGGGGTATGAAGTAAGAATGAGCGTTCATTGTAGTTATGTCTTGATCATTCTCACCGCTTTTCTCTATCTCTTCGTCTCCTTTCCTGACTTGTTTTGGGTCCTCCATCTTCATCCACGTATGTGTCCTGTTTTCATACGGCGTTCATCCGAAAACGTATCCAGCACAAGCTACTGTTGCCAGAAAAGCTGCCGATAGCTCAGAAGCCGTTGACAGCTTGAACCAAGACTATTACTCAACCGTAACTACATCTTCACTCTCCCCCACCATTCCTACCCCCAGAATCCACACATCTCATATGCCCCTCATCCCTATCCTCCTCCCTATCCACATCCTCAAAAGCCAACATCGCCGTCGTAAGTATATCCTCCGTATCACCAACATGTGGCAGCGAATGCGAAGGAGGGATCAAAGCGGAATTCGACGTGGCACTATCATCCACCACATACGGAGGCACAATACTAATCATCCTGATGACTTTGGTAGGAAACCCACGCGCACCATCACGATCGCCTTTTCGGAGACCCAGTGTCTGTTCTCCTTGTCAGCTCGGCGTTGCTCCTCGCTCGGGAAAAAGAGGGGGGATAAACGTACGGTATAAGTCGCCATGAAGGCATCATCGCACAACTCCATATAACTCACTGGCTGCGGCTCTCCTGCACACGACGTACGCGTCGCAAACGAAGTCGGCTTGCTCTGATCTCCATCCGTAACGATGACACGATTGTCCCCGTCCAGCGCGATGATGAACATAGTTTCCCCAGCCTCGAACATGACACGATGGTTCTTGACCGCCAGCCAGCCTCCCAGACTGAGAGAGGAACCGCGTCTTTTAGATTCGAGGAGTTGACCATGGCTAGCCAGATTCTCAGCACCGCTCTCGAGCGCCGTGCGAATGTTCTGGCAGATGAAAATGCAGCCGCTGCCCGAGTAGCCGACGAACATGTCACTGCCGCGATCCAGCATGCCGGCACCCCAGAGGTCATCGTAAGTGTCTGTTTCATAAGCCGGACCAGTGTTTACTCTCACCGGCGACAACCGATGCTCACGCGGTGCCATGGGGGGATACAGAGGCCGTGTCATGCACTGATAAATGGCAAACACTTCCAGCCTGCCAAACGTATCGTGAAGCGTAGGAGATTCAACGGCGTGATACTTTTCCGTACAACGCCAGGGTTCCAGTCTACCCAAGCAAACCCCAGTCTTCTTGTCGTATGCATGATAGCCCTGCCAGCCCATTGAGAAGACGACCATGTCTTCGTTCTGGTCTAGATGGCCTATTGCGCCTTTTTCAATCTCCAGCCGCGTGACACTTGGTGGCGCTTGCGATAGGTCATACACGAACCCCAAGCCGTCTGCTGAGACGGCACAAAGTGTGTTGTAGGAGAGCTGGAACCCGCGTATCTGACAACCAGGGTCGAGAGTAGTGACACGGCGGAATTCTCCTCTCGCCGTGTTTCCCACATCTGCACGCCATAGTTCAATCACATCGCCTTTGTTGAACGCAGCTGTTCCATCGTCATATTCAAGATGCGCATGCGGCTCGACACTGTCGTCTTCGGATGTGAGAAGCGACGACGGGAGTTCCCAGAGAAGATGACCCGTATCCATATCAGACACATGCAAGCCACCGTCATGTGAAGTCGAGATGATCAAACGGCGCTTAAAGTCCGTTTTGAACCGCCATACAGCAGAGTTCTTGACCTGTAGGACGGACTGGCGGGTAAGCGGCCGGGGCCTCGCCCACGCTTTCTTGATCATCTGTTGTCGCTCACATAGTTGTTTCCACGAAGAGACTCCGTCGAATAGCTTGGAGAAGCTTGCAGCACGGGCGCACAACGCATTGGCGCGGGCTTTGGTAGGTAGTTGGGAGATTTGGCGTGGCTGTGATGTCTTGGATGGAGAGGAGTAGATGGTGTCTGTATGCTCGTTGTCAATGAAGTGGTACCAGGCACGCGATGTAGCAAGAAGGGAGGCCAGATCTGAGATGGGCGTGTATTCGAGGACGCGAAGGACGAGCTCTGGGGGAAGGACCGTGAGCGGGTTAATGGAGTGAGAGGACGTCATTATCCCCGGGGTGTGTATCTTTTGGCTTTTCATGTGACTGCGTTTGTACCTCTATGAGATGGCATGGGGTTGGAGTGAGGAGATTGTTGCTTCAACCTGCACGGGTTACGTCATGTTCGATAAAAGCGGGGCGGACCCCCATGGTCTACCGAACTTGCACACCTAGAATGATCATTGAACTAGAAGAGACAAGGAGTGTGTATGTGTGTCTCTATCTGTGATTGTGGAGGAGTTGACTGACTCGAGACGGCCTAGCGCTGATCTCGCAGATATTAACCTAGCAATCCCATCTGCCATCGATCGCCTAATAGCACACCAACCTCATGACTGTACACCCCCTACCGAAGATACGATAAGCCAACACATCTATATCTACACCATCCGGTCACACATCTTGTGAGCACAAGCACCCACCAGCATCCGCCAAGTCTACACCAGCGATTACCCCAGTCTTCGGTTAGACAGGTGCTAGCAGCCGCTACTCAGCTCACTATGGTCTAAAGAGGCATCTCTACATGTCAGGTCGATTTAGCTCCCTGTCAGTTCGATGCTTACAGTTACATCACTTGTGTACAAGAAAGTGACAATGATGGACGGTCTTCGTAACCCACTACGCCTAACCCCCTTATCCTTCTCCCTTCCCCACTGACAAACATCCTCACAACTCCTCAGATTACCCTAACTAGGTGTTCTACCACCCAAAGCTTGAATCCCAGGTGCTGGTGCCGATTGGGCAGGCAGGGTATGCTAGTCTAGTGTCCTTTGTTGAGAAAATGTTGCCGGTGAGGGTGAGTTTGATCTGGCGGTGGAGAGGCTAGAGAGGGAGTGTGGGATGTAGATAGAACTTGTCACGTGGGCGTTGTCGGGTGTGAGATATTGTTACATGTATTCCGCGTCCCTTGGTTTGGAGGGTTGGTTTTGGAGCCATGGTCGAGACGGTGCCATTGCCAGACAGAGTATGCATGTGAACTAGTTCTGCTGTGGTCTGGCTATGGGATGGAATAGGAACGTGTATTCCTGGACTAGCTTCGAATGCATATGAACCTTGGTTTGAACACCACCGGCATTGGTTCCAGATCTTCATTCCAATATTGAAGAGAAAGTATGATTAAAATGTTTGGTCGAGCTCCGCCAGACCAGATAAGCGATGGATTCTCAGTTGTTACAATATTTACTGGTTTCAACAACTGCGCGCGCGGTAATATCGACTAACGGATATAAGTGCAGGACATGGTACTAGATGGATAGCAGACTAGCATCCCTACGACCATGTCCTGTCCACAAGTCCAGACCGGATGCACGAGGGCCGAAAAGGCTATATTGCTTTTGTGAGAACCGCACCAATGGAGAGGAGAAGATGGCTTGGCGGTGCCAAATTGCATTGTTGCGAGCCTGAACTGAAGCCAGTTGCTCTGAATGCGCAGGAGAGAGCACACACGCATCCTTTCTACCTGCTGAAGAAAGCGACCACAACGCCAAGTGTATAAGTAGACAAGATAATATGCCACATGTCTATAAGTTGTTCCCCGCAAGAGCTTTTTGAAAATCCCGTTATTGATGCAGTATTAGATGAAGGAGTAAGAGAAAGAACCATGTTCAGGTGCAGTGCGTGCGACTTGTTGCGCATGTGCAGAAACACCACGGCGCGTCTTCTATGAGCGGTGCATGGTACACCGGTCGAGGGCATCGAGCAGTTCCGGCCGTTCCGCTAGAGCCTGTCGCGCCTGCGTGTAACTGAACCAATTCCGATTCCGCTTGTGCTGTTCAGGCCATTGCGCCTCCTGCTTTTCGACGGTCGCTTCGAAGAAATGGTACGAAGCCTTTGGGGCCTGCGAGGTGAGCTGGTCGGGCCGCCGCTTCTCGGGGATGAGGCCGAGGTCGTAGTTGATCTTGCATATTATGCCAGCCTCTTCCCAGGCCTCGCGTTTGGCGGCTTCCTGGGCGGTCGCCTCGTCCGTCTCCCACCCGCCCTTGGGAAGGACCCAGCCACTCCGCTTGGTGGACTGGATGAGAAGTACGTAGTACTTGTCGGCGGAAAGCGGGACAACGCCGGCGACTAGGCGCTCTCCTTGGGAGCCATACCCTGCCGCCAATCAGCAGAGCGTCAAAGGAAGGGGCGACGATGGAAATGGAAAAAAGGGAAGGAGCGCTGGATGCGGGGGGTCTCGTGAGCAAACTTACGCTGATTCACACGACCAGTGCGAGACTGCATCGACAACTGCTGGGTAGCGGCCATGGCCGTGGTTGGGGTGCAGGGAAGAGCGAAGGCAAGAGAGACAAAGAAGTGGCGCGTGAAAGTGGCTCGCTCGACGCGACGGCAGAACAAGACAGCACTAGGGGAGCTCTGGGACCGACGACGAGAAGTTTGGCAGGCGGTGGAATGAAGCCGAGCAAACAGCGAGCGTGGTGCTTGACGATGGGGGGGGGGGGGGGTTACAGAGGAAGGGTTATGGGGAGCAAGTGTGTGTGTATAAAAAGGGTGGTAGGGGCTTCAGTGCTAAAGGGCTGAGCGAGGCTCAGTCCCGTGGGTGACGGGGCTGAGGATGTTGGAGGAGCCTGCGAGCAGCAAAGAAGTCCGGCATGGTGGATGGATGTTTTAGTAGGTTGGTTCGGGTCAGGGACTTTTTACGTGGGAAACTAAGGGCTCGCGGAGCGTCAGGCCTGGTGCCAAGGCCGGCCTGCAAGAGGAGCTTTGTCCGGGGGCCCTGCCAGCGGGTGCACAAAACTGCTGCTGCAATTAAAACTCACGGCCGCAGCTGTCTGCGACGTGAGCATCCTTCAGCGCCCACGGTCGCCACTGTTGCTTCAGGCCAGCGGGGCATGCGCGAGGCCCCAGGCTATCTCTGCTGTTGGCTGTGCCTGTGTGGCCGCTGGATGACGTACAGGCACTGGCATAAAAGGACGAATTGCCCACTAGAAAACGTGCAATTGCCCCCGTGTGTGAAGACGCTGATCCGCGCTGACAGTGACTGTACTGTGATACCGCCGCCTCTGTACTGTGTTTGTACGTGCTTCTCCAGACCGCCTAAACCAAGCGCCTAAACCAAGCGCCCGCATCGACCGCCTCCGACCGACTTTCTTCTTTCTTCACTCACGGTGCTTGAAAGAGCGGCGGCCTGTGAACGGGGGCTATTATTCATCCCTTCGCTGTCGACAAGGCTCGCTCGATTCCGCCTCGGACCACCCCCACCAGCTCCCACGCTTATGCTGCCCTCATGCAGTCCAGTGTGACGCCTTTCGGTATGTTCTGCTCCAACCAATTCCCTGGCATTGGGCTCGTGCCTGTCTGGCTGGATACTAGGCCGTCAGCCATGTTGATGCTCGTTTTCTAGGCTACAGCAGCGAGTCGTGCGGTTACTGTAAACATGGCCAAAACGGCCGCCGAACTGCCAATTCCAGTAGGTGCATATTCTCTTACTCTACCCCATTGACCACCACCCTGATCGCCGCGCCCACTCCCGCTGTCACAGCCGTCAGCCGTCAAGCCATGAGGCGTTTGATGTTCCGTTAAGGTTACCTCACGTGCCTGCCACCGCCCTCCCCTCCACGGTGCAGCTCCACGTCAAGCGAGGTCTGCATTGATGCAAACCTCATGCGAGACGTAGATGCTGTCCAACCCCTCTGAATGCAATACCCTGTCATTATCGTCTGCAACTCTACACTACCCAGCGGGAGAAGCCGGGTACGAGGGTCTGGCCCGAGATGACCGATTGACCGGCTGACCTTACTTAATCAGGAGCGAGCTACTACTTCTCCTCCAAATCCTTGACCGTTGACGTCTACCAGATCCTCGTTGACCGCGGCTGGAGAAGGTACAGGCCCCACCCATGCACGGCAGATGCGATTGCAGCTCACACTGCCTTCTAGATCCGGCACCATCTTCTACAAGCCAGATGTACTGCGACACTGCTGTCCGCACTACACGATCCGGTAAGCACCATCTCCGCGTGATGCTTCCCAATCTTACCCGCCACTAGTCTCCCCGTAGCTTCTTTCAAGCCCTCAAAGGATCAGAGGAAAGCGGTCAATCACTGGAACGATCATGTGCTAGGTGAGCAGTATATGAAAGAGGCCTCTAGGCTCTACCCGATTTCCAAAGAGTATGTCGATCGCGTTGTAAGCACCGGTCCGGGCTGATTATCGCAAGGGAGAAAGCTCGACTCAAGAATACTTTTGACCTTGCACGAGAAATACACAAGGCCGAACTACAGAATGTCAAGCAACCGCCTGAACCCGCACATCGCTTCGAGGTGACACTCGAACCAGCGGCATTTTCACCGGAAAAGTACGAGCTCTTCAAGAACTACCAGCAAAATGTGCACAAAGAGAAGCCCCATGAGATATCGCAATCGGGCTTCAAACGCTTCCTATGCGACTCCCCGTTGAAGAAGACTTCTCGCACCGTCGATGGCAAAGAGCAACTTCTCGGCTCCTACCACCAATGCTACCGACTGGATGGACAATTGGTTGCGATGGGAGTTCTTGATCTCCTCCCTCACTGTGTCAGCGGTGTATATATGCTGTATCATTCAGACTTTGAGCAGTGGCAATTTGGAAAGCTGAGTGCACTTCGCGAGGCTGCCCTTACACTCGAGGGTGGCTACCAGTATTACTACATGGGCTACTACATTCACTCATGCACGAAGATGAAGTACAAGGGTGACTACAAGACTCAGCATGTCCTAGATCCAGAGACGTACGAATGGCATTCGTTGGACGATGAGCTGCGTGGCTTGCTGGATAAGAAACCTTACGTATCCATGGCTAGGGAGCGGAGGAGGAAGCTTGAGAAAGCGTTGAGCAAGGACGAGGGGGCGGAGGACCATGTGGAGGAAAAGGATGATTACTCTGACTATCCACTTCCAACAGCAGCCGAGGCTGGCAATGCAGTCGCGAAAGGAATGTCACTATTCGAACTCAAGGTCCCAGGACTGATGACAGCCGAGGAAATTGAAGAAAATCTCGATCTCGCCACGATGCCGATTCGAGTGGGGAGCAGAATGGCAGAAGCTCAGGTACGTCTGCAGTTGCAAAAGTGAGGCCCAACGCTGACGATCTCGTAGGATCTTGTTTCTTGGGAAGGCAGCGATCTTCGCAACCCAAAATCCATACAAGGTATCATTGGCGAGATGGTTGCTTGTATGGGGCCCGAGGTTGCGTGGCAGGTTGTGGTTCAGCTTGGATAAAGGATGAATCGGGCCATACGCAGTAGCCAGGTAGTGTACCATGACCGGGAGGTAGAATTGGGCAATTGATCTTATGAAGCTCGTGCTGTGTCCTCTTCGTTAGACCTTCCCCGTTGGTCTAGCACAAACAGACGATTATAGTAATCAAAATTTGTCACAACCTAAAAACTACTTGCTGTCAGTAACATGTTCCATGGGTGTTGAGATGGCATTTAAGCAATGTAGTGTCAAGATGTAACATCGTACATAGGCATGCCGCTTTGGGTCTAGCTTCCAGGGCCGCCCGCGCCGAGGCTGCCGTCCATGCCTCATTCCAAAAGTTGCACGCACAGCACAAACATCGCAACACAGGAACAATGTCGGCATCAACTCTGACTCTGCTCGTGCGCCCTAGAGGTACGTTCAATTGGTAGCAAACTGCCATGGTACACCCTGTTCAACGTCAATTCATGCTAATTACCCCTCAGGCCGCCCGATCAAGAACCTCCCCGAGACAATCACCGTCAGCTCCGACGCTCCTGCCTCGCACATCTTTGAGGAAGTTGCCAAAGCTTCGAAATTCTCCATCCACCGCCTGAGGATTACAAAGGGCAGCGATAGCTCGGCTGTCAACAACACCAAGGATGTGACAGTCTACGACACAGGCCTGAGGAACAAGAGCGCCATCGATGTCAAGGACTTGGGTATATACCATCATTCACTGCTATAGGCACGACTGACAGTCTTGTAGGACCCCAGATTTCATGGCGAACCGTCTTCATCGTCGAATACCTCGGACCCCTCCTGATCCACCCGCTCGTCTACTTTGGCCGCAGCCTCATCTATGGCACCTCGGAGCCTCCCTCTCAGCTGCAGAAACTCACGTTCCTCATGTGTGTGGCACATTTTGCGAAGCGCGAGTTTGAGACGCTCTTCGTCCACCGCTTCTCATCGGCCACTATGCCCATCATGAACATCTACAAGAACAGCGGCTACTACTGGCTTTTGTCTGGCTTTAACCTCGCATACTGGAGTTACGGCCCCAACAGTCCGGCTGCGAAACCTTCGAATCCCCTCCTGACATACCTCGGAGTTGCCCTATTCGTCATTGGCGAAGTCTGCAACTACAGCACGCACATGACTCTGAAGAACCTGCGTCGGCCGGGTACCACTGAGCGCGGCATTCCCCAAGGGCTAGGCTTCAATATGGTGACGTGTCCAAATTACATGTTTGAGGCCATTGCTTGGATCGGCGTCGCTTTGGTCAACTGGAGCCTGAGCACCGTCCTTTTCATTATCGTGGCAGTTGGTCAGATGGGCGTCTGGGCATGGAAGAAGGAGAGGAGATATCGCAAGGAGTTTGGCGACAAGTACAAGCGCAAGAGGTACGCAATCCTGCCGGGCATCTGGTAAATGGTGCATCACGCCATCGCAGAAGCAGGTCATGCAGTGGTACGGCGAAGCGCGGTAGGAGGGTGGCACAGCCTACGGGACGATGCAATAACTTGCTTCAGATGACTGTCTAGCATGTACCAAGACTTTGGGGTCCGTTTTGCAAGGCTGAGCTTGAAGCCGAGCGGAGGACGCCTATTGAAATGGTCCCACCCAACCCGGAGCGGTCACACTCCGCAGGTACCCGTAGCTAGTGTCTCGAGGACTCGACGTAAATTATATAATTATATCATCTTTCCAATGATTCGTGTGCTCCATCCCGGTAGACGTTCGCAGTGGGTGGCCTTATGATTCATGTCTATGTGCTCAGCTGAGGCACACATCCTAAGACCGCATGTCGGCGGTGACACCATCCCAACCAGCGTCATCGCGATCGTCTAACTCGACCAGTGCTTGTGGTTAATGGCCCCTCATCATGGGGCGCCTATCTCATAGCACGAAGCTTTGCTTTTGCCGTTGGAGGCTGGCTTCATGTGCCCGCGGGCGGTCCCCTCCACTAGTCACCTCCGGGAGTGCCGACCACACAGATCGGGAACCCTGCATGAGCGCGGGACCTCTTATTCCTGCTTTAACAGTAGATATCATTGCCGGACTAATGGATGCGAGGCTGAAGCTTTCAGTCTGTTGTTGCCTGCGGCTGCCTATGGGCAGACCGACGTTTGCAGTCCGGCTTATGTGCGTGTTTGGAGCAGCGACGCAGCATCGCATACTGTTCTGCATCGACATTGGCGGTCAGACATATGTCGTATTGGTCCTAGTTCACATGGCTCGTATGCCAACTACCCGCGCCATGGCTGCCCATTGGCCGTTTTCCCTATCGGCCCACGAATGTGGCGCTTCAGCTCAGCCTTGGAGGAAGCTGATGAATGGTTTGGCCGCTTGGGGGGAACTAGAGGGACGCAACCATGGAGATCCACCCACAAAGAGGGTGGTATAAGAGGAGCCTGATTGAACAGCGGTGGAACGGATTGTTCTCTTGAGCTGCCTATCGTATACGTGATCTTTTCCCCCTCTAGAGTAGTGCAGATACCCCTCGTTGCTTTTTTGCTACTGCTACTTATATCACCCGTCTGGACGTTGCTCCTCCTCCTCCTCACCTTTGCTCTTGCTACTTCTCAGACCATCTTGCTTGGAATATCTCATCCCACCTGCTAAGGGATTATATATAGAAGTTACACACATCCCGCCTTGTACCGGTGGTAAAGGAAGTTTCCTCGGGAGACATCTTGGGCAACACGTAAGTCAACAACATTATTCTCTGCTTTATTTCTTCCTCAATGCCCGATCTTCCTCAATCTCCTCCCTGGTATAGGTCGCTAGGCATCCGACGACCATCAAGCAACAAACCTCTATCCCAAATTCCACCAATAAATCCACCATCTCCGGTGTAGGAACAGTGTATCATACGATTCACAGTTTTGCTAACACCAAGATACAGTAATTCTACAATCATGTCTGCAACTGAAGAGGCAAAGGCTGCATGGGACTCCCATGTCGACACCCGTACAGGAATCGAGCCACCAAAGGCAGCTGATGCATCCGAGATCAGCACCCTGCGGAGCGCTATTGGCGCCCCGTTTCGCGCTGCTGCTGGCTTGATCGGCGCCGTCACAGCTCCAGTCCCCGACCAAACGGGTGATGGTTCCAAGATTCCACCAGAGGAAAAGGCTAGCCTTTACAAGAAGATCGAAGGCGGTCTCCGAGACATGTCTCACCTCGGCATCGAGAACATTGGGTCATTGCTTGAGATCCAAAAGGAGAAGATGCTTGGTAGCTACACCGATGACAAGACTTATCTCATGGAAGGTCTGATCAGAACTGCTGCCGCGTTGCCGGATGGGTCCAAGACGAGGGACGCCGTTACCGCAAATTTCCTATCACAGCTGTGGAATGACCTGCAGCACCCACCTCAGTCATATCTCGGTACCAAGTACCAGTACCGGTCAGCAGATGGCTCAAACAACAGCCTCGTAAACCCTCAGGTTGGTGCGGCAGGGACACCGTACGCTCGAACAGTGAAACCTATCACGATGCAGACACCTGCTCGACCGGATCCAGGCGTCATATTCGACAGCATCATGACGAGGAAGCATGCCGAGCTTCACCCCAACCGTATCTCAAGTATGCTCTTCTACCTCGCGTCCATCATTATCCACGACTGTTTCCGAACCAGTCACGAAGACTACTCCATCTCCATGACCTCCTCATATCTCGACCTCTCGCCCTTGTATGGTAGCAACCAAGCCGAACAGGATATGATGAGGACTGGAAAGGACGGAAAGATCAAGCCAGATTGCTTCTCGGAATCGAGACTACTCTTCTTCCCTCCTGGTGTCGGTGCTCTGTTGATCATGTTTGGTCGTTTCCACAACTACACCGTGGAGAACCTGGCCGAAATCAACGAGCAGGGACGCTTCACAAAGCCCTCTGCTGAGGTACCAAAGTCGACTGGTGATGTTGAGGTCGACAAGAAGACACAAGAAAAGTACGATGCGGCGTGGAAGAAGTACGACAACGACTTGTTCCAGACTGGCCGACTGATCACATGCGGTCTGTATGTCAATACTATCTTGATCGATTACGTCCGCACAATCCTCGACCTCAACAGGACCGACAGCAACTGGCAGCTCAATCCCCGATCCGAGGTGGAGGGTTTGCCGATGGGTATCGGTAACCAAGTCTCTGCAGAGTTCAATCTTGTATACCGATGGCACTCGACTGTGTCCGACCGCGACGAGAAATGGACACAGGAAATGTGGGAGGGTATCTTTGGCGAGGACTGCGACCCGAAGTCCATCGGCAAACACGAGTTCCTTGGCCGCCTCAACGAGGTCTACAAGAAGACCGACCGTGATCCGTCAAAGCGTGAATTCGCTGGTCTGAAGCGAAATGAAGACGGCACATTTCCCGATCAAGGTCTTGTAGACATCTTGACTTCTAGCATCGAAGACTGCGCCAACTCGTTCGGACCAAATCGAGTACCTTCTGTGTTCCGCGCCATTGAGGTTCTTGGTATTGAGCAAGCACGTAGCTGGAACTTGGGATCTCTCAACGAGTTCCGCAAGCACTTCAAGCTCGAGCCACACAAGACATTCGAAGACATTACGTCTGACAAGTATGTCCAAGAGCAACTCAAGCACCTCTACGATACCCCGGACAAGGTTGAAATCTACCCAGGCATGGTTGTGGAGGATGCCAAGAAGCCCATGGCACCCGGTTCTGGACTCTGCACCAACTACACCATTTCCCGAGCTGTGCTATCCGACGCCGTGGCCTTGGTACGCGGCGACCGATTCTACACGCAAGACTACAACCCCCGCACCTTGACAAACTGGGGCTACAATCTCGCAGACAGCGACATCGGCATCGACAACGGCTGTGTATTCTACAAGCTCTTCCTACGTGCTTTGCCACAACACTTCAAGTACAACAGCGTCTACGCACACTACCCGCTCACCGTCCCGTCGGCCATGCAAATCGCTCTCACCGACCTGAAGAAAGACCACCTATACGACTTCTCCAAGCCGGTAGCAACGCCACACCCACACATTGTCAAAGAGTACAAGCTGGCCACTCAGATCATGAAAGACCAGACCAACTTCAAGGTAGTCTGGGGCAGGGCAATGGAGTACATAATGGGACCCACAGCCGCCGACTTCATGCTCGCGGGCGACGGACCCAAGAACACGGCCTCGCGCCAAATGATGAGCAAAGCGCTCTACATCTCCGACTGGGATAAGGAAGTCCGCACCTACTACACACTAAAGATGCAACAGCTCCTCCAAGAGAAAGCCGCCAAAATCGCAGACTTCAACCAAGTCGACATCATCCGCGACGTCGGCAACCTCGCCCACGTGCACTTTTGCTCTGAACTCTTCATGCTGCCCTTAAAAACCGACGACCGCCCCTACGGCATCTTCACCGAAGCCGAACTCTACCTCATCATGTCCTCGGTCTTTGCCCTCATCTTCTTCGACGCCGACCCCGCCTCCTCCTTCCCCTTGCACGTCAAAGCACGCAAAGCAACCCAAATCCTCGGCACCATCGTGGAGAAGAACGTGGCCGCCATCGCAAAAAGCGGCATCCTATCCTCCATCATCCAAACCATCTGGCCCCATGAATCCGTGCTGAAATCCTACGGCGTCCACATGATCAAACGTTTGTTGGAAACGGGTATGGAGCCTAAACAGCTGGTCTGGGGCCATATCCTAGGTACGGCGGGCGGCATGGTATCGAACCAAGGCCAGCTCTTCGCTCAAACGCTAGAATACTACATCCTAGGCGCGGGCCAGAAACACTGGCCGGCGATCCAGGCTCTCGCCGCGCAAGACGGCGAAGAAGCGTTTGAGACTCTCATGCATTACACCATGGAAGCCGGGCGGTTAAACGGTGAAACTGGCGTTATCCGCGCTGTTGCCCACCCTACACCTCTCACCACCGCCGACGGAACGACTACCACGTTATCCCCCGGCTCAACTGTCTTCGTCAAACTTCGCTCTGCATCGCACGACCCGGCTGTTTTCCCTAACCCTGACGAAGTCGACATCACGCGTCCGCTCGACTCGTATATCCACCTCGGGTACGGTCCGCATCAGTGTCTGGGGCTGCCGATGACGAGGGTGGCGTTGACGACGATGTTGAAAGAAGTGGCCAAGCTCAAGAATTTGAGACCGGCCAAGGGCCCACAGGGCAAGATACACAAGGTTGAGAAGAGGATGGAGAAGGTTGCGGAGGAGGAGTATGTGTATCATGCTTATTTGACGGAGAATTGGGATATGTATTTTCCGTTTCCTTGTGGTAAGTTTATCCTTGGATGGTGATGGGTTGATTATTTTTACTGACGAGGTTGTAGCGCTCAAGTTGTGCTGGGATGATTAGGTGGTAGGTGGCGAGATTGTTGTTGGCGATCGGCGGACGTCGATGCTGGAAGGATAGCGGCGTACATGGTACTATCAGACAGACATCAAAGCCGGATAAAGCTACAGCGAACACGGATACAAACAGAAAAATACAACACAGGAGGAGCAGAGAAGAGCAAGGGGTATGAGATGGTAGATGGTAGATGGTAGACGTAGTTATCCTTCCCCCTTCACCTTTCCCTTTCTCACCTTTCCCACATCTTCTTCTATCCACTTTTACCACTCCCTAATTATCGGACTATCCTGGTTTTCGGTTTCCGTTTTTAGGCTTTTGGGTTTTTAGGGAAATGTGATGATGAGTATGTTTATTTTATGTTTTGAGTGTTGAGTGTTTTTGGCTTTGTGACTGTTTGTGATGTGGGTTGATAAGCGGTGATCCGATGGATGGTGATTTGATGTGATTTGATTTGCTTGAAGAAGTGTAGGAGGCTAGTTAGTTTATTTTGTGATTGTGATTGTATTTATGTTTTTGTGGTGGAAGTGGTCGATGTGGTCGATGTGGGAGGGGAAGGAGGGAAAAGAGAGTGTGCCTTGTGGTGGAGTAGACTGCGGCAGGGGGGAGAGAGCGTGGCAAGGGAGAGAGAGCGTGGCAAGGGAGAGAGAGCGTGGCAAGGGAGAGAGAGCGTGGCAAGGGAGAGAGAGCGTGGCAAGGGGAGAGAGAGCGTGGCAAGGGAGAGAGAGCGTAACAGGGGGGAGGAAGCGTGGCGTATGGGCGTATGGAAGATTAGACTGTAGTGAGGTGGTAGAGAGTTGGTAGTTTGTTTTGGTTTGGTAAGGTGCGATGGAGTATGGCTGGTGAAGATACAACCTGGTTAAGGTTTAGAGTAAAGAGCGGATCTGTGGTTGCGGTTGTGGGCTCTACATGGTAGGTGGTAGATAGCTTGGTCGGCAGACAAAAACATTAAAAGATACATTTGTAATACATTGCCAAAGAAATAAAGTTAGTACGACGCCAATGTGGCTGATGTTTATGTCCTGCGAGACTCCCAATGCTAGAATAATGCAACTCGTGTTCTTCTCAAGCA